TCTTTTCCCGGGCGGTATGGACTTTCTACGCCGCGCCCTGCGGGAGCCAGGGAAGGGGCGTAGAAATTCCATACCGCCCCGGAAAAGAAATCCGGCCCCGAAGTTGCTTTTGCGCAACACAGAGCAGAGATTTCTTTCCCCGGGCGGTATGGACTTTCTACGCCGCGTCCTGCGGGAGCCCAGGCGAGGGTGTAGAAATTCCGCGCCGCCCCTGGAAAAGATATCCCCTCGCAAGGCTGCGATTGTGGAATACAGAGCGGACATTTCTTTTTCCGGGCGGTATGGAATTTCTACGCCATCGTCTTGGCTCCTGCAGGAGGCGGCGTAGAAATTCCCTACCATCCTGAAGACGAAGTCTCCGATCTGTATTGCACAAAAGCAATGCTGCAATCGAGTTTCTTTTTCAGCGGCGGCTTAGAAATTCCATACCGCTATGAGAGGGAAGTCTCCGACCTGTGATGCACAAAGGCAGCTTTAACTTTGAGACCGGACTGCTTTTCCCGGGGTGGTTTCGAATTGCCCGCCCCGCTGCCGAAGGAACACCCTGCGCCCGGTTGTAGCGCTTCGCGCACTAAGCCACTATGCGCGCGCCTGATGCGAGGCGAGGCCGAGGGGCGGACACTGTTCGCACTGATGCCGAACACCCTTCCCCCACTACCGCTTTGCGAACTAAGCCACTGCGCGCGCGCCTGATGTGAGGCGAGGGACGGACTCTGTCCGCCGCGATGCCGAGCAATGTTCTCCCACTCGCGCCACTAGGGATGCGCACAAGGCCCCAGCGTGGGGACCCTGTCCCCACGCGTGGACCTTGTTTGTCATGCGGTATCTATTGCAATTCCAATTCCTACGTCGTTCGTTGTCCGATATTACTTTTGCCCAGGATAATCGTGCAAGATGAAGAATGAAGAATTTTGAAATAACTGCAAGACCAGGCAAGAAGTACAGGCCAAGCGGTTTGTAATGCATATAACTGGTGTTGGTGTCCTGTCTGTCGTCTCGTTCTCCTATTGGATCGTAAAAAAGTGATGGAACCAGTCATGCATTGCAAGTTGCTGCGTCAGCACTCCAGCTCCACAGTTAGGCTAGAAATTCTGTTTCCATAAACAAGCTGCCCATGATCGGAAGAGCACTTTACCGCGCAGCTTAGTGGGTCGCCAATCATTTTCTTGGACCTCCACTAGAGTAGTCTGTTGTAGTTTTCAGCGCATGGCTTGGCAGCAGTCAAGTGTGAATTTTTTGCATAAAAAAGTCAAAGTACTCAGCTACGTGCAGCACTTGATGCATCACAGCTTCCCTCGCTTTCGTAGAACTAGCTTCTTTTCGACAACAGCAGGTGCTTGTTCCACACTTGTTCAACCGCGTGAACGCGAACGCACATTTTGAAACGCGATCCTTTTATTTCACAATCACAACTTGTTTAATACCATAGGATACAATAACAATAGACACGAATCACACAATACTTGTACAAGAAGTAGAACCAGCACATGCAGACATGCAAGTTGAACTATACTCAATGCGATAGTTGTACTTCTTATGCTTCACCAGGACCAGTTAGTTTCAACTTCCTGTTGCTATAATCGACTAGCATCACCGTCGTGTCCTGATACTGTAGCCCACTTTCGTGGCGAAGATTTTTCACTTTTCGCCCGGGGCAACATGCAGCTCGTGTTCGCCATGCAGTTTTTGAGCGCCGGTTTAGGAAGATGATAGATAAAAAGCCGAACATGGTGAAAAAGCTTCAAGTTTGAAAATCCCCAGGTGAGTCACAAGTACAAAGCCGGAATAAAACACCACAGGCCTCCGAGCGGAAGAACCTACAAACCGTTGGCAGCACGGCGTTGACCGTAACGGTCCATGGTAACCCGCGGCAAAACAGCGGGCTACGCCTGGTAACCGCGAATCTGGGAGACACCCGAGGGATCCTTTGTCGCGATGGGAAAGCGGTTATGCATTGCAAATATCGAAGATCTGAGTCTGGATCTGAAACGAGGATGCAATATTTGATGTCATGCTTGCCTGGCATGACATGAAGAGTTCTTTGTGATGCGTGATGTCCAAGAAAAGTAGACCAGATCGATATTTGCAATTGATAACAGTGCCCTTATCGGAAGACCATAAACCTAGTCGACTGGACGAGAAGGGACGCATTGAGAGGGCTGGTATGATGAAATTTATAATGCTAAATCAGAATGACAGGTAGAATTTGTCATGCAGGACCAGATAAAGAAGAAAAAGAATCCGACTTCAACTTCTCAGGCGGCAGTGTCGTTGACATCCGTGGCGCGTTGCGGGTTGTGTGTTCAACCGCTCCCGGGCACAAGTCCAAACAGCAGCGGAACCAGTATCAGGGCTTAACGATGACGCGGTCCTTCGGCGACTTTTTCTTCAAGCAGCCAACAAAATTGGTCGAGTCCACGCCCGAAGTAAAGATCCAAGCTTTGACCCCGAATGTATCCCACGAAAAAACTGTTTCACTGTGATGATATTGCAAGATCTGGTGCATCACAAGTTTGTTACACATCCATGACACAGAAAATTTGTCATAAAACCTTCCCAAGGGAAAACACGTTTGAAAATCCACTGTCTTTCAGGTGTAGCAAGACAAGTGGCTCTGTATTCCATTTTCTGCATCACAGGTTCACAGTGAAGCAGTTTTTTCTTGCGATAGAATGACCAGTTCGTGGTAATCGTGTCGGACGGCATCTGTGACGTGTTGAAGAACCAGGAAATCGTATCCAAGAAAAAAACTGTGTTAGTGTAGGTCTTTTGGGAAAACAGCGTCACAAGTTTGTCTGCCAGGACAGGAAAAACTTGTCATGCGCAGATAGGACGGGAAAACACGTAGGAAACACGCCTATCAAGCATGTGGAGCATGACAAGTGTAAGCTGTTTTGCATTTTCAGCATCACAGGCTTACACTCACATAGTTTTTTTCTTGGATAAATCGTTAACCTCGCTTTGGAGTTTTACGACAATGCCGAGGAAGCCTGCAAGAAAATCGTCCGCACGGCTTTCAACAAGGGTTCGGAGGATAACCTCACCGCCTTGATCATTCAGTTTGCGTTATCCTGTGTAAAAACGTCCCCACGACCCCAGAGTTGTCATGCAAATGTGCAATGACAGGATTCAGGAATCGATTTGTAATGCGCTTCTCCTTGAGAGGCGTTTCTAGTCGTGTTTTGGAATTTGTAGTGCTGTAAGCAGGAGGAGCAAATGGCTTTCTCATGCGGCTTTTGTTGCTACCCAGCACTACACTGCAGATGGGACAAATTTGTCATGCAGAACTGCCAAAGCTTGGAGATTTGTGTTCCAGATTTCCCATGGCCATGTTGACTATGGTGTGGGGACGTTTTTACGTAGGATATGCGTGGGCGGATGAGAAGACGCTGAAGTGCTGGGAAAACTTGAAGAAGGGCGGGGGCGTGAACGTGGAAACCGCCGGGGTTCAGGTATGAACTGCAAAAGTATCGTGCTCGTAGTAATTCTAATTGCTGTTATGCATGACAAATCTCTTTCCTAAGGCAAAAGAGCAATTTGTAATGCAATTTATACTAGTTGTACGATGCTTTTGCATTTCATATCAGGATGTTGAGGACGATGATTTTGACATGTTTGCTTGATAAGGAGTACAGCAGTACTTCATCTATAGCTCACGACTGTGAAACAAGTTGAATAAGTAACAGTTGTAAACCATCTCTATTAGTAGATGAACCTTCTCAACGGACGCTGGAGGGAGTTGTGCTAGTACTTAGATTTACTAAAACAGAACCAAGTGCTGGACCACAACAACTGCTTCTGCCCTCAAGGGCACGAACAAGACAGACGACAGACTTAATTTTTCAATGGCAAGAATTTGATCTTGTCAACAGGAGGACGAGTGGAGGGCAAACAAGACGAGAATCAATATATTAAACACCCTTGACAAGGAAGAGGACAAACTGGCTCCTCTGAGGCTCGGGAAACACACCGGTCGGGGCCATAGGTTTTCGTTCATCTCGCAAGCAATAGTAAGAACCACGTGGTGTTGAAATATCTCTACTAAATCTTCTCGGTTGACAGGTGGCGCTACTACACAAACAAATTGTGGAAAACCACGCAAAAATTTAAAGTACTGCAGAAAGTATTATCGTTTCTTGTGCGCCTTCGTGAATCAGTGCTGTCGGTTGGTTCTACTGAAAAGTGTCGCATTTTCATCGCAGGTCCTCCAATGCTGGCTACAGCTAGTACTACCTACATCCTCGAGCGTGCTGTTGTAGCTATACCACCTAATTTTGGTGTCTTCGTGTCTTCTGTTTGGATAAGTTCGGACGAGCCACATGATATTTATAGTACGCTGCCAGGAGACTTTGGGTTTTAGTTTTGCAAACCACAACCACGTAGTGGATTGAGGTCTTGGTCCCCGGAGCAAATAAGCAGGCAAACCAAGGACTTCAGTGCGGAGCGTATCCTTTATCTTTTTCGTCCAATATTTTTTTCGTGGGCGCGGAAACTTTCAGCATCTGGACGGTCTGTAAGATACTTACGTTTACAAACCTCATGTCCGCGTCCGACGGCGCGGCGAAACGCCCACAGCACCAGAAACTAGAAGATCTAGTGCAGGCTGCACCCGAGAAGAGGCTGAAGGTCTTTCTGGTCCTGAAAGTATGCATTGCAAAAGTATCGTACTCGTAGTATTGCAATACAAATTAAGTCAGCATGACAAACGGAATTTGTCATGCTGATTTTGCTTGAAGAAGAAATTTGTCTTGCATGACTGCGATTAGTACCGAGACGACGATACTTTTGCAATGCATAGATGAAAGAAGACCAATACGAAACTACTTTCGGCGACGGAAAATACTTGCATTTTTACAATTGTGATCTGGATCAAGCTATGCATTTGGCAGAAGTACAAGTATCTTCGTATGTAGTGAGGTCACGAACGTTCTATCCTAGCGGTCTTTTTGCCACCTCACCTGCAAAACGACCGGCAGTTTTCAATCGGGCGGAGGTGTTTTTGGACGTAAAAGATTTCCACTTGTCAATCGTGCGGGGCTTTGCCATCAAACAAGCCCGAGCGGATTCTATCGATTCCCGATTGATAAAACGACGCAAAGGAGCTCCCAAAAGGGGCGCCCTTCCGAGGCGCCCAGCGCACCTATTTCCGTCGATTTGGGCCGCCCAAAAAGGGGCGCCGGAAAATTGCCAAGACGAAAAAAAGCGCGAATCCGCATGGTATGGACCCCACTTTGGCCCACTTTTAGAGGTCGCAAAGCCGGCCGCCAAAGTCTAGCATTTGCAATGCACGGAGCAGGCCAAAAAGTGCGGCTTTTCAACAAAAAAATCACAAAGAAGCAAAGTCCGCAAAAATCTGAAAGCCAATCCGCATGCTATGGGTCCGATTCGGGGCGCCCAAGGGGTTGGCCCGGGTGGAGGCCATGGCGGGGCCATAGCATTCGGGGAAGGTTTTTCGATTCGAAACCAAATGGAGGCCAGTTCTGGATCGAGATTTTTAGCGACCGCCGTGCCGTCCTGCATAACATTACTCAAGATGGCATGGCGGGCAGAGAATTCGCGTCTTTTTTTGGCGTGAAGACAAAAAACCGCCATGACCTCACTACCCCCGCTGAGGCGGCTTTTATTGGTACTAGTAGAAATCGCATTGCAAATTCTGTCAGCATGATGATAAACGAAATTTGTGATGCTGATTTACCCTGACAGACAAGATTTGTAATGCATAAGCGCGATTACTAGTACGAGTGCGATACTTTTGCAGTGCATAGAAGGCCTCGCGGATAAGATGCAGCAAGAGCAGTCAGTCGAGCAGGGGGCTAAGAAGGTCGTATCAACTGCAAATATGTCGGGGCGTGGAAACTTGTAATGCTGAATGGTCAACATGATTGAGTTTGAGAGCGCCTTTACTAAGTGCAGTGAAGCATGACAACTTCTTCAAATGCTTTTCCATGGCGGGTAGCACACATATACAAACTGTGACTTTGCACGACGAAAGTGTGGCGCTTTATTTTGCTGCCCATGCAATACAGATTTTTCAGGAATGCGAGGCACACAATAGATACAGGCTCAACCTTGTTCCCAGACCCAGATTTATTTGCACTTCATAGTTCGGCGGGGTGCACCAAACCGGGTACAACTTCCACGTGTGATATGGAAGTGTCAGGTGGATCGAACTCCATAAAGTTGAAAGAATCTGTAATGCGTAAAACACGAGCAACACAGCGCCTGTCTACATGCTGCAGGGATGACCACAAGTGAGGCCGACTGTAAGCCTGGATTGCAGCCAACATAAATTTGAGATGCGCGGCCACTTGGACCCTGCCGGGTTCCAACCGGTAGTACAACTTATCCATTGTATGCATGAGCGATTTTTTCGACTTTGTGGATAATTTCGAGACTGACGCTTCCATATGTGGCCGGTGGTGGTGAAATTTGAAGAGACAACTGGCGGTGACTCAGTATCAGGTATTCCTACTTTATTGGTCCTCGACGACTCAGAAAGAGGACTTCCCGCTCACGACAAGACTATCACAGTGGATGCCATTCGAGGCGCGCTTGGACGGGGAGGCTGTGGGGCAGGTGTTGCTCGGAAATGATTTTTTTACCACCTCAAGGCAGCTAGGAGACAAAGGATAATGTGCGTAAAGCTAAAGGTGTCCTGTTGACGCAGAAATTGAAATGCACCTCCGGCCGCTTATCTTCTGTCAAAATGGACGGGGCTTCTACGAGATGAAAGTGAAAGATGCTTCGGCTCCTGTGCAAAAACTACTACATCGGCCTATGAAGATCGCGGCTGTAGTATTTCTTGGTCTTGCGCAGAATAAAACTACCGAAATAAGGTCAGCTGATTCTAGAAGCAAGTACTTACCCAGCCGGATGTTGAATCTATTTCAGAGGTTGCTCTACACATCGAAAATGAACAACTGAGTCGGTTCTCGTCGCTGCAAACGCAATCACAATTTCGGTCAGATTGGGCAGTCTGTTTTGTTACTCACCACGAGGACGACATGTGAAAGAAAGTACTAACGAGATGGCGCAGCAAGACTTATCATGCGACTCGGTTTTTATTGTGTGCTGGAACTGATTTCGTATTCGTGTGTATGTGTAAAGGTAAACCCACTCCCACACTGTATCTTCGGATTACCTCTACGGAGCGTTAGTACTTTTTACTGTGCTAGTACGCATGATTCAGATAGTACTGGCGCATGCATGATGATGATCATTTTCATTTCATCGTAATTGATAAACTCTTGTCCTTTGCTGATTCAATATTTTGATTTTCTTCCAAAAACTTTAAGAAAAAAACAACTATGATCTATCCAGGCAAACACCAGGAGTTCCACTTGATGCCCCTTGGTGAACTATCGAAAGAAGCGCTAGTACACCTCCACCTAGAAGTTGTAGACAGGTGCGTCCCCTAGAGAGAGAGTCTACTTACTACCTTCCTTCTCAGCACGGAGGGCATTTTTAGCAACTACAGGTATTTTTTGTCGACAAGATCAAATATCACGAAGTTTTCCGGACGAGGACCTTACCTGTAGTTTTTGCGGAGCAACAAGTTATTACGATTTTCTAGAGCAGCTTTACGTATCTTCCATCACACAGTAATTACAACTACTTCATCAGAAATCCATATCTTTTCATCGCATCGAAGAAAATATAAAATCTCAAAAAAATGCTCCGTCTCGCGTCCCAGCAACTCTTCCGTAGTACCTCCACGGTGGTACTGCGGCCGCACTACGCGAACGCGAATGTTAACGCGGCTTTGACGACTCAGAAACAATTCTTTTCCGCCACTGCCCAGGCGGCTGCGGCGACCTCTCAGAAACTCTCTGAAGGGGCCAGGTATCCGATGCACATAAATAGCGAGGATGAAGAAGATCTGCGGTGCTGATAAGTATACTTTCTTGTCAAGAAACACACAAGAGCGACCTCTTGTTGTGTAAGTTGTTGCGTACTACAGACGACCGTGCAGACATTTACTTCCATTTAAGTCTTGTCATTGGCTGCATGATTATTCTGCAGTTACCACTTCTCATCTGCTCTTGTCATTTACACATTTTAGCATGACAACCTGGTTCGTCGTGTTGCACTTGTATGCAAACCAAGCTCGTCCTCGATGTTCTTTGCGAAGGTGCATACTTCGTCGGGATTCGAAACCACGATGGGTATGACACACGCGCCCTTTCTGCCCAAGTCGGCCCCTTGCCCCTACTTGGCGGGGAAGCAGCTTCTCGGCGGCTTCGCGCACATTGCGCTTTCCGTGGCACCGATTATCGAGGCGCCGATCAAGCTATCCACCGCAATAAAAGTATCTTCGTACTCGTATTAAAAGTTGCAATTTTTTTACGCATGACAAATCTTGTCATTTAGGCAAAGCAGCACTAGAAGTTCAATGTCGCCTGTTGAGAAGATTTGTAATGCAATGTGCTTATACTAGTGAGTGTGAGTACGATCACGATGCTTTTGCACTTCATATAAGCTCGTGCACGCCCCGTTATCCATGGTCGGGCCGTCGTTCTTGTGTCCCCATCTGTTTATGCATTGCAAACATGCCTGGGTCTGGAAGGTTGCAACTCGTGATGCTGTCTTTAGATTCTGAAAAAAATTGCATTGCATGAACAGCAAGAGGAGTCCAGTTTGTGCTCCTACGCGGGAGAGCATTTCTCATGCAGAATACGCATCAGAAAGCCTCTGAGCGACTGTGATGCTAGGTCATGCATTTTTACAGGCATCGTGGGTTCTACAAAATATGCATGACAGGCTTGGCAATCATCCAGATCCAGACATATTTGCATTTGATACTGTTGGTGAAGTCGCAACTCCAGAACTTGGCGGGAGCGACCGCGGACGCGAATATTATGGAAAAGAAGTAAAAATCTAGTAAAATGACTGTGGTAAACTGCGAAAGCGACGAGTATCAAAAGTGTATAAGTTTGGTACCGATCAGGAGGCGCTTGCCGCAAACGCAAAGGACAGGGAGGTACTTAGTATCATGGGAGTTCGTCTTCGCCACGGACTTCGTTTTCTCTTGGCGCGACGCACCAGCAGGAACACTTGCGTGTTCATCGCTTTGTGGTGAATGATTGCTTATGCTTTAAGGTTGTTGTACTGACCATCGTGCCCGGTCACAGTCACGAATCGACGCCTGTTCTTTTTCGCAGACAGGAAATAATCAGAGGCAAGGAAATAACGCACCCTCCTCCACGCAGGCCCGAGCGCGACGCTAGAAAATGAAAATATCTCTGTTGTTCTTGTTTCATAAAAAACCGCAGTCTTTATTGTTGTTTTAAGTACTATAATACTTTTCATGTGTTTTTAAACATTTTTGGTCGAAGATGAAGCAACGGTTTTCATACGTATCGACAAATGAACTCTAATAAGGAGACAATCCCTCGCCGGCCAAGAAAATGCCGAAAGTGTGTAGTTTACTACAGGAATTTCGAGAGCAATTGTGTTTAATTTTCGAGAGCAAGAATATTTGCGACAGTGACCTCCACAGTGTGCAGCGTATTCAAGAGTACTAGCTCGTCGCATCAAGTAGAAGACATAGTCATATTTTTTGCCTGTACGCACCAACGCCAGCCATTGCAGCAAGATTGATAGATAAGAACTACAAGCAACACAGAGAAAGAACACTCCTTCGGCTTCTACATGATGGCAAACGAATTCGACTGGTGTTCAACACGACACTTGAAGTAGCTGTAAGTGTAAGGTTGCCTCTTTGATGAATCCAGCAGAAAAGTAGAAACAACATCACGAGGCAGCCAGGAGTCAACATTTGATACTACTTGTTGAGGCTGAATGATTGACCACAGTAGCAAGCCGCAGTGGTACAATAACCGGTTGCGCCAGTGCGCAAAAAGGCCGATTCTACTTGAGGCTCTCGTGCCATCAAGGTTCTCACCACGCCGCAGAGGTCTAGAAGTCGGAAGACAACACAGTGTTCGAGCGACCACGGGATGGAGCGGGCGTGCAAAAGATCTTTTATTTGACGCAATGCGCAGCTCTACTTGATGCATGATCTCTTCTAAGCTCCAAGGGTCACAGCTGGATCCTCTGACCTCTGTGTAGGGATTTTCCTTTTCTTTTATTCTTTTCTCCCCTCCTCGTCGAATGAATATCGCTTTTTTGATGTGATAATTCTGCAGCGATTCATAGAAACACTATTTTTTAGGGACTTACAGTGACAACTCTGTAACAAGCTTTCTTTCTGATTGTGTTTGCTTGGGTAATATTTGTCATGATCCGATGCCACTACTAGCTGATAAATTCGTCAAAAGAAAAAGTGTACACGATTGTTCATCGTAGCAGGCATAGGATTTGTTTGACAAAGCCCCAATAACATGGCTCATGATATTGCACTAACAAAATTTTTACCTTCGCCATGCCACTGATCGTAGCCCTTTTAAAATTTCTTCTCTGCCACCAAATTTGCCTTGCCTTTTACTGCTCATTGATCCTGAATTTGTACGGTTTTAGTAGTACAACTCTCACGGCGAGGACTTCCGTTGCTGCGGTTCGACTGAAAAAAGCTGGACGTCGACCTGGTCCGGGTCGGGTTTCTGGGCGGGAACTAGTACTACACGGTAAAAATTCTTGCCCTCAGCAAACAGGGTCCACCGCAGAGCAGCACCAGGAAACAACTTCTGCGAGTCGTAGTAGCAGCGGACTACAGGTGGAGAAAAAGGAAAAGCCCCGGAGTACTAGGCCAGCAGCCAAGATGTCTGCCATGCGGTGCAGCAGCCAGTTTCCCAACCTCGGGAGGATCTTGGACCGAATCGGGGACGACGAAAGCGTATGAATTGCAAAAGTATCGTACTCGTAGTATTGCAGCACAAATTGACTCAGCATGACAAAGGAAATCTGTCATGGTAATTTAGCTTGAAAATGATATTTGTCTTGCATGACTGCGATTAGAAGTACGAGTACGATACTTTTGCACAGGATAAAGCGAGTACGGCGAGTTGGAATTTCTTCTCATGGACGACGTGCAAAAATTGTCGGAGCTGGATCCCAACCACGCCGAACAGTTCGACATCGCAAGTTGCTGCATTTACCGTGGCTACCTGCCCATGGCGATCACGTTCGGTCCCGGGAGGGGAAGCAGCATGTTCGCACCCAAACTGCATCAGGAGAGGGCGCTGATCGACTTGCGGAAGTATTCAACAACATCGTCTTCGTCACCATCCAGTTTTGCGACCACTGGCGCAACAGATTCTGCGTCTCGTAGCGCTCCTGCTTTAGGAGTAGAAGCAGCTGTAAATAAAACAGGAGACGGCAGCTCATCCTCCGCTGCTGCTCCTGCAGACCAAGTTATCACTTTTGTAGAGGCACCAGGAGGAGCTCCTGCACCAGTCGAACTGTTGCAGTCTCCTGTGCCACCCAGCACCTCGCAGCTTCCGCCGAAAGAAACCTGGCTGACGAAAAAACGAAGGAAAAAAGTGAAGGGCTTTCATCTCCAAGTGCGGAACCAAATTTCGCCAACGCTGTGCGACTATCCTGTGCAAAAGTATGGTATTCGTATTGCAATCATGCATTACAAATCCTTTTTCTAAGGTAAATCCGCATTACAAATTTTAATTCTCATGCTGAGGAAATTTCTAATGCATTTATACGAGTACGAATACGATACTTTTGCAGTTCATAGCGACCAGATCCGGAAGCACACCTGCACGAATACGAAGGACGACAACTGTATCAAATGCAAAAATGTCTGGGTCTGGATGAAAGTTGTAATGCTAAAAATGGATGATGGGGCAATTGCAATAGTACGCAGCCAAGCATGACAAATTTTTGAGGTCCTATGTCTTGCGTATTCCGCATGGCAAACTGCGTTTTTGCATGACAGGTAGGCGGACCTTTTCGCGCCCATGCATCACAGATTGTCGAGTCATGTCAGACATGCATGCCAAATGTAGGAATCTTCCAGACCCAGACATATCTGCATTTGATAAACTGGCTGACCAGCGAGTTGCAGGCCCTTTACCAGCGGAACATTGACATGAACAAAAAACAAAGAGCGTCAAGGAGCACACAGGAGCTTGTTGATGATGTAACAACTACGAGAAGGGGGACCCCCGCAGCATCTTCTTCTTCATCTGAAAACAGCACAAGCAGCTCCGCTGCCTCTAAAAATACTGCTGCAGAACAAGGAGCGCCGGAGGACAAGCAAACCCAGGCTGCAGAGGCTCCACCCGCGGCAAGAACATCTTCGTCTACTGCGGCTGGGCCAAGCCAAAGCAGCGCGATAACGAATTCGAAGCGGATCAACAGCGCGCCCGATAGCTCGATAAAGAAGCCGCGCACCGAGGTCGTGCACACCACAGGCACGACTAGTCGCGCCAACATGCGATCGGCAGCTGGGAAGGAAAATGCGAAAATTTCGTCGTCCTCTGGCGCTTCGTCGAAGGGGCCCTCACTTCCGCCGCCTCCTCCTGCACCGAAAGTGTACAAGAACGTGAATTTTTGGTCGGTCGAGCTGTTTAACGACAAAGGGCAGCTGATTGCAGGCGAGCTCGGGTACACAATATCGAAATAAAAAAGCCCCCCTCGTCTCCAATTCGAACGAAAATTTCTGTTGCTGGATTTGTCTACACAAATTAGCTCTGTATTGCAGTGAGGCACTGCAGGCAAAGCCCGAGCCTTTTTAGGGGTGCTTTGGATGGTGTAGGCGCAAGGTAGGCGAATAGCAGAGGCCTGCAAGGTAGGCGTAACAGCATTACAAAGAAATCGCCTGCGTGATGTGGCGGACCCGCTGGATTTCATGTTGTCACAAATCAGCATCGCAAACATTTTTTAGAAGCATACGCTTTTTCATCAATCTTCACTAGGGCGAGGGGGGACGATTTATTTTCCTCACAATACACTAACGGCCTGATTTACACGAGCTTGACCGGCTTTTTCAACCGTGACAATATGGAGGAGAATTCGGGCGCTGGGAAGGTGCAGCTGCTTCTGCTCGGCGAGTTTTTACTCGAGCGCGGGATCAAAATCTGGGATCTCGGCATGATGATTCCGTACAAGCAGGAGCTGGGTGCGTTTCTAGTTTCGCGGAAATCGTGGCTGAACGACTACTATCCTGTGCAAAAGTATCGTACTCGTATGAATTGCAGGAATGCATGACAAATCTGGTTTCCTATCCAAATCTGCATTACAAATTCCAATTTTCTTCCTGATAAAATTCGTCATGCGATTTATACTACGTACGATGCTTTTCCTTTTGCAATGCATAACTACGTGCGGAAATTTCGGGATGTTGAACTTCCGGTGGCAAGTTTGACGCAAGAAGTCGACGTGCGCAAACTGGTTTATGGGACTCTCAAACATTACATTCTCAACTGTTACATGATTTGTCATGCAAAAACACTATCATGACTTTTCACAATTTCATTTTCAAGCCTTCTCCGCATGACAAGTTCTCGACGCGCTAGATTATAGCATTACACTGTGCTCCTCCAAACCTGTAATGCAAAAGGCGCAACCTTTCCACTTTCACTTTTGCCTTTCTGGCATCACAAATTCATGTAACAGTTGAGAGTATAACAGTTGCGAACGCCATATGGTTATGGACCACATTCAGAGAGTGCGGGCGAAAGAGCCTCAAAGCGATTGTAGTAATAAAGAGGAAACATATCCTACGAAAAAACTGTTTCACTGTGATGACTTTGCAGGATCTGCATCACAAGTTTGCTACACATGAAACTGAAAATTTGTCATGCGCGCTTCCCAAGGGAAAACACGCGTGAAAATCCAATGCCTTGCATGTATAGCAAGAGAAACACATTTGCGTTCCGTTCTATGCATCACAAGTTCACAGTGAAACAGTTTTTTCTTGCGATAAAAGAAAAACTGCAGGAGCTACAACAGGAGATGAACAAGTGCAGCAGCAAGAAGCTGCAATCGACGATGGCGCAGAAAAAACTACAAAAGCTGGCACTTCTTCTACATCGTCCCCCAGGACTCGTCCCTTAGTACCCTCTACTGTGCCAGTACAGCTAAACAAGACGTCTGGAAGTGATGACTTTGCACCGAAAGAAAGACCACGCTTGGACGACGAGGACGTGGCAGCTGTGGGAGGTTCAATGGACAACTCTGACGGCCGCGTTGGTCGCACGGCAGTTTCTGGACAGCACGAGCATCGGACTGATAAAGCGGGAGGGGACAAGGATCATACGGCCAAATAAAGACTAGAAGGCCAACAGCTTCTAGTGGTGTCAAGAGTAGCAAAGCATAGTGATATCAAGAAGGCCAACAGCTGCAAGGCGCACGAAATAAGTAGCAGAAACATCAAGACGAGACTGGTAGTTGTCGTGGGACTTCTTACCAACAAATAGAAGAAGTTTTCTTGAACATCAAGGTGCATACTTGTGGTGCCTGGAGACAACTTCTATGGCACGGAAATGTTCTCTTCAAAGAAGCAACAACTTCATCTTCTATCTATAGCGCCTTCCGAAAACAAAAACGCCAAGATGAACTCCTACCTTTCGTCATCGCCTCGCACGCACTGTAGTTGCATTGCTTATGCGCAAAATAAAGTTTCGCATTCTTTGTTTTATCTGCAGAGTTGCTGAAGTTTTTGTCCGACCACGGCCCCCCTGGTCGTGAAGAACAATCAGAAGTTTTGTAGTATTCTGCTCGTCTACCTCTACGTTTCATCGTGATCGCACAGAAATCTTGTTCCCTCGTCGTGTCGTAGTCGTGGTTCACTTTAAAAATAAGTACATATGCAGCGGAGTCGTGGTCGTCGCAGTCGCAGAAGTAATTCCCGGTCGACAGAATTATATATAGTCATGAGCGACGAAGGCTTGCTATACTACACCGCGTCGTGTAGATCGTATTTCTCTTTCAAAATGAATATAAATTCGTCGAGTCCACCACCTGCAGCAGCTCTTCGACAGTTGTGATAAAATATTTATATTATTTTACGAACTTTCTGAAGAAGTACAGTAGCTTCCGCCCTCTTTGCGGCTTGTTCAACTACAGTACTTAGCAAAATCAATAGCGAGCAACTGTAAAAACTGAGTTTTTCTGCTGCATTGTTAACAATCGTCTTTGTTTCCGATCTACTTCGTTAGGACAAAGACTACTAGAAAATGTTGTTGCGTGACCTCCTGCAGAACCTCCACGCGGAGTCATTTATCTGCGATCATGATCTTGCGCTTCTTGTCCCGGCCGGGGGCAGCATGATCTCGAGCAGCAAGAGCCTGCAGCACTGTACGCGTGATTGTTTCTCGGATGGGCCGCGGGGGTCAGTTCTTGTAGTACCACCGCAAGAGAACCAGGCATCATCTTGTTCAGCCGCAAAACTACAAGGCACATCCTTCTTGTCAACAGTGCTGCGAGAAAATGAAACAACCGCGACCGCATCTTCCGCAACGACCACCACCAGGAGGCCGCAGACCAGAACTTCTTTCTCCTATCAAGTGCAAATGTGTCTGGATCTGGAAATTTGTCTTGCTGATAGTGATAGTAAGTTGTACTCGCATTCTTGGGTCAATACTATTAGCCCCTTGTATAATCACAATCAGGCAGTAGAACAGCATCAGAAGTTTGGAAAGGCTCTTTATTCGTAATTCATTCGTAAAACGCATGACAAATGACTTCAATCCAGCGCGACAAAAAAAGGACTGCTCAACAATTATCGCATTGATGCATTACAGATCTTCTTGTCATTGAAGTCTTGCATTGGAAATCCAGACATCTTCTATTTGCAGTGCATAGCTCCTACTCCAGCTCCATTCGCGAGGTGGACGAAGCGGTAAATTCGCTGACAAAAATACCTATCCTCTGCAAAAGTATCGTACTAACTCGTACTAGTGCGTTTATGCATAAATTTCTTTGTCAAGCTGAATCCGCATTACCAATTGCCTTTCGCATTATGCTGCGCAAATTTGTGATGTAAAAAGCAGTTGCAAGTTGTTCTAGTAAACGATTACACTTTTGCAAAAATTCATAATACGAAAGGACTTGCACGATGTTGACGCGGAGGAGAAAAAGTTGGAAGAGTACGGAAAATGGATTCCAACGAAGAAGATGATCTCGAACGATTTAGTGCCGAAAGCGCTGAAAAATCTGGACAAAACACTAGCGACGGTGAATAAAATACAGTGAAGAAATTGAAATCTTCATGTTGAACAACAAGCTCTTGTGGTCGCTACTGATTTATTTTCAATCTTCGACTGCACATCAAGGAAGTGGAAGACGAGCTGGAACCTCTGCTGCAGTGGATTTCTTTACCACGAAGAAGTAAGTACGACACGACTCTTCATACGACGAAGGCGTATTGAATCTTCAGTATTTTTAAGCGACGCTGATACATATGACAAACCAGTACACGGTGTTCGTGTGAAGGAGCAAGAATGATCAGAAGGTGGTAGATGAAATTTGTGAAAAAATCTTCACCAAGCCGCTAACGGAGGAAGAAGTCATTCTGTATGACTAATAATCTTCGGCACAAAGACAACAGGTGGAAGGTCCTCATCTTCCCGAAAAGCACAAGCGAGGTATGGATAGTTAAGTATGTAGGGAATAAAGATAAACACGACCACCGGCAAATTCACAACAAGTGTGACGTCGATTGCAAAATAAACAAGATGTCGCCCCCCGCGGTGATGAGCGCATCTCATCTTCCACAGCACAAATCCTCTTCTTCCAGCGCCCCGCCGGTTTTCCAACCACCTTATCCTGACTAAAAACGTCCTCGCCCCAGAGTCAAGATGGCGACTGCGCTACACAAATCGACAAGTGTTGGAAGTCACGCATGACAAGTTCGTGGTCTCTGTACTATGGTAGTGCACGTTAATAGCTGCAAGGGCGACCGCATTACAAACCAAACCCCTCATCCTGTTTACAGCATTACAAATGCCAAACTTCTCTGGGGTCGTGGGGACGTTTTTGCTCAGGATCCACCCCCGCAGCACATCAACCGGAATGAGCACGTCTACCTACGTATGAATTGCAAAAATGTCTGGGTCTGGAAGATTGCCAGGTTTGTCATGCATATTCTGCATGACCCATGGAGTCTGTAATGCATGCACTAGCATCACAGACTTTTGCTGGGCTTCCGAATGCCTATTCCGGATAGGAAATGCCCTCTCCGCGTAGCACAAACTGGAGTCCTGTTGCTGGTCACGCAATACAGATTTCTTTTGAATCCAGAGACAGCATCACAAGCTTAGAATCTTCCAGACCCAGACATATTTGCAGTTCATACTCCGGAAGCGCTTTTTGGAGTGCTGCTACGTTCTCCGAGAGTACAAGACGAGGGGAAAGGAAGCGTTCTTTCTCCAATGTGCGGCGAACCTGGACGCGAAGGAGCTACAGCGGCTGGTGCGGATCCAACTCGACCACTGTCCCACCGAGGGGAAGAATTTGTTTTTCGAGTACTTTTATCAAAAGCAAATATGTGTGGAAGGTTTGTCATGCTTGTGCGAGGTTTGTCATGCTTGTCTGGCATGACTGAAGAACTTGTGATGCGTGACAAACCAGTACACGGTGTTCGTGTGAAGGAGCAATGTCGATGTCGCGACCGCGCTCAGCGCCTCCTGCTTCGTGGTTTTGTGAGAAATGTAGTTCTGGTTATTTCTGTTTCTCATTCTCTCTGTCTCTTGTGCGCAAATCCATGCAATTATGGAGTGACCCCGATGGTTTAAATCATTTTGGTTTTGCTTTTTTTTATTGCCTAGCATCGTTCGTCTCTCTTCGTTGTCGTTCTTCATCCTCTAGTCCTATGTATCGTCCTGGTGTGCAGCAGCTTCTCGTTCGTCTTTGATCGTCTTTCTGGAAATTCGTCGTGGTGCACCCCTTCTATTGCGCCGCGCTGATGCCCCCACGTCCTAGTCTTCTTCGCTCGTTCCGATATGTCGTGCGCTTTAATACTTGCGTCGTGAAGCAGGAGCAAATCGTAAAACTACGACGAATCCTACGTACTTCATCATGTGCAGCTTGATGCTGACAGTCGTCGTCGTCGTCGTTCACCTCTTCAGTTTTTGAAAATGAATCTTGTGCAGCACCACAGCTGTTTCATCTATTGTGGTGGTCCCCGATGATAGAAGAAACAGGAACATGAACATACAACATCGCCTCCTCCTCGTCCCTATAGCTAAGAAAGAAATCTTGCACATTCTTGACCCGCATCATCAGTTTACAAATAGACGAAGGACGTTGTACTAGTTGGAAATCGTCTCGTGTTAAGAGTCGCCACCTAGCGTAACAAGTAAAAACAATAGTGCTTCAGCAGCTTCGACATTCTTGATAGCGTCAGCTTGTTGGTGGTGTCTATTACTAGCAAAATTTTCGCGGTTTTCGAAAAAAAAAAATGAACCAGCGGGCGACCTCCAGTCGTGGCCGGCGGACGAGAAGTGCTTGCAAACTGATCGGGGGACGAATGTCCAACCTAATTCCGGGAGTATTATGCTACACAGGAAGGTCGTCGTCGTCGTCATGGTGGATCATCATCGGCGTTGATATAATTTTGAACACCTGGAGTATCCCACGAAAAAACTGTTTCACTGTGATGATTTTCATTGTGCAAGCTAGTTTTATTGCATCACAAGTTTGCTCCACATCACAAATGAGAAGTTGTTTGCCATGTGAGCAGCCACCCAAGGAAAATAAACACGCCAAAAAGTATGCATTGTCCTGCATGTGTACGAGAAGCAAGTCCACAAACACGTACTTATCGTATGCGATTTACAAGTTCACAGTGATGAAATAACAGGTTTTTCTTTCGATATGTTGTACTTGTTCGGTCACCTCCGCGGTTCAGCTGGGAAATGGAAAATCTTCTTCCACGCGGAGGACCTTCTCGCCGGCAAGAAATAAACAAGAGCGAGTGCTGGTAAAAAAGAAGAGAGCATCATCAACAACTTCCAGGACGAGTGAGGAAAGAACAAGAAGCGCAAAAACGGTCGAAAAAGTCCCAACTTCCTCTTTCGCAACCACGTCAAGGACTACAAAGCTCGTCCAGAACAAGAAAATCCTAACCCAGAAGCATAGTATTCAAAATCATGCGGCTCAAGAACATGAGCAAGAAGAAAAGTTCCTGCCGACGGGTTGGAAGGGGCCGACCCACAACGGAATCCCGGTGGTCGAACTGCAAATTATGGGCACGAAGGACGAGGAAAACGACCAGGAGGTGATCAGGCGGAAGGTGGTCGAGCTCTACACGCACTTCGTCCACGATAATGGTCGGTGTGCGCCGGCGGCCACGGGACCGCACCTGCAGGGAACCCCGGCCGAGGCCGGGGCAATTGAGGAAGGCGATGAGAGTGGTCGCGGGGAGGGGACCACAAATGCAACTGAGAGCGCAGCTGGAGAAGTAGAGGCAACGTCTTCAGACGGGACCGGAGCCAGTGCAGCGGGTGGTCACACAGTAGATGCAGGCGGTAGTAATGAAACACAGCAAGCAGACGGTAGTACAAACGCAACGACAGGAGTTGTGGCAGAACCTTCGGGAACTGCAGGCGGTACGAACAATGAAACAGTAACAGGAGACGGAGCCGGGGGGGCCAGCGCGAACCCGCTCCACCCAGAGCAAAATGGCACCAACAACGTCACGACAGAGGAACAACAAGCCGGCGTTTCTTTTCTTGCCGCTGGACGGGAAGATCCACCACCAGGTGGATCAAAGATAAAGCCAAAGGCGAAGCAGGCTCTTCTCGCTGCCCCTGCTTCCTCGCAGGCCGCGCAGACGGGGCAAGGGCTTCTCGCTGCCCCTGCTTCCTCGCAGGCGGGGCAAGACGGAGAGAGTATCGAGCCACAAGGGGAGCCGCAACATGTGTGCCTGCCGGCGGTCTGCGGGAGTAGAGACATACAAGAACATTTAGCAGAAGAATCTACTTCTTCGACGCCAGAAGTGCCCCTCGTCACGCGCATGGTGTTGTCGGAGAAGATTTTGCTCCCGTCACCTCTGTATCGGAAAGCCCAGTGCGAGGTAGAGCAGTACCACAACGACAACCAAGACCTACAAGAACCCTACCCGACCTGCTGCGAGTTTGTCTACGACTGTCTCGAATCGGACATTTACCTCGACCGGGTGGTCCTCGGGGTTCTTTTCGAAAAGGAAAAGGAGCAGACCGGGTTTTCCTACGCGCACGACCACATCGACGAGGCCTTTCTGTTCAGAAACGAAACCGTGAAAAACGCCGAAACGGGGGAGACGGAAACGACGACCTACGCGCGCGTACGGGTGGTGAAAAACCCGAATTTTGACATCGCCGCGTACGGCGTTGACAATACCACCATGCTATCCTGTGTAAAAACACCCCCACCCCAGAGTTCTTGTCATGCAGATCTGGAAGCACACAAGAGCGTTAGTCTTGCGCATCCCCATGAGAGGCATTTCCCATAGTGTTTCGGAACTTGTAATGCTGTAAACAGGATGAGGAGATGAATGTGCTATGCGGCTTCGCTTGCTAATCTGCACTACACTACAGCCTGCAAGAACTTGTTATGCGTGGTTCCCAAAACTTCAACGTTTATGTTGCAAAATCCCCAAGAACTTGACTCTGGAGTGGGGACGTTTTTACAAATGATACATGCTCGATGTGGCGAACCAGCCGTGTTTGATTGTGCCCCCGGACGTTTTATCACAAGAAAAAAGTGTTACAGTTGAACATTTTTTGGACCTTCAGCAACACAAATTTTCTCTGTGTGGCACAGAAAACTTGCAATGCAGAGATCCTAAGGGAATAAAACACGTACGAAATGAAGTTCGCAACCATTTCTTGCATGGCAAAGGTTGTCTACTGTCTTGCGGCTCCTGCAACACAATGTGTATACTGTAACACTTTTTGTTGCGATACGATTCGAAGGAGTACCACTATCAATACCCGGATGGAAGAACCGTTCCCGCGGGAATCCGGAGTTACGACCAAAGTATGGAGGAGAAGGGAAAAAGCTGCAACTTATCCTGTGTGAAAACGTCCCCAGGCTCAGAAGGTTTCTCATGCGGAGCCCGATGACAGGCATTTTCTAGCCGTGGTGTGGAATTTGTAATGCTCAAATCAGCACAATAGGCTAGGTCTGTGATGCTGCTGAACAAGCTAAACAGGATCACACTGCGAGGCGAAACTTGTCATGCGCAACAACCAAAGCTGGCTGATTTGTTTAGCAGATTTCTCATGTTAGCTATGAGGCGGGGGCGCTTTTGCTCAGGATACAACTGGTACTGCATGATGATCCTCGGAACCCTGCTCGGGTTTTTGCTCATCTTCCTCTTGTATCAAATGCAAATATGTCTGGGTCTGGAAGGTTGAACCTGTATTGCATGTTTCGCATTCCTAAAAAATCTGTATTGCATAGGCAGCACACAAAGCGCCACACTTTCGTCCTGCAAAAGCGCAGTTTGTAATGCGTTCTGCGCATGAGAGAGCGTTTGAAACATTTGTCATGCTGCAATGCACTCAAAGGCACAGTCAATCATGATCATTCAGCATTACAAGTTTCCAGACCCAGACATGTTTGCAATGCATATCTTGGTCGTCCTTTTCGTCGTGATCCCGATAAAATGCTGTTGCGCCTGGTGCTGTATGAACTGCAAAAGTATCGTACTAGTAGTAATCGCATTACAAATTTGCTCAGCATGACGAATGGAATTTCTCATGCTGATTTACCTTGAAAAAGAGGTTTGTCGTGCAAAAATGCGACTACAACTACGAGTGCGATACTTTTGCACAGGATATGCTGTGAGGTGGATCGGCAAGTCGTTCGGAGGAAGAGCGAGCATTTGGTTATGGGTGATGACGGGAAGCCGGATAAGAGCCTCGCGGGCCGCAGCAAATCTGCCCTGCTGGTCAGTCGGGGCATCGATCCACGGGAGGAGGCCCTGGCGAAGGAGATTGACGGTCTGAAAAAGGAGCTGCAAGACTTGCGGTCCGAGCAGCAAAAGTCGATGACCTCGGCCATGATGAATTCCCTGGCCTTCGGGAGCACGCACGAGGGCAGGATATGAATTGCAAAACTATCGTGTACTCGTATTAAACTGCATTACAAATTTGAATTTCATCCTCAGAATCAGGAATAAAATTTGTAATGCGGATTTACTTTAAGATTGAAGATTTGTCATGCAGTATTGCGATTGCTACGAGTATCGGATACTTTTGCACAGGATACAGGAAGAGCCGGAACGAGCGGGTCTCCGTGTTGAAAAAGCAGCTGGCCACGCTGACGGAAAAGCAAGAGAAGATGGAGCGACAGCGCCTGGAGAGTTCGGTGAACATCCTAGAGGACGGCGCAGCCTTTATCCTGTGTAAAAACGTCTCCACCCCATAGTCAAGATGGGTAATCTGCTAGACAAATAATCCACGAGGCTTGGTTGTTGCGCATGACAAGTCTGGCCTCGTAGTGTCATCTCGTTTAGGTAGTTCACCAGCATCTTCACAAACCTAGCACATCATGCTGATTGGAGCATGACAAACTCCGAAACACAACTAGAAAATGCTTCTCATTGGGCTCCGCATGAGAAACGTCTTCAGTATGCAGAATTGCATTACAACTGTGGGGTGGGGACGTCGACGTTTTTACAAATGATAGCCTTCGGCGACGCCATTAAGAACGCTATGAAATCCTCGGGAGGAAGAAGTAGCCGGAAATCGCGCTCCAGCAAACGCACCTCGCAAATGAATAAATCCGCACACCACAGCCACTCTTCCCACTCTGAAGTATCAAATGCAAAAATGTCTGGGTCTGGAAGACTGCAAGTTTGTCATGCTTTTCTGGCATGACTCGAGAATCTGTGTTGCATAGGCACGAAAAGGCCCTCTTACCTGTCATGCAAAAACGCAGTTTGCCATGCGGAATAAGTAAGACATGGCAGCCAAAAAATTTGTCATGCATAGCTGCGTATTGCAGTGCGTCTATCATTCACTTTTAGCATTACAAGTTTCCAGACCCAGACATATTTGCAATGCATATCAGGCGGGGGCAAACAATGCCTCGTCTGGTCGATCCAGTCGCCAGGCGTCAAAAAAACGGACCTCGGAGATGAACAAACGCAGTTCCGAGATGTCGAAAAGCCCTTCGAATAGGAAATGCAAAAATGTCTGGGTCTGGAAACTTGTGGTGCTAAAATGTGCATGATGAAACAAAACACTTCCGAATGCAATCCGGCATGACAACTTCCCAAAACGCTTTCTCGTAGGCAATCCGAATGACAAACTGCGGTTTTGCATGACAAAAGAGGCTGCCGTCCCAGGAGCCTTTATTTTGTTGTTGTCTCTCGGTAGTGATCACTTTGTCCAAACTTATTCTATTTAGAGTTTGTCGAGTAAGTGGCTACCGTTTTAAGGTTTACAGAACGACAGGGACGCCCAGCCCTTAGCTTCCCAACATGACAAAAGAGGCTGCGACTTTTGTTGGTTATAGTGCAATACAGATTTTCTAGGTATGGAAAGCTAGCATTACAAGTTCCAAGCTTCCAGACCCAGACACTTTTACATTCCATATCGAAAAGAGAGGAACAACGGGCTTCGCAGACCGCGGCCTCGCGCCACAGTGTTGCTGGTGGAGGTGCTGGGACGACGAGGGCGTCGCAGGTTGGCGGGACCACTTCTGCGGGAGCTACCAGGGCCTCGCAAGTGGCGCCAATGTCAGAAGAACCGCCTCTGATGGCCGCGCCAAGGAGCACGGACAACAGCCGGCCGACCCCTGATTTGGGCGAAGGTTGAGGAGAGTGGAACAAAAATGGACGCATAAAAATACCTGCGAGCAGGATGCTCTTTCGACCCACTGTACTACCACATTTTTGTTTATTTCAATATGATGCTCAACGTCAACTTTTTGTCTTTGTTTTGCTTTTCCTCCTGTAGCTGTAATATGCTTTGTAGTTGTTCTTGTTTTTTTTTTAATTTCTGTACCTCGTAGACCCACCCCAGTTCTCAAGTGCGTATGATGATGATCTACTACTGCGACTCCCCGCCCCACACTGTGATTGAGTTTCTGTTCCTTCTAGAAAGTAGTTGAAATCCATTTATTCTAGTATTTCCCCCCTGACAGAAGGTAAAGGTTCAACATACGAAGCAAGGCATTAATAAATCCACCCTAGATCCTATGCCACCTGAGCGTGCACCGGGAGAATTTTTCTTGAGTAGAATCTTTGTGAAGTGACACTATATCTGGTGCTTCTGATGTTCTTTTTCTTTTTCTCCTGCGCGGCTTGCTCCTTTTTGTGTTTGTCGAACTTATCGTATGATCTGGCCGCTCTTCGTCCCTCAAATATTTATATACCTCACCGTGTCGTGGTCGTGCTTCATATTACTCTGCTCGTGCGGCTCTTTCGTTTTGTCGTTCTGTTTCGTTGTTTGCAACCCCTGGTTCCTCTCGTCATCAGCTGACGAAATCGATCGTGCAAATCAAAAAGTACACAGCATGCAAGTGCAAGAACATTAATCCGACTCGTTGTCGTGGCGTCAATAGTAGTTCCGTTCCATTTTAGTCGGCTATGAACAAGACGACTCGTTGTCGTGGCGTCACAGGAAAACATATAGAACTTGAAAGGAATAACAGTGAGCCCCTAGCAGTCCTTCCCTTAACCTTATGTTGCAGTTGCTAGCAAGAATATGGCGATGATTCGTCGCAGTTTTTAGTCATTCATCTTTACTAACACGGCCTACTGCACGATCAGGATTAAGTAGGACACAAGTGCTGTGTAGGTAATATGCTAGGAGTTTCTTTAACACACGATCTTTTCGAAGAATGACCAGGCCAATTTCTGTTGCAGCAGTAAGTAGTCCTTAATATTACATACTCATACTACAAGTAGGTTTCCGAGGAAGATGTTGGCTTATCTACCCAAGCAAGAACTTCTGCGCCGTTCTACCGCAAGAACCGTGGTCGCGGCAGTTTTTTATTTCTGCGCCCGCTCCGGGGTGGTCATAACACCAACCATAAGTGCCGTCGCGGTATTCAAGCAGAAGAGTGTTGGGACGGCGAGCACCAGCACGAGCACCAGTCAGAGCGGGCGGCGAAGAGCGAAAGACGAGCAAGAACAATCTCAGGAACAACGAGCGAAGTCGACAGCAAGAGCTGCGTCGTCGATTCTTGAACAGTCAGAAAGAAAAGCACACATCGGGTTGATGCAACACGACGCGGCACCAGCACCACCAATACAAGGTGCAGTAGGCGCGAGCGCGACATCTTCACCAGAACATCAAACAGCGGACCGACTCATAGCGGACTTTCGATTTGAGAAACTTCGGCGCAAAAATTTGCAACGGGAGGAGCAGCGCCGTGGGCGGCCAAGAACAGTGCTCGGGTTTTTCCTGCAGGGAGCATCCCATGACCATAAATCCAAATCAAATGATTCAGTAGAGACATCAAGGGTCGACGACCTCACGGCTCATGCTTCACTGACAAACCGAGCCCATGATCTTCAAGGGCAGGATCGTATCCGTAGTCCGCAAGACGATGACCACCCGGGGGAGCCAAGCAGGAAGAGTACCAGCACCAGCAGCTCTTTTTCTCAAACGGAAACAAGTGGTAAGACGAGGTTCTTTTCTACACGGAGCAGGTCCTCCATTGCTAGTCGAAGTACGAGCGAAAAGCAGCAGATTTTGTTGAAAGTCGGAGAGTCTGAATCAAGTAGAACTACGACCAACCGAGTTGTTGTAGAACAAACGCGAGGACGTCGTTCCGGTGCCACCAAGAACAAGCAGCCCGGTTCGCCCCAAGACCCCTTCATTTTTGGCGGTACCATGGAAAACAACCCTGGCGCGCCGGGGTCGGAGCCACCGGAGAGCAGTGGTACAACAAAAAAGCCCCCGCCTCCGCAAGCAAATCCAGCCTTTCAACTGCCCGAGGGCGCGGCAACACCCCCTTTGAGCAGTAGTGAAACAACGACCGACCTCGGGACGAAGAACACGGGTGGAACTACAGCATCATCCAAAAATTCAGGGCGCAGCGAGGAAATGATAGATGAAAACGAAGATATAGATAGCTCCTGTGTGTGTCACCTACTCCACCTGGCGCTTTTTGGGTTCTTCGTATTTTTCCTTCTCGGCGCCGTTTTCTTTTACGTCTTCTGCTGTGGCAGCGAGGCGTTTGCGGACAGAACAGGGGATTACGATCGGATTTGAGAATAGTATGAAGAAACCGAAAAGATTAGGGTTGGATGTGTTGCAGTAGAATGGTTACAATACAGTAAAAGGAACAAAAATGGTGTGCAGCCTCGGCAGAGCTCGTGATCTTGTGGTGCCTATACGTCTTTCGGGTTCAATTGTCCCTCCCCATTACGATATCTTCATCACATTTCAATTTCACAGCTTTCTATGAATGCCACCCTGGTGTTCTCTTGCGGCCTGTGAAAGGAGCAAATTCAGAACAGAAACTGTCGCGCACGGCTCCTTGGATAGAAGGAGAAAGTAGCTATTTATGCGCCCTCCCACGCGTACTGAAACTTTATATTCGCAGGTACCCAAAGTTTTTTCAATTTGTATTCGTGCAACCGAAATAAGCCAGCATTGAGGATCTCCCAAGAAGGAGAAAAACGGTGCTGAGGCTCTTGTTAGTTTGTTTCTCTGCTCTCCTGCTTGTTCCTCTTCATATCTTGAAATAGAAATCTTCTCCTTGCCGTCGTCCTGTCGTCCTCCGTCCTTGATAAGCGTATTGTACCAGCGCTCTGCTCTCGTCTGATGGAAGATTTCTATGGCTGGCCTGTGTTGGCACGCTCTTGGCAACGTCCGTTACACTAGTTATCCTCGTCGTACAAGAAAGTCACAAGAAACACTCGTACGCTTTCTTCAATCGTGCGCCAATCGTTGCACTTGACAAATCGAACAAACCGCCTTTGATCTGATGTCTACTTGTGTTGTGAAGATTTTCCCTCTCGTCGGTGCGCTGCTATTCCGTAACGCTTCACAACGCGTGTCTGCTTCAGTCATCTAGGCTTCCGGCGAGTCCGTGTCCGGCGTAAGCATGTGTTTAGTGTGATAAAATTGCAGCACTTAAAATTCGTCGTGAGCCACAAGTTGGAGCAGAAGTACCATAAATTAATAAGTACACTCCAGCACCCCCACCTGAGTCATGCACGATCCTTCTTGGCACAAGACCTTCACCTTCTAAGCTTAGAATTAGAAATCCATTCTACAGATAGTACATTTCTCCTACCTCCTCTTTGTTTCCTCGATCATGAATGCTCTTTGCTTTTGGTTTCGCATAATTTCTTTCTGGTGTCTTTATTTGGACTCCCTCTCCTCTTGTTTTCCCGTGGCTCTAACGCTAGTGCAGCGGCCGTTGAAAACAATAAGCAAGAAGAAAAATGTTAGGACATTAGTTAATACAGCAGGTTCGACTCCTGCTCGCAGAACAAAAGGTGACGAAGCTGTTGATCCTCGTAAAGAGGCCACTCCTGGTGTATTTGACCGGGGTCGGGAAAGAAGTCAAAGCCACTACACATCGAGCACGTCGACGTTTCTGCACAAACAAACGCACCAGCGGGGCGGGGAACATCAAGAAAACCATAAACTACATGCGGCACAGAAATTATCGGGTCTGGAAGGACAAGGTCAAGGAGACGGACCAGGATCCTTTGCGCAGGTAGAAGTTGTAGAGAACAAGCCCCGGTTGTTGGTGGACTACGGCCCCAGGAGCAAAGACGACGTCGATGTCTTTTCGATTACATCAGGAGAACAAGACACGACGACCGGAAGAACAAATTCCGAATACTTTCGTACGGCCCGCCCTGTGCAGCTGCCCTCGACTATTGCAGACGCAACCGAAAAAAAAGTGCAACCCATGGCCACGACCACGATCGCCGGTCCTTTTTTGTCTCCGATGGAAAAGGACAGGATGCACAGTCTCGAGGATGAAATTGCAAAAGAATCTTCGTGCAAAGCCTGTCTCGAAAAGTGCGCAATCAGAGGGCGGATGAAAAGGCCAGCACACGGATCAACATCGTTGGTCCCCTCGTCAGAGCCGCTGGGGCTGGTGCCTCAAGAACTTCTACCGGACCACGTGGGCGAAACGCCAGAACCACAGCAGATGCAGAATATGTGCACGAAGTTTCAGTGCTCCATGCGGGAATTCTCGTGTGTCGCGTTTCCACTTGCACAGAGAAGTGCGTGGTACGAAGAGATAATGATTTTGAGTCCCCGACGAGATCATGGAAGTAGCCAATTCTTTCCGGAGGTCGTGAAGATTGATGATGATAAAGTGGCTCTTCCGAGTCCTAGTTCAGAAGTTGCAGGAGTGCGCGAGGAGGTAGCAGGTCTTGGGCGTGGTCAACAAGAAATCGTAAACGAGAGTACCAAAAATCCTAATCCAGCAGCGCATCACGCAAAAGCCTACCTAGGAGGACGCGCAGCGGGACGATCTGGTGCAGCCGTACTAGTACCTGCGAGTCGTTATGTAGATGGCGTCACACGACCACCGCCGTCGGGCGATAATAACATGCCTGAACAAATGAGAACCACGGGGGAACTGTACCGGGAGCCGTCTAAGAGTGACAAATTGGTCACCATGCCGCGTCCTCGTGAGCCGGGAGAGGCGCAGGCCTGCGCGTTTTGCTACGGGGGGGAGGAGGAAAGTAGAAACACGCGCGTACAAGAACAACTACCGGCCACCGGAGGAGAGGCCAACGCGATTGGTGCAACTGCAAATCAGCATCTTCCTGGTGCAAGCGGCGAAGAAGTAGAAGGCAGTGCCGGGCAAGGACAATACGAATACCCAGTTCCGTATGGAAGTGTCAGAATCGAAATTGACAAAATCAAAATGATTTGCCATGCATAAAATGGATTCCAGTTCGAACTCAGTTTCTAAGTGGCGCATGACAAATTCTGGTGGTGTGCAAATCCAGTTTGTAATGCTGTTTAGGCAAAGAAGGCTGATTCTCTCATGCTGCTTTAGCAGCGCGAGCTATAACCCCAAACAGGCTTACAATCGGCCTCACTTGCCTGCTCTGCAACACACGTATTTCGCGTCGTGCATTTGATGCATGACAAACTTTTCGATTTTGTCAATTTCGATCCTCACAGTTGCATATTCCAGAGACCACCACGAGTCCCGGACAGAATCTACTGAAAGACACGACGACGGGGACTACTGTCAATACCGCAAATCCTCTCGTGGTCACCACGACCCCAAGAACCACGACTCGCGCCCCCCCAGGAAAATTGCCACAAGTACGTCCAAGCACCACGACGAGAACCCCATATCGAATGCAAAAATGTCTGGGTCTGGAAGATTGCAGGAGTTTGTCATGTATCTGCTGGATCACGCAACTGGTCTCTAATGCACGCAAAAGCATTACAGGTTTTGCACAGGCCTCGTAGCAAGAAATGGGAAGTTTTTGGTGCTTATGCAACACAAATTTTTGCCTGTTCCAGAAATCGCATGACAAGTTCCAATCCTTCCAGACCCAGACATTTTTGCATTTGATACCCCAACTATTATAGACACTGGCTCGACCACTGAGACGAGGAACCCAACGATTATACCTGTAGTCGTTGCTACGACCACCAGTCGCCCAACTATAATAACCACTGCCGCCCCCGAGCCCGAGGTCGTGGTTGATAACGAGCTGAAACGGAACTGCGCAAGGATGATTTACAGTGCGGGGAATTGGCACACTTGTCGGGTTATCCACTGCAAATATGTCTGGGTCTGGAAACTTGTGATGCAAGAAAGGAACAAATAGTGAGCACACTCTGATGCGCTGCCAAGCATGACAAGTTTTTCCGTGATTCTGATTTGCGTACCCCGCATGAGAAACTGCGTTTTTGCATGACAGGCAAGAACAGAAGCGCTTTGCGGCCGCGCAATACAAAGTTCAGAGACATGCTAGACTAGCATGACAAATCTCGCAATAATTACACAGACCCAGATCGATATTTGCAGTTGATACGGATCGCCCGCGACGAGTGCGTGATTTTCCAGTCCGGGGACGTCTTCACGCGCTGTGCGGGCAGTTATGGGAGTACACCACTCCCCCTCCCCCTCATTTGTATGGCATGAACTACGGCAATACAAGCGTCAGCAAGAATGCCGGTTTTGCATGACAAAGTTGCCCAGGACGAGTGTAGTACTGTTTGGGCTTCCGGATTTGTTTGTCATGCAAGCAGTGCCAAGAGGCACAGCCTGGATTTGGTATTTCACATGACAAATGAGGGGAATGGGGAGTCGTGCAGTGTCATAGCAGTTTCATCACCGTCGACGGTTATTTGGAACTCGTGTCCAACACGCAAATCGAGGCGAGAAGAATCCACGTGTCCAGCAGCGGGAAGTTCGTTGCCGGTGTGGACAAGAATCCAGTACTCGGTGTGGAGAACGTGAGAATCATTCTGCACCACGATTTCTGCGGGTTCGACCCCCACCCCCGTCCAGACAATTGCCTCCAAAGTGGAGATATCAAATGTAAAAATGTCTGGGTCTGGAAGATTCTGAGACTTGTCATGCACGTTTTGCATGGGCCATGATGTCTGTGATGCATGCCCTAGCATCACAGACTTTTTGAGGGCTCTGCGATGCCTATTCCGCATGGCAAATGCCCTCTCCGCGTAGCCAAAATTGCACTCCCTTTGCTGCTTATGCAATACAGATTTTTTTGGAATCCAAATGCAGCATCACAAGTTCGGATTCTTCCAGACCCAGATACTTTTGCATTTGATAGGGGAGCTGATGTCAGAAGGGGGGATTGTTCGCTTGTATGGACGACCGAAAACTTCCTGGTCGCTCCTGATCGAGGACAGCCCGCAATGTACCAAATGTAAAAATGTCTGGGTCTGGAAACTTGTGATGCTGGGTGGCGTCTCATGATGAGGCCACAAGTGCTGGCTCAGCATGACAAGTTTCTGAGCTTCTAGGTGTTGCCTATTCTGCATGACAGACTGCGTTTCTGCATCACAGAAAAATGGAGCTCTTGGGCAAGGTGCATGACAGACTTAAGAGTCATGCCAGACAAGCATGACAAACATACATTCTTCCAGACCCACACATTTTTACAGTTGATACAATGGGCGAAAACCATGACGGTTTTGGCGTGCGACAATTGGCAGGTGGGGGACTCCATTGTCGTCGCCGCCACCGGCGGGGAGCACTTGGGCACGAGTGGGCGGGAAGCGCCCGAGGACTCGGAGAGCGAGAAAAAGCAGCTCACCAAAGTCGTATGAAATGCAAAAGTGTCTGGGTCTAGAAACTTGTAATGCTATAAATATAAGTCTAAGTGAATGTTGATAGATGCGCCGCAATACGCAGCTATGCATGACAAATTTTGATGTGGCTGCCATGTCAGACGTATTCCGCGTGGCAGACTGCCTTCTCGCATGTTGACAGTTAAGAGGGCTCTTTCGTGCCTATGCAGGACAGATTCTCGAGTCATGCCAGACAAGCATGACAAACTTGCATTCTTCCAGACCCAGACATTTTTGCATTCGATAAGTCGACCGGATTTACAACGGGCCGGAAATTTGCTGGAGCCAAAAGGGCCGGGGGACGGATGCGACGCCCCAGTGCTCGATATCAAATGCAAATATGTCTGGGTCTGGAAGATTGCTGAGGTTTGTGATGCTGTGTCTGCTTGACATGGAAGGTGTGCCATGCGAGGCCTCGCGTCACAGGTTTGCAGACGGTTTCCCAATGCTCAATCCGCATGACAAACACCTTCTTTCGGCGACAGGAAAAGGAGCTCCCTTTCCTGTCTAAGCATGACAGATTTTTGTGTGATCCAAGTATGCATCACAAGTTCGCATCCTTCCAGACCCAGCCACTTTTTTGCATTTGATACTCGAGAAACTATTGCAAAATCGAGACGGACTGGGGGTTACACCGGATGCGGCGGGTATCGCAGGAAAAAAACTGTTTCACTGTAAACCTGTAATGCAGAAAGTGCAATCTTAGAAGTGCTTGTCTTGCTACTTACGCATGCTCAACATGCAAGACAGTCGATTTTTAGCTGGGTTTTCGCTTAGGAACCTCGCATGGCAAAGCTCCTTCTCTGTCATGTGAAGCAAACTTGTGATGCAAAACCTGCAAAATCCTTACAGTGAAGCACTTTTTTCGTGGGATAGCGGGGCAAGTGGATCCGCGATCTGATCCCCTTGCAAGCCGAAGTGGGGAACCTATCGCGGGGGATCGTCATCACGGGGCCGTTTTACCCGTATCTCAACCACGACCCGGAAAAGGGGTCGCAGGGAATCACGACGATGCAGATGACGGGTTGGAGTGGAGAGCCTGGCGCGATGGAAATTTTGCACACGAGAATCGAAAACTGCGGGAGGCGGTACCGGGGTAGCTACTGCTTGCACCTGCACCAAGTCGGCTTTTGTGCGCGGCAGGAGAATTGCCGGTTTGTGGGGAACGTGGTCGAGGACGGCACGGCCAAGGGGATCACGGTGCACGGAACGCAAAACGCCCTGGTCGATCAGAATGTTGTCGTGAATGTGCGGGGCGTGAGCCTGTATGTGGAGGATGGGAACGAGAAAAACAACGTTTTGTCCAATAATTTCCTCGTTTGCCTGAAAAGAGCGAACTGCAGATTTGAAAATTCCGCGAACGTGAAGGAAAACGTCGACTCGGATTTTAAAGAGCAGTCGGCCCTGTACCTGCTAAGCCCCACGAACGACATTATCAACAACCACATTGTCGGCCACGAGAACGTATGCATTGCAAAAGTATCGTACTAGTAGAAATCGCATGACAAATTCCCTCAGCATGAAAAATGGAATTTGTAATGTGGATTTAGTTTAAGAAGGAGATCTGTAATGCATGACTGCGATTACTACGAGTACGATGCTTTTGCACAGCATAAAACGCCTTTTACGTGAACGACCAGGGGGGCCACGGCGGGCGCGGAATCGAAGCCGCGGCCGGCCGGATTTGCCAGCAGAATCTGCCCTACGGGATATCCACTGCAAATATGTCTGGGTCTGGAAACTTGTGATGCTAGTTTGCGAATCGTGAGCGACCTCCAACATGGGGACGCGCATGACAAGTTTCTGAGCGACTAGGTCTTGCGTATACTGCATGGGAAACAGCGTTTTTGCATAATACAAAAAAATAGCGCAGTAGCGCAATATGCATGACAGATCTTTTTCTCGTCCTATCATCAGAGCATGACAAGTCTTGCAATCTCCCCGACCCAGATGACATATTTGCGTTTGATACGGGAGGTTTGAAGACAACAGTTTCCACAACAACAACGGATTCGGGTACGAAACGCAAAAATGTCTGGGTCTGGAAGAGTGTGAACTTGTCATGCAGGTTTTCCATGACCCGCGAGGTCTGGAATGCGGGACCTAGCATGACAGAGCCTGTGAGGTCTCTTCCATGCCTACCCTGCATGAGAAACTCCCTCCCAACTTGGTCGAAAGTGGACAGCTTTTGGCACTCATGCAACACAGACTTTTGCATGGTTCGGATTTAGCATGACAAGTTGCAATCTTCCAGACCCAGACATTTTTGCAATCCATATCGGCTGGTACGGCACCAACAACCACTGGCCGCGCAAGGTTATCTTGTGCAAAAGTATCGTACTCGTACAAATGCCAGTCTCGCATTACAAATCTTCTTTGCAAGGCAACTCTGCATTACAAATTTTATTTCTCATCCTTAGGAAATTTGTAATGCATTTATACGAGAAGTGCGATACTTTTGCAATGCATAAAGGTCCGCACCGACCGAAACGGGTTCGTATCCGACTGGGGCTCGTATCCTATGTAAAAACGCCCCCACGCACCCCAGAGTCAAGATGGGGAGTCGGCTAGACAAATCCACAAGCTTTGGCTGTTTTGCATGACAAATTTGGACTCGGAGCGTACTACTGTTTGAGGTAGTTCAGCAGCATAGAAGATCTAGTATACCATGCCGATTAGAGCATGACAAATTCCGAAACACAAAAAGAAAATGCTTCCTATGGAGCTCCGCATGACAAACATTCTTAGCATGCAGATTTGCATAATAAGTACAACTATGGGGAGGTCGGGATGTTTTTGAATGCGATAGCTCGTGTCTCCCCTTTACGCGGGAGGGGTTGGACAACGCGAGTCCCATTTTGGTGAAAAACCACTTTGTATGGATTGCAAATATGTCTGGGTCTGCAAGGATTCGAACTTGTGATGCATGTTGTGAATCGCATAAAACTCTGTGTTGCGTGGCTCTCAAAAGGTGCCCATTTCTGGCCATGCTGAGAGGGCATTTGTCATGCAGAACAGGCATCACCAAGGGGCTGCAGATCCTGTGATGCTAGACCCGGCATTCCAGACTTGGTGGAGCTTGGAAAAACTGCATTACAAATCTCGGAACCTTCCAGACCCAGACATTTTTACATTTGATACTTTGAAGCCTTCAACGACTTCGCGGCGGGAACCTACTCTATGGGGGACATCACGTTCGAGAACTACGTATGCAGTGCAAAAGTATCGCACTCGTACTAATTGCAGTTATGCATTACAAATCTAGTTGTTAAGGTAAATCAGCATTACAAATTTAAGTTTGTAATGCTGAGCTAATTTGTATTGCGATTTATACTAGTACGATACTTTTGCACAGGATATTACGTGGCTTTTGGGAACTTGAAGGGCTTCTACTGGAAAACGTACCGAAGGGGGGAGGGAGCTGGGCCGTTCTGTCGGTATGATCCCGGAGAAGAAAGCTGCTAGCATGTAGTTGCCACATTTGTAACGGCAAAAGTGAACGACCCGCGACTCGGGCCCGGAACGGCAAATCGCTTGCGCAGAAAATAAACAAAGCGGCACACTTTCATCCCGGTCTACTCATTGCCTTTTTCAAAATCCTATCCGCCCGTTCTTCTCATCGATTGCCAAAACCTGCCTCCGCATGTAGTTTCGAAAATCCTATCCGCTTGTTTCCAGCAAGCTAATTTAGGCCTAAGCACCATGGCGATCCGGGCCTGCTGCCCATGACAGATTTTTATTTACTGCCTGTTTGTGTTTGTTCTTTTTGCATTAGCAGTTGCATCAGAAATGCAAATGTGCCGTCGGTACTTAGCAGCTTTTTTCTCTGGGATAGCCGGGACTGTCTTTTTATCAAATGTAAAAATGTCTGGGTCTGGAAGAATGCGCGACTTGTCATGCAGCTTTTCAATGACCCATGAGGTCTGGAATGCAGGACCTAGCATGACAGATTCTGTGCGATCTTTCTCATGCCTATCCTGCATGAGAAACTGCCTCCCGACTTGGTCAAAACTGGGCGACTTTTGGTAGTCATGCAACACAGATTTTTGCATGCTTCAGATTTAGCATGACAAGTTGCATTCTTCCAGACCCAGACATTTTTACATTTGATACTTTTTATGGCGAACAACCAGCAGATGGAAGGACCGGGGGGCAGTATGAATTGCAAAAGCATCGTACTCGTATAAGTACAGTACAAATTTCCTCAGCATGAGAAATGAGATTTGTAATGCAGATTTGCCTTGGGAACGAGTACGAGATTTGTAATGCAATATTTGCATTTATACGAGTACGATACTTTTGCACAGGATAGGCAGCGGCCACGTGGAATTTGTGAACAACAAATTTTACACTTCCGCAGAAGAGCATCACAACCCCGCCATGGTTGTGTCCTTTAACCACCATTGCAACTTGAATAACGACGAAGACACGGGGGGACTCTGTGCTTCCCACTTCGACTACCGGCTTTCGTCCTTCCACGGGGGTACGGACTGGCAAACCCCGCAAATCAACTTCTGGTCACAGCATGAGCGGGGCCGGGCGCGGTCGGATTCGCTCGTTTTGCTACACGACAGGTTCCTCATGTCCACCGACGCGGCCCGGGTTTTCGACACCAGCCGTTGCAGGACTCAGCCGGCCCCCTCTCAGGGTCTCCACTACTGCCCCCGGGACTTGGAGCTCCGGATCGTGCGCATCCACAGCCCAGACCGCGGGATGTTAAGAGTCTACAACCATGACCGATGGTTCGACGTGCCCTTCATAGGCCACGGCAAGGGCTGGAGCGGCGGTGCCGTGACGCCCGGCTGTTGGCGGCACGGGGCGCCGAGCGCGCCAGACGGGACCTGGGGGTCGGTTCGCGGCTGGGAGAAGTGCGAGCACAACATCAAACCGCAGGGGTACACGTTTATCGTCAATCAGGACGCGCATTTGACCTTGTCCTTCACCGGGGGAACGGGGAACATGGAGGGCCGTGAGGATGTGTTTGTCTTCGAGTACGCCGTATGAAATGCAGAAGCATCGTACTAGTATAGATTGCATTACAAATTGACTTAGCATTACAAATTGACTTTGTAATGCGGATTTGCCTTATCACAACGTTTTGTAATGCATAAACGCAATTAGTACGAGTACGATACTTTTGCACAGGATAAGCCGAGCGCACGCTGGAGCCGGTAACGCAGATCCACGTGACCGTACAACAGAACAGCCCTGGCATCCGGAAGGATATGGCGGACGGACACCCGTGCACGATCTCGTCGCGGCATACCCGGTCGCTCATAACCGCTTTTGGGCCCATCAACGCGGCGGCAGGGGCGTGGTGGGAGTGTAAACGGTACTGGGTCAAAAAAGACTACGCGACAACTTTTTACGACCAAGCTGTGAAAGAGCTCCAGGCAAGGTAGGCACAAGGGTGACGGAGGAGTTGCAGCCTGGTTTTTTTCCGATTTATGAGTACAGTGGCTGAAATGAAAATGAAATGCATAGCAGTTTCTTGATCTGGTAACCAAAGCGTGCGCAATTTCAATTTCACTCAGGATGCTCATTTGTAGCAAGAAGAGGCGGCTGTTGTGTACGGATATGCTGTTCTTGTCAGACAAGTTCTACTGTTTTTATCGTCCAAGAAACAATAGCAAAGTTTCAGTTGCCATTTCGTCGAAACGAACCTCGTTTTATTCTTTGTGCGTTGCGTAGTTCGGTTTCGTGAAATTCAAATTGAACAACACTCGGTGTAACAACAAGGCTAAAATAACTATGTTTGCTTGTGCTGTAATTATTTCGTCCTTCCGCTATTCGTGGTTTTCGTTTTCGTCCACCTGCGAACCTGGAATATAAAATCCTGCCTCTACTTGTTTGTCGTACACACGGCGCGCTTGTTGTGATGGTGTCCATGTTGAGTAATCGCGCAAAGAAAATAAAGTCGCATGCGAGCAATGTTAAACTTAGACTATGCGAAAGTGTGCCATGTTGCTGGGGTAAAGACTTCATTCGCGATGTAACACTACAGGAGAAGCAATCGCAGCTCCTTCCCATAACTTGAGGCCCCCGACTTATGATATGATGTTAGTTTCCTCTTGCTTGTGAGGATTATTTGGCGTGATAATCCACACACCCACCCAGCAATAGCAATTTGAAGTTGATTCTTTCTATACTTGATTGAACTTTTACGCAGACCCAAAACCCTTGGGCTGCTACACCTTCACACCGTACTAAAACTCATCTTCCGGAGGGAGTTTCATTTTCCACCGGACTTTTACTTTTTGTTTTTAGAGAAACAGAAATCCCCTCCCGGCACGACACCGATCCCCGCAAAAACATCCTTTGAAGAAAAAACAAGATGAGCAACAGCATCTCCACCACGGGACTCGCCGCAATTGCGATCGTCACCTCCTCCCCACTGGGAAATGGAGGTCCCAGCACAGTTGCCGCCGTACAGACGGTGGCCGACGCGAGCAAGCGACCCTCGTTTCGTGTCGACCGCTACCGGAAGACGCAGCTTGCCGCCGTCGCGGCGGAGAGGCGAATAAACAAGGGCGGGAACGACGAGGTGGATGAAACAAGCAGGAGGAGGGCCACAACTACGTCGCAGAAGAGCAGCTACGGCCTAGTGATGTCCTCTCGTAGTTCTCGTGCTGGAAAGGAGAGGAAAGATTCTTTTGTCAGCAAAATCCAGGTGGAAAAACAAAAACACCTGATCGTGCAGCGCACGGAGACGAGGGATGATCACAATGCGGGATATGCTGACCATGAACACGACGAGAATCAGAATGCCGAAGGAGCCTCTGAGGAGGAACAAGCACCTCCCTGCGCCTTCCCAACCCAGGCCGACGAAATCTGGCGTACCGTATCAAATGCAAAAATGTCTGGGTCTGGAAGAAGGCCAGACTCGTCATGCAGGTTTTCCATGACCCATCGGGTCTGGTATGTAGGACATAGCATGACAGATTCTGTGAGCGACGTTCTACCATGCTTATCCTGCATGACATACTGCGTCGCGATCAGGTCAAAAGTGAACAGCTTTTGGTAATCATGCAACACAGATTTTATACATGATTCAGATTTAGCATGACAAGTTGCTGCTATGTTCCAGACATCCAGACATTTTTGCATTTGATGCACCGACGATCTCTACGACGACTCTTACTCCATCATCCCCCGCGTGGACCTGAGTACCTCGGCGGCATTGGCCGCGAGAGAATTTTACTTGACCGCGGTCGAAAAGCTCCTGCAGAACGACACTACTATCGATTTAAATTTGACGCAGTACATTTTGACCACCCCTCCGGTCGCAGTGATCTATGACGGCGCTGAAGAAGCTGCGGGTGCAGGATCCAATTTGTTCCCGGCGTACTACCAAAACGCCGAGGGGCACCTCACCCCGATGCAGGATTTGGAAGACGTCGCGGACGATCTGACCGTGAAATGGTACGATTTACCAAAGGACGAGGACCTGAACTACGCGTACTATCAGCAACAAAAGGAGAAGATGCAGGGAGCCTACACAGCGGACTACGTGAAACACAAGTGCCAAGCGCTGACAGCGCAGCTGGGATACCATTACTTCAATCTGATCCGCCAGCGGAACAAGTGGTCCTGCTACCCCATTTATCAACTGCAAAAATGTCTGGGTCTGGAAGGATGCAAGGTTTGTCATGCACACTTTGCATGACTCCTGAAGTCTGTGACGCAGGCTCTAGCATCACAGATTTTGTGAGGGCTTCCTGATGCCTGTACCGCATGAGATATGCCCTCTCGCCGTGGCAAAAACTGGACCTCTTTTGCTGTTCACGCAATACAGATTTTTGTAGAATCCAAATTCAGCATCACAAGTTGCATCCTTCCAGACCCAGACATTTTTGCATTTGATACCATTCCGCCGCGCATGGTTCACGACAGCGCGACGGGGGAACTGAAGGAGGTGACTCATGTATCCTGAGTAAAAACGTGTCCCCACGACCAGAGTCAAGCTGGGAAATCTGCTAGACAAATCTGTCAGCTTTTGCTGTCGCGCATGACAAGTTTGGCCTCGCAGTGTAATCCTGTTTAGCTTGTTCAGCAGCGTCACAGATCTAGCACATCATGCTGATTCTAGCATCACCAATCCCACAACACGAATAGAGACTGCCTCTCATGGGTCTCCGCATGAGAAACATTCTCAGCATGCAGATTTGCATTACAACTCTGGGGTGGGGACGTTTTTACAAATGATATCATGACCTTCCCCGCGCGAACGTCTACTCCATGGTGGCAAACAGCACCTTATCAAGTGTAAAAATGTCTGGGTCTGGAAGATTGGAACTTGTGATGCTAAATTTGGATTCCAAAAAAATCTGTATTGCATGAGCAGCAAAGGGAGTGTAATTTTTGCTACGCGGAGAGGGCATTTGTCATGCGGAATAGGCATCGCGGGGCCCTCAAAAAATCTGTGATGCTAGGGCGTGCATCACAGACATCATGGCCCAGGCAAAACATGCATGACAAGTCTCAGAATCTTCCAGACCCAGACATTTTTACATTTGATACACCTGCGCCACCAGCTACGCGTCGCAGTCTACCTTTGTCTTCCCCATTGTGCCGCAGGCGGACGCGAGTCCGAGTGCTGACGGATTGTACGAATTTGACAACATCGAAAAAATGCTGCTTCCCGACGTGGTCACGGGCATCCAGGAGCCTCCCAGTCCGCAGGTTAACCAGTTCATCAATGCGAACGGTGGCAGGTTTTTCTACAGCTACCCAGCGGCCCTCCATTGGTGCGCGAGTGTGTGCGACAAATTTGCGGCCAACTGCGACGGGTTCGAGGTGGTCGGGTACCGAGACGCCAACGGTGTCGGCGTGAACGGGACGGAAGTGGATGGTGCCAGTTATTTGCCCGGACTGTCCTTCTGCCGGCTGCTCTATGCGGAAGCAGCCGTAGCGCAGCTGACGCCCGAGGAGGAACTGATGATAAACACGGGAATCAAGAACGTGACGGCGGAAACCGTGGCGGGAACCTCGAAAGGTGAGGAGCTCGCTCCGCCCGCCGGGACGCTCGCGGCTTACGTGGGGTACCAGGGTGAGCCGCGCGACCTGCTGCGCATGCATCCCGAGATGGAGGGCATCACGGACGATGGTTCCAGCACGTTCGAATGCCCAGCCGGCGGGCTGGAGTGGCAGCTATCAAATGCAAAAATGTCTGGGTCTGGAAGAATGCAAGATTTGTGATGCAGGTTTTCCATGACCCATGAGGTCTGGAATGCAGGACCTAGCATGACAGATTCTGTGCGATCTCTCTCATGCCTATTCCGCATGAGAAACTCCCTCCCGACTTGGTGAAAACAGGACGACTACTTTTGGTAATCATGCAACACAGATTTGCGCATGCTTCAGATTTAGCATGACAGGTTGCATTCTTCCAGACCCAGACATTTTTACATTTGATAGCAGCAGAGGTACTACGAAACGCACGCCATGTCGGAACACCATTTGCTGAACAACCAGGTGCAGCTATCAAAAGGAGAAATCCCCCCTCCCCATATCGAAAGCAATATTTGTGATGCTGGATTTGAGTACACAAATCAGATTTGTCTTGCTGAAGAGGACTGCAGGCCCACATCAAGCCTGAGTTGAGAGGTTTTGGCCTAGGCGCTTAGCATGAGAAACGCAAACGTCTGCGCCGTAGGCCAAACAGCATCACAAAACGCCTGCATAGTGCAGCGGAGCCTGTGAAGTTGCCTTCTTGCAAGACAGAGATCATTTGTGGTCGCAAATCAGCATTGCAAATTTTCTGCGACGTGCCTTTTCGATATGGGGAGGGGGGATTTTTCCCCGGGATAGCAGCTGCAGCAGAGCAGCGTCCCCATCGACTCTGGAACGAATGCGCACGGTGTGGAGATGACACTGCAGACCAGCCCGACAGTATCGCAGAAAAAAAGTGTTTCACTGTAAACTTGTAATGCAGAAATAGTATCTCAGAAGGATTTGTATTGCTACACATGCAAGACAGTGGATTTTTAGCTGTGTTTTCCCTTAGGAACTTTGCATGGGAAATTTTCTCTGTGATGTAGAGCAAACGCGTGATGCAAAACTTGCAAGATCCTTACAGTGACACACTTTTTTCGTACGATAGACAGCGGCTAGTGCTGCTTCGTTCATTGAGATAAACATGGAGCAGAGGCTGCACGAGGACGCGGATGCGGATGCGGCGGATGCCGGCGGTGCGGGTGCCGGCGGTGCGGGTGCCGGCGGTGCGGGTGCCGGCGGTGCAGGTGCCGGCGGTGCGGGTGCCGGCGGCGCGGGTGCCGGCGGTGCGGGTGCCGGCGGTGCGGGTGCCGGCGGTGCAGGTGCCGGCGGCGCGGGTGCCGGCGGCGCGGGTGCCGGCGGCGCGGGTGCCGGCGGTGCGGGTGCCGGCGGTGCGGGTGCCGGCGGTGTGGGTGCCGGCGGTGCGGGTGCCGGCGGTGCGGGTGCTGGCGGTGTGGGTGCGGATGCGACCAGCGCGACTGGTGGCAGCGAAACCCTGGGCAACGCTATCAGGTGCAAGTATGTCTGGGTCTGGACAGTTGTGATGCTAAGAGCGAGTGCTAAGCGTAGGCGCACTGGAAGAATACGCAGCCGAGCATGTTGGCAAATTCTTGGGCCGCTGTTTATTGCGTATTTTTCCGCATGGCAATAAACTGCGTTTTTGCATCACAGGTCGTAAGTAGAGGACCTTATTTTCCGTCGATGCCGATACGCATCTTCACGGAGTCTCGTTGAGTACATGTCACACAGGCTTGAGGACATCAAATCTAGCAAAAATCTTCCAGACCCAGATCGATAAATTTGCATTCGATAAACGCCACAACTCCGGCTGCACTAACACTACTCGCCACGGCTCGGGACACCTGGGTGAAGCGGGCCGACTGGAGCCAGCACTCCGGCTCCGCCTTCTGCCCCGTGTATTTCAAGGAGGAGGAAGAGGAGATCATTGATACTGTTGCCGAAGGGCTGCAGGATGCAAATGCAACGACCGCCGGGGGAGATTCAACAAATTCGTCCTCTTTCTTGTTGACGGGCCGAACGAGGCGATCGTCCGCGACTAGTGGATCTACTTTCTCTATCAACTGCAAAAATACCTGGATGTCTGGAAGAATGCCAGACTTGTCATGCGAGTTTTCCATGACCCATGAGGCCTGGTATGTAGGACATAGCATGACAGATTCTGTGAGAGTTGTATCATGCCAATCCTGCATGAGAAACTGCCTCGCGATTAGGTCAGAGGTGGACAGATTTTGGTAATGATGCAACGCAAATTTTTGCATGATTCAAATTTAGCATGACAAGTTGCTTTGTTCCAGACCTCCAGGGATTTTTGGATTTGATATTCTCCTTCGTGAAAATCCAGGGCGCGGATCTGAGCTTGTGTCCGCGGCAGATTGCCTATGAATGTGCACAACTCCCCCTCCCCCTCATTTGTCATGCAAAATGCCCAATCCAGGCTGTGCCTCTTAGCCCTGTTTGCATGACAAGTTCTGGCAGCTGCCCAAATGGCACTACAATCCTGAGTGCAAATTTGAATTTGTCATGCACAGCCTGCATTCTGGCTGGCGCTTGTATAATTGCCGTTCATGCTACACAAATGAGGGGGAGGGGGAGTTGTGAACTGTCATATTGCCGGGTCCGACATGCTGTACAACAACGGCACGCAGACTTGGGAGAAAGTGGAACCGCATTTGAACAGCACGACCCCCCCGCCACAGGCTGGGTCGTCCTTTCTGGAAGGTCTACTTCCAAGCAGCAGCAGTGATGTTGATGCGGCGTCCTCGTTTCTGTTCGAGGCGAAGAAGCTCGACAGCACAAAAAGAACTTCCGCCCGGATGGATTATCAGGCCCTCGCGGAGCAGCGTCGGGGCGACCACGATCATGACCACGATCATGATCACACGACGTACCAAAATGCTATGGCGTTCTCAAACGTTACATTCTCAGCTGTTACATGATTGGTCATGCAAAATGACCATGAGCCGCAAGACAATCAAGCTGCTTCGCATGACAAATTGTCGAAGGGCTAAATAGCATCTAAATCCATGCCAAATTTGTGATGCAAGACTTGCAAGCTTGCCCCTTCCCCAATTGCTGTTTTTGCATGACAAATCATGTAACAGTTGAGAATGTAACAGTTGAGAGCGCCATAAATGCCGACCAGAAGGCGATGGCCATGAGGATGAGCCAGACATCGGTCCGTCTACAACAAAGCATATGCATTGCAAATATATCTGGGTTTGGAAATTTGTGTTGCTGACACTCGCATTTTCAGATTCAGAGGGTAGCCGCTTATACGGCATAATAGCATCAGAAGTTTGGCAAGGCTGGTTGCTGATTCATTCATAAAACGCATGACAAACTTCTTCCAGCACGACAAAAAAACTGGCGCATCTTCGCATTCATGCATTACAGATCTTCCTGTCCTTCAATTCTCGCATCACAAATCCAGACCCAGACATATTTGCAATGCATAAAGCGGCCAAGTGTTGTCCTCGGGAGGTAGTTCCGCGGATAACATGCAAATGTTGAACTTCGAGGCCATGATTGTCCCCAAGCCTGAGGACGGATTTTACAACCGTTACATGTTGCAATGGAACTCCCTGGTCTGTGAGCGGTTGTGCCAGGCGGAGAACAACCCGGGGTATGGGGAGCAGCCGACCGTGCAGAAATGCAAGTCCTTCCTCTTTTCCCCGCCCAAGAAGCGCGCGAACTCGCCCATTGAATGGCGGATGTCGCATATCCAAGGAGAGAACTCTGTGAGTGTAATAGTCTGTGATGCAGAAAATGCACAAGCGTATACGATTGTCATGCTGGATGTGCGTCATAGGTCACTTTCATGCGTGTTTTCACATACTTACTACCTGCGCATGACAGGTTCTCCCTGTAATGCGAAATCAATTTGTGATGCTGCTCTTCCTACACCTACACCTACAAAGTTACACTTACACAGTTTTTTTCCTGGATATCGCAGTGCTGGCTCAGTTCCAAGCCGATGACGGAGTGGCAGCATTACGAGGACATGAAGCAGTTGCCCTGCTTTCAGCCGGGTGTACCGGAGGAGTCTGATGGAGAGGACAAATTTGTCGAGGAAGATGACACTTCCAAGCCCCGCTGCGAAACTGTGTTGGATATGGAGACCGGAAAACCGAGTGGCGCTTGCCTTGATGTGGACTGCGGACAAGGGTTGACGGAAGCAAGCCTGCACTTGCAGGGCGCGAAAGAACAGTGCGAGGGCACCGTGATGGAGGGGCGGGAGGTACTTGCTTACTCAATTACTAATGATTACGTTACGACCACTTCAGCACTTCTAGCTAGGGTTTATGGACGAAGTCAACTTACAAAGGTTGATCACGTACGTAGTAGAGGAGATCTTCTTCATCATCTTCTATATCTTCGTCATAATGTGAAGTAGACGGACCGTGTGAGAAGAAAGACACAGGGCCTGTAGTTCATGTTGTCGCCAGAATCTGTCGCATAGTATGCATTTTCTCTTCCTAAAAACAAACAGCCCACCGCCGAGGAGACGCAGCGGTCTGCGTGTTGCACCTTCCAGGCCATGAATCAGACGCAGGGGCAGTGCAAGCTGAAGATGGGGGACCCGTCGGTTCGCGCCATTGCGGAGCACTTAAAGGAGCTGGCCGAGCAAGACACTCTCGCGGGAGCTTCTGTATCAAGTGCAAAAATGTCTGGGTCTGGAAGAATATAAACTTGTGATGCGCATTTCAGAAGGAACACAGAAAAATCTCTCATGCGTAGGCAGCAAAAGTTGCCTACTTTCTGTCACCAAAGTCAGGGATTTGCCATGTGGATGCGGCATTGCGAACGCCTCGCGAAACCTGTGATGCTAGAGCTTCCATGCCAGACCTTCTGTGTCATGCAAAAACTACAGCATGACTCTTCCAGACCCAGACACTTTTGCGTTTGATATTCTAGTGCAGCGAACGACTACGACCTGGAAAAACAGCTGGGCAAGCTGGACAGCGCCGGGGCGGCTCCGCTCGTGGGAGCATCTTCGAGCATATGAGAGTGCACAACCCCCCCTCCCCCTCATTTGTATAGCATGAACGGAAATACAAGCGTCAGCAAGAATGCCGGTTTTGCATGACAAATTTCCACAGGAGTGTTGTGCTATTTTTTGGGCTTCCGAAGTTTGTCATGCAAACTGTGCCAAGAAATACAGCCTGGATTTGGAATTTTGCATGACAAATGAGGGGGACGGGGAGTTGTGCACTGTCATAGAGCAGCTCCTCTACTTCTTTCCTGCAAGCCGAGCTGTGGTCGACCAAATTTCAGCGGTTTTACCAGGAGAAATCCGCGGCGCTGTCGCGGATGTTTTTATGGGGCGATCACGATGATGATCATGACCGCTCGTCTTCGAAACCGGCAATCAAGATTTCGATTCGCCACCCGGGAGAGCAGGGGGACCAAAAAGCTGACGTGCTGGCCAATTTAAGTGAGACCGATGAAGGCAAGCCCGACCCGAGCGAACTTCTTGCCGAGGACGCCAAAGTTTGTTCGCCGGACATCTGCGCGAGCCGCAGCTTCAATGAAGCCACCTGCGAGAGTACCCAGGAAAAAAACTGTGTCAGCGTAAGAACTTTGTTGAGCAGCTGACAGCATCACAAACTTGCTCTACATGACAGGCAAATCAAAGCCTGTCCTATGCATGGCTAGCGTGTGAAAATGAAAAAACATAATTTAATATGTATGAAATCAAGGGTAAGGGGAAAACCTCGTGGCTGTCTGGCATGATAAGTTAGTGTAAATATTGTGCTAAGTACATTCTTTATTGCATTTTATAAACGTAGACTTTCACTACACACAGTTTTTTTCTTGCATAGAGAGTCCTACGGAGAATCAATTCGTGCCGGCCGACCACCAGTTGGAAGACTCTCCGGAGAAGAACGTGCCACATCAGCACGAGTGCTGTGAGTTCATTTACCCGGGGGGTTCCACCCACCGGAGTGGGGAAGCTACCTGCCAGGAGGGGTTTGTCGAGAACCCAGATTTCGACTCCACTCAAGACGAATCGGTCGACAACCCCCGGTGTATCGCTTCGAACAACTCGTCGACCCACGGACACGAGCACAATGAAGAGGACTACGTGGACGAGACTCACAGCGGAAGCTGGCCGCTTGGCTACTTAACTGGCTGTGCTGCCTGCTGCTGCTACTTCTGCATTGCGATCGGATGTATCGCTATCCCTCTCGTCATTTGCTTGGTCGTCATCCTCCTCGTCAAAGGACAGCAAACGCCGGCCCCAACCGCCGTTCCGCGGCAGCCGGGCGGCGCGCCGGGAGGCCTGTCACCGGTGGGTGCGAAGGCCCCCTCGCCCGGTTCGTCGCTGACGAAGCAGCTGACCTCCGCGCAAATCACTGACGCACTGAAATCCGGGGCCCTGGCCTCCATGGGCCGCGTTGCACCTCCGACGTCCCCGGACCAGCAGACCGCCGACCCAGCAGCTACGGCACTCCTGCAACAGGAACAACAATACCAGGTCGGAACGGACGGGCAACTCTTGGCGCCAGCGGACATTGGGTCAACACCTACGTCCCCGCTGTACGGCCAATCTGGCTCCTTTCCCCTGGGCACCGACCCGACACAGCAGGAGGTCATCGCGCGGGTTTCGGGCACGCAAGAACAAGCTGGCGCACCAACCTCGCAACGGTCTTCAGGTGGTCCGGTGGGTGGAGAAGCGATTAAGACCGGAATCTTTGGCCGTCAGTCCAACCGGGCGTCAAACGCGCCGGTGACCCAGCAAATCATGGGCAGTCAGCTGCAGCAGCCGGGAGTTGGAGTTGAGGAGACTCAGCAGCCGGAGCAGTCGCAGCGAGCTTCGCAGGCCGCGCGCCGATCGTCTGCAAAGGCCAAGCAGGAACCGAAGACGAGCCAGGGCGGCGGGGGCATGTTTGATGGATTGTTGTGAGCAGGTGGTACTTTTTAAAAAAAAGTACGTCTAGCGGAGGATGGAGGCGGTGGGCAGCTCTACTGACATCGCTAACAAGAACTGCCGTGCACGTGCGTACCATAGTGGTGGTCACTCCAGTCTTTAGCTTTACGAAAATTTTTTTCTGCCTTCGGGCCCGACGTTATTTTTAGAAATGCGCACTAAGACTAAATTTTCCTCACGCTTTTGGATAGAAAATGAAAAAGAAAATGCAACGTCTGAATAACCTCGACATCAGTATCATGTTATGAAATCAACCTGCTGTCTACCGTGTTTCATGGCGGTTCAAAAGGAAGCCCAGCAGCCTAGAATTTTTACGAATTTTTTTCCATGTGCAATTTTATTTCATACATCATTACCAAATTCAACAACGTCAAAGTCGATCCAATTTTGATGTTTTCCGATTTTTATTTGTTCAAATTACGTTATGTTCCATATCCATGCATAGTATATTCAGTTTTTTTTTTTCACGAAAGAAATTTTTAGTTAGTTGCAACACGAGAAGGTGAGAAATGTTTAATTCCAAAACTACGAAAGCATCTGACCGTATCGTTTCATACATAAAGACGCACTAATATCAAGGTATCCCCTTGATAATTAGATCAGTATAGCCCCGTTGAAGATTTTTGTGCCTGTTATTTCCCCGCAGGATATTAGCTTTGCTTTTATCACTTGTAGACATGACCCGAAGTCATCAGAAATCTTTCAGCCTCACCCAGCATATTGTATCCGATTTCGCTTTATTTTAGCCAGAAAACCACGACCTTGCCCATAACTGCAGCCGCGCTCGAACACATAGAGTTTCGGAAAATTTTGTCCGACGACGCCGGGAGCCATTGATTGTGTGCGGGAGCTGCAAGGTATCCCCTTGTGGTCCTTGAGCAGGTCCGTGGTGGAGTAAAATCACATCACGAGGAGCAGCGGCACTGACCTCGTTCCAGAGAAAGAAAACCCGATGTTGCAACTTCTGCCGGCAACTTACTAACACAGGTGCTTACATTTTGGAGAAGCAGTAGCACCATGCCCTGCTGTTCATGCAGCTTCTCAGCAGAGGCCAAAGTAGAGCAAGCCCCGAGGTAGTAGCAGATCGTCGTCGTGTCGCTGTTTTTTTTGATCCTCCACTTGCTGACGACGAGCCCCCTCGTTGAACAGCCAAACATAAAGTGTCGCGAAGATGATATCCTCATCTGTGGAAAATGTTGAAGACTCACTGGTGGTGTGAAGTAGGTTTAAGACGCTGCACTCAACGGATCATTCTGACCAACATTTCGTTTTCGTTCCAGTGAGGACCTCCAACATTCTTCTCGCACGTTAGAGATGTAAAACAAGAACGCGACTAAATTGAAACTGGCGCCACGCAATAAGGCTGGAAGAATAAAATTAAAAAGATCGATAGAACTACACTTTCACGACCCCCCGCGGGTAGAAGATGCAGCGGGGAAGCCGTGTGCAAATTTGATAGGCCTGCAGTAGAAGGAGCAGGTGATTATTTTGAATTGGTGTTCCTGATATTGTTCGGAGCTGGTGGTGCACCGCGCTTCAAACTCTTGATTACTGCGAGCACGAGGATTACACTGTAATCTTTTAATGAAGCAATAGCAAATCTGTAATACAGATTTGCTATTGCTTCATTAAAAGATTTTCTCTACTAGAAAGTAGAACTAGAATCAATGAGCAGAAGACAAAACGACCACGACTTACCACCAGATGAGAGAGAGGCACCAGAGATGACACAGTCTTCAGCTCCGAGCGGAGACGAGGAAAAGTCAAATGTAAGAACTAATGGGGCTTTGGCTTTTGGTTTTGCGAAAAACAAAGGCACATTCTCATCAACTTGATGTCCTCATCAAGCGAAGTCGACACATTTATAGAAGCGCAGGGTCTACAGAGAGAGGGAGGAGCACAAGCACTTGTGTGGTCGTCACAATCACCAGCAGTTGTAGTGTGCCAATAGGAAATGGAAAAATAAGCGTATAAGAATTTTAGAAAACCTGAACCCCCGTGGCGGGAGGAAGAGGAACAGAAGCACGCACTCAGAGCCCCGGAGGCGACCACAGAGAGTGTTGCCCTTGTGAACTACGAGGGCAGCTGCAGCCCGTGGCATGCGGCCCGTGGCAGCGGCACCTCGACCTCGCGAAAACATGAGCAAGTTTCTTGTCAAGACGACGACTTTCCTGCACGTGACCGCCGGTTTCTCTGTCTTCTCTTCAGCAAGTAAAACCGCTTCCACAGCGGCGAAGAAGGCCCTCGCTTTATCCTGAGTAAAAACGTCCCCACTCCATAGTGAAGATGGGAAATCTGCTAGACAAATCTACACGCTTAGGGTGTTGCGCATGACAAACTCGGCCTTTTGCTGTAATCTTGTTTACATCGTTCAGAAGCATCACAAATTCCGCCTACCATGGTGATTGGAGCATTACAAATTCCAAAACCTGACTAGAAAACTCCTGTCACGGGGCTCCGCAAGAGAAACATTTTGGGCATGCGTCCTTGCGTGACAACTCTGGGGTGGGGACGTTTTTACTCAGCACACGCTTCCTCCCCCTGGTCGAATGTCGGTACTGCGCTGGACCTCGGTGCCGCGGAGCGCATATGAGAGTGCACAACTCCACCCCCGCCCCCTCATTTGAATTTGTGTTGCATGAACAGCAACGCAAGTGCTGGCAAAGATGCAGCTTTTGCATGACAAATTCGTAGAGGATTGAAGGGCCGTTTTGGCTTTCGGAATCTCTCATGCAAAAAGTGCTAACAGGCAGGACCAGGAGGTAGATTTGGGATTTTGCATGACAAATCAGGGGAGGGAGAGTTGTGCACTCTCATAACGCACCGTGTACGAGCACAAGCGGAGGCCATCGTCTGTGCTGCTGGAGGTGAATGAGGGAAGTAGTACTAGCAGGGATGGTGCTGGGCAGCTGCCGTTGCCTATCATGAAGACCAACTTTCTGCAAGCCGGGACCACCAACGGTAGTAGCCGGAGTGAAGGGATGAAATCCCGCCAAGCCGCAAGCGAATTGCAAATGAATAGCGCATATGCAACGCAAAAATCTAAATCTATATCGACGTCGTGCTGGTAGTAACAGTAATCCTTGCATGACCATGAGTACGAATTTTCTCAAAATCAAAAATGGACTTGACCAACATGTAGAAACAAGTGTCATAGCACATCTATCGTGCAACATTGCAATTGAGTACTGCGAGTGCGATGCTTTTGCAGTGCATAGCAAGTCTTCCTCCCGGGGGCTGAACAGCAACAGAAACATCAACCGTGTGCACAAGGAGGTGAAAGTGTTTGAGCTGCCCACGGCGGACAGCTTTTACCAGAACTCATCTGGAGGGGATGCTGGTGCGGCTGCAATATCCTGTGCAAAAGTATCGTTCTAGTAGGAATCGCATTACAAATTAGCTTAACATGAGAAATGGAATTTGTAATGCGGATCTCCCTTAAGATGGAGGCTTGTCATGCATGATTGCGATTACTACGAGTACGATACTTTTGCAATTCATATGCAACTACAACGGACATCGTCGACCCGAGTTCGGGCGCCGCGGTGCTAGCCAGAATGGACCGCGAGCAGGAGGAGGCGCAGAAGGCTTTATTCGGAACTATGGGGAGCTCAACCGTTACATTCTCAACTTTTACATGATTTGTCATGCAAAATGACCATGAGTCATCAGACGATGAAGGTGCCTCGCATGACAAATTCTCGGAGGGCTACATAGCACTAGAATCCGCACCAAATCTGTAATGCAAGACGCGCAGGGTTCTCCCTCTGACCTGTGCTATTCTTGCATGACAAATTCATGTAACAGTTGAGAATGTAACATTTGAGAACGCCATAGGAACCAACACCAACACCGGCGTTGACATCGAGCAGGAGGCCATGACAAAAATCGAACTGGACCGGCAAAACGCGCAGCTGCTGCGACACCAGGAGATCGCGCGGCAAGAGCGGGAGGAGCTGGCCAAGGCCATGGCGATGAAGAAACAACAACAAACTGCGGGAGCAACTACTGAACTGAAGGTCGGCACTGCAGCCGGGCGTGCCAGCTTGGCCTCAAATGCCAACCCCAATGCCATGAGCCTCGTGTTGCACGAACAGGAGCAAGACCCGGCCGCCAATATGTCTACGGGCAAAACAAGTCAGTGTCATGTACTTACGCGACGTAGTAGCGTATCTAGTGTATGTAGAGTGCATGAGAAATGAAAAAGCAGGTAGAGGTACGTCGAGAATGATCGTATATGAACCGTGACACAACTACTTTTGCACTGGATAGCAGTCGCGCAGCCAACGGGGGGCTCCGGAAGTGGTACTTGTGCTTGCCTTGTTGGGACGAACAAAATGGGAAAAATTTTCGTTGTTTTTGGTATACGCCATGAAAATAGCGATAAGCTGTACTGGCAGGAAGAACTTGGAGCAAAATCAAGAAATTGAAAAGAAATCGTATTTCGTATTTATTATCATCAATAAGGTTCCGCCCCCGGCATCACCCCAGCGCTGGCCCCCAGGGGACCGAAGCCCAAAGGGTGGGACCAGTGCGTAAAATTCGCGCGGGAGGTGAAGTATGCAAGGCAAAAGTATCGTACTAGAAGTAATTGCATTACAGATTTGCTGAGCATTACAAGACAAATTTGTAATGCTGTTTCACCTTAGACTTAGTAGGGAGATTTCGATTTGTCATGCATAACAGCAATTAGATTTAGAATTACTACGAGCGAAATACTTTTGCAGAGCATATGAAGTCGCACAACGTTTTTGGGACGGAGCTGGTGCGAACGTGGAAGAGCACCTGCGAACCCGCAGTTTTGTCCGGCGTGGCGACGGAGCGGTACAGTCACATTGTTTGAAGATGGGAAAACTTTATCAAAATCTGACTTTTGGAATTTGGTTTTGTCAGTTGATTTTTCACACTTTTTGTTGCAAATCTCCTGCTCACCATGTCAAATTCAGTGTTTAGCATGACACGCAACAACAGTGTCTTGTTCCTTGTGTTGCAGTAAAAACGAATAGTGATCTTCATGTTTCTATTTGATTTTGATACAAGGTACAAGCTAATGTGCGACTCGTTGGGTGGAGCGGTGTATGCGAATGTACACGAACTGCCTCTGCCCCCCTAAGAAAATTTGCAGGGCATGAAAAGCAGCAATACAGTCAATCGAATGGATAAACCGACGCTAATCTGCATACGCCTTGGTCATGTTTGCAGTAGCCTTTGCAATGCTGCTACCGCTACTTGCCAGATGCAAGACGGTGCTAAAGATGAGAAACGTCTGGTTCATCGTTGTGCACCTCCAGCTTCATCAAGCACACTTTTGCATGAGAGAAGCAGGAGGCAGGCGAGTTGTGCGCTGTCATACTTTATCAACTGCAAAAATGTCTGGGTCTGAATGATTTCGGAATTTGTCATGCTAGTCTGGCATGACTCTGAGCTCTGTATTGCGTGGCCGCAAAGAGCACCTCTTGCCTGTCATACGAAAACGCAGTTTCTAATGCGGAATACGCAACGCAGAACCACGGAAAAACTTGTCATGCTTCGCAGTGCATTACATACAGTGTGCACATTGTAGTTCGCTGACTTGCATCACAAGCTTCCAGACTCAGACATATTTGCAGTTCATATACTTCGGAGCGGTTTTCCAATCAAGTGGACTACAACGTGTTTGCGCTGTGTGACGCGGTATGCATCGGCACGTGTGTCTGGGCCTGGATCTTCTGAGTATGTCGTGTGTAGTCACGATCTTCTCTCCGACACGAGGATCAGTCATCTCGTGTCGTGTAGTGGTAGTGCATGAAATAAAGCTGTGAATTTCGTATTTGGTCTTCTTCCTCGACGGGGCGCCGATTCTTTGCAGAATAAATCAGGAATACAAATCCACCTCGCATCATCTTCTTTCCAAACGCAGACATATGTGCAGTGCATACGCGGTTTTGACGGTGTTTCACGACGTTTTGGCGTGATGAAGAATCAATTTGGGATAGAGAATTATGTGTCGATTTGCCAGGCAGGACGGCTTCAACTCAACTCGAATACCTGCGCAATTGGTTGTTCACCACCTGCGTCGATTTTTTTCAAAAAACAATGCACGTTTTTTTTCCTCGCACATCTCTTGTTCAGTCAACGAATTTATGATTTTCACTTCAAAAGGAAAAGCCAAGGCGAAACCCAAGGAGCTCGCACTGGGAGAAGACCGAGTTGTACAGGTTACAAGCCGAAAATCCCTCCGGCATTCGATGTTCGCTCAAAGTCCGTTGTTGAAAGCGTCGTAACAATTCTATTGGATAATTACAGCGAAGACCACGGAGCCGTAGTGACTGATTGTATTGTATTGCCGTCAACCGTCGTCTCTGTTTCGTCCTCTACTGCGCTCGTGCCGCTGCAACGTCCTCGTCGTTTCTCGTTCGTTCATTCTACTTCTAGTGTAAGGAAATCAATAAATAAGTACTAAATGTGACAGATTCTAACTACTGCCAATTACGTCTAGTATCACATCTCGTCCTGCTCCTGTCAGCGTCCGTCGTGGCAAAAGTCGTGCTATCATTAAAACCTGAGTCATGAAACGTCGTTGGCTTGAAAAAGTCATGATATCTTAGTCGTGCGGCGCACCGCCTGTCCTAAATTCGTATTGGCTTCTTGTTCGTCTTCGTGTGTAATACACATTCCCATCCATTGTCAGCACAGGAAACGACCATTTATCTTCCTCCTTAACCCTCTTTAGATAGAGGTCTTGTACTCAACCAAGATCGTCTTTTGCTTGCTATTAAACCACGACCGTTTATTGCTGGCCGTGTTGATCTACTCGAGCAGCCACGGGCACTACGATTGTTTGCTACAAGTCCTTGCTACTGAAAACTTTAACTTTTCTATTGGCAGATGGTCGTGCCCAAGGTCAATACCGTGTTTCAGCGCTTGCTGCTGGTCGGCCTCAGCGGCCTGGAAGATGATCATTATACTCGCATCTTCACCGCCACCTGCGGTTGGTTAACCTACAACTCGTCTTCAGCAGTATTTCTTTCTTTTTGCGCGGGTGGCCAGCAACAGAGGGATGCTCCTGCTTCCTCCGTCGAAAATAATGGAAAGAGCAGCTCGCTCACGGGACTTCGACTTGTGGAGGCCGCACGAACTAGCACTAGGATCCGAAGCAGGAGGACCACCACGACGCCTTCTCATAGACATGAGCATAACATTAACACCGCAGTAGACAACCGCTCGCTCCTTCGCGGAAGAAGATCCACTACTCAAACCTCCAGAACAGAACATGAACGACTAGCACACTCCACACATGATCGTGGGCCGCGAGAAGTAGAAGATGTAGATGAACAAGAGCAACAAGAACAAGCAGCTGGAGCTGCCGTGCAGTTTCAATCCAGTACATCAACTAGAACAAGTACTACTTCTACCTCAACCTCTTCGCTACTGGAAGTAGTCGAGAGCAAGTCCTCTCTGATCTACTGCCCCTCGCTGCACTCCTACATCCGCGAGACAAAAAACTGCCCGGGGGAGGATGGAGACGTGGTCGTGGCACCAAACCCGCCTGTAGCTGACGGAAGTAGTACTATTGCCTCTTCATCAGGCGTGTTAGACAGTACTTTCACAGATGAAGAACTCGAGCTGTTGGAGCCCGTGCTCGTGGCCAAGCTCCTGTCCCACTGCGTGGCTTCGGAACAGCTGTTGGCGACGACAACTACTACTACTACTTCCCATGGTGTGGTCCTCCTCGGCGGGAATCCTGTTGAAGAAGCACAACATCAAGCAGCACTTCTTCTGAACCAGACCAGTTTTCCGGCTTTAACGAGAATCAGTTTGACGGCAGAAGGGTCGGAATCGGAAACACACAAAGACGAAGTGCATGACCTGGTAGAGGAGTTTCTTTTAAGACAATCTGGAGAGGAACAAGGACAAGCACAAAATGAAAGTGACCACGACGACTCCTCCTTGACTTGGCTGCAGCGACAGGTCGCGGCTTTCAAACTTCTGGAAGACGCAATCACCACCCAGGCGGAGAAAGTGCAAACCTGGGACGACATTCGGAAGAAGCTGGCGCTTGTGAATAAGCTGGAGAAGGGGGATCACATAAAGCATTCGATTTCCGGCGTTGCCCCCCCATTTGCGCGAATGGACCCAGGGTTAAAGAAGTGGCTGCTAGAAGTGCGCCCGGAAGTGCAGGAAAAGGCGCACTCGAGGTATGTCGAGGCGGAGGCTGAGCAGGGGAAAATTATGTTGAACTTCGATTTTGAAGAAGGCGTGTTGAGCGACGCAGGACAAGAATCCCCTTATTTCTCGCTGAAGTACGACGGCGCGTCGAAGTCGAAGCTGGAGCAGTGCGTGTACGGCATGACGGGTGAAGAACTCGCGCAACAAAACGCCCCCCAAACAGACAGCTACGGACGGCTGACGCCACTGGAACGGCGGGAGCGGGAGTCCACGTTCGAGCACGTAGCTTTCGCCGAGCTTTCGCACAGGGAGCTCAGGAACAAAACTGTGTTCGATTTAAAACAATTGCTCGTAACCTACCTACAACAGTTAACCCTTGCGGAGAAGAGCCTGGAGATCCCATCGGGCATCCCGGCAAGCTTCGGGATTTGCCACATCGCCAACGCAACATCAAACGTCGAAACCGCGTTCTTCCAGTCCCTCCTAACCGACCGAGTAGAGTTGTGGAAGCATTTGCATCACCCGTTGGAAATCGTGGAGCCCTTCGCGGAGAAATCGGCGTACGGAATTTCCTTCGCCGCAGAAGAAATAGCCTTACGGGACAACAAGACCGACGCTCCGGAGTACGAAAACAAGAGCTTTTTGCAACAGAAGTTTGTGGAATTGGGATTGAACTTGGCCTCATATGAATCGGCGTTTTCATCATCATCATCATCTCTCGACGTCGTCCCTGGTGCTGATCAACTACATGTGCAGACGACGTCGATCAACCTGTCCTGGTTTTTGGACGCAAGGAAAAAAAGCGAGCGGCAATTCCACTCCCTCGAACTTGCGATCCGCGACTTGCAGTTGCCGAACGCGGCGGCTTTGAGGAAGGTGTTGTGGCCGGTGTTTGCAAGTGCGGATTTGAGAGCGGAGACAGACTTTGCCTATCAAATGAAAAAATGTCTGGGTCTGGAAGAATCCAACTTGTGATGCTGCATTTGGATTCCAAAAAAATTTGTATTGCATGAGTAGCAAAGGGAATGTAATTCTAATTTTTGCTACGCTCGCGGATAGGGCATTTGTCATGCGAAATAGGCATCAAGAACCCCTCGAAAAATCTGTGACGCTACGGCATGCATCTTTCACAGACGTCATGGCTCATGCAAAACGTGCATGACAAGTCTCAGAATCTCCCAGACCCAGACACTTTTGCATTTGATATTGCCTCCTGGGGATTGACAGATGTGCTGTTTGAGGGGAGGGAAGTAGTTCTTGCGACAGGACCAGGAGATTCGGACGACGACGAGGATACAGGTTCAAATTCTGTGCTACTACATATGCATTGCAAAACTATCGTACTAGTACAAATAGCATGACAAATTTTTGCAAAAGGAAAAATGGAATTTGTAATTCTGATTGAGGTAAAATGGTGGATCTGTAATGCAAGACTGCCATTCATACGAGTACGATACTTTTGCACAGGATACTACAACATGATCAACAACTACTACACAGTTTGGACCAAGCGGTGGTTCAAATCATTTACGTTGCGAACCAGTACAACATATGCAATACAAATTTCCCGTACATGTACAAAATGCATGACAAATTTCGCTAACTTGCAGTGTCCAACTTGTGATGCTAGACTAGGACTGAAGGCAAGTTTTGTCATGCAGCGACTGCATTTGTACGTGTACGGGAAATTTATTGTGGATACAACATCCCCCTCTTCACCGACGAAATCACGACAGAAAATGATAGATACCCAGATTTGCTCGCAGCACTGACAACAACGACCACGACCACGACATATACCACTACTACCACCTCCACCACCACAACCGTTGCACCCACAATCTTGTCCTGCCGAAACTGGCCGGGTATGGAACAGAAATGCCACGAAAATTTGTGCGGGTCGGTGATGGAGCATTATGACGTGTCCAACTTCGGCGCCGTCGCACCGGGAGTCAATTACACGACTGAATTCTTCACGAAAAAAAACGCAACGATTCCTCTTGACGTCGCGAGGAATGAGAGTAATTTGGCGGACCAGTTGAAAATTTGCTGTTTCGCACCAGAGGTCGTGGTGGGGGACAGCGGCAGTGCAGGAGAGCAGGGGACTACATCTTCGCCCACGCAGTCCTCGTCCGCGCATAGTTCATCTTCAGGTCGTTCCTCGTCTTCCTTTCTAGCACGAACGTCGAACAACCGCGAAAGTATGAACACAAACATCTTCGCAACATCTTCAAAACAGGAGACTCATCGTCATCTTTCATCACGACAAGAAAGTGAATACCGCCTTCACTACACGACGGAAGTTGTGCAAGGTGAAAGTGTAACGACCTCGTCTGATGATCCTGACGATGCAAGCCTTCACCGCACGCGCCAGGACCCGGATCTCATCACGACAGCCGGGTCTCTGCCTGTGCCACCGGTGGAACATCAAGCCTTGGCGGTGCCGCCACAAATTACCAGTACTAGCACACAAGAACTTACTCCAACTTCTACCACATCACCTCCACTGGGGTACTGCGTCCCAACGAGTACGACCACGACCACCACGACAACCACAGTTTCAGTTGTCACGGTTACCACCACGACACCAACATCGATCCCCACAACTCCAACAACTCTGGTAAAACTCGCCGATAATTTCTGGGTTGACCTGGACAAACTTACGCAGAGTTTAACCCCAGCAGAACTTGCTAAGTTGACCCAGTTTGCGGTCGAATTGAGTAAGCAGGATTTTTCGATTATCAAGTGCAAAAGCATCGTACTAATAGAAATCTTCGCATGACAAATCCCCTCAGCATGAAATATGGAATTTGTAGTGCGAATTTACTTGAAGAAGGAGATTTGTAATGCATGTTTACGATTGCTACGAGTGCGATACTTTTGCAGAGGATATCGATGTCGTCGATCGACGAAGGTGCTATTCTTTCCGCGGCGTCGATTGAGCACTTGAAAAGAGTATTGTACGACGTTGTTGTCAAAACTTTTGGAATATGAACTGCAAAAGCATCGTACTAGTAAAAATTGCATTACAAATTAGCCCAGCATTACAAATTAAATTTGTAATGCCGATTTGCCTTGAGAAAGAAATTTGTAATGCATGATTGCGATTACTACGAGTACGATACTTTTGCACAGGAAGATGTGGAACATCAAGCCCCGTTCAGGAGTTGAGCGAGATCTTTGCGAAAATCGAACCGGTGGAGACCGTGGAGATATGCATTGAAAAATGTCTGGGTCTGGAAACTTGTAATGCTGGGTTGTGAATAGTAAGTGCTCTGACATGCACAGCCAAGCATGAGAAATATTTGCGCGGTTTCGTGTTGCGTTTTCCGCATGACGAGCTGCGTTTTGGCATGGCGGCGCAAAAGCGTCTCTTCTTGGACACGCATCACAAACTCTTCAGTCATGCCAGACAAGCATGACAAACGTTGCATTCTTCCAGACCCAGACATGTTTGCATTTGATACTAGAAAATTTTAAACGACGCGCTCCACCTGGACGAGATCGCGACAGGGGATCCAGTGTTGAGAGAACTGTTGAAAGACGTGACTTCTGTGGTGGACAACGACGGCGACGGCGGCAGTACAACGCCAGCTCCTGGAAATGATGATGATGATGATGATGAGACGACGAGTGGGAACTCCAACATCAAGAGTAGAACGACTGACTTCGTGGAAATTTTTGAGTATTTGTTCAAGGGGCTTCAGAGCAGTACAACATCTAGTAGCAGTACAAGCACGAGTGCACCGGAAGACGAAGGCGGGACAAATGCCAAGGCGACGGAAGTTCTAACCGACGACAACCCACAAGAAGCCGATCCCCTAGCCCACCTCCCCGAGATGCTCCCGGGGGTTTGTGAGGTGGTGAAAAACCAAACCACCGGAACGATAAAACACGAATGCAGCAACACGGATTGCAGTGCCGCGAAGTTCCAGAAGCCCTGCGCACAGCTTATGACCTGCTCAGCTGTTGCAATCTCAAGCGTTACAATAAAAATAAGTAGAATAATGGAAATCTGTGATGCAAGAGTACATGATCTAGCGTACTCCTACTCGCACAGGATTGCGCATGACAAGTTCCCGAGTTGTCCCAAACCGCACTACAACCTGGCGAAATTTGTATTGGAGAAAGTGGAACGCTCTGCGAGTCTGTCATGCTCGTCATGCAATACAGAAGCCAGATTAAGTTGTAACCTTTGAGATTGTCACATCTGAGCACGCCATACAGCTCGGACCGTGTTGCACGTTCGTGACGCAGATTGAGGCGCAGGGGTACTGCGCCAACGCGGTTGGCGCGGCGGAGTACGAGGGGGAAGAGGATCTGGCGGAAGATGATGGCCTTGAGGCTGCTGCAGGAGCTTCTTTATCCACTGCCGTGTCGTTCCTCGAGAAAGTGTTATTTTCCAAAAGTTCTTTCTCTGCTTCACGAAGGAGCGGAAAGAAGAGGAGAACTGCCACAACTACATATCTGCATCAGACAAGAACTTCTACTACGATGAACAAAGTCACAACGCTTCCCAGCATCGACGACCTACCCCGGTGTGGACCAATTAACACCTACTGTAGCTCGCACGACTACCCGATTCAGGCGACGAAAAATGCAATGGAGGCGAGCGTCACAGTGTTGCTTCCGGAGGAGCACCAGACTTCTGTTTCTCCGGACAAAATCGGGATTCGGTGGGACAGCTACGCGTCGCTGCTTTACTTCCTAGGCACGAAGAACTCCACGTTCTTCGCGGATAGTAGTACTACATATGGGGCAACGTCGAACTTCCTAGCCGGTTTAACGACGTCCTCACAGGACAGCAGCACAACCCTCGCCAAAAATGCCGACGAGGCTGTGATCACTACTGGATTCAAAAACCACGGCGTCGGCAAAGTCCCTTGCAACGAAGCGAAGCGGGTGAAGATAGCTCGACAAATAAGTGATGGAGCTGCAAGTGCAGAAGTAGAAAACAGCACATCAACGGACACCAGTTTAATATTTGAAGACCTCTACCCATTAGATATAGATTTCCAATGCTGCCAATGGGTGGCACCGGGCGAGGCCCCCCCGGTTGTAAACGAGGACGAGGCTGGCGCTGGGTTTTTCCAGAAATATTGGCCCGACATCGTCTTCGCCGCCACCGTACTCCTGGCCGTGATTTTTTGCATCGGGTGCTGCCTATCAAAGAAGGGAGATGAAGCAGCAGCTGCGAACGTCGACCCGGCGGCTCCTGCTAGAAAATCATCCAAATCGGCTACTTCGCAGAAGATGAGTAAAAAAGACGGAGCTGTACTAGCTCCTGCTGGTGCTGCTGCTGGGGCTAGTGCCAACAGTAGAGATCAGAGAGCCCACACGGCTCAACTGGCAGCTGCAGGTCCGTCGCCAGATGATGAAGAACAAAGCAAAGCCTCAGGATTGCTGAGCAGAGGCGCCAAAGATCATTCCGTGCGGTCCTTACCCTCGAACCACGACGCGTTGCTGAGTAGAAATCCTTTGGCTGCTCGAACGGCAGGTCTTCAGGGATCTCCGGCAGAAGGAGTGGCGGGCGGGGTAAGTGAAAGTCTTCTTCTAAATGCGACCATTATACCCGACGAGGACGAGGAGAACTCCGATACAACTGGAGACGAAGGAACTCCTGGTGCCAAGGGATCACCGATTAGTAGTGCGGTTATGTCGTCATCGAAGTATGATCCGACAGCAACAACCGGTCCCGGTGCAGCGATGGAGGACAGTATTATGGGTCACGTGCCCCGCAGCTCGGGTTCTTAACGGTTGCACTTTTATTCGAGGCTCTGCGACTTTTTGGGGTAGAGAAGCTAGAGGAAGTTATCTGACTGCGAAATTACATTGGCAAGCTGTTGTTTCGTCTAGTACCAGTCAGAGGTTTTGAAGATGTACACTATTATGCAGGTTTGAGATCGTCATTTATTTCAAACAGGAACGCTTTTACTTACATTACTTTATCAAGATTTTCATTTTTGCACGACGTTCACGAACACTGTAGAATCATATACATAACACCAACAAGAAGTCTTCGACATCAAGTAGTATGACACAATAAATGAACCAAGCGCAAGGAAGCCCCCAGGTCGTTCTTTGAGGAGCTTCTGTGTGTTCCCGTCAAGCTGCGAGCAGTAGTCTCTGGTCGTGGTTTGCTTGAGAATTTCTTTTTGAGTTGTTCGTGACGCGTTCACAAGGAGCGGATGCAGTTCGTACGACCTCAGGCTCTAGCAGAATAACCCGGGGCGCGCTCCGTGTCTAGCAGAGAGAGGGACGGCGGGCCTGGGCGAGACGAAGCCCTGGCGGATTTTTGACGGGCAGACACCGGAGTGGCGCTTGTGCATTCGGGTGGTAGATGGATCTTTGGCCCCATGTTTGGCGGGGCCGCCAGGCCGACAGGCTAGCGCGCGAAGCCGGGCCTGGAAGGAAGCGGAGGCTGCGTCGCCGGCCCTTATTTATTGGCATTGACGCCAATGCCCTGCGCCCGCGCCGGTTTCGTGGCCCGCCCCCTTCTTTGCAGGCATCCGCGACGCCTTTGCCCCGGCGGGTTCAGGCTTGCTACCGGCGGGCACGGTGCGACAACGGTCCGCACTTCCAGAAGAAGTTCCGGCAATGCATTGAGGAGGCGCGGCGGGCCCTCCTGCCAAAACGCCGGGGGTTTGTTCGCCGCCCGCGGACCGAACTACCGCGCCCAATCGCAAAACCAAGCCGCGGGGATGCTGCTCTGGCCGACTGCGCCCGCACCCGAGGGGGCCGCTGTGCATCCGCCGCCCACGCGCGGGCCGGTGGGGTCATTGGCCGCCCGGCCAAGCGCGGGCGCAGCCCCGCCCGGGGGGCAAGCCCATTGGTGGCCCCGTCCAGGTCATGGATTGACGATCATATACTACAAAGAGCTAAGCGATAAGATGCACGCACAAGGCTCGTCAGGTGCTGCTAAACGCCAGAGGAACGACGAAGACAGAGGAGACGGTGCCTGCGGTGGATCCGGGCCTGTCCCACATCCGCATGCTGAAGGAAACGAACGTGGAACGTCTCTCCCGGGTCTGGAATGACTCGACTGAAGGAATTTCCCTCGCCGCGCTTGCAATGGGTGAGTGTTCCGGTGACTTTGTCGGGCTCGCTCGGCACGGTGATGCCCAAGATCCTGGTCCACCCCGACCTGACCGCTTATCGTGACCCCGGATGGAAGGATCCTACCCAAATCAGTTCGCTTCTCCTTTCCCAATCGAGCAAAATCTTGCCGCCCGCGATGATGAAGGAAATCGAGTCTCTGGCGAAGGTATCGCGGGTCGAAGAAGGCTGGTCTGCCGTCCCCTGCAAGGACAGTCAGTTCCTGATCGAAGAAGGCTGGCGCGCCCTTTGGCCCTTTCCCTGCCTGGTTGGCGCGGCCGCCGGGCCATTGCGCCGGCCCGCCGGCCGCGACAATCGGCCGGCCCTCCGCAAAAACTCCAAAGCCGGCGCGCCGAGGCGGTTGGGTTGATGTTGGTGGGCCATGGCCGCCCACTCGCCATTTTTAGCGCGCCACCCCCCCGACCGTGGCCAAAGGCGACGCGGCTCGGGGGGGGCGGTGGCGCCGGACGGGGGGCGGCGGCCTGCTGGCTGCAGGTTCCGGCACCCCCCCGGCGCAGGGCGCGGACCAGAAGGAACGGAGGGCGGGAGGGACGCAGCCTGCCGCCCGGACCTGCCTGGCCCCTTTCATTCATTCCGGTGGTCGGTGTCGCATGCATCAGTGCCTTGGGGTGCTTTTTGCCTCGTTCCTTCGTTCCGCAACCCAGCAGAAGCGAAGCCGGGACTAGGCTTGCCGCCCTCAATTCTGCGCCCCCGCGCGCCTGTCGCATGTTGGCAGGGACGCACCCCTCCGTGGGGGCCCGGGGGCGCATCCCGCTGCAGGATGGCGCGCCGCGCTTCGTATCGATGGATCGTACCCAGACGAGGGCCCAGGAGGAGTGGCGCCGCCTTTTCCAATAAGCTGCTACTGGTGGCGGTGGAGCTGCTCGCCAGGCGGGGCGGACCCCTTACTTTCTGTCGCCGGGAAACAAAGCGACTTGCGTGAAAATGCTACGTAGCTCCTCACCCGTTCATGTTGTTCATACTCACTCGCGTGGCTCTCGACATTTGCCGTTGCGATCTTCTTTCCATCAGTTATTGTTGTTCGTTTCCACCGTCGATGTGATGGTGATCAATGGTGATGAACAAACCTCCGAGTTGTAGGAGTCGTGTCATCGTTCTCGTTGGCTGCTTTCGATTGAAGTTCGCTTCTCCATGGAGCGCCGACCACTACATGTACTACATGAGTAAATGATCGCACCAGCAGATCCTGCTCTATCAAGATCTTCATCTTCTCGTATTACTCGCTTCGTCGACAAGTGATCTGCCCTTCGTCGCGTGTTGTCAACGAAGAGCTTGTACATCAATTGGAGTAGGATGGAAAGATCGACTCGGAACCCTTTCTGCGCGACGTTTTCCCGATCAAACTCCATGGTCATGGGCTGTATGTTACCGTTACGTTCTTCCGGATCGCCTTTCTCTATATTGTGGCTTTCTCCCCCGTTGTAAGTTGTAGGCTTTTTATATATACTCAAACAAGAAGTTTTTCTTTTTGGCCTTTTTTGTTCGGAAAACCCTGTTGAGTACTCAACATTAAAGCAGAATCCTAAATCCGCTTTCGACTTGAAAATGTTGAAACCATCCGCAAAAGGCAGCAGCTCCACCTCTACTCCGAAGCAGCAGCTCAGCGTCCAGGACTGCTGCGAGCTCGAGGAGCTTTCGGAGAAGCAAATTCTGGAGAACTTGAAGCAGCGGTATCTGCAAAACGAGATCTACACGTATGTTTCTTCCGCAGTGTTATTGGCCGTGAATCCGTACTGCAAGATCAGTTGTACGAACGACGGGACAAGAACATCGACCAGGACCACTTCTAAACAACTACAAACCAAGCCGCATCCCCACGTGTTGGCGGAACTTGCTCTCAGGCGGATAGTGAATCAGGGTAGTGGTAGTTACGCGAGGATAAGAACTTCTGGTTCGAGAACTGGCGAGGAAGTAGACCAGAGTACAACAGGAGGTGCTACATGTTCCGCTGGTGCTTCTTCTACTTCTTCGTCCCAAGCCTTCATCATCTCTGGAGATAGCGGTGCGGGGAAAACCGAAACCGCAAAGGTTCTCGTGGAATACTTCACGTATGGTTTAGAAAAAAGTTTTACAGTTACACATTGTGTTGCAGGACGAGCAAGACAGACAAGCTCTGTCATGCCGGATACGCATGGCAGCCTCGTTTCATAGGTGTTTTCCCTTCGGATTTCTGCATTACAAGTTTTCTCTCTCATGCAGAGAAATTTGTGTTGCTAAATTGACTACAAGTGTGTACTTGTAACAGTTTTTTCTTGCGATATCACGAGGGAGCGGAATATTAGTGCGAAAACTTCTATTCCCGACTACCTCCAAGGGCAAGGGGGTGGACACCAGCCTTGTGCGGACGATCATGCTGGAAACAACTTGCAGCCTGTGGTCGGACACCAAATCGTACAAAACCACAACAAAAAATTACAAGCGGGGAACATTTTACTGGAAGCGTTTGGAAACGCGACCACTTTAAGGAATCGCAATTCCAGCCGGTTTGGAAAATTCTCGACTCTGCACTTCAACAAGCCCTATGGGGATTTCAAAACCGCGAAAATTCAAACCTATTTGCTGGAATCCAGCCGGTATGAATTGCAAAAGTATCGTACTAGCAGTAATTGCAATACAAATTAGCTCAGCATGACAAGTGGAATTTCTCATGCTGTTTTGCCTTGGGATGGAGATTTGTAATGCATGACTGCGATTACTACGAGTGCGATGCTTTTGCACAGGATAGCCGGGTGTGCGGGTGGAACAGCGAGATGGGGGAGCGCAGTTTATCCAAGAAAAAAGCTGTGTAAGTGTAACTTTGTGTTGCAGACGTATGTAAAACACTTATCACCTGTCATGCTAGACACATGCATCAGAGGTTCTTTTCGTACGTGTTTTCACTGATACTAGCTCCGCATGACAGGTTTTCTGTGTTCTGAAGAGCAAACTTGTGATGCTATTCCTCCAAGAAAGTTACACTTACACAGTTTCTTTCCTGCATACAGTTTTCACGTGTTTTACTACTTGCTTTCGCGAAATCAAGATCAACATAAAAGTCGGGATATGAAGAAATCAAGCATCGTCGATAAAAACGATAATGAACAAGTCGAACCCGAAACGCTCCAAGACTGGAAAATGTTTCGGGACTATGAAAAAACCAGAAACAGTCCGCGAAGAGTCCAGAAACAGGAGGACAAGATCGATCAGAAGTTTTTTGAAGAATATGAAATGCAAAAGCATCGAACTCGTATAAATGCATTACAAATTTCCACAGCATGAGAAATGAAATTTGTAATGCGGATTTACCTGAAGAAAAATACTTGTAATGCATGACTGCAATTACTACAAGTGCGATAGTACTTTTGCAGTTCATAAAGAATTTGAGGAAGCGATGAAGGTTTTGAACCTGGAAAAAGACTTTGAGACCATGAAAGTCTGGGATTTTTTGAAGGGAATAGCGTTGCTGGGGGGTGTGGAATTCGTCTCTAGTGGTGGCGGAGATGATGATGATGATGATGAGGCAGGCGACTCGTTTGAACAACAACACCGGAACAACAACGCAAGCAAAAGCATCAACAAAACCAACGACAACAGCATCGAGGTCCGCGCTGATACGAAGAAACTCGGGATTTCTGTGGCGGCGAAGTATCTCGGGATCTGCGGGAAAAATCTGGAAAGAGCACTGATCAGCCGGGAAATGAGCATCAGCGCTGGCAGGGGCTTTAAAAAGAATGAAAACAGCACGTCGACGACCAAAGTTGTAGACCACCACGGTGAAACTGAAAGGATCACCGTTTCCCGGTCCGCAACGCAAGCTTACCAGTGTCTCACCGCCCTGCGAAAAACGCTGTACAACAGACTTTTCACATATGTCATCGTGGAAAAGTGCGTGAACGACAAACTCATCCCGGACGAGAACAAAACATCTTCAAGCGAACACCACAAGCCTGCTGCGGCGCGGTCTCGAAGTAGCAGCTGCGTGTCCTCGAATTGTTCTAGTTTTAGCTGTGGGGAAGGGGACGAAGATGAGGAAGAAGTATTAGATGATCATGATGATCATTTCAACCGCAAAATCAAAAACAACTACATCACCAGCAAGAGTAAATCTAAATACATCGGAATTTTGGACATCTACGGGTTTGAGCAGCTCGCGGAAAATTCGCTAGAGCAGATGTGCATCAACCTGGCGAACGAACGGCTGCAGTCGTTATCAAATGCAAAAATGTCTGGGTCTGGAAGAATCCGAACTTGTGGTGCTGCATTTGGATTTTTCCAAAAAAATCTGTATTGCATAAGCAGCAAAGGGAATGCAATTTTGGCCACGCGGAGAGGGCATTTGCCATGCGGAATAGGCATCACAGAGCCCTCACAAATTCTGTGATGCTAGGACATGCATCACAGACATCATGGCCCATGCAAAACGTGCATGACAAGTCTCAGAATCTTCCAGACCCAGACACTTTTGCACTTCATAGTCGTTTTTCCAGGACAATTTCCTCATCTTCGAACGCGATCTGTATGTCAAGGAGGGGATAATGATGTTGCCATCTTCGGCAACATCTTCGCTATCGTCCGTGGAAGAACAGAAAAACGGCCAGGACGCTCCGTTTCATCCTCCTGAAGCTGCACCTCCGTTGTATCTCTGCTCCACCGCGATTGCGTCCTGCTTCCGGACCTTGGACGACCACCTCTCGCAGCTTCGCAAAAATGTGAAGACCACCGACGAAAGGTTTACGAGGGAGGTTTTGCAGGTTCTGCACAAGGAGCATGGCGAAAATGTTGTCAACAACAAGCGGATTTGTGATAGTACAACCGGATCATCGGGATTATTTCCTTACTTCCGCAAGCCGACCAATAAAGATTTGAAGTCCTGCTCAAACCTGATTAAGAACAATCTCGACATCAGCTTTATCGTCACCCACTACGCCGGTGAGGTGCAGTATTCAACATTGAACTGGCTTGAGAAAAACGTGGTCGAAATGCCGCCAGAACTAGAGCAGTTATTTGAAAATATTATACCGACAGAAACATTAACAACTACAGAAGCAGGTGTGGACGTCGAGCAAGAGGAAAGTGTGCGGCAGCATCGTGATTCTCCGGAACCACAGCAACCCCGTGGTCGCCCCCATCCGCTCAGCCTGTCGGCATGTGGTGGCGCGACACACGACCTAGCAGGGGGGGGTCATCCCGGCTGCATAACTGCTTCTTCCTCCAATAAAGCAACGAAACCCACTTCCGTTACCAAGCAATACCTGCGAGATTTAGAAAGTCTGCTACAGACGCTCCAACAGTCCCAGATACACTACATCAAGTGTTTCAAACCGTATGGATTGCATATATGTCGGGGTCTGGAAATCTGTGATGCTGAATTGTGCATGATTGAAGCGCTTGCAATGGCAGCCAGGCATGACAAGTTTGAAAGACGCCTGCTGATGCCTACCACGCGTCACAAATTGCGTTTTTGCATGGCAAAGCAAGTGCAAGCTCCTCTTTATTTGCTCCTCTTGCAACACAGATTTTCCAGGAATTATGCAAGACACGCATCACAAGTTCCACTGTCCCAGACCCAGACGTCATTCCATTTCATAAACCGAATCTGGAGGCGAAACCGAGAAAATTTGACGACAATGTCACTCTTCTGCAGTTGAAGCAGTCAGGAACTCTGGAATTAATTCCTCTGATGAAAAATGGTTGGCCGTTCCGGGTGAATTACGCAAGTATAATGGAGAAACTTGTTGGTAAGATATCAACCTCCGAAGAAGAACAAGCAGGGTCGTCTTCTTTGGAGAGTGGAGGTACTGATCTTCTCCAGTGTGACAGATCAAAAACCTGCTCCTTTGGACCAGAACTGGAGCAGGATCCCAGATTACTCGTGGAGGCCTTGATGTCGACGAAGCTGATTGCCGAGTTGTTTGTTTCGGAAGTGGTGGATGAAGGAGAAAAAGTTGCTAGCATGCAAAAAGGCGACGCAAGCTCCTGTGCGATGAGCCAAAAACAGCGTTCTAGGACGATTTCATGTAATAAAAACAGCAACGATTTCTTCAAACTGGGTATTTCCAAGCTGTTCCTGAAGTCCGGGCTTTTACAAGAGAAAATCCTGCACGCGATAGCAAACGCGGATAAATCAACCTTGCAGCGACAGATCAAGCACTTTGTGCTGCGGAAAAAATTCCGCCGCTGCGTTTTCGCGGTGCAATTTTGCTTGTATTGTGAAAGGAAGTTGCTGCGCGAAATCCGGGTCCGCAAATTGCTTCACAAGCTGCAGACTATGGCGCGAAACCTGCTCCGGATTCACAAGTGGTGCGAACGGATCCGGAGAAAATTCCGGCAAGAGCGGGCGAGGAAATGCACGAGAATGTTGCGTGCGTGCGTGAAAACACTGTTAATCCCTTTACTCTTCCGTTGGGCTAAGAAAGCGAAGCACAAAGTTTCGGTCAGGAACAACTGCTACCACTGGTTTTGGCTGGTCGGGTTCGTGTTACGCGTGAAGCTGGTCAAGAGACAGGGGTGCTGTTTTCAGGAAAAGCTACAGCAAATTCGGGAGCGGATCCGGTTGAAAAGGGAATTGGAGCTAGAGAGGAAACAGTTAGAGTTGGAGAAACGGGAAGCGGAACTTGTTCTCATGCGGGGCCGCAATAGAGCTGAAGTTGCAGGAGAAAAAACCACTTGCGCTTCAGCTTCTGCGCAGCACCCCGACCAGATGCCTCCTGCAGTTGTTTCCACTGCTGCAGTTGCAGCAGAATCCTCCTCCACTGTCTCAGCGATAATTCCAACTACATCAGTGGACGTCGTACCAGGTGGAGGTGGTACTACGAGATCTTCTGGTATCACGACCTCCACTGGAGGAGCTGCTCCTGCTAGTGGAAAAAATGAAACTTCGGCGGGGGCTCCTGGAGTTGTACTAGAAGCGGGTCATGATTTCCCGCGGGGCAACTCCAGCGCAGTAATGGACTCTACTAGCACGAACACTTCCGTAGTTACACGACCAAATCAAAGCGCAGCGATTCTCATGGAAATACCTGCAGCTCCTCCTGAAGCTGTAGCTGTTGTACCACCGCAAGGACCTCTACCTGCAATGCACGAACAGAGAAACACGGCGACAGCAAGTGCGTCCGCCTCGCAACTGCAGATGGAGAACCAAAGAAATACGACAACAGCATCCGCGTCCGCCTCGCAGCTGCAGATGGAGAACCAATTGCTGAAGTATCAAATGTAAGAATGTCTGGGTCTGGAAACTTGTGATGCTGGGTGGCGTGTCATGATGGGGCTACAAATGCTGGCTCAGCATGACAAGTTTCTGAGCTCCTAGGTGAAGCCTATCCTGCATGACAAACTGCGCTTCTGCATCACAGAAAAACGGAGCTCTTGGGTAACGTGCATGACAGATTTAAGAGTCATGCCAGACAAGCATGACAAACATGAATTCTTCCAGACCCAGACATTTTTACAATTGATATGAAGGGTTTGTTGTCAAAGTTCTGTCCAAATTACAATGAGGAGCTGCAAAAAATGTCCGGCTCCGATGTGGTGCAGCTGCTGCTTGGCGGTGGTACTAGCGCTGGGATGAATACTAGCTGCAATAGCGCGGCTTTGGTGCGGCCTACGGGGACTTCTTTATTTTCGGAACCTAATGGAAATGGAACTACGACTACCGCAACCGCTAAGACAGGTCCTTCCACCGCCGCGCAAAGACAACTACCAAGGGCGACTTCGCGGTCTGCAGCACACTCTAACAACACGAAGCCCACCACCTCTGGTTTGTTTTTGGCTCGCAAGAAGACGAGGTCGAAAACGACCAAAATCACTTCTGCGAGCAAAACTACTGGAACAAGCCGTACGAATAAAAAGACCTCCGGGGGGTTGAATAATGGGCGGTATGGAGAACGAGGAGGGCAAGATAAGCTGTCGGTTGATGCTACGAAGAACTTCTTCCAGTTCGAGTTCCAGTCCCCGCCCGCCCCTCTACGCAGCGCCCGGGCGAGGATCCAGGTGACTCCGAAGGAAGAGCGACGAAAGATCCATGCTCGATTTCGACACGACGTCGACGGCGCGTCAACGTCAACTACATCAGAGGAAGAAAGCAACTATCATGACAGAGGACGAGGTTATAACCACAATCAGAACCAGATTTTTGATGATGAAGACGAAGATGAACAGCAGTCGGAGCTGGGTGCAAATTACGTTTCCGAAGAGTTTTCGGCTGGTGGAATCTCGGCTTTTGAAAGAAGCAGGCGCGTCAAAAATAAAGGCACGTCGTCGAAAATGCTGAACAAATTCAGGCGAAGTGGGAATGTCCTCCCCAGCGGTGCAGGTGCTGTTGTATTTCGCCCGGAGCCCCGAATTATGTCGAATCAAACCTTCAAAAATTGTTCCGGAGCTGCTTCTTCCTCCGCATCTACTTCCGCAAGTAGTGCGACGGGCTTAAGTTTTGCTTCAACAAGTGCGACACCATTGACCACATCAGTTTTGTCTTCTTCCTCGCTTTATGGATTGCAAAAGTATCGTACTCGTATAAATGCATTACAAATTATTTTCTCAGCGTGAGAGATAAAATTTGTAATGCTGATTTACCTTAAGAGAACGATTTGTAAATGCATGATTACAATACGAGTGCGATACTTTTGCACAGGATACGCTTTATGGTCGTGATTCCTTGTCATCTGCTGCACATGATCCTCCAGCATCACGAAAACCCTCCTGCACAATGTCCTCGACCTTAGGGGAAATGAAACCAGCTTCGTCGTCGTGGTCTTTGGAAAACAAGACTGAAGTTGCTGGAGAGAATAAATTGAACTTCGATGAGGAACGAGATTCAAATTTCATCCGCCCCAAAGCGGCCAGACACTCCCCGGGTTCTTATGTCCTTTCCGACGTTGGTGGAGTACCTGGACCGCGCATCAGTGTCAGCAGCAGCTCGGCGCAAAGCTTTATTTCCTCCGACCACACGTCGACTAGGCGAAGAAATACTGGGGACATGAGCAAACACGAACGTGCAGAAACACGACCGGCAGTCGCGCCGGCTTCTGGGAGCGGGAGTAGAGCCGCACCCAGTCCGTTGGATCAATTTCTGTCCGGATCTGAAGCTGGTGGTGCCACAACCCCTATACAGCCGCTGAATTTCAGCTCGACGTCAGAACTGGATCAAAACACGAGGAAGAGCAGCGGTGGGGTTGTGCCCCCGGTGGCTGCTTCTACAACGCTTCTCAACACAAGGAAGGTTAAGATTTCGGGGAGTAGAAGCAGCAGGCTGGGATCCTTGGAACACGATCAATTTACAGATCATCATCTAGAAGGAGGAGGAGGAGGACGAGCGAATGTTGATTCCCATAACGACCAGCATCAACAAACTTCGCTAAACTTATTAGGAGTTGTACCGGCTTCATCGTCGTCGTCCAGAAAAGTAAGCAGCGATAATACAACAACGGAGAAGTTGTACCAACGACCTTCGCCTTCCGCAGCGTCAAACAAAGCGGCTGCTGAGAGCATGATGTTTAATACATCCGCGCCGATTTCTAATGTTGAGGTGAAGCACCATGGTGCGCATGATGTTGACGAAGAGGACGTGGAGCATGACAAACTTGCAGTTGCACAAAAACAGCAACTAATCCACGACCCACGTCGACGCCAAGCCCAAGGCTGTGAAAGTGAATCGGTACTGTCAGACCACCTGGCGCGTCACTCCATGGTCCATCGAGGTGGCACAGGGCAACATGATAGCAAAGACGAGGAACCCGCCCCCCACCGCCGCCATAGAAAGTCCAGTAAAGAAAAGAAAAGCAGAAAATCATCGAGAACTTCCGAGATGAATACTAAAGCCGATGATCATGAGTTGTTGTTGGCCGAAGAAACTACAACCCAGGCAGAAAAACCACGTAAGCGAACATCAAGCAGGGCGGAAAAGAAGAAAAAGAAAAAGTCTTCGTCAAGCAAGGAAAGGAGTGGCACTGAACACAGTGTGGCCTCGACTCCGGTCGCTGGTGTACAGCAGCCTAATGATCAAGAAGAGAATGGATTTAAAAATCATATTGCAGCGACTTCGTTTCCAAGTTTCGAAGATTTTGGCTCGAAAATTTTCGATATGATTCCGAGAATCAAAACGACGGTGGCGAAGAAACTACAGCAGGAGGGGGAGGAGGAACAGCATCTATTTCAAAGCAGGAGTTGTGAGGAACAGAATGGTCGTGATGGGTACAACATCAACAGCGGCCCCAGTACTAGTAGCCACGACACGGCAGCTAGTTCAACATCGTCAGGGGAACGTCGAGGAACCACAGATGTTGAGAGGGGAACCAGTTCTTTCGCGCACATCATGGATTCATCTGCGACTTCCACTACAGCGTCTGCGAGTATAAGTAGCAGTGGCGGCGCGCCAGCACCACCACCAGGGACTTCACTTATTTCAACAGCATTGCCCCTGCGCACCATCGCGACGACCGTGAAAAAGGCACGACAGCAGGAGTTGCTTTTACAGGATCCGAAAAGTTGTACAACAACCTCGCGAGGCCGAGGTGAACAAGCACCAGTAGAGAAAAAGATCAGGTTAAACTCCGGGAGTGAGGGTGAGAAAGCAGCTAGCGCTGGAACAACTGCGGCGGCAGGAGCCGCAAAAACCACGATGTTGAATTCCGGTAGAGCGGATGAAAGCAGAAAGGGCCACCTCCAAACAAAATTGGACGATCATTCTGCAGACGCGGCTGAGCAGCGAAAGCAGGCGTTGCTGAATTATTTTTGAATAAACAGAATGAATGGAACGAAAGCACACTCAGGTGCAGATGCAGTTGTGCTCCCCTGGCTAAAGACGATGAATTTTACAGAATTTTTGATTTTTGATAGATCGATCATCAGAAGATTATGATCAAGATTATGACGATGAGACCACTATGACAACCGAAAACAAGTGTTGTACTAAAGTAAAAGTTGTTTCTAGAACTTCGACCACAGAAGTTCTTTGTCGAGCTCGAAATCGTGTGTCACTTGATGAGGGAACTATTCGAGGAAATGAGGGACCTCCACGAGCAAGACGTAGAGTAATTCCAATTCGGCACGTGGTGTACTAGTACTAATTAGTAGCTCCAATAGCTCAGTCTACTACTCGCTAGTTTCGCCCGATCGGAAGCCGGTGTTCGTCTTATTTGTAGTTCCTAAACCAGCCAATTTTCGTCGTGTTTCATTCTACTTCCGGAAGATCGATACAAGTACGCGACGCGAGGAAGCAGCAGTAGATCAATCGATACGGATATTGTTCTAAATCTAACCCTAGTACGGAAACAAAATTAGAATACGTAAATCGTCAAACATCCCGATCAAAAATATGGGTTGGCTGACCCGGCATCTTCTAGACGCCGCGGGGGCTTCTATCGTCCCGGAAGACCACGCTGATCTTCAAGTGGAGATCCCGAGGTGGACTACAACTACGGGTGGCGTAACTACTTGGAGACGAGGCCGCAACAGTTGTTCAACAAGCTTTGCGGCCCCATCAAGAAGTGCCTCGCTCCCTTCTGTCCCTGCGCCGTTGGCGCCTTGGTGTTCTGCTTCGGCCCCATCAAGTAGAAGATCTGACAAATCGGCAAAGACATCTTCTTTTCTCATCCTGGAAAAAAACCGTTCCTTGATTCCGCGACCACCGCTGGAGGATGCTGGTCAGGACGACGATGACGAGGAGAACAGTTCCGCCGCGCTTTCCGAAACCCAGTGCAACCTCGGGACCACCTCCAAGGACGTAGATTCTCTCCTGCGGAAAAACCGGTTAACGGACACGATGCAAATTGCCCACGCGCCGCGCCTATCCTGTGCAAAAGTATCGTACGCGGATTGCAATCATGCATTACAAATCTTTTTCTTAAGGTAAATCTGCATTACAAATTTTATTTCTCATGCTGACGAAATTTGTAATGCATTTATAGTTATACGAGTGCGATGCTTTTGCAGTTCATAGCGCCAGAACGACATCAACTACCGCATGCTGTTCGGTACGGAGACGTGGGTTTTTTACCCGGGCTATCCAGTGTACTAAAAACCTCCCCAGCACCCCAGAGAAGTTGTCATGCAAATCTGCAAGGTAAAAATGTTTCTTATGTGGGGCCCCATGAAAAGCATTTGCTAGTCGTATTTTGGAATTGGTGATGCTCGAAGCAGCATGGTATGCTAGATCTGTGATTCTGCTGGAACTAGCTAAACAGGATTACACAACGAGGCCAAGCTTGTCATGCGCAGCGCCCAAAGCTGAGAAATTTGCCTAGCAGATTTGGCATCTTGAGTACGAGGCGGGGACGTTTTTGCATAGCATACGGGCAAAAAGGGCGGAAAGATTTTCGAGACCGTGTGCGACGACACCAGCAAGGAGTTCTGCTGGCAGAAGGCACGTATGCGGTGTCAAAGATAACGATATCGTACTTTGCGGTACAAGTGCCAATCCTTGCAACGAGAACAACCCTTCATGTATTTCATCGATCTTGTTCTGTCAAGAAGAAAGCTGCGTAGCCTGTATCTCATCGGTCTAGAAACTGCGTTTGCTTGTAGAAGTTTTGCAGCACTACAGTGTTGGTTCAGCAACAAATTGAAATTTGTCTTGCAAGAATCTCTAGTAGAACCACTAAAGTCCGATAATACTATTTTGCAATGCATAGCACGAATTGTGAACGATTTGCAAAACACGGACCCGGAGACGACGGACTGCTATCCTGTGCAAAAGTATCGTACTCGTAGTAATCGCAGCCATGCATTACAAATGTCCATCCAAAGGCAAAACAGCATGACAAATTCGATTTGTCATGCTGGGCTAATTTGTATTGCAATTACTACTAGTACGATAATTTTGCAGTTCATAACTGCAACCTGGACGGGAAAAACGGCCAAGGCCGGTGCATCCACGTGCTGTGGCGTGACGGAGGCGACCAGTATCCGTACACCTGCCCGAGCTGGATCCGCCACCCGTTTAACTGGGTCCCGTGCCGAGACCATGGGGTCAAGGAGGACGAGGATCCGAACGTGTTCAAGCACGACCCGGTGAAGGCAGAGGACTGGCAACCGTGTTATCCCAGATGGAAAAAAACTGTGTTTAGTACAGTAGGTGTCTTGTTGGGATGACAGCACGACAAATCTGCTCTGCATGACAGACAAGAAAGCGTGTCACGCACAGCTAGTATCGGTGAATACACGACAAATGACGAGATAGTAGGACTTCATGGCTGGCTAGCATGACAAGTGTAACTGTGTTGCATGCTTTGCAATTGCATTTTACAGACTTACTGCAATTACACAAGTATTTTCTCCTCGCATTCGTGTCCGCAGAAGTTCAAAATGATCGAGCCGGACAACCCCGGGGGAGAAGTGGATCTGGCGAGATGGTACGACAATGCGATTCGGAAGAAAAAGGAGTGCGAGTTCGACGACGACACGCACTGTCTGTGGGTCCCGGGGAAAAAGTTGCGGGATGCGAAAGACGAGAAAGACGTGGCGGTGGATGAATTATGCATTGCAAAACATGCATTACAAATAAGGTAAATCCGCACTATAAATTATTCCATTTTTCATGCTGAGGAAGGTTGTCATGCGGTTCATACTACTTTAGGACAATTTGTCATGCTGAGGAAATTTGTCATGCGGTTTTTGCAATGCATACGAATCAGACGACGACCCGACCGTGTTGAAAGATGAAAACGGCAACGTTCTCGGGCCAGATGGAAAGCCGGTCGTGAAGATGAAAGCGGACGGGGGTTCCGATGAAGGTGCAGCAGAAGAGAAAAAGGAAGAGACCCCTGCAGAACAGAAAACCGGTGATGATGAAAATAAAGGTGAAATAAACAAGGAGAAACCTGGTGAACAAGAAGAAGCTGCAGGCGGCAAGTCCAATGACGAGCTTCATCCAGATGTGTCCCAGTCGGAAGAGGATTTCATGAAAAGTGAAAAAGAGGGGATTCTACTATGAAATGCAAAAGCATCGTACTAGTATAAATCGCATGACAAATTTCCTCAGCATGAGAAATGAAGTTTGTGATACAGATTTGCCTTGGGAACCAGATTTGTAATGCAAGATTTGCATTTATACGAGTACGATACTTTTGCACAGGATATCTACGCGTAACCGCCGATGAAACGGATGAGAAGGGCGAGATGCCGAAAACCATGATTTTCATATGAATTGGAAAAGTATCGTACTCGTGTAAATGCATGACAAATTCCCCCAGCATGAGAAATTGAGTTTGTAATGCGGATTGACCTTGAGAAAAAAATTTGTAATGCATGATAGCAATTACTACGAGTGCGATACTTCTGCACAGGATATTTCAACGTGATCGGCAACGAGTGGATTCAGTGCGTGGAAAAGATGCGGTGCCGCCCGTTTCCGTTGGACAAAGTCATCCCGATCGAACCTACTTCAACAGGGAATAAACAAGGAAGTGCGTCTACTACTTCTGGAAGCGCAGCAGCTTCTGCGACCGGCGGCGGAGAATTATCCACGGGGGAAAATGCCGCGGGGGCCGCAAGTGAAGCGAACCACGAAGATGGTGCGAAAGCCGGTGGTGGGGAAACAGCTTCTGCAGAGGACGGCAAAGATCAAACTCCGCAAGAAACTACTACTACGTCGAATCCCTGCGGCCCGACCTGCGTGAACGACGGATCAGCGAGCAAGAAACACCTGCAATGTCTCGTGCCGAAGGATAAATCAAGGAAGCCGGTTTGCGCCGACAAATCCGCGGTCAGAGTCATCATACCCTACGATCGGACGGGGCTGCGGGACCACACGGCCGCGCAACCGATTCAGAACGGAATGCTGCTGAATAAGGTTTTCTTGTGAAAAAGAGAAGAGGAGAGTCGACAGCTCCTACTTATACAAGAAAGTAACAGGTGGAGAACAGTATAGTTGTAAGCGTTTAATATGTTTGCTGTAAGCGAGAAGTTTACAACGCCGGAGCTGCCTTTGATAATCTTGACCCCATGTACGATGAATACGTAAAACGAAAACACTCCTAAATGGCTTGTTGATGCGTAGGTGTACTGCGTCTTCTGCTGTAGGTGATAGGTATTACCAAACGCAACCGAGGAGCTGGATGTTTCCGAGAAAGAACCCGTACAGCTTGTGTGGATCATTTCTGTGTGACGCAAGCCTGAGAACTCTTCTCTCCTGTGTCCAGAAAAAGCAGGCACATCTTGCCTCCTTTTTCCCACCTCCGTCCTCTGGATGAAAAACGACAAAACGGTTCGGAGGACGGCGCTACTATGATGTTCGTGCTCCATTCTCATCTTTTTTCGCTTCTTGCAGCTTCCTTCAGCAAAAGCTAAAACCTATACTTACTGCATCGGAGATTATTCATGGTCACTAGTGTAGCACCAGAGTGAAGCGACTTATTCTTTATTCTTCTTGTTGGTGGCAACACAATCGCTCTACTGCTGTCCATGTCGTCGTGCTAGCTCTTGAAACAAAATTCTTGATCTTGACCTTCTGAAAGAAAAGTAAAACATATACAAAATGCCCGCCACCGTTCTCGAGTCCTTTTTCCGCACCAGCCCGTCAAGAGCACGAACATTCTGCTTCGCATTTTTTTAGCAAAGCAAGCCAAACAGGATTGCAAAACTGCTTGTCCAGCTGCATCTTGCCGCGGTGCATCAGTTCTTGTACCATAAAAAAATAAATTTACCTCATAGCGAAACACAAGCAGTTGTTTCTCTTCTTCTTGGATTAGTCCCATGGTCGACAAGCTGTGGCCGAAGTTCGTGAATAATCTCGTGAAGACGGATATCGTAGAAAAAAACAAAAAGTGTTTCAGTGCTGTACGGATTTTCTCACCAGTTTTGCATAACAAGCGTCCCCATCTATATGTTGACAAGGAAATCAATTTCGAATGATTGTCCAAGTGTAGTACTACTTCTGCCGCAGAACAAAACTACAATAGTCATCCACTGTGGTCGTGTACTACCATAAGTAGCAAGACGAACACTGCGGTCTTCGATGGATGCATGTTGAATTACAAATTCACAGTGAGACAGCTTTTTTCTATGATTCCGATGGCCAACACGCTGCAGGATCATGCCCTAAAGGGTAAAGCTCCTGAGGAAGACCAGGTCCCCGAGGGAGACAGAATCGACGATGAAGCAGGACCAGAACGAGCAGGAGGTTCATCAGGGTCTTTCGGGGCTAACGCTGGACCTGCTCCAGGAAGGGGGAACGGCCGCACGGCCCACGGAGTTGATGACGCGAAAACAACCGTAAGCAGCCACCCCGAGGAGGAGGACTAGGAAGACAAGCAATAGATGGACGATTCTGCAAGCGCGGGGGCCGAACAGCGATGAGAGCAGGCGTTGCTGAATTACATTTGAGTGTGTGGAAATGAATAAAAATAAAAATGACTGAATATCCTTTTATTTTGAGTCATGTATAAATATAATTTTTAAAGAGTAGGTACAGTGCAGGAGCACAAGCACAACTCTGACTAACACTAAAGGCACTGAGTTTATTTACAGTACTGACGCGCTTCATTTTCATACTACTAGCATGCATTGGGTAGTCTAGTGGAGTCCATGGTCGGGATCATCGGAAGGCGGTCAACGGAGCACGATAAAGCTTACCGAGGAGGCCCCGCCGCTTGTTACAATATCGGGGCGATGCGAGTCATGCCCGCGCTTCCTCGGGGTTCTGCCTGTCTGACTCATCTACATCTTCTATATTGTAGCCGATGGCGCTTGCGCCTCCAAACAAACAGCCACAAGAACCAACAGGCCGGGCGAAATTTATCTTCTTCCCTATTTCGGCCCAAGCTACGTCGGGGTCGCGGGTATTAAAACGGGCCGGCCCCCATAAGCGTGTAACCCTTGGGCCGTCACACTCCGGCGGCGCGAAAATCTCTGAAAAAAAAAAAGAAGAGCGCCGTCGACGTAACTAGAAGGCAAGCGCCCCGAGACCCAAAACCCAAACCCTTGAACCGTTTTCACTTTTGTATGCAAAGTTGAGAAGTTTAGAGATCTTTCCAAACGTTTACGCGTTTGGTCCAAACGTTTAGTTCCGGGGGTGCAGTTTAGATTCTGGTATGTTAACCAAAAAAAACAATGTCCGCGACGCCTAGTTGTACTTTTTACCACGTTTCTGCGCATGAGTAAAACGACAAAACGATTCGGAGGATGACGCTGCTCTGTTCCATGTTCTTGTTTTTTCGCTTCTTGCAGCTTCCTTCAGCATCAAAAACTAAAACCTGTACTACATCGATTATTCATGATCACTGGTATAGAGTGAAGGTGAAGCGCACGGTAGTTCTTGAAACAAAAATCTTCATCTTGATGTTGATCTTCTGAAAAAAAAAACAATAGTACAAAATGTCCTCGACCGTTCTCGAGTCCTTTTTCCGTGCGTTGCCCACGCATTTGGTCTCCGCCACCACCTATGTCTACTATTCCTCTATCGTACGAAAAAAAGTGTTTCACTGCAAAGATCTTACAAGTTTAGCATCACAAGTTTGCTCTAGTAGGCAAATTTTCTCTGTGACGTAGAGTCTACGTCACAGAGAAAATTTGCCATGCGAGATACCTAAGGTAAAACGCAGCTAAAAATCCACTGTCTTGCGTGTGTAGCAAGAAAAACACTTCTCAGATACATATTCTGCATTACAAGTTTACAGTGAAGCAGTTTTTTTCTTGCGATATCCCCGTGGCTCATGTTGATCGTTGGCGTCATCACCTTCATTGCCTGCATGCTGATCAAAGCCCCCTACGGCCGGTATGCAGACAGTAAGTGGGGCTATTTGCAAAACCCGAAACTCGCTTGGTGTTGGCAAGAGTCGCCTTCCTGGTGGGTCCCTCTGTTATCCCACGAAAAAACTGTCTCACTGTGATAATTTTGCTAAATCTGCAACATCACAAGTTTGTTACACATGACGCTGAAAGTCTGTCATGCGCGCTTCCCAAGGGAAAACACCCTTAAAAATGCAATGTGTTGCAGGTGTAGCAAGACAAATAGTTCTGTGTTCCACTTTCTGCATCACAAATTCATAGTAAAACAGTTTTTTCTTGCGATATCTGTTGGTGGTCCTGCACTATGTCTACACGTTTGAAGGCACGGCGCTGCAGGCGTTTCGGAGGTACGGTGATTCTATTTCTCTGCCTTTTATCTGTCATGCAGAGTAGACATGGAAGAAGATCAGGGCAATACTGTTCGTATTTGTGTTGCTGCACGTGCACCAGCCTACTTCTGCTACAGAACTGGAATAACAACATATTTGAACTACAACAGACTCCACCCCTGCAGTATTTTCCTTCTCCTTTTTTTCGAGGCGCACTACATTCAGCGCGCCATTATCTACCCGCTGTGCCGCATGAGCCCCAACGCCACCAAAGTGCCCTTGATCGTGTCTTGCCTCGCTTTTCTCTTTTGCGTGTGGAACGGATTGCAGCAGTCCATCGCATATGAATTGCAAAAGTATAATGATAATCGTGGTACTCGCAGAAATGCCAGACTGGCATCACAAATCTACTCTCTTACCGGAATCAGCATGACAAAGTTCATTTTTCTTTTTGCTTTTGGAAAAATTTGTAATGCAATTTTTACCACTACCGTCACCGTGCTTTTGCTTTGCAATGCATATCGTGCTGCTCTACGTCACGGAGTTTTCCAACGAATTTCTGTTTAACACGCCAGTGTTTCGGATCGGGTTCACGATAGCCACGGTGGGCATGATTCTGAACATCCACGCAGACTCAATTTTGATCAACTTGAGAAGGAAAGACGATAGCAAGATGAAAACAGAAGATCATGGAGGTTCTTCTGCTACGGGAGAAATTGAAATGGGTGCTGCGGAAAACAAAACGCCGTTGAAGAAACGAAATCAAAGTGGAGAACAAATCAAGGACGCCGCGACCCCGTCGGTAAAATCGAGTCCAGAAAAGAGCGCAGCTGCGTTTCAACTGAAAACCAGTCCGGATAAGAAAGACCTGACGACTTCTTCCGGGACGGCCACGACGAGGATAAAGACCGCGATGAAATCTGCCATTTCGTCCGCGTCGCAGACGATCCAGAACTTGCGCCGAAGGTCCAGTTCCCAGCAGAGAGTGATGAAACGCAGTAGAAACCGGTCGAACAAATCCCCTGGATCAAGTCATGGTAGTAACGGGAGGACCGGGGGGACAAAGACCCCAGGTGCCTCTAGTAGCACAACTTCCGCTGCAGTGAAGAAGAGCTACAAGATCCCGTTCGGCGGCCTCTTTTACTTCGTGTCCGCTGCCAATCTTGCAGCCGAGATTTTGGAATGGTTCGGGTTTGCGATGGCGAACAATTTCTCCCTACCGACTGTCGCTTTCGCGTGCTACATATGCATTGCAAAAGTATCGTACTAGCATGAATAGCATGACAAGTTCCCGCAGCAATAGTAGAAATGGAATTTGTAATCCTGTTTTACCTTAGGAAGAATAGAAGATTTGTCATGCCTGTTTGCTATGAATACGAGTGCGATGCTTTTGCAGTTCATACTGCACATTCGCAAACATCGGGCCGCGGGGGTACCACCACCACAACTGGTACTTGGATCATTTCGGAGAAAAATACAAGGCGCTGGGAAGGAAGGCCGTGATTCCGTTTTTGTGGTGAGGGTGAGGAGGAAAATTTCGTTCTGTGAAAAGGCGGCCCTGAGATGGTGTTGATGTGTGGAGGTGGTGTTGTTCTTTCGTGTGCTTTAGCAAATGAGGTGTGCACTACACACGGACCTGAGGAGCAGATCAGTAAGAATGTCCTCATCTGGCTACTAGTACTAGACTCATGATGGAAATGAAATTTGCAAGACAGTGATAAAAAAAGCTATAGCAGAATGTATTTGTGAAGAACGTGCAGCACTTATTATAACGCGAGTGAAGCTGAAGGCGCAGTGCCCCCTAGCTAAGGCAAGCAAGTGCGGAAGCAGTTAGCATGTTCGACACCTTTTTCGGTAGGCAGATGCAGATGTTGAGTCCCGCCACATTGCTGCTGCTGTGGCGCATGAAGCCCTCCTATTGGATTCCAGCTTCCGTTGTTCGTGCTGGTTTCAGAATAGCGACGCGGAGAAACAAACGGGGCCAGGTGTGTGCCGTCGGGCGGCAGGGGAAGCGCCGCGCACTCCACGAAAAGGCCAAGGACGCGGCGCAGAAGTTGGGCAAAAAGGTGAACGAAGCAGATTCGCGCCACCCGGTGGAGATGCGCAACCCTAGGCGGGAGAACAAGGGCGGGACGGAGCGGCGCGGAGGGCCCGGGGCGCGCCCCGCCCCTTCGGGGCCGAGCGCTGCCGTCGGGCCTCGTTGTTTTTGCTTTTCTTGTAGAAAAGCCCCCGGCCGCGCTGTAATAATTTTCCGCGCAGCCCCGGGCGGGCGCCCTTGTGGGAGCGCCCGCAGGCAGGGGGCCGCAGCCGAAAGAAGACCCGGGCCCCCGCGCCCGTATGGGGGGGGGGGCGTAAGGGGGCGCGCGTTCTCGATGGCGATAGCGTGAAAACCCGGCCCCCCCCCTTCCCTGCGCCGCTTCGGGCCCGCTTGGCTGCCTGCGCCGCGGCTGAATGTTGTGCCCTGGCACGGTCAGGGCCCTGCGGTTGATATTTCTACTCCTGTGGCGCGCGACAGTCTCGTGGCGGGCTCGGCCAAATGCAATCACAGCACTGACTTGGGCGGCGTCATGGCGCAAGTGAGATGATGACGAGCGAAGGTCCCCGCGCCTCTGCGTACAGTCGCCGACCGCGCCCGCGGCCCAGCGTGGACGGCCAGCGCGCCGGCGGGGGCGGGTTGTTGATTACCCAGCGGCCGATGCTATGAAGCGCATGGCGCTAGGTGGCTTGGTGGCTTTCAGCATGCGCATGGCGACCACGCTGGGAAACGCGACGCGCCCCGGCGGGCGAGGGAATTGATTCCGATCGCCCAGCACGTTCGGCCACGCATATGGGGCGCGTCGCGTGTGGGCAAAAGAGGCACCGCCGCGGCCGGGCGTTCAAGCATTGGCAGCGCGCCGATGGGCTGCGGGCCCGCCACGTTGGGAAACGCGACGCGCCCCAGCCGGGCGCCCTTTCTTTATTTGTTGCTGGACCGATTGACGCCGTCCGGCTCCGGCTATCCCAGCCCAGCGGACGCGCCAGCTGCGGGGCGCGCTTGGCCGAACTCTTTCTGACGTCTGTCACGCGGTCGAGCGACGAGAGCAGCAGGAGGGCCATGAACGACGGCGCCGCCGCCTCTTTTCTGCCCCTGCCCTTGCTTGCGTATTGGCAGCCGGGTGCGGCCCGCGATATTCGGACGGCGCGCCCCCGCTGCCCCCCCGCCCCCGGCCGGGCCTTTTACACCTGGGCCGGGGGGCCGGCCGGCGCAGCGGGCAAGCGTGCGACCGGGCAGCCATATGGGCCCCGGGGGGATACATGGGCCCCGGCAGGGTGGGCCCCGATTGGCAGGGCGGTCGGCGGGGCTAGTAAGGTGGCGCGATTTTTGCCAGCGGCCACGGGCACGTACTTTCTTACTCGCGGGCGCGCCGGGCATTAGCCGGCCGCTGGCAGTGCAAGCACTGAAGCCTGCGCGCCGCAAACCGCTGGCGCGGGCGCGTGAGCAGCCAAGCTTTATTGACGCGGCCTCCGCACAGCATGCGGCTGCGGTCATATGATGGTCGTCCGCAGCATTTATGGGGCCGCGCGCCCGTTCTGAGCGACGCAGCCCCGCACCAAATTAAGAGGGCAGCTGCAGGCGTCGCGCCGTCTCCCCCCTTCGAGTGTTTTGTGTGATGCCAGTGAAACTGCCACCGCTCGTAATGCGAATGCCGCGCGCTAGCCTTCGGAGTTCTTCGGCTTGTTCTTGTCTTGATACCTAGCAAACCGACAGCGCCGGCTTCGTAGTACGCCGTTTGGGCAGGGAGGTGCGCCCTCAGCAAACGAGAGACGTAGCACCCGAACCCTGGGGAGATAAGTTGCAAAGCCCCGATGCAGCCAACAAGATAGCAACTGCCGTAGCGAGGTTTTCTTCTGCAGTCTGGCACAGATGAACCAATTGTAATTACAGTAGCCTGTCGCTGTCCTTGTTAATATTTCTAGATGCCACTAAACCATGTTTTTCTGAGAGCAATTTGTACCCACTACAACAAGAATACGCATACGGCAACCGCAGCAACCCAACATCCTTGTTGAGGTCCTCACCCTCCTGCTCATGGCTCCAGTTATTGAAGGAGGTGCAGGCAGAGGCACCATCATGCGCGACGGCCGCGACGCTGGTTCAACACAAGAACAGCTCCACAACCTTGTCTCCTCTTCTTGTTCCACAGCACGCGTACGAGGGCCACATCAAGAGGAACTGCTACACCAAGACCCCTACCGCGCCAAACTCACGCGCGTTCTCCGAAAGGTTCTGTCCAATCCGAAAGACAGGCCGCCGCAGAAAATTCTCTCTATCGCGGACGTGTTGATTCTCATCCGGTACGCCAGAAAGTTTTTCCTCGAAGAGTGGGGCAGTCTGCTTGAAATCGACCTGAACTGCGATAAGAACACCACTGCAGGAGGTGCTGGGGCCAGCAGCTTCAGTCCTAGTAGAGGTAGGAATCTTCAAAATTATAGCGACGGAGCAGGTCGTGGTAGTTCATCGTTAACCACAAGTTCCTCGAGTCAACATAGTCAGCACCTCCACGTCTGCGGCGATGTCCATGGACAGTTTGAGGATCTTCTTCGAATTTTTGCCTCTACTAATGAGGAGGAGAAAGCTCAACAAGAAACAGTAGCTATTGATGGATCGAGAGTAGCCGGCTACAACTACGGCGCAGCCACTTCTGGACTACTACAGCAAGGTCAAGGACAAGAACCCGGATGGTACAACGGATCTTCCACTACAATCCAACCTGTCGTGCCGCTCGTAAACACCGTAATGGACGAGAACCACTTTGGAGGAGCCCAAGCTGTGACTAACATGCAAAATCAACCATCGAAAAGCGGTGGCTCTCAGTCCTCCGGAGCCGGCGGCGGAGATGGACTGCGTCACCAGGACGACCAAGAACACGGACAACATTTAAAGTTAAAAAACAAAAACCTCCACAAAGGGGCAAAAAATCTGCTGCTCGATAGTCCCCCGTCGTACAAGCATCATGCTGTGCCGCGGGGAGGGGGTGGTGGAGTTGGCACTACTGTCGGCGGCACTGGTGGTGGTCTTGTGGCAGCTAGTAGTAGCGCCGGACATCATCCACATGAGATTCTCCCCGCAGGACTGCATCAACGGCAACAGGCTGGCAACAGAGTGTTTGACAGCACGTCGCCTGTGAAAATAAGAGCCGGTCAGGAACTACAAGCAGCTGCAAAGAACTGTGGCTCTTCTTCACGTCGACGCGGGACGGAGGTTGCAGACTTTCCTCGCCCGAGAAGGAGCGCATCCCTTGGTGGTCCACCTGCAGCTCTCGATGGTGCAACTAGTACCCATAATGCCAATGCTGCCTCCGCGGACCACGTGATGAGGAACAATGATAGCAGCTTTGTTCTCCAGCGAAATAGCGGCTTGTTCCAATCTTTCTCCAGCGCGGGGGCGCAGCAAGAACAGCACCCGAGCAAGCTGCTCCAAGGTGAATCTTCTGCTGGCTCCAACAGTCTTTTTGCAGCGGCGGATTATAGCTCGAATTTTTCCAGTAAGCAGTCTCGTCGCTCGCTCCCTTCGTCCGGTGGGTTTCTGTTCGAAAGCTTGAAAACCGGACTGCTGCATTTCGGGCGGACCTTATCGCACGAAAGAAGTGAACATTCACTGTCGTTGTATAGGATTTTGCAGGGTTAGTGTAGTCTCCAGTTTGATGTTCTACATGTTGACATAAGAAAATTTACTCTCCGCGCTTGTTTCTATCTCAAGATGAACCGGGAAAGGCCGTCGACGCTAGCAACTTTCTTACGTTCTTGCTAGTCGAAGACAAACGCTTCCGTCGATTGCATGATCCGTTCCCGCATCACAAGTTTACAGTGAGTTACTTCTTTCTTGGGATAGACCCTGGAAGACATGAAGGGCCACGACCAGCCGAGCAGCCCGAGCTACCAGTATGGATTGTAAAAATGTCTGGGTCTGGAAACTTCTGATGCTGGGTGGCGTATCATGAATAGGCCACAAGTTCTGGCTCAGCATTGCAAGCTTCTGAGCCTCTAGGTGTTGCCTATTATGCATGACAATCTGCGTTCCTGCATGACAGCAAAGAGGGGCTCTTGGGTAACGTGTATGACAGATTTAAGAGCCATGCCAGACAAGCATGACAAACATACACTCTTCCAGACCCAGACATCTTTGCATTTGATAACCAGGACTTGGTGCGCAAAGGAAAGTGGGAATCGAAAGAACAAGTGGGTGGAGCTGCACCTGCAGCTGCGCGGCACGAGGACCTCCAAAATAAATCTGCCCGGCTCAGCGGGGACAGCATGGTTTCTTCGTCGAAACGGAGCAGTAATGTGAACATGAGTGTCGTGGAGGACAGTGAGCAACAGATGATCATGCAACAGGGTACCAGCAACGGTAACAACTTCAGTGGCCACGTGCCATGGGCAGCTGCACAACCGCGGCATCCAAATCTAAACGACGAGGAATCCAACATCCACTTCGCGAAACGACGCCGAATCTCCGCGGACTCGTCTAGAAGTTTTGCGGATCAACAGCGTCTGGAAGAACATCAACCACAAGCATTTCTACCTCATAGTGACCACATCCACCAGTTTTTTTCTCAAGAACCCCAATCGAAATTTGTCAACCAAGAAATCTCACAGTCCTCTCGTGCGAACAGGATGATAGCTGCAAGAAGAGCCAGCTCTTCGGTTTATAATTCGGGTTCAAACGCAGCCGCTCTGAATGTTGACCAGCAGGAAAAAATTTCTGGAGAAAATGAAATCCTGCAGCCTCCGCAGAATCTTGCTTCATCCACTTCCTCCTACCTCTTCCTGGGCGATTACGTGGACCGTGGCATATGAATTGCAAAGGTATCGTACTTCTCGTATAAATGCATTACAAATTCTCTTAGCATGAGAAATGAAATTTGTAATGCGGACCTACCTTAAGAAAAAGATTTGTAATGCATGACTGCAATTACTACGAGTGCGATACCTTTGCACAGGATACGGCATGCGCAGCATCGATGTGGTCTGTCTGCTCTACGCCATGGTGTTACTTGCCAAACACAAACAGCATGACAAATTACCCGGAACAAGTAGAACAGCATCATCGGGTCAAACCTTTCTCCTCCGGGGGAACCACGAGTGCCCGTGCATCAACCGGGTGTACGGGTTTTACGATGAGTGTAAAAGGTTTTCCAAGCAACACGGCGTGAAGCTCTGGAAGTGTTTTGTCGACAGTTTTAACGTGCTGCCGGTCGCCGCGGTGATCCATTTCAACACGTCTCCGACTTTGTCGAGTAATGCAGCATCTGTCATGCAGAACAGCATTACAACAAACCCCTCGAACAATAATCGCCAAGCGAAGATCCTCTGTATGCACGGCGGCTTGTCCCCGGAACTAGACTCGCTGGACCGCATTCGGATGATCCAAAGGCCGACGGCCGTGCCGGGGGAAGGGTTGTTGTGCGATTTGCTGTGGTCCGACCCGGTGGAATATCCTCTGCAAAAGTATCGTACTCGTATTGCAATCATGCATCACAAATCTTTTTGTTGAGGTAAATCCGCATTACAAATTTCATTTCTCATGCTGCGGAAATTTGTAATGCATTTAAGTACACGAGTGCGATCCTTTTGCGCTGCATATAGAAGAGGACGAGATGGAACCCTTGCCGAGCAGTGCGGGGTCTTCACCAATTCTGGAGAGCTTCGACGCGGACGTTAATATGATGCTGGACGAGCAAGATGATTTGGTTTTGGACAACAACAACTCTGTTCGTCCTGCAACACACGCAACTACAACGGATATTCTCCGTGCTGGAACAACTACAGCTGCAACTACATCCTCTTCGAGTCTGATGCACATAGACAATTTGGTGTCCGCCACCACGGTTAGTCAAACCTTGGTCAACGCAGCAGCAGCAGCAGCTGCACCAGTATCATCTACAACTTCCGGGGGCCCACCTGCAGCATTATGAACTGCAAAAGCATCGTAATCTTCGTAGAAATGCATTACAAATTTTCTGAGCATGAGAAATAGACTTTGTGATGCGGATTTACCTTGAGAAGAAGATTTGTAATGCATGATTGCAATTCCTACGAGTGCGATATCGATAGTACTTTTGCAGTTCATGAGCATCCTTTACAAGCAAAACGACCCTGATTTCCGCGGCCTCCCTGCCGATTTCCCCCACGCAGAGGAATAAAAACAACAAGCCGAAGAAGCTTTTTAGAAACCAGGTTGAAATAAATCATCTCGGGCAGCAGGACCACGGAGGCTCTTTTGTAAACAAACGACTTTATTGGGGAAAGAACGACCGCGGGATCTCCGTTACCTTCGGCCTATGACAGTGCACAATCCCCCCTCCCCCTGATTTGTCATGCAAAATAACCAATCCTCGCTTTGCCGCTTTTAGCACTGTTTGCATGACAAGTTCTCGTAGCCCAAATGCTGGCATATATAGTACTTCATTGCAAATTTCTCATGCAAAACCGGCATTCTTGCCGATGCTAGTATTGCCGTTCATGCTATACAAATGAGGGGGAGGAAGGTTGGTGCACTGTTATACGGCCCGAAAACGGTGCCGAAGGTGCTCCAGAACTTGAACAAAAGAGAGAACCTGAGAATTCGCGAACGGGATAGACATATGAATTGCAAAAGTAATCGTACTTACGTAGTAGTATTTGCATTACAAATTCGCTCAGCATTAAAAATTGAATTTGTAATGCTGATTTACGTTGAGAAGGAGATTAATATTTATATTGCTTGACTTCCGGGTTCTGTAATCACATACCCCAGACGAGAGGCGACGGCGAGAGGTGACGGCGACAGGTGGCGGCGAGAGGTGAAACGACAGGCGAAACGACAGGCGAAAGGACAGGCGAAGCGACAGGCGAAAGGAGAGGCGAAGCGACAGGCGGCGACGACAGGCCAAAAGTGGCAACTTCCCATGCGGTTTCGCACAAGCAGCATGGACATTCCAAGCAAAAAAATAAATAAAATTGCTATTGACTTTCGACAAAAAAAAAATAGTTTTTTTTATTTTTATTCACGTGCAAAAAATAAAAATAATTGCTTCACTCTTATCCGAAAAAATAATTAATTACTAATTATTTTTTCGGATAAGAAGAAACTAATTATTTTTTGCACGTGAAGAAAAACAAAAGACCTATTTTTTTCACATACCCCAGACGACAGGTGACGGCGACAGGTGAGGACGAGAGGCGACGGCGACAGGCGAAAGGAGAGGCGAAACGACAGGCGAAAGGAGAGGCGAAACGACAGGCGACGGCGACAGGCCAAAAGTGGCAATTTCTCACGCGGTTCCGCACCAGCAGCAGCAACAAAAAAACGCAACGACTCAGCTACTTCCGAGAAGAAAAAGCCAACTTTTTTATTTTTATTCATGTGTAAAAAATAGCCAGCGCATTCATATCCGAAAAACCGGGACTATTTTATGCACGTGAATAAAAATCAAAAAACTGCTTTGTTGCTCGCGGAACTCAATAGCCCTTTGCTTTTTTTTGTTGCTGCTGCTGGTGCGGAACCGCATGAAGCGCTGCAGCTTTTGGCCTGGCGTCGTCGCCTGTCGTTTCGCCTGTCGCTCCACCTGTCGTTTCGCCTGTCGCGTCGCCTGTCGCCGCCGCCTGTCGCCTGGGGTGTCTGATTCCAGAGCCCGGAAGGAAAGTCTGACGCACTTTGGCTCTTTGCCTTTTCTTTTCGCAAATAAAGGAGAAGCCGATCGCGCCCGAAAAAAAGCGCCTCGGACTGATTTCCAGCGTTTTTAGTAGAATGCCCGCAAATAGCCGGGGCAGGGGTTTTCTTCTGGAATATCCGCGCACATTCGGGCGGGGGTTGTGTTCTGGAATATTCGAAAGCACTTACCTCCAAAAGCATGAGGCCCGCCAAGAGCCTTCAGCTGTTCGTGGAATATACGCGAAGAGCCGCGGCAGGGGTTTTGTTCTGGAATATCTGCGAGCACTCTCCCCGGCCGGGGTTTCGGACTGCCCTGGTATATTCGCGAGTATTCGGGCGGGGGCTGTGTTCTGAAATATTCCGAAACACTTCGCAAGACCACCTATCGGGCCCGCCAAGGGTCTTCAGGTGTCCTTTCGGGAGAATCTTCGCGCACAACCCGGGGCGGGTTTGGTTCTGGAATATTCGCGAAGAGCCGGGGAGGGGGTTTTGCTCTGGAATACTCGCAGAGGCTTCCCAAGGGGCTGTGGGCTCGCTGTCCTGATATACTCGCGAATATTCGGGCGGGGGTTGTGTTCTCGAATATTCGCAATTATTTCGCAAGAGCATAGGGCCCACCCCGAGTCCCCGGGCGTTCGTAGAATAGTCGCGAACAGCCGGAAGCGGAGGTCTGTTGTGGAATATTCGCGAATTGCCGGGGGAAGGGTTTTGCTCTGGATTATTCGCGAATACTTTCCAAGGGGCTTCGGCGAACTAACTTTGGATAAAATCAACCTTACCTCGATGAACTTGATATTTGCTCCTCGGAGCCTTTCTCAGCATCGCCAAAAAAAAAGAGACTCGCAAGCGACAGCAAGCAGTTATCAAAAAAATACTCTTTGGAGGCTATACGACTATTGAGAGCTCCTCGGAGACTAGATCTTACCGATCCAGTGACGATTCACTAAGCAAACCGATTTGTAATTAATTCTCCTCGGAGCCTAGCAGATTATGCTTCTTCGGAAGCTAGAAGCTATGATGCGCCGCGTCTAGTTATCTCGAGTCCTCGGATTCTATACGGTATCGGGCCTTCGGGCATCAGTCGGCCAGTTAAGACTGGACGATCCCCTCCAAGGGGCTTCGGGCTGCCCTGGTATAGTCAAAAATATCTGGGCGGGGGTTGTGTTCTGGAATATTCGGAAATATTTCGCAGGAGCAGGAGGCCCGCCAGGGGTCTGCAGGGGTATGCTCCTAGAAAGAATATTCGCGAAGAGGCGGGCCAAGGGTAGTTTCGCTTCCTCTGGAATATTCGCGAAGAGCCGGGGAGGGGGTTTTGTTGGTTCTGGAATATTCGAGAGCAAGTCCCAAGGGGCTTCGGATTGCCCTGAAATATTCGCGGACATTCGGGCGGGGGTTCTTGTGTTCTGGAATGTTCGGGAATATTTCGCAAGAATATTGGGCCCGCCAGGAGTCTCCCGGTTTTCCTGGTTGGAATATTCGCGAATAGTCGGGGGGGGGTTTGGTTCTGGAAGATTCGCGAAGAGTCGGGGAAGGGGTCGTGCTCTGGAATGCTCGCGAATATTTCCCGGGGGGCTCCGGACCGCCGTGATAAATATGTATCCGAATATTCGGGCGGGGGTTGTGTTCTGGAATATCCGGAAACATTTCGCAAGAGTGTAGGGCCCGCCCCGGGTCTTCGGGTGCTCGGGGAATATTCGCCAACAGCCGGGGAAGGTGTTGCGTCCGTGGTGGAATATTCGCGAACAGCCTCAGTAGGGGTCTGGACTGTCCTGGAATATGCGCGAATATTCTCCGAAGGGCTTCGGATTGCCCTGATATACTCGCGAATATTCGGGCGGGGGTTGTGTTCTGGAATATTTGAAAACTTTGCGCAAGAGTATGGGGCCCGCCCCGAGTCTTGAAGGGAGAGGCCTTCTGCTGGGACGAATACGCGCGAAAATTTCTCGAGGGGTTGCAGCCCGCTCCGCGTGCGAAGCCCCGGGGCGCCATTTTGGCCGTCAGTAATGCGAAGGCGGGGAATCTTGGAAAAGCGTGCAACTTTTTCAAGTTTGCCGAGCTTATCCGAAAATCCAAGGGCGCAAAGCAATCCAGTTGGCCAGCCTTGCCCCGCTCTGTTCCGTCCCTGGGGTGCCGGGTATCGCGCGAAGCCCCGAGGCCACATTTTGGCCGGCCGCAGGTATTTCCAAGACTGGCAGCCTTCAGAAAATTTCTCAAGTTTGGCCAGCTTTTCCGAAAAGTAAGCCAGGCCACAGACAAAGCGGCCCAGTTGGCCAGCCTTGGCCCGCTCTGCTCCCTGCTTCTCCGGCTCTCGCGCGAAGCCCCGAGGCCACAGACTGGCCGCAGGTAATGCGAAGGGAGGCCGGCGGGGAATCTTGGAAAAGTTCGAAAGCTTTCAAGTTTGGCAAGCTTCTCCGAAAATCCAAGGCCATGAAGCAGCCCAGCTGCCTGGGCAGCCTTGCCCCGCTCTGTTCTTTGCTTCTTCGGCTATCGCACGAAGCCCCGAGGCAAAGCAATGGCCGTAGGTAAAGCGAACGCGGGAAATTTTGAAAAGCCCGAAAAGACAAGCCCTCAAGCTTGGCCGGCTTCTCCGAAAACCAAGGCAGGGCCGCAAAGCAGTCCAGCCGGCCAGCCTTTCCCCGCGCGCCCTGCTCCGTGCCCCTCCGGCTATCGTGCGAAGCCAGGGGGGCCATGCGTTGGCTGCTGGTGATGCGAATGCGGAAAACCTCGGAAAGACTTGGCAAAATTTCGCAAGTTTGGCTAGCTTTTCCGTAAACCCAACCAAGGCCGCAAAGCCGACCAGCTGGGCAGCCTTGCCCCGCTCTGTTCCCTTCCTTGCCTCTCCGGCTATCGCACGAAGCCCCGAGGCCGCCCACAGTTTGGCCGGCCGCTCGTAATGCGAAGGCGGGGAACCTTGGAAAAACTTGAAAAAATTTCCAAATTTTGCCAGCTTCTCCGAAGAGCCAAGGCCGCAAAGCAGCCCAGCAGGCCAGCCTTGCCCTGCCCGTCTGTTCCTTGCTTCTCCGGCTATCGCGCGAAGCCCCGACGCCGCAAAGCGGCCGAAGGTAATGCGCGGGCGGGAAACCTTGAAAGAACTCGAGAAACAAAAGCGCGCAAGCTTGGCCCGCTTTTCCGAAAACCCAAGGCCAAAAAGCAGGCCGGGGCCGGCCTTTCCATCCTTTCTTTGCTCCCTCGCCCCTTGCTTCTCCGGCTACCACGCAAAGCCCCGCCCGACGCCACAGATTGGCTGAAGGTAATGCGAAGGCGGAAGGCCTTGGAAGGGTTTGAGGAAATTCCCCAAGTTTGGCCAGTTTTTCCGAAAACGCAAGGCCGCAAAGCGGTCCAGCTTGCCAGCGTTGCCCCGCCCTGTTCCTTCCTTCTCCGGCTATCGCGCGAAGCCCCGAGGCGGTGGGCTTAGGTAATGCCGAAAACTAACCAAAGGCAACACGCAAACAAAGCAGTCCAGCTGGCCAGCCCTGCCCCGCCCTGCTCCCCGCTTCTCCGGCTATCGCGTGAAGCCCCGAGGCCACAAATTTTTGGCCGCAGGTGATGCGACGGCGGGGCTCCTTGACACTTTGGCCAGCTCTTCCGCAAACCCAAGGCCGCAAAGCAGTCAAGCTCGCTGGCCAGCCTTGCCGCGCTCTGTTCCTTGCTTCCCCGGCTATCGCGCGAAGCCCCGAGGCCACGGACTGGCCGTAGGTAATGCGAGGCGGGGCATATTGAAAAAGCACGGAGGCAGCAGAGCAGTCCAGCGCGCTGGCCAGCCTTGCCCCGCTCTGTTCCTTGCTTCGCCACTTATCGCGCGAGGCCCCGGGGCCACAAATTGGCCGAAGGGTTGGGAGGGAATGCGAACGGGCGCGGGGAATTTGGAAAAATGCTTGGAGTTTGGCAAGCTTTTCCGAAAAGCCAAGGCCGCAAAGCATCCCAGGCTGGCCAGTCTTGCCCCGCCCTGTTCCTTGCTTCTCCGGCTATCGCGCGCGCGAAGCTTCGGGGCCACAGACTGGCCGGAGATAATGCGAAAGCGGGGCGGCTTGAAAAAGTAAAAGCCCGAAAGCCGCGGGAGCGCTCTCGAGTTTGGCCAAAACCGCAACCAAAGCAGTCCAGCTGGCCAGCCTTGCCCCGCTCCTTTCCTTGCCCCTCCGGCTATCGCGCGAAGCCGCGAGGCCACAGATTGGCCGCTCCCAGGTAATGCGAAGCCGGGGAAGTTTGGAAAACCTTGAGAAAATTTTTCCAGTTTGGCCCGCTTTCCCGAAAACGCAAGGCCGCAAAGCAGTCCAGCCGGCCAGCCTTGCCCCGCTCTGTTCCTTGCGTCTCCGGCTATCGCGCGAAGCCCCGAAGCCAGAAGTTGGCCGCAGGTAATGCGAACAAGGTGGGGAATCTGGGAAAAAGTTGCGAAAAGTTTTCAAGTTTGGCCCGCTTTTCCGAAGGCCCAAGGCCACAAAACAGCCCAACGAGCTGGCCCGCCTTGCCCCGGTCTGTTCCTTGCCTCCCCGACCATCGCGCGAAGCTCCGAGGCCAACAACAAACCGGCCGTAGGCGATGTGAAGGCGGGAAACCTTGAAACAGCTCGGGGAGATTTGCCAAGTTAGGCCAGCCCCCCCGAAAGCCCAAGGCCGCAAAGCAGTCCAGCTGGCCGGCCTTCGCCCGCTCTGTTTCTTGCCTCTCCGGCTATCGCGCGAAGCGGCCCCGCGGCCCGCCAGAGATTGGCCGTCGGTAATGTAAAGGCGGGGAACTTTGGAAAACCTCGGCAGAACTTTTCGACTTTGGCCAGCTGCTCCGAAAACCCAAGGCCGCAAAGCCGTCCCGCTTGCCAGCCTTCCCCCGCTCTGTCTGCTCCTTGCTTCTGCGGCTATGTACCGCGCGAAGCCCCGAGGCGAGGCCACAGATTGGCCGCAGGTAATGCGAAGGCGGGGACCCTTTGAAAAGGCTTGAAAAGATTTCGCAAGTTTGGCTAGCTTTTCCGAAAACCCCCCGACACCGCAAAGCAGTCCAGCTGGCCGGCCTGCCTCGCTCTGTTCCTCGCTTCTCCGGCTATCGGACGAAGCCCCGAGGCCGCAGGTGGTGCGAAGGCCGGGGACCTTGCAGACAGTTGAGAAAAGTTCTCAAGTTAGGCTAGCGCTTCCGAAAACCTACCCCCCAAGGCCGCAAAGCAGTCCAGCTGGCCAGCCTTGCCCCGCTCTGTTCCTTGCTTCTCCAGCTATCGCGCGAAGCCCCGAGGCCGCAGATTGGCCGGGGGTAATGCGAGGCGGAACACCTCGGGAAACTTGAAAAGAGCCCCCAAGCCGGGCCATCTTTTCCGAAAACCCAAGCGAGGCCGCACGCAGCGCAGCCCAGCTGGCCAGCCTTGCCCCGCTCGTATCTTTCCCCTGCTTCTCCGGCTATCGCGCGAAGTCCTGGGGCCACGGATTGGCCGCAGGGAGTGCGACGGCGGGGAATTTTGAAAAAACCTGACAAAGCGGCCAAAGCTTCCAAGTTTGGCCAGCTGTCCCGGAAGTCTGTCCGAGGCCGCATAGCCTTCCGGCTGGCCAGCCTTGCCCCGCTCTGTTCCCTGCTTATCCTGCTATCGCGCGAAGCCCCGAGGCCACGCGTTGGCCGCAGGTCATGCGAAAAACTCGAAAAAAAAAACTTGCAAGCTCGGCAGGCTTTTCCGAAAACCGACCCGAGGCCGCAATCAAAAAAGACCAGCTGGCCAGCCTTGCTCCGCTCTGTCTGTTCCTTGCTGCTCCGGCTATCGCGCGAAGCCCCGGGGCCGCCCTCACATTGCCCGGAGGTAATGCGAGGGCGGGCGATCTTGAAAAAACTTGGCAAATAAAGCTTGGAAGCCTGGCAAGCTTCTCCGAAAACCCAAGGCCGCAAAGCGATCCGGCAGGCCAACCTTGCCCCGCTCCTTTCCATCCATCCTAGCTTCCCCAGCTATCGCGCGACGCCGCGGGGCCAAAGGGTGGCCGTAGGCAATGCGAAGGCGGGCGGGAGATCGTGAAAAAACTTCAAAAAATTTTTGCAAGTTTGGCAAGCTTTTCCGAAGCCCCCAGGCCTCAGTCAAAGCCGTCCAGCCGGCCCCGGCCTGCCTTGCCCCGCTCTGTGCCGTGCTTCTCCGGCTATTGCGCGAAGCCCCGCGGCCACACTTTGGCCGTAGGTAGTGCGAAGCTGGGCGGGGGAAGGGGAGTGCGAAAAAACTTGAAAAATTGTTTCAAGTCCGGCCCGCTTTTCCGAAAACGCAAGGCCAACTGGCCGGCCTTGCATGCCCCCCTCCGACAGCTCCTTGCTTCCCCCGCTATCGCGCGAAGCCGCGGGGCCGCCTCTATCTTGCATCGGCCTCGGTAGTTTTTCCCGGTTCGCTTGGCCAGCGTTTCCGAAAACGCAAGGCCGCGCGCAAAGCAGTCCCGCCGGCAAGCCTTGCCCCGCTTTGCTTCATTTTTGCTCCCTGAGCTACCTAGCGCGCGAAGCCCCAGCGCCACACTTTGGCTGCAGGCGGTGCGACCCTGGGAGGTCTTGCAAAAGCTCCGAAGTCTCGCCGCCTTTTCCGAAAACTCAGCCAAGCCCGCAAAGCAGCCCAGCGAGCCAGCCATCCCTTGCTCCGTTCTGTTGGCTCCCTGCTTCTCGGGCTATCGCGGAACGCCCCGGGGCCAAATTTTGGCGGTAGGCAGTGCGAAGTCGGGAAGGGGGGTCTCGGGAAAACGCAGAAAGCTCTGGGGAGCTTGGCAAGCTTTTCCGGGAATGTAAGGCCGCAAAGCGGTCCAGCGAGCTGGCCAGCCTTGCCCCGCTCTGTTCCTTGCTTCTCCGGCGCTCGTGCGAAACCCCGAGGCCCGCCACATTTTGGCCGTAGGTGATACGAACGCGGGCGGGGGACCTTGAGGAAAGTGGCAAAGCCTTTTCAAGTGTGGCCAGCTTTTCCGAAAACCGACGCAAGGCCGCAAAGGAAGCAACACAGCTGGCCAACCTTGCCCCGCTCCCTCCCTCTGTTCTTCTCTTCTCCGGCTATCGCGCGAAGCCCCGGGGCCACATTTTGGCCGTGGGTAGTCGCGGGGCGGGAAGTCTTGAAAAAGCTTGAAGGCTTCAAGCTGAGCCACCTTATCCGAAAACCCAAGGCCACAAAGCCATCCAGCTCGCCAGCCTTGCTCCGCTATGTCCGCTCTCTGTTTCTCCGGCTACCGCGCGAGGCCTCATTTTGCCCGTAGGCAGTGCGAAGGCTGGGAAGCTTGAAGAAGCTTGAAAAAATTGGCCGGCTTTTCCGAAAACTCGAAGCCGCAAAGGGGTGCGCTGGCCAGCCTTACCCGCTCTGCTCAATGCTTCTCCGCCTACCGCGCGAAGCCCCCCCCCCTGGGCCGGCCGCATTTTGGGCGTAGCTAATACGAGGGCAAGGGATCTCGAAAAAAGTCTGCGGAGCTTTTTCGTGGGCCGCTTTTCCGAAAACCGGAGGCCGCAATCGCAGCTAGCAGTCTGTCCAGCTGGTCAGCTCTGGCCCGCTCCGTTCCGTGCTTCTCCGGCGATCGCGCGAAGCCCCGCGGCCGCGTTTTTTTTTTGGCCGCGCGCCCGTAGGTAATGCGGCGGCGGGGAATCTTGGAAAGCTTGGAAACTTTTTCCAGTTTGGGCCCCTCTGCCGAAAACCCAAGGCCGCAAGCAAAGCAGTGCAGCGGGCCAACCTTGCCCCGCTCTGTTCCTTGCCTCCCCGACTATCGCCCTGGCCTCGTGCCTCGGCCCTTGCTCTCATGCGAGAGAGCGGCGCCCAGCGTCCAGATTTGTTCGGCGAACTTCGCAGCGCTCGGCCTACGCCTCTGGGGCGGTGGCATTTCTGAACGGGGCGCACCACAGTCCAACGCCGTCGCCTGTCTGTCGCCGTCGCCTGAAGCCGAAACCCCAGGCCGAACCCCCAGGCCGAATCCTCAAGCCGAAACCGAAGCCAAGGGCCCGCGTGGGGACCCTGTCCCCACGCTCGGACCTTGTTTGTCATGCACAATTCCGATTAGTACAACGAGTACGATACTTTTGCACAGGATAAGACAGGCGAATTCCCAATCGAACTCTTCCTCGGACATCGAGTTAGTTCTCCGTGCGCATATGCAATGCAAATATGTCTGGGTCTGGAAACGTGTCGTGATGCTAGTTTGTGAATGGTGGGCGCACTGCGTTATGCAGCCACGCATGACATCAAGTTTCTGAGGTCCTTATGTGTTTCGCTTCCCGCATGACAAACTGCATTTTGCATAACAGGTAACAAGAAGCTGCCTTCCTGCTCATGCATTACAGATTTAACAGTCATGTGAGACAAGCATGACAAGCCTGCATTCTTCCAGACCCAGACATATTTGCAGTTCATAGCGCACCAGGTAGTGCAAGACGGGTACGAGTTTTTCGCAGACAAGAAGGTGGTCACGCTGTTCTTATCAAATATAAAAATGTCTGGGTCTGGAAGCTTGCCAGGTTTGTCATGCATATTTTGGAAGACTCATCATGTCAGTGATGCATGCTCTAACATGGCAGATTTTTAGAGGCCTTTGTGATGCCTCTACCGCATGAGAAATGCCCTCTCCGGGTAGCACAAACCGGAGTTCTGTTGCCGGTCATACAATGCAAATTTATGTAGAATCCAGAGACAGCATCACAAGTTTAGAATCTTCCAGACCCAGACATTTTTGCATTTGATAGTTCTCCGCACCAAACTATTGCGGGGAATTCGACAACTCGGCGGCGATTTTGACGTTAAAACCGGTCGTGAAATCGAAACCGTTATGAACTGCAAAAGTATCGTACTCGTTGTACGAATAGCATTTATGCATTACAAATTTCTTTTTCAAGGTAAATCAGCATGAAAAATTCCATTTGTCATGCTGAGCTAATTTGTATTGCAATACTACGAGTACGAGTACGATACTTTTGCAGTTCATAACCGTTGTTGGATGAATACGAAATCCGCTGCAGGTTCCACGTCATGCAGGCGGCGGGGTGAGGATTTGATTTCGAATTGGATCTTCAAGACAGTACTAGGTGCAGGCGGTCTTGTGCTGCTGGGCAGCGACCGTTGGCGTTAGAAGAGCGTACTTACAAACTGGTGCACAAAAAGCGAAATTAATTACTACATTCAGGGCACACGCGCATCTTCACAGACTGACAACGTATTTACTGTGCTCGAAGATGTTATCAGAGCAACTACTTGGTCGTCGTGATGTGTGTAAATTTTTTGAAAGATCATGTTGACGCGTTGGCATTGTACAGTACTACCACAAAGTTCTTGAAGAATTATGGAAGTTAGCACAGGAGTTGTAGTTGTTGATAATATCCCGCCTCGCCAACATCAACATGCTAAATTTACAGAAGAGAACACGCACTCTACTCACGGTTTCCTATAAAAGTTGTACGAAATTATAAAGAAGCTACGCTGTACGTTTCAACAATTATTTATTAAGCGAGGACAGGTGGACCATTTCCGGACGCCGGGGAAGGCGCGTGGAAAAGCTCATTACAACCTCCCGCGGTCGACGGTCTTCGCAGAAAAAAAAAGTTGTGGTGCTGATGTTCGTCCAGCGCGGATAGGGATCAACTTCTATCTCGGGATCAAATCATGCTCACGTGTACTAAAAACGATGAAGAAATCTCATGGTATTCCTATCAGTATTAAGTAGAGGACTCGTATCTAGTTCTCACAACAACCGAGGTATTTGATTTCGGTAAGGAGCTTGTTCATGTCGTGTTTTTTCGACTGTACCAACACATTTTTCGGTAAAGATGAGTATCGATCCACTTCGGTTTTGTGGATGACAAGTTAATAGATACGCTTTTCGGTCGTAATTGAGGCATCAAGCAGATGACTAGTAGGAGCCAAAAGCGTTTCCTATATTCGGTCGCAGCAACGAGGGCGCGCCAGAAAATAAATTCTGCATAATTTGAGAAGTTTTTGCATCCACCTCATATGATAATGCCGGATAAGGATTTGATTATCCACCCTGTATAAAGATTCATGGATCTTCAATCAATATACAACAGCCCCCTGATTATCAGGTACAGGTCATGAAGACCGCTTTGCTTACCCCTATCACTGCGCTTCCCTTTTAAAGATTTTTCCCCCTGTAGAACTTGCGTCCGTTTTGGAAATTGAATTTCCAAGCGCAGTTTAACAAGCGACATAATAGATACGTACACATTCTTGTTCTTCTCGTAGTGTTGTGAAGTAGACCAGGCGAGCGCATCGTCATGAATTTCTATTTTTTCTGTGGGGAGGAGCCTTTCTGATAATTACACATTAACGAGTTGCTTTAATATTCGCCCAGCAGCCCGTCGGACGGCAGAAAACAGCCTTGGCTTCTTCTAGTACCGCAAAGATGACCCTGACCGCCACCAGTCCCTTATTCTCTGCCTCGGGTCGCGGAAGCCCTCTGTCCGCGACCGGTCGGCTCCCCGGGAGCGGCAGCAGCCTTTCCTCCTCCACAGGTGGGGCAGCCGGTTCGCTTAGCCCGAAAAAGCCGCCAGGGTATAGTAGTGGAACTTCCTCACCCATGCAAGAAAAAAACTGTGTAAGTGTAAATTTGTGTTGTAGAACATGCAACAGAGTTACACCTGTCATGCCAGACAGCCACGAAGTCCTATTTTCGTGTGTGTTTTGCCTTACAAGCGACGCATGACAGGTTTTCTCTGTCATGTAGAGCAAATTTGTGATGCTGTTCCCCAAAGAAAGTTACACTTACACACTTTTTTTCCTGGATATCACCAATCACAGCTCTCGGGAGCCCGCTGGTAAAGAGGCCACCGGGATCATATGGGAGCAGTACTAGCAGTAGTGTTTTCAACAAACAAGTGGAACCCATGTCGATAGTTTCGTCCATCTCAACGAGAAGCGCGATCGCAGAGGTTCCCGACGAAGACATGCCAGGAAGAAATAGTACTGTCGGCACGCCATCTTTCGGTGGCGCTGGTGGAGTAATAACGTCATCACTTTCATCAACCGCCGGCGCAACTACATCGGCACTACAAAACCCCTCCAAATACACCCGCCAGCTGGTGGGATTTCGAAACCTCGGCAACACCTGTTTTCTGAACTCGATTCTGCAGTGCCTCCTCTCGGTGCCCCCCCTCGCAAATTACTTCCAGCACAAGTTCAACCCAAGAACCGACGTAAACAGCAACTCTACCCGGCCAAACGCGACAAACGGACAGTTAGTGCACCAATTTAAGCTTTTTATGGACGAGTGCATTTCGGCGAAAGCAATGTCCACGGTGAACCCGGCGAGTCTGCGGCAAGTCATGGTCAAATTCGCGCCGCAGTTTGCGAACTATAACCAGCAGGACGCGCACGAGGCACTGCGGTTTTTGCTGGACGGTCTACACGAGGATTTAAACCGTGTTGTGGGGAAGCCGCTGTATAAGGAACTGAAAGACATCCCGGGCGAATCGCTTGACGACTGCGCCAACCGGTGGTGGCAATACCAGCAGCAAAATTTCGGGAATTCAGTCATCACAGATATCTTCGCGGGACAATTTTTTAGCGAAACGCACTGCCACCTCTGCGACCACAGGAGCCGGGCCTTTGACACGTTTATCCTGAGTAAAAACGTACCCACACCAGAGTCAGGATCGGGATTTTGCAACACAAACCTAGGAGTTTTGTGAGTCACGCATGACAAGTTGCGCTCTGCAGTGTAGTGCAGGTTAGCAAGTGCAGCCGCATCACAGATTCATCTGCTCATCCTGTTCACAGCATCACAAATTCCAAAACACGACTGGAAATGGCTCTCATGGGGATACGCATTACAAGTCTTCCTGTCTTTGCAAATCTGCATTACAACTCTGGCGTGGGGACGTTTTTACTCAGGATAACGTTTTTGGACTTGTCACTGCCGTTTCCGAATAGATTGAGTGCCGTGGCGAGAGACGTACGACTTTTTGTTTTTTTTTTCATTTCTGCCTCAGTAAGCAAAAGGAAAAGCAAGACCATGACCAACAGCAAGGTGCGTCGCATCTTCACTTCTATCACTGTACAGAGCAATTATACCAATGCCTGCTGCAACATACTGCATTTATCATTTCGTTTATGTATAGTCGCACCTGAGTGAACAAAGTGGTCGTCGTGGTGACGCGCAACGCCGTCGATGGCGGAGAGTCAAGAATTAGACAGTAGTTACCGAATGATCGACAAGAGCCCATCAAAACAACAAAAACTTTTTATCTCAGGCAACCCTGACCGACTGTCTCCGGGAATTCACGCAAGAGGAAGTTCTGGAAGCGAAGGACTACAAGTGCGAGAAGTGCAAAAAATCCAACAAGATCACAAAACGCGTTGGTATCTACCGGCCGCCCAAGGTTCTCGTGCTCCACTTGAAGCGGTTTTCCTGGCTAAACCGAAGAAAGATCGACCACATGGTGCACTATGCACTGCAAAAGCATCGTACTCGCAGTAATTGCTTTTATGCATGACAAATTTCTTTCTCAAGTCGAATCCGCATCAGAAATTTCATGTCTCATGTTGAGAAAATTTGTCATGCGATTTATACTAGTACGATGCTTTTGCAGTGCATATGCATTTCCCGATAACAAATCTGGACATAGGAGAATTTGTCGAGCTATGAACTGCAAAAGTATCGTACTAGTAGTAATTGTAATACAAATGAGCTTAGCATGACAAATGGAACTTGTCATGCTGTTTTGCATTGGGATGGAGATTTGTAATGCATGACTACGAGTAGGAGTACCATGAGTACGATACTTTTGCACAGGATACGAGCAGTCCAACGACGCCGTGGTGAAGAGAAACAGTATATGCATTGCACATGTGTCTGGGTCTGGAAGGTTGGAACTTGTGATGCTAACTTTGGACTCTAAAAAAATCTGTAATGCATGACCAGCAAGAGGAGTCCAGTTTGTGCTACGGAGGGGAGCAGGGCATTTATCATGCGGAATAGGCATGAGGAAGGCCTCTAAAAATCTGTGATGCTGGATCGTGCATCACAGACATCCTGAGTCATGCAAAATAGGCATGACATTCCAGACCCAGACACTTTTGCATTCGATACAGTAGGATTGGCAGCATTTTCGAACCGTCTGGGCTGTTGCAGCGAAACACCTCCAAAACGAGTAGTAAACAGTCGGGCTCGAGCGCAACGTCAACAAACTACGTTTACGATTTGTGCGGGGTAAGCCAGCACTCTGGGACGATGACGGGCGGCCACTACACGGCGTGCTGCAAGATTTCGGACCACCATTGGGCAAACATCTCGGATGCGATGGTTTCACTTTGTCGCAACGAGTCAGACGCGGTCGACGTGAGCGCATACTTGCTTTTTTATGTCAGGAGGCTGTGATAGAAGAGGAGTAAATAGATACTCTCTATAGACCTAGACGTAGAAGAACCATCCATGAAGATATCAGGGTTCTATATTCTTTAGTTTTGTGTTTCTCTCTCTTGTACAATGAATTTGAATTTTACTTGTGCTGCTGTAGTGGTTTTAATAGAGAAAAAACCTGCACGGCTTTTTGATGTTCAGCCATTGTAAAAGCACATGCACAAGAACAAAAACCTCGCGCTCTTTGTACATAACAGTTGTTTCGTCAACATAATTTCCAGAAGTGCTAGTAGCATTTTTCAAACTCAAACATACGACTGCTATTCTTTGGAAGCAGCAAGCAGCAGAACTACACCCCAGACTCAGAGGTGGGTGTGGGGCTTCGCATTGATTGTGGCGCACGGGGCTCTGATGCTCGCGCTCTCATGACAGCGTGCCTGCGAGTCCTCGCTGGACACGACGAGAGCGAGGGGGCTTTTTCTGAATTGAAACTTCTGTTGCTGTGGAAAAAGAATCGTGCAGCCGAATCAGTATCGTCCGACGTCTTTAGCCTTTCGGCAAAAGCGACGCACAGAAGTTCTGTGACGCCGCAGCTAGCAGCGTTGCAGCCACATAAATCATGTGTTCTCGTTTCGGGGAGGGGTTGCATATTGTTTCGATATGCAGTGGCGCAGCCGCACTTTTGGACGGGCAAAGGCGAGAGCTTGCTTAGCAGAAAATACAAAAACAGGCCTTGCGCTCTGGAGCGCCTGCGAGGTTGGTGCCACGCCGCGGAAATGCCGCGCGCTGGGCCGGGGCGCCGGTCGCCTTTTCCGTTACGCCGCCTCCGCACTTGCAAAGCTGATCAAGCTGCTGCGACAGATGAAGGCGACAGGTGACGGCGACAGGCTTCGGCGGGGTGGCCTCCACCTTGCTGCTCAGCCCGGCGCCGTTTGTTATCGAAGCCGAGCGGGCGGGCAGCCGGCGCGGATTCCAGGAAGGCGGCGCGCGCGCAGCCCCGTGCCAGATCCAGATGGCGGGAGGTGGTGAAGCCGCGCCAGTTTGGGCGCGCGAAGGCGGCCGGGCCGGGTTTGGTTGCTAACAAACCAGACCACCGGCGTGCGAGAGTGCCGAAGGCCGGCGGGTGCCCCCTTGCCGCCGCGGAGCCGCCCCGCACTGTTTCCGGCTGGCGACGACGGCGGGGGCAGCTCTCCCGATCTGCGCGACGGCCACCGGCGGAGTATTCTGGTGCGACAAATGCCGGGCACGGTTCTCGGCCCCCCCCCCCGCGTACTCGACTCTATGGCGACCCCGAAAACCATATTGGGCGCGGGAAGGAAAACCCGCAGCAGCCTGGGGCACCTGTCGCCCGAGATGGCGGCGGCGCGGCATTGCCGCCGTATCTGCGAACGGGGGGGGGGGCGGTGCGAGGGTACCGGGTTGCGCCTCGGCCAAACTGCTCCGCCGTTCTCGGCACCCGGCGCGCGGATGGGGTGGGGTGGAGCCGCAGCATTGGCAGCCCCGCCCTGCCAAATAAAAGGCGGGAGCTATCTAGCCGGGGGCGGCAAGCGGCCCCGCCTGTCGCCCGGGCCGCGGCCGGGCGGGGTAGGGGGCGCGCGGTCACAGCCCCGAGGGCGCCGGTCCGGTCGTGTATGTTGCGACAAGCGCCCTACGCCGAAGAAGTGCGATTTCTCCTCCGGCGGACTATTCTGGGGGCGTTCTCATCCGGACCCGACGTTCGCGGCGATCGATGCCCACCGAAATCCTCCAAGGCCGGCCCCGCCCGCGGGCCGGCGGGGCCTGTGTGATTTCGCTTAGGATGCGGCTGCGACATGCAGAGCGTTCGCGCATTCCGCCTGGGCGGGCTTGCTATTTCTGTGCTCGCCCCGCTTTGTTTCGGCGAGCGGAGCCTGCGCGCAGGGCACGCAGTGTGGCCGGCTGCCCGCGCCCCCGCCCCAGCCTTCTTAGCCGGGCCGCGCGCCCTGGATTCCTTCGGGCGAAGCGGTTCGCCGGGGCGGGTGTTTGTGCGTAGGCTTCGGTCGCCTTCAGGCGTTGGATGTCCTGGGGGCCTTCGGTTCGTTGGGCGCGCGGGCGGTCGGGGGCGCCGCACGCGCTCCCGCGCGCCGAGCACCCTCGCAGCCGCAGCGAGCGCCGGAGCCCCGCGGGCGCTCAGTCATGGTGCCGGAAAAAAACTTCGTTCCGTTTTTAATATTCATTGCCGAGAGCAAGTGGCCTGTGTTTCGGATTCCAACCAGCTTGTTGAGCATGTGCCGCCCCGTGTTCTTTTTTCTTTGGTTTGTGGGATATTTATATACGAGAGGTCCCGGACCCGCTACCGATCGTATTTTTACTCACCCCTACCGAAGACCTGTATGAAGGTGGAAGCCTGTTAGTTGTGTATTCACTGGGGTCCTGTCATCGGTTTTGTCGTTTGTTTCCCTGCAGATCATGCTCACCGTGGTACTAGGACACGAACCTGAGGCACATGCTGAAAGTAGGAGGACCTCTTTATCTGCACGACGCGTCGTGACGTGACAAAAAATCATGTCGTCCAGCACGAACACGACCGCAGCTCCGATGTCCCCACGAGGAGATATTGCAACCACCCCGCACCTATCCTGTGCAAAAGTATCGTACTCGTACTCATCGCAGTCATGCATTACAAATCTCGTTTCCAAGCCAAATCAGCATGACAAATTCCGTTTGTAATGCTGGGCTAATTTGTCATGCGATTGATACTAGTACGATACTTTTGCAATGCATAGCAGCATGATAACTCCTCGCATCCCCTCTCCGACGATGAAGACGATTTCTATAACGACCCCAACCGTCGCGCCCAGTTCCTCATCCCTCTTCCCGCCTGTCTCTGCTGCCTCCTGCCCTGCTGGGCGAAATTTTGCCGAATTCCGAGTCCAGCAGGAGCGCAGACGGGTGGACATCTCGAGATAGGAAACCGCGACCGGCAACCGGTTTCTTCGTCTAGAAGAGCATCATCTTCATCCCCGACAACTCGAACGACTTCTAGGCGGGCGGCCAGCAGCAACTCCTTCTGGACCCGTTTCGGCAACATCAAAGTCTTCCACCACGCAAGGACGAACACAACGCTCTTTATCGGCCCGAATTACGGGTTTTCCATCGCGTTAACCGTCTTCATGCTCGGTTTGGCGTACCACTTCTTCTCCCGGTTCATTCTGCTTCTGGGCAACCGGAAGAAAAGCCGACTGATCAGGAACTTCGACAAACAGCAAATCCAAATCACCGCATCGCGGCTCGCTGGACACAGGACTACTGGTGATAATTACACGAGCGTGAGACAAGAGATGCAGGCGAGTCGCGCGCGGTATGTGTCGGAATTGACGGAGTACTATGAGAATTTGAAGACTTTCAACACAATCGTCTTTGTCCTCCTGGCGGTTTTCACCCATTATTACTTCTTCAAAACCTGTTTGAGTGATCCCGGTGTGGTGGCAAATTTCGAAGACCGGCCGACGCCCGAGTTTGCAAGCCCAGAGGCACACATCTGCTACCCGGATGAATGTCGAGAAATGGTGGGGAAGTTGCGCGGAAGAAGTGAAGCCAGGAGAGTAGCTCCTGTCAGAAGGCCGGATAGGACGAGTTTGGGAAACCAAAATTCCTTGACCGTGCATAGGGCGGTGGCGATCCCGATACCCGCAGTTGCTGATGAAAGCTCACCAGACGACTTAATACCCGGAACGGAAGCTGCAGAGAAGGACCTTGGATCAGCACGTAGTTCATCTTCTACAAGTAGAACCGCAGCGACCAATAGCGGTGGGCTTGCGCTACAGCACGTCGGAAAAAAGCCCAATCCTGAAATCTCAGCTGGTGCAGGAACAACTGCTGGTGGGCCAACAAGAATAGTACCAACAGACGATCGTGGGAGCAGCTCGAGTAGAAGCGACACGACCAGAACAACAGCAAATAACTACCTCGCTTCTTCGTCTTCCCTCCCCTACGTCTCCTACTGCAACAAGTGCGACCCTGACGGGAGCGTTTTGAAAGAGTATTTTTACCCCAACGTGGCCAACAACGGCTACAACTTACACCACTGCGAATTTTGCGACACCTGCATACAAGATTTCGACCACCACTGCCCCTGGACGGGGAAATGCATCGGGGCCGGGAACATTGTGTCGTTTTACCGCTTTTTGTCTTTCTATCCTGTGCAAAAGTATCGTACTCGTAGTAATCGCAGTCATGCATTACAAGTTTCTTTCTCAAGTTAAATCCGCATTACAAATTTCATTTCTCATGCTGAGGAAATTTGTCATGCGATTTATACTAGTACGATGCTTTTGCATTTCATACTTTCTCCGGTTGCACAATTTTGTACATGGTGGTGATAGTGTTGCTGTTTGTGTGATAACTTTTATTAAATAATTTGATGCAATATTATCAAATGCGAGCTCCTACGTGAGTGTTATCTGCCTGGCAAAGCCGGTGACGACGACTAGTCCAAGAACAACTTGAAAAGAATAAGATGCACTTGCTGACGCCTGTAGCTCTTACCCACCTCGTGATCTTCATAAATAAAACAAAAATTGTATAAAATTGCAGTACGAAAAATGTTTTCGTTCCGCGTGAGGTGTTCATACAACGTGACTGTTGCTGCATTGGAGTGAAATCGTTCTTGCGTATTCAAAATACTATTTTATTCAAGTAGAAGTTTTTCGACATCTCGCTCTCCGGGTACAACATTCAATATTGCTCGTCCGACGCTGTGTGTTGCTGGAACTACAGGAGACCTTACGTGTTGCCATCCTCGTCCACAAGCGTAAGCGCAAACACAGATATTTTATTCGTTCGTATCGGCGTAGTACGCCGTACAGGAATAGAATTAGGAAATGAAAATGGACACCAAAATTCGTCAAATCGTGCATCTTTGCAAAGGGCAGAAAAGAAATCCTCCTGAAGTCGTTATGTATGTGCAGGGCAGTCGTTTTTTTCGTCATCGTGGAGCAGTTCCGTTCTATGTAATCGTGATCGACGCCGACGTCACGCGGCACCTTATTCATCGGAGAAGCTACTGTTTCTATAATTTTATCACCCTGAACATGAGATAAGCACGCACAAAAAAGAGCATGCAGATGTTCTTCAGAGAAAAAGAAACAAACTCATTGAACTACAGCTGTTAGCGTCAGGTCCACGAAAGTTTCTTGTTTGGTTGTCGCGTTTGCAACTGCGAACAACAGGCCCGACTTCATTGAAGTTTAATTTCGTGTTTTTTGTAATCCCAAGTACGTACAACAACTCTAACCACCACCACTCGTGGTTTATTGTTGAAATAAACTAAACTCCGAAGTAGAAGGCCGTCGGAAAAGCAAAAATCATGCCGATGAAAAAGACTACGACTTTGCTTGCCGGAGCGCAGGTGGCGTCGGCTTTAAAGCAATCCGGTGAAGAGGGAGGCGACTCGAAGATGCCCTCGATGAAGTCGGGGGGGGGGCGGTTCGCATCGCCCACACGCCGCGCACTTCGAAGATGATGGAGGACCGAGTTGCACGTACAGAATGATTTCGCCTTGAGCTCTCACATTGTGCCATAATATTCTCATGGCTTTGTAGTTTGTGTTTCTTTTTCTTTGCAAGGACCACCCTCTTGTAAACTTAATAATTAAGTTTAGATTTCATTATATTTCCCGATGAACTCGGATGGTGATGGTTTCCATCGGTCCCCGCCATTACTTGCAGGTAAAATGGTACGAGGGACGAAGATGCAGGTCTTCAACGGCCTCGGAACACCCGTGGCCAGTAGTGCGGACGGTGAGACGCATCTTCCGGGGTTCGGAACCGAAGTTGCGGCGTCGACGATGGAAAAAGCTTCGCTTCACTCGACCGAGTCCAAGAAGAACCTCCAGCACATGTCTGTGAAGAAAGAGCCACCAATTTGCTGTTTTTCCAAGGACGGAACTAAGGACACCCTTTACTACGACCATTGCTGGCTTTTTGAAGGCAGGGCAAAAGGATTTTGGACACCGTGTCAACATAACAATTGGACCCACCTTTCAACTGCTGGCTTCCGCGTCGACAAAGCGGCTCCGTTTGTGCATGCGGAATATAACCCGCTTGGGCTAGCCTGCGGGGGGGGCGGCGTAACTTGCTTCGCTGACGCCTTGACTACTAACTGCCCCCCAGGCGGCAACGGCGACAACGTGGGAGACAGAGATATTCAGGTGTGCCATGATGTATGAAACAAAGTAACTCAAATCGTTTTTACATGATCATATGTATTGCACCATCATCATCAACATTTTATTGATTTAGTATAAAATGAATCTATTACGAATACGATTACGATTCGTAACAACACCGCGGTGCGCGGAAATTCTTGCATTCGTTGCAGCTACTCTTTTGCCCTGATGTAAAACGAAATGCATGAAAATAGACCACTGTCGCATTTTGTCACGTCGTACAACTACAACCTACTTGTTCGCCATTATGGTATTCGAATTCATCCTAACCGAAACTGCATGCGCCACCCATCTATTTTTTGTTCGTTTAGAAGTCTGCAAGCCTTTTAAGATTTATGTAGCGCATCCCGGACAGACCATCGTGCTACTGATTGAGCCCGGAAATAAATTCGAATAGGACTCACCTACAGTCGATGTCGCATTCCAACATCACATGTCGAGGATTGCTTCCCTCTTCCCCTCGTCTATTCCCTTTAGCACAGTATTATAAATATATCTCACCTTGAAGATGATAGTCTTTACCCGAACCCGTCGAGACGTAGGAGATCTGGGCCCAGTCAGACCAAGCGTGACTGCAGTGGAGTGGGAACTACTCCCCTACCCCTAGTACAGGAATTTCAATCTACCCGCCTCTATTTTGCCGCCCCCGGCGTTTGAATGTCAATTCCAATGCGCTTTGCTGAAGCAGAGACACGCAGGAATCCAAGTCCTGATCTTTTCTTCCGGAAGATGTTCTGCGCGGAGTCGGCAAATTTCTCTCCGTGCCATTCATTGCTCCATGGTGCCGACATTTGCCGTAATATTGTTTCGGTGTCTGATATTAATCAAAGCGTAAGCACTTACAGTTACAATAAGTCTTCGTGCAGGGACTGTGTGCTTTGTGGTCATCGTCCTTGTTCTGAATTTCGTTGTCGTCCCATCTCTTCCAGAGTTCGTCGTGTGTTTCTAGAGGAGTATGAAGAAGCGCCCTCATGTGTCGTCCTTGTCTTCGTATTGAGGATACTTCACTTATCCCACTCACGATATTCGTTCGTCGTGGCGACTATCAATTCGTGCCAGTAGTAAAAATCACACTCATCGCCCAAAGTCGTTGTTCTATGTTCGTCGACCTCAAACTGCTGGGAGTTGTCTTCACGGGCACCATATTTTATTGCTCGTCTTAACGTGGTTTTTCCTTTTTACTTGCCAAACAACAGGTCCACAGTCGTACGATCTTTTGACTCAAAGAAGCCAGTACAGCTTCTTATTTACAACAGTTAATATTTCTACTGCAGACAGCCAAAGTTGTAGTTGCTGGCTCTCTTAATGAGACACAAGCAGTGAGTGTGAAGATCCACGGGCACGACCAAAAAATTATTTTTTAGCTTCATCGAATTTTGAAAGCGGCTTTTCCCGTACCATTAAAGCAAAACTCAAAATTACTAAGACTCTTCTAAACCTTGACACGGCTCTCAAGTTTACCGGAAAAACAAAAAGTGCTACCTGAACTCCTGCCTTGCCGAAGAAAATGAGACTTTTTCAAACCGCCGCCTCCTCTGCCACGCTGGCGTCCGCGGTTTCCTTGGGTCCGGTATTGGGAACGGTCGATGGAACAAATGGAGATCGTAGGGGCCGCACTTCTGGTGGTACGCCCATGTTGGAGCGGCTCCGGGGACGCGTTGGGGCGGGTGGTGGACCGAGTTCATCTACTTCAGGAACAACTATTGGAGAACTACCAGGCTCGAAAACGCAGAAGACGCATGATCTCTCCGGCGAAGATGCCGATCGTGGTACAACTTCTTCTACGCACGACAACGACGTGACGCGAAAGGACCACAAGGAGAAGATTACGACCGGGAAGATGACCATTTCCGACGACGACGAGGACCCTCCACGACCTGAAACAAGCGAAGAAGCTTATTTTCTGGAAAAATCGCAATCGCAAACTACAACGACCCAAGAAAAAGTGAAAGCGCAAAAACTGAAGCGAAAAAACCGATCCTGCGTGTACACCACGGGGTATTACGGCGAAAAAAGCTCGGACAGCCCCATGCGCACAGACGTGTACTCGACCAAGAACGAGATTTTGCACACAGAAGAGCGAATCAACCCCACGACCCGGGTTTTGGTCGTCGTTCCCGACGTTGATGATTCCGGGAAGAAAAACGCGAAGGAGTTGTGTGAGCACTGGGCTAACAAGTGGGAGGATGAGGAGGATGAAGTGGTGAATTACGAGGTCGTTGTCCCGTGGTTCCGGAGCGAAAGAGAGGGGAAAACAAGCTCTGATGTTCCATACCAAGTGCTGTACTGGGACGGAACCGACAACGAGCAGGCTCTGCTGGGGAAGCCGAGCTACGATTTCGATGGGTACGAAGTGGACACCAGCTACAAAATTTTCGACAAGATTTATGGACCCGTCAGGATTGAAATCGTCAACGTTGAAATGATTTCTCGTGCATAAAATGCAAGGCATGAAGTGCCTGTCTTGCCGGGATGGCAAATGAGGCAGATTGTGAGCCCATTTAGGGTTTGGGTTAGAGCTGCTAGAGGAGCATGACAAAAGCAGTATTCTGTGCCCAAACAGCATGAGAAATTGGATTCCAGGGCTCCTAAAATTTGTCATGCGCCGCTTGAAAATTGGGCTTCCAAGTGGTTGTGGTATCCATTTTATGTTGCATGACAGATCATTTGTTCAACGTTGTCGATTTCAACCCTGACGCTTCCATAAGATTCTCAATCCTCTCGCCGCCTCCGTGCAGAAGCAAATCGTTGTCGCCGGGTTCGGAAACCGCGCCGCCAGTTTCGTCCAGGGCTGGGCGTTGGTCAGCAAGATGAAGGAGTATCCACAGTAAATTTCCCGTACACGTACAAGTGCGGTCTGTGCATGACAAAACTTGGCTTCGATCCTAGTTTACCATGACAGGTTTTGCGCTCCTAATTGGCGAAATTTGTGATGCACCTTGTACATGTACGGGAAATTTGTGTGCATAAGGAGGTTCCTGCCGACAAGGATTTCCGGGTGCAGGTGGTGTTCGGGGGCGCCGATCGGTATCTCTTCTTGGACAATCTGCGGTCGACCGAAAATTGGAAAATGAACCGCTGCCTCGGTGGCGGTCGGGGCGCGGGATGCAAGTCGCCGGACGTGGAGTCGGGAGCGACGAGGGGGGAGCCCGGGTGGTCGCTGGAAACGGATGACCAGTTACCGGCGGGCCTGAAAATGTGGTACGACGCCGAGCCGCAACAACCTCTGTTGGGCCATATCAAATGCAAAAATGTCTGGGTCTGGAAGGTCCGAGATTGTCATGCAGTTTTTCCAAGCTCCGCCGAGCCTGGAATGCAGAGCCTAGCATCACAGGTTCTGCAGCCCCTTGGTGATGCCTATTGTTCCGCATGAGAAATGACCTCGCAGCATGGCCAGAAATGAACACCTTTCGCAACTCAAGCTACACAGATTTTTGTATGATCCGCAACACGCATCACAAGTTGCAATCTTCCAGACCCAGACACTTTTGCAATCCATAGGCCAGCCGGAAGTGACATTCCCGATCTACGAGCTGCCTGACCCAGGCGTGACCGCTGGCTATGTGAGCTACACAAGTACAACTGATCGTGGAACAAATGAAGACACCGACGACAGCACCACTCCCCCGGCTTTCTACTACCCGGTCGCCTTTTTTGAAGGGTACGACGACCCGGAAGCGCTGATGGAGTTTTACGAATACAGCGTTATGGCCGGAAACCAGCAGTACGCAGTGGAGTCAACGGAAGAAACGCCAAAAACCCAGCTCGACGACGTTTCCGCGCACATGCGGACCACCGTTTTTCCGAAATTTCAGTTCCACATCGCGATCAACGAGGGGGATCGGTGCACCTGCTTGGGGAAAAACGAAAACCCAGACATGAAAAAACTTTACAAAAAATCGGTTTTTTCCCCGTTTGCGGAACAGTTCCACGCGAGCAACTACTGCGGAAAGAAGAACAACTCCGAGGGGGACAAGGATTTGCCCGCGGAGAATTTTTGCACAAACAAAAAAATCGAGGGCGCAACAGTGGATGTCGACCGGTTGGCAGTGGCGCAAGGCTTCACCAGGTTTCAGCGGTCCTGGAATTTTTACTACTGGATGCAACTGCACTCCGGCGTTCGGTATTTGGAAGAGGGTACCTTCGCCCAGATCCGAAGTTACGAACAGTCCAGCAAAAACAACCAGGTGAGCAACGATGACATTTACCAAAACAACGACTTCTCCCGTGCCCTGATCCAAGCTCACTATTGCCGGGAGTGCCAGCACGTCGGGTCCCGCGCGGGGAAAAACGAGCTGACCATCGTGAAGCAGTTGCTGGTACAAAACAAGTTCCAATCCAATCTGCCGGAAAAGGTGGAAGCGGGGTCATCTACCTCGCCCGCACGGAGTCGGAACAAATTCGCGGGGCACTACGCCCGGAAGCTGGAAAACGTGCGGGTGGGAAACAAAGCGGGTATCAACTGCAAATATGTCTGGGTCTGGAAGGTTGTAACTTGTGACGCTGTTTTCGGATTCGAAAAAAATCTGTATTGCATGAGCGGCAAGTAGAGGAGTGCAGTTTGTTCTACACGGACGAGAGGGTGTGGGTGGCATTTCACATGCAGAATAATCATCCGGAAGCCCTCTAAAGATCTGTGATGCTAGGCCATGCATTACAGGCATCAGGGGTCATGCAGAATCTGCATGACAAAGCTGGCTTTCTTCCAGACCCAGACTACATATTTGTAATGCATAGCGGGCGTGGAAGAGCAAAAGGACCGGGTGAACATGTTAATTCAAAACGCGGACATGGTGCAGAAGCAAACGGAATTTTTTGACACCAAGGTCAAGACGCTTGGAGGCGGAGCTGAAACAAGTACGTGAAATCTGATGAAGCAAGAAGAAGAACAGCGGTTTATTGCTCCAAACTCAACCTCGATGAACATCAAGATCCCGATGCCGATCAAGTCTGCAGGATAATTTTTTCTCAACAGGACACAATCTTCATGAACCTACTTCTTTGACTTTCAAATCCATTTTCCTGCTTAATACCCCCCCCAACAAGTTCAAACTTAACCACTTACACACACTTAATAGTTATGCGCATTGAAGAATCCTCGTAGATGTTGCCTATTCATCCCCAAGCCTATTACATGGTACGAAAGCACCAGGCATGAATTGTACCTGTAATCCAAGAGAAGTAGTAGCCCCTCGAACAGCAGGCGGAGCCGGAGCCACCGTATGCATGCCAGGTGGGACTACTACTTTTATGTCCATACTCCCCAGCACGGCCCACCAACTTCTTGAAGTTTCTCTTTAAACCTACTCAGCCGAACGCCCAACAGCCAGAATATTTTAATTTTTATCCTAATCGTTTTTTCCATTGGTATCCCCTCATCGCACCCAAACAGACACGCCCTCCCCCCGGATTAGTTGTTCCCTCCTCGCTCGATCGACTCACTTTGGCGCCGATGCTAAAGACCTCCATATCGTGGTCCTCGTGAACACGCGTCTACTTGCTCTGACGAGTATGATGCACGACCCTACTACTGCGCGTTCTTCCTCACTAGGACGTGGATCATCTACTTGAAGGTAGCACTTTGATGTAGTTCTTGTCGTACTACAATTTCCATTTCGTACAAAAGTCCAACCAATCTAGCATATCGTCCATATGCATATGCATACTTATCAGCCGGCTCGTCGTGGTCCTCTTCGTTCAAAAGTATCAGTTTCTTTATCTATAGTTTTCTTACGTTCAGGAGCCTGGTGGGCTGCAAGTTCAATCGCACCGACCACGAAATAACGCCTGCAAGAATCTCAGCAGCAATTCGCTTGGTTTTTGCGAATGCGATAAAGTGCAAGTGAAAGTCGTCGTGCCGTGGTTCGTTTCAGGATCGCGTAGTGCTGGTGATTTTGATTCTTCACGATGAATCTCGTTGTATCAACTATAAAATTCGTCGTTGTAGTGTTGATTTTTGCTGCCCCCGCGCTATCATCTCCACGAACGCTTGGTCTATTTCTAGTACTTCTTCTGCCAAAGAAGAGTAAGTAGGTACCTTTCCCATGCTTCCTCTTTGCACCAATCAAGAAAACAGGTCCATACTCGCAAGTTTACAACCACACTTGTACTCGCAAGTATTTACTACAGTTTTTCGCTGGTTCTACTTTGCTGTAGAATAGCGACTACTTCGTCCAGGTAGACCCTGCTTAAATAAACAAAAGCACCTTGTTCTTGTACTTTTGCGTCTTTCAAGGACCTGAAAGTCAGTCACAAACAAAATGCCCGGAGGACAGCAGCTGTATCTCCAAACTAGCTTCCGCAAGAAGCTCTCCTGTGCCGCGACGGCGGCGACCACATTGGGTGCTGGATTGGCGGCAGCTTCCGTGGCGGGAGCTGCTGCAGTGGGCGACAAGAACACCGGCGTCAAAAGTGGTCGTCCCGTTGTGGTGGAGCGGTCGTTGCGGGGCGGGCGTCGTACTGGAGGTAAAACGGGCGGTGCTGCTCGTGTGAAAAAAATCGGCGCTGCGGAACAAGATCATGACCACGAGGAGGAAATGAACGACGGTGCTGTCAAGAACACGATGTTGACCCAGGACCGCATGCTTTCCCAATTGCAGCTCGACCTCGAAGACATGGGATACAATGTTACCACAACTTCTGCCGACGGCTGGTCCTCAGATGGTGGAAATTTCCTCGAGATGAAGACCTCCAAAAAATCCGAAGTTGTTTCGCAGCAAAAAATGACGGCCGCTAAAAAATGCGAGTACACGACCGGGCATTTTGACGAAATGTATGACAACAGGGGAGAAAGAACGGCGGGGTACCGCACGGATGTCTACGCGACCACGGACGCAATCCTCCACAAAGACACAGCCGGGCTTTCGCGCGTTCTGGTTGTCGTTCCCGATGTTGACGATTCCGGAGCGAAAGGGGCGAGGGAGCTCTGCGAGTACTGGGCCAACAAGTGGAGGGGCGAGGACGACCGTCCGCCGGGTTACGACGTGATTGTGCCGTGGTTTCGCAGCCAGGACGAGGCGAAGGAGGAGCGCATCCACTGGATATGGATCGCAAATACGTCTGGGTCCGGAAGAGTGCATGTTTGTCATGCTTGTCTGGCATGACTCTTAGATCTGTCATGCACGTTACCCAGTAAGCAGCATTTTTCTATCATGCAGAAACGCAGTTTGTCATGCAGAATAGGCAACACCTTCACCTAGAAGCTCAGAAAGTTGTCATGCTGAGCCAGCACTACTTGTGGTCTCGTCCTCATGATACGCCATTCAGCATCACAAGTTTCCAGACCCAGACACTCTTGCATTTGATATTAGAACGGCAGTACGAACGAGCAGGCCTTGCTCGGAAAGGCCAACCTGGTCGAACGCGCCACCACCTACGATTTTTTCGACCGAATCCTCTCCCCGCTGCGGGACTCGGTGGGGCAGCAACTTATGGTCGTGGGCTTTGGCGGCCACGCTGCCGGCTTTGTCCAGCGCTGGGCGCTGGTCAGCCAACTGGGCCCGATGAAAAACGACTTTCGGGTGCAAGTGGTGTTCGGCGGCGCCAACAGCCACGGCTACCTCGACAACATGCGGTCGACCGATGACTGGAAGAAAAACCGGTGCTTTATGGGATTCTCAACCGTTACACTCTCAATTGTTACGCGAATTTGTAATGCAAGAATAGCAAAAGTCAAAGGGGGAAGGTTGCACCTGTAGCATTACAAATTCCGCACAGATTTAGGCGCTGTCTAGCCCTTCGCAAATTTGTCATGCGAAGCAGCTTGCTCGTGTGGATCTTGATGGTAGTTCTGCATGACAAATTCATGTAAAAGAACAGTTGAGAATGTAACGCTTGAGAACCCCATATGCTTGGGCGGGGCGCTCGGCACGGGCTGCAAGTCGCCCGCCGTGCTGGCCGGGCCGCTGAAGGGGAAAAAGGGATGGTCGATTGACACTGATGAGCAGCTGTATGAACTGCAAAAAAATCGTACTCGTATTGCAATCATGCATTACAAATTTTTCTCTTAAGCTGAATCCGCATTACAAACTTCATTTCTCATCCTGAGTGAATTTGTCATGCATTTAGTATACGAGTGCGATTCTTTTGCCATGCATAAGCTGCATCACAAAGTGAAAAGCTTTTACGACGACCTGTCCGGGAACCCGTTTGAAGACGACGAGAAGCTGACCTACCCCCGGTACAGCCTCCCTTCGCGCGTGCCTGAGCCGTCGAAGGGAGAGTTGATGGAGGTCTCGGAGCGCATCCGGAACGAGGTATATTGAAATACGATGTAGTGTATGCAATACAAATTTTCCGTACATGATGTACAGGATGCATCACAAACTTCACCACTTTTGAGGGTAAAACTTGTCATGCTAAACTAGGATCGAAGCCTCGCTTTGTCATGCAGAGACCGCATTTGTTCGTGAATCGTGATGTTGGTCGTGATGCAATACAAATTTAAGTAAATGACTTTTTATCAACATGAAAAAGGTTTTTTCCAAGTTCCAGTTGCACATCGCCATCAACGAGGGGGACCGGTGCACCTGTCTCGCGGGAAACGAAAACCGGGACATGAAAGAGATCTACGCGATATCCTGCTGATAAAAACGTCCCCGCCCCATGCTTGTCAACATGCAGATCTGCATCCTCAAAACCGATTTTTTATGCGGGGCCCCATGAGAACCATTTCAATTTTTTTGTGGTGTTTTGGGATTTGTGATGCTCCAATCACCAAAATATGCTAGATCTCTCATGCTGCTGCACTAGCGAAACAGGAATACTTACAATTCGAGGCCAAGAAGTTTGTCATGATGCGCAACAGGAGCCAAAACTGGTTGATTTGTGTAGCAGAATTATTCCCATCTTGACTATGGGGTGGGAACGTTTTTACTCAGGATGCGCGAAGTTCAGCGACGCTGTGGGCAGCACGACGAGAAACTACTTCCACGACAGCAACTACTGCGGCAAGAAAAACAACTCCCAGGGGGACAAGGATCGCCCCGCGGAAAACTACTGCACGAACGAAAAAATCAAGGGGGACGAAGTGGACGTTGACAAATTTTCCGTTGCGCAGGGCTTCACCCGGTTCCAGCGGTCCTGGGATTTCTACTACTGGATGCAACTGCACTCCGGGGTGCGCGAGTTTGGGACAATTGAAGACGAGAACATCCTGAAGATGCCGCCGTTGGAAAGTCAGATTCGAACGTACGATGAGACGAACAACCAAGTCGACAACGATGACGTTTACCAGAACAACGACCTGTCGCGAGCCCTGATCCAAGCCCACCCCTGCCGAGCGTGCCAGCACGATGGCAAAACGGGAAGCAACGAGCTGACGATTGTCAAGCAGCTGCTGGCGCAGAACCATTTCAAATCCAATCGGCCGGAGAAAAGTGGGGATTCCCCGGCGCGGAGCCGCAACAAGTTTGCCGGGCACTACGCGCGCAAGTTGGACAACGTGTATCAAAAGGAAAAATCCCCCTGCCCATATCGAAAAGGCATGTTTCCGAAAATTTGTGTTGCTGATTTGAGGCCACAAACCACATCTGTCTTGCAAGAAGACAAGGGCAGAAGCTTCCGCCCCATTATGGAAGCGATTTGTCATGCTGTTGGGCATAAAGGGGAGCCGTCTGCCATGCTGAACAACTAGACCCGTACGCCCCTACCTAGCCTGGGGACCTGGCCGCAGCGCCTCTCTGCATTACAAACCTGATTGGTGTACACAAATCCAGCATCAGAAGTTCTGTTTTGATATGGGGAGGGGGGATTTTTCCTTTCGATAACGTGCGGGTGGGCTTCCCGGATCACGTTCTGACCAATCGCAAGAAGGACTACGCTGCCCATTTGATCCAAGGGTCCTCCAAGGAAACCAAAAAAATGGAAGCCAATCTGAAAGAGTTCTTCCAGAACGAAGTGAGCGGGCGTTGAGCGTTCTTCTTGTGGACGAGGGGGAGGAAAGAAGAACACGACCACGACGGGGGATTTTCCTGCTCGTGTTTGTTATGTCAGTCAAGTAAATGTTGTAAATGTAAATTTCAATTTCATACACGAGCTATTAGAGCATAGCAAGCAGTTTTTTATCTTTTGAAAATTAGCAGTTTTTTGACGGACCCGATTTTTTTTTGACCAAGCATTTGAGGTTCTTACCTTGCATAGAAAGAAGTACTAGAAGCATCAGGCAGCAGAAACAAGTCTTGTGCAACACGTGGCTTTACGAACCAGTATCCAAAGTAAGTATGTTTTCCGCCGAGTAAAAAGTTTCATCCAGTATCAACAACAGTTTCGAAGCATTAAAAGTACTATGTTATTTTCGTCTTATAAAACCGGAAAAATGCACCTTCACCTACGGAAATTTTTCACAGAACAAGCCATCCCTTCACGCTAAATATCAAATTCGATATGCAACATATCAAAGTTTTCCACTTCATCACATCGTAGTCGTACCAGTCCGTAAAAACCACTCTGAACTACTCAATTCTCGCAAAATAAGTTTCCTTCCTTCACCTATATCTTCGTTAAAAAGTCAAGCCCCATGATCTGAAAAAATATTATAGCCAAACCCTCCCATTATCCGCAAAATTTTTTCACTTCGATGCCCCGGTCGATGAATTACAAAGGAATAAAGCGGTCGTGAAGTACTAGTTGATGCAGTTGACGTCGACACGCCCCGGTTGAAGAACACGTAGTACACGACAAGAAGGCGACCCCAGCTCGACCCAGTGCCACACGACAGTAGCCCTGCTGTTGCAAGAATCCAATTCCAAACCCACACGAAGCTAATTTCATCCCCGTGGTGGCCCTCACGACCCCTTTTCTTGGTGGAGCAGTAACCCTGTAGTCCTTCTTCTTCGCAACAGTTCTTTTGCAGTAACCCTGTGACCACGGCGCAGCTCCCAACTTCACTTTCTCCAGGAAGTAGAACGCCAGTTGCTTGAAGCCAAGAAACATTTAAAACTAAATGTCATATTTACTTCACCCTTCACAGGATTCGATTTGCATTAGCACGGCCAACAGGAACTACTGCACGGAGGACAGGCGGGGGCCAGCGAATTTGTGTTCCTTGATCACCACAAGAAGAGCCACGTGGTTGATCATTTTATTTTGATACGAAGAAGTCTTCCTCGGACTCGATGGCTTCAAAACGGAAAAGCCATTTTTAGGAATTGTAAAGCAGCTACCTGATCGTGATCCTGACGGACGTGTGTATTTTTTGAATCGTGATAAGTGTGAAGAATTGAATTATAGTACAGTTCATTGATCACGTCGACGACATCGCCCCGCGCGTGCGAGCTCGAAGATCTTCCCGTGTTAGTGGAGTAAAACACTTTTGACTGCAGCATTCAGAAGCAAAATCTAAAAAATTGACTCTCATTCACGCAGTTGTACTAGACAAAAAGACAGATCAGCATGCCTAAAGATCTTCTTGACGCCAGCGTATTTTTTTTATTTTTTTGTGTCCACTGTTGCAACAGATAGAGATTCTGATGTGATTGAGAAAAAGAACTACAACTTCGAAAAACGAAACAAGAAGAAGGATTAGAAGCGATACTTTTGTGAGATCATCTTCAAACTACCTCCGAACACGAAATTTGGAAAAAAACGTGGAAATGGCCAAGCGTGCTCAGATCATCACGCTCATGCATAGAAGTTTCAATGACCTCCTACTCTGGTGAAGCTGTAAGCTCCTGCTCACGTCGATCTGGTTTTTACTTAGATCTCTCTTCAATTTTTAGGTTTTCCTTTCACTACTTCAACTTTTTTTTGCCATATGTCAAAGAAACCTCCATAGTCGCAATCATCCAAATTTATCATCACAGAGTTTGAGTTTCAGTTAAGTCGTATTCTAATTTTGTTTCACCGTCGTTTCGCGACCAATTTATCCTCGAATTACTAGAAGATATAGCTGCAACATTCTTCGCCCTTGGAAGAGATCATTTTTACCTTGCACGCGACATTATTTGAAGCACAGTTTATCCTTATTTGCTCCCCGTTTCTTCTTCACCCAAACTCCTTTCAAAATGACGATCGATATCAATCTCCTCCGCGAAAACAAGGGCGGTGACCCGGAGAAGGTTCGGGAAAGTGAGCGCCGCCGGTTCCGGGACCCGAAAACGTATCAACCGCAAATATGTCTGGGCCTGGAAGAGTGGAGCTTTGTCATGCACGTTTTGCATGAGCGATGACATCTGTGACGTATTTTTTGCATCACAGATTTTAATAGGGCATCTTGATGCCGATTCCGCATGACAAATGCCCTCTCCGCTTAGCAAAAAATGGCCTCCTTTTGCTGCTCATGCAACACAGATTTTTCTAGAATCCAAATGCAGCATCACAAGTTGCACTCTTCCAGATCCAGACATATTTGCAGTTCATAAAACGGTCGATGAGGTGATTGCCTTGGATAAGGCTTGGGTGGCGAAGCAGTATGATATGGAGCAGAAGAAGAAAGAGGTAAGAAAATTATATGCGGCGACTTTAGAAGATGCTGGTATATGGTGCATGATAACAAGCATCACAGATTTTTGCCTATGTATGGTTTAGGTTTTCTTTATTCAAAGTATAATGGATCACGATCATATTTCTCAACCCGCATGGCAAATTCAAGAAGATACGGTGGAAGTACTTACTAGATCGCAGTTATTATGCAGCTATTGCTATGGTTGTATCATCTAGATTTTCCCCACGACAAAGAAAACCCCTGTTCAGATGAACGCCGTGCAGAAGAAGATTGGCGAGAAGAAGAAAGCCTCGGGCGGGAAGGACAAATGCGAAGAGGAAATGGCAGAAAAGGGAAAACTAGAAGAGGCCGTGAAACAGCTGGAACAGGAAGCAGGAGAATTGCACAAAAAGCGGGACGAAACCTTGGCAAAAATCGGCAACATATCAAATGCAAAAATGTCTGGGTCTGGAAGGTTGAAGCTTGTGATTCTAACTTTAGACTCTAAAAAGATCTGTATTGCATGATCTATCAGCGAGGCGAGTCGAGTTTGTGCTACGCGGAGAGGGCATTTGTCATGCGGAATACATAGGCATCAGGAAGCCCTCTAAAAATCTGTGACGCTAGGTCATGCATTACAGACATCCTGGGTCATGAAAAGGATGCATGACAAACCCGGCAACATTCCAGACCCGGACACTTTTGCACTTGATACAACATTCTCGACGATAGCGTTCCGGTTAGTCAGGATGAGGATAAGGACAACGAGGTGGTGGCTTTGTGGGGAAAGATCCCGACGTTTGACGCCAAGTACTGATTTTTGAACAGCACATGATCTTTTCCATTTCAGCATGACAGAATTGGTTTTAATTACTGAGTACTGCTCCAGATAGAAGTTCATTCGCATCACAGAGTCAGGCGCAGCAACTACGCCGGAAGATGATGTCGCATAATTTTGTCATAACATGATCCTCCTGCATGCCAAGTAACTTGTTCCGCAGCCACAACAAAACCTTTACAAAAATCCCAGGTACCAAACCGACGGCTTCCGTCCGCATTTCGAGCTCATTGAGATGATTGGCGGAATTAACTTCGAAGCTGGGCGGGATGTTTTTGGTTCAAGAGGATACTTATGAATTGCAAAAGCATCGTACTAGTACTAATCGCATTACAAATTTTATCAGCATGACACATGGAATTTCTGATGCTGATTTACCTTGAAAAAGAGATTTGTCATGCATAAATGCGATTACTACGAGTGCGCTACTTTTGCAGAGGATAATACTTTCTCACGGGACCGGCAGTCTTGCTCAATCAGGCGCTGATTAACTACGGACTGGCGTTTCTGATGCGGGAAGGTATGATTTGAGTGTGCTACTATAAGAATAAGTACACAACTTGTCATGCGCCATCCAGCAATTGCAATTCCAATTGACATTCAATTTTCGCATGACAATCCTAACCATAACCATTATCAGGCTACACCCCCGTCCAGCCGCCGTTCATGATGAAAAAGGACGTGATGGCCCAGGCGGCGGAATTGAAAGACTACGACGACGTGCTCTACAAAGTTACCGAGGGCGAGGAGCACCCCGAGCTCGACCGATACTTAATCGCGACGTCGGAACAGCCGATCACCGCTTTGTACCGAAACAAGGTCATCGACATGAAGGAGCTCCGCCCCCCGGCGAACACGGCCGCGACGCACGGCGGGCACGGCGAGGGAACAGTGGATTTGAACCCGGACAGCAGTAAGTACGGGATCCGTTTTGCCGGTGTGTCGTCCTGTTTCCGGAAAGAAGCGGGTTCCAGTGGCCGGGACATCCGTGGGATCTTTCGGTGCCACCAGTTTGAAAAAGTGGAACAGTTCTGCATTGTAGATGAGGACAAGTCGAAGGAAGAGCACGTGAAAATCTCCAAAGTTGCGGAGAGATTTTACCAGTCGTTAGGGTTTCCGTACCGGGTGGTGAATATTGTGTCTGGGGAGATTAACGACGCCGCGAGCAAAAAGTAATTTTACGTTTCATAGATAGTAGCACTCTGTTACTGTTTGAGACTTGTCATGCACAAAGCGCAATTTCAGTTTCAGTCTGTCATGCATATGGTGCACAAGTTGTAAAGTTCGTACAAATTTTTATCACAGGTTCGATCTCGAGGCCTGGTTTCCGGGTGACGCCGACGGCAAAGGGCAGTACCGCGAGCTGGTTTCCGCGTCGAACTGCTTGGACTTCCAGAGTAGAAGAATGGACACAAGGGCGGGGCACGGAACGGATCAGCAGTTTCCCCACATGCTGAATTCGACACTGTATCAAATGCAAAAATGTCTGGGTCTGGAAGGTTGGAGCTTGTGATGCTAACTTTGGACTGTAAAAAAATCTGTATTGCACGATCAGCAAGAGGAGTCTAGTTTGTGCTACGCGGGGAGGGCATTTGTCATGCGGAATAGGCATCAGGAAGCTCTTTCAAAATCTGTGATGCTAGGTCATGCATTACAGACACTCTGGGTCATGCAAAATATGCATGACAAACCCGGCAACATTCCAGACCCAGACACTTTTGCATTTGATACACTGGTGGCGACCCAGCGGTGCATGTGCTGTCTCTTGGAAAACTACCAGACCAAGGAAGGTATAGATACTGACCGCTTGCTTATAATTTCGAAGAAGATGCTGGTAATGGTTGTCATGCATAGTCTCCGTGATTTTTTCGATTTGTCATGCAAAATCGCTTATAATGCACTCCTTTGTCAACATGCAAAAACGAAAACGTAACAAAAGGTGTTCGCGTCCCGCGGGTGCTCGTCCCCTACATGGCCGGTATGGAGTTCATTCCGTTCGTCAAACCACCACCCAAGGATGAGGAGAAGGCGAAGAAGAAGAAATAAAAAAGAAAAACCTCTTCGGTGCATCGCTTGATGACCTTGAGCTGCAGCAGGTTCTGATTCTGAAACTAGACCGCATGACAGATTTCCAACACAGGAGAATCGGACGTTGGGAAACAAGTGCTGGTGCACAACTACGAGGACTTTTTTGGACTCACACGACCACACCTCCTTGACGAACCTGAATTACTGTTGAGCTTGATCATCTACAGTGGCAGTTGTAACGCTTCCGGGGAGCGGGAAGATGTTGTTGCCTCCACGACCTCTATCTAGTGACGCAACTACAGCACCATCCTCGGCATCCAAGATGAACACCAGAAATAAGCACAACTAACGATTCATGGACGATGATTTTTCGAAAAATCATCCCCTACTAGTACTAATACTAAATACTTACCCGTAGTTCGACGGCCGCATGGTAATATGACGCATCAACGCTAAAGCTGACGAAACCAGAAACAACGTTGAATTCGAATTGATTTTGTTTTTGCGCAAACAAAAAACATCTACTTCAAACACGACTTGTAAGTACGACCGCGGTCCTGCAATTGTTTGTCGTGCTGCTTTGGAAGAACTACCTACCCGAGCACGACGAGTGACTCTTTGTTCGACAGAAATTAAAATCACCTTCGCCACCACTAGTGCTGGTGTTACCTACGTGAGGACATCGTGCCGAGCTTCGGTGTTGTACTCGGTTGTCGGTAATATTCGCTACCTTTTTTTCAGATGATCACGCCGAGGAAGTAAACAGCTTGTCGCTCGTTCTGGTTCTGGTGCCATGTTTTCGCACATTTTTGGGTGCTGTGCATATGTTAAGCTTTGTTCCCCCAATTAACGTTGCAACAGGACGAAAATGAAGGAATAGCGACGTACGCAGACTTGACCCTTAGCCTTAGGTGACGGACCCCGTGAAAGAGACGCAACTAGATTTTATGTTGGCAGTATATTATGTAGCACCGAAGTAGAACAACAACGACAACGACAAAGATATCAAAGTAGACTGCTAGGATTGAACTTTCAACGACATCTTCATCTTTTCACACTCGAACTGGAGTACCATTTGTTATTGTTACCGTGTTGGACGAGCTGCGCAAGGGTAATATTAAGGCCCTTCTTGGCATCTTTGATGCGTGAGATGATGAAAAACAAAAATTGGGATGTAGAGTTTATCGGCCCTCCAAAAGAACCAAAGTCCTTTGCTGGAGAAGGAGTTGATGACGTTCCCAAAAAAATGAAAATGCGTATCCATTTCTATTTCGACTCCGTTTCCCCGTACGCCAACCTGGCTTGGCATGTGTTGCGTCGCTACGAGAAGATCTGGGACTTTGAATTGGTTTTGAAACCTATTTTTCTCGGCGGCGTGATGAAGCAGACGGGGAACAGACCGCCCGGGCTCTTACCCCAGAAAGCACCGTATTTAGTCGGGGAGATGCAGCGCGCGCGGGCATTTTTCAACCTACCGCACTTGGAATCTTTCCCGCCGGATTATGAAAGCCTCAGGTTGGAAATCCTCAAAGTGAAAATAATTTGTAATGCAAAAAAACGACTCCAGTTGAAGCGCCATTTATAGTCGGCGCATGACAAATTTCCCGGGCACTCAAAACGCGTCTGTCATGCTAGTTAGGCAAATGGGTGCTCTTCTCTCATGCTAATCAGCAGCCCAATTCTGAACCCGTAGAAGCACAATAGTCGGCTTCCATTGCGTTCGCTGCAACACAGTCTTTTTGGTGTCGCATTCCATGCATCACAAATTATTTCCACTTTGAGGATTTCCATTCTGAGGGTGTCATACGGATAATTTCTTCGACAAGGAGTTTCAAAAGAGCTACATTACGGTGCAACGAGTCTTGGTTGCGGTGATCGGGGATCAAATGTGGGAAAAAGAAAAGAAGTACGAAGCGATTCAGAACGCGTTCGATCTTGTTCATTCCACGGGAAAAGTACTCGACGGGAGGGTGGGGGAGAACCAGAACAGTATTCCGCCTGTCACTGACGACCTGATTTTGGATACGATATTAGGTGGAGGCCATGATGGAAACAACAACACGTTACACCCAGACGTAAACAAGAAGAAAGCCGCTTTGCTAGAGCAGGCGAAGAGCTCAGCTGCGGTGAAGCAGAAACTCGCCGATAACACGAAAGAAGCTATTGAAGAACACGGTGCCTTCGGTGCGCCTTGGCTGGTCGTGGAGCGGAGCGAGACGAGTAGAGCGCCAGCGAAGGTTATGAAATTTTTCGGCTCTGATCGGTTTGAGGAGATCGCGTTTTTTTTCGAGATATCCTGTGCAAAACTATCGTACTCGTACTGATTGCAATTATGCATTTACAAATCTAGATGTTAAGGGAAATCCGCATTACAAATTTGCGAGCCAATAAAAAAAGATCCGCATTACAAATTTATTGATTTGCAATGCTGAGCCAGTTTGTACTGCAATTCATACTAGTACGGTACTTTTGCAATGCATACGAGAAGCCCTGGTATGGCCCGGACCCGCTGCTGAAGTCGAAACATGTGCAGAGTAGGTTGTGAAAAGAAGGAGTGAGGAGCTCGGACCTCCGGCAGTACTCCTATGTTTTGCGCAAAAAATCCAGTATAAGGATAATGCAATAGTTATAGTACGGGGCAGCTGCGCCCGCGGCAGGTACAGGTGTCAGTACCGCCCGAGGCATTCGCATTTACTATTTTCGATAGCACGAAGATTTTTTCGTTGTAAAGAACGCATCGGAAATTTAGATACTCCTGCAAGGGTCATAGCATGTAGGAATCGTGTCCATCGTGTCGGCGTATGCGCTGTCTTAGGCTACCTAGGCTGATGAATCCTGCCACGTCAAGAAATGTTAATGTTTAGCAGCTGCGGCGGCTTCCATTTGATGTTCTTTGTGAGATTTTTTCGCTATAATATGGGCAGAAGAACCGTGTACGATTTATTTGCGCACATCAACTTCAACATCGGGATCGGTCTTTTTTTCGTTGTGCAGCTCAGGCCAAATGCCACACTTCTGGAGCTCTCGCTTCTGATTACATGTGCTCGAAAAGGGAAAGGGATTTTTGAAACTCCAACTCGCGCAATGATAGAATCCTCGGTAAACGCAGCTGCATGGACTACATGATGAGTCGTACGAATTTGAAGAAAGCCATTATTTATCGGTTCGTGCAACATGTTTCGCATTCGGATTCGCTTGTGATTAAATGAATTTCAATGTCGTGCATTTTCGGGATTCGACGACTTCGCGCACCAAACACAACAATTTTCGTACACGACGGGATAGTTTTATTTCGTGCACCCCGAGTAGCCGCTACTAACTCGAACTCCTGACGCACGTACGAGGATGTTAGTTTGACCATTCTTTTCGGCACTTTTTTGTTTTCTTTTCCGCTAGAGGCGCATCTTGATTTTCCTTTGCTGCTCTCCCCCTCAGGTACCCCATTCAGATTCGAATAGTCCCACAAGAAAGCAGTTCTCGCAAGGATGCTTTCGTGTTTGAAGCTGAGTGAAAAAATTACCAAGTCTGAAAACCTGTATACACTAGTACTTTACTACGTGTTTTTTTTTGCAAAAAACTCCGACCACTGATCAGAATGGCGAATTTCATCTTCCACCTCTTATTTGCATCTCTTCTGGTGCGCCTGAGTTCCGCCTGCTCGACGAATTCCTACATTTACGCGCAGTACAATGGAGTTTGGAAGCGCGCTCTTGTCAAGCGAATCCGGAATGATGGTCTTTTCGCCCTCGAGTGGAGCCACGATACCATGCTCTGCGTCGATTCGAGCACAGGGGTGAATGCAGATAACACCTACTGCGTAGCCTGTGCCGCGAACTGCTACGTGCACCCGACACAGGTACATACTTCTATGAGGATGATGTTTTTGTTCTTCATAGCGATCGCCATCGTTAGTTTATTTTGGATTGTTTTGTTCTCCTATTTTCACCTGTTTTTGATGAAAAGAGGCACCTACCGTTCTCGTGCTCGTGCAGTTGCAGTTCGACGTCGTCGCGTACTAAGACTAAGTTGTGTAAGTAAGTACAAAAATCACCTCCAGTAGAGCCAGACGTCGTACCGGCTGCGAGGGCTCATTTGTTTTTGTCATGCCCCACTAAATCCACATGCTAAAATCTAAATGTAAATCTATCAGGCTCTCGCGTACCGCACACCAGCAGACTACACCGCGGTGTGTGAAGCAGGCGCCGCCGCCGCCGCTTCCGGTGATGACAGCGACGAGGGGCTTGGCACGGCGGCCGTCGCGGGAATTGCCATCGGCGGTGTGGTATGCAATACAAAAGCATCGTACTAGTATAAATTGCATTACAAATTGGCCCAGCATTACAAATTGAATTTGTAATGCTGATTTGCCTTGAGAAAGAGATTTGTAATGCATAAATGCAATTAGTACGAGTACGATACTTTTGCACAGGATGTGTGGTCATTCTCGCCCTCTTTGCCTACGGCTGTCACTCGATGCTGCGGGAAAGCAGGCTGGATGCGCAAGCGGGTATGAAAGCCTCACGTTGGAAATCCTCAAAGTGGAAATAATTTGTGATGCATGAAATGCTACGCAAAAACCTCTGTATTGCAGAGGACGCAATGGAGGCCGGCTATTGTCCTGCAGCTAGGGGTGAAGAATTGGAGTGCTGCTTAGCACGAGAGAAAGGCACCCCTTGCCTTAACCTGCATGACAGACATGCTTTGAGTGCCCGAGAAATTTGTCATGCGCCGACTACAAATGGCGCTTGCTTCAACTGCAGTCGTTTTTTTGCATTACAAATTCTTTCCACTTCGAGAATTTCCAACCTGAGGCTTTCATAGCGGGGGGCTTGACGGAGCGGAGGAAAATCGAAAAGGGGAAATCGTTTGCCTGGGGCCGCTATCAACTGTGAACATGTCTGGGTCTGGAAGCATGATGTCGCAAGGTTTGTCATGCAGAGCGAGGATGACTCTCTCTCTGACTCAAAGGACTCTCGAGTCTGTCATGCAGGACTCTCAAGTCTGCCATGCACGTTACCCAAGAACAGCCGCTTTTCTCTGCCATGCAGAAAGAACGCAGTTTGTCATGCAAGATAGGCAACTACACGTAGGCTTAACAGCTTAGAAATTTTTCATGCTTGGCTGTCGATGGAGGCGTCTTCACGTGATTCGCCACATCATAGCGATGTCACAACAAGCTTCCATACCCAAACATCAAGTTTGCACTTGATAGCCGCGGCATGACGATGGAACTGGGAAGTCGATTGTCTTATCAAATGCAAAAGCATCGTACTCGTAGTAATTGCAAACATGCATTACAAATCTCGTTTTTAAGCTAAATCCGCATTTACAAATTTTCTTTCTCATGCTAAGGAAATTTGTAATGCATGTATACGAGTGCGATACTTTTGCAATGCATATGTCTATGGGCAGAGGGGGCGCCCGCGGAACCAAGGTTGCTGCGGAAGAGAAATCCGGCGTCAGCGACAATTTCGGCAGCTCCTTCAAGCCTGGACGTATACTCAAATTTTAATTTATTGGAATTGCCATGCTTCGTTAAATTTAAATTTTGTTGCTATGATTTAGAAGATGATTAAATACCTTTTGCTGTTGATCTTCTAGCATGGTACACAATTTTGCACTAGCCTGGTACACAATTTTGCACTACTAGCTAGGCAGCCGTGCATGAAAATCAAAACGTGAACAAACTTTACAAAAAACTACAGAAAAACCACCTGCTTCTCCCAAGGGTACCACTACAGAAAAACCACCAAGGCTACAGCAAAAGAATGGCCCTCATCGCAGCGAGAAAAAACAAAGAAAAAAAACTCGCGCGCGTCGTGCACTTCTTAAAAAAGAAGGCCGCGCCTTCCTCCGCCGCCCAAAATTTTGGGCTTGGCGCGGCGCTGCGCGCCGCGCGTTTGTTTTGTTTTTCCTCACCCAACAGTTAGGGGCGTGCAGATTTTTCGTGAGAGAGGAAAAAAGCGACGGCGGGGCGTGCTCGCCGTCTCACTTCAACCCGAATCTGTCTTGTTGTTCAATTTGCAATTTGTCACGCGCTTGTTATTGAAGTGGTTATTGGTGCTTAACTTTCCATCAGAGTGCTGAAGTACCCATCTCAATAGCCGTTGCGTGACACGTTGCAAACTGAAGCTGGACAACAACGCAAATTGTTGGAGTGCCCACTTCAACAATTTGCACAACGCAAATTGCTGAAGTGGCTACTTCAACAATTTCGGCCTCGTTCGGCAGCTCCTTCAAGCCTGGACATATAAATGACAATCAAAATTTTTGTTACGTTATATAAGCTTAATTTAAGCTTATATAACTATAAGAATCTGAATTTAAGCTGCTTAAATTCAAATTCTTATAGTTAATATGAACATGTAGATTTACCCACCTCCGAGATGCTGGTATCGATTGACATTGAAATACAAGACAATCGTGCATCCAAATGAAAATGTTATAAAACTTTATACAAAAAACTACAGAAAAACCACCCGCTTCTCCCCGGGGCCAACAAGTTTCCCATCGCGTGGACATGCCACCGTCTCCCCGTATGCATTGCAAATATGTCTGGGTCTGGAAGAAAGGAACTTGTAATGCTGTCTCTGGATTCCAAAGAAATCTGTATTGCATGACCAGCAACAGTACTCCAGTACCAGTTTGTGTTACGCGGAGAGGGCATTTCTCATGCGGAATAGGCATTAGAAAGCCCTCTAAAAATCTGTGTTGCTAGATCATGCATTACAGGCGTCAGGCGTCATGCGAAAATGCATGACAAACTCCTGCATTCTTCCAGACCCAGACATTTTTGCAATTCATACCCCGGGGCGGCTCCCCACGTACCAGCCATGGGCACGTCCCCGGACCCTCGCCCAGAGGATCTACCGGAATGTATCCTGTGCAAAATTATCGTACTCGTACAAATGCAAGTCTTGCATTACAAATCTTGTTTCCAAGGCAACTCTGCATTACAAATTTCATTTCTCATGCTGAGGAAGTTTGTATATGCATTTATACGAGTGCGATACTTTTGCAACGACTTTGGGGGTTCTACGACCGGAATGAAGCCGCATATGGGATTGTCAGGATTGAAATCATCAAAGTTGAAATGATTTGCCATGCATATATAAAATGCAGCGCAAAGACTGCCTCTATTGTAGAGGACGCAATGGATGCAGATTGTAGTGCTGGTAAGGATCGATAATTGGGCCGCTGATTAGCATCACTGAGGGGATGCCCCTTTGCCCTAAACAGCATGACAAACTGGCTTCCGGTACGGACAAAATTTGTCATGCGCCGACTAGAAACGGCGGGTCCAATTGGTATCAATTTTATGCATTACAAGTTAATATCAACTTTGTCGATTTCAATCCTGACATTCCCATACCGCAAGCAAGCCCGCGCGGGGGTTCGAAGCCGCAGGCCAGTCCGCGCGGAGGGGTTCGTGGACCGCCGGGCGGCGGTGGTGGCGGGGGTGGTCCGAGAACCAGCCTTGGGGTGCCGACGTGAGCAGGATCAGGTCTTGCTAGTTGTGTTAACGATCCTCTGTGGTCTTCACACGATCTGTAGGAGCGGTGTTGGTTCTGTGAAATAGCGCTTACGACGGTATGATAAACATCTCAACCTTCAACCGCAGTAAGCAGCACAGCAAACACCGACGAAGTACTCCATTTTTCTGGCACTTTTTAAAACTAAACAGCACGCCTGGTCCCCATGCTATGGTGGATAAACCGAGATTTCTGTCTTTGTTACTAGAAGCACAATTATCTTCACAGCGAAAGTAGTTAGAAAGCACGACCGAAAACCGAAGAAGCGCGGAAGTTTATACAAGTTAAGGCAAGGCCATACCATCCTAAGAGCACATACGCAAGAGATCGTTACAGAAAGAGAAACAAACAGTCAAACGCATAGCAGATGGACCTTTACGAAGAGCACGACCATACCTACCGTTAGAGTTTGTTTTTCGATAGATCTCTTTATCTACCCAACCCATTACTTTTTACCCAACAGTTACCAGCCTCAGTTTCCTCTTTTTCTATCTTCAACTGCGAAACGTAAAAGAGCACGCGGAGCCCGCGCGTCCCCATGCACAAATGAAAAAAAAAAAACCAATTTGATCGCATGAAGATTTGAAAAAGTCACGATTCAGATTTTTTCAAAGTAGAAGTAGCGTAGTGATCTCCTTTACTTGCCTTACTGCATAGCATGCCTATGAAGGTGAGCAGCACTTCTTAGTCTTACAGCTACAGAAAGATGAAAGCCTGTGAACAACAAGAACGCATGTTTTTTCACTTCGAGAAGATATCGGATGCAGTCGTTGCTTTCTCTACTCCTACTTTCAGGGAGTGGCTGCGATGCTTCATTCGGTTGTGTTGAGCAAGTGTTGATGCTTTGAAATTCATTTCGTAGTTCACTATCAAATTCTGCTCGTAGCACAGGTAGTTCTATTGCTGCTCATTCTTTTTTCTTTTGTGCTGCCTTTTGTGTATATTAATCGACTTATTATTTGTTTGGAGCTATTTTTGTTTTATCCCCATTTATTTTTAACCCGCCCCACACACGCCCCCCGACAAGATGAAGCGGCGCCCCCAGATTGACGTCATGGCACCTGCGAAAAATTCGGCCCCTGCTCTCACGTAGTAGAAAAGAAAATGACAATTGCTGGGACCACTCGCAGCTTCAATATTATTTTAGTACCTCTTAGAAGGTTTTCAACTCCCCTGAAGATATAAACAGAAATTCTTCCTTCCTTCACGTGAAGTAGAGTTTCCACTTACAGTAGAAGTATGGCACCCGACGCGATTCACTTTACCTTTACTTCACAGTCGCAGGACATCAAGGAGCGAGGACCATGTAGTGCGTATCAATGTCCTGCATGTTGAATCATACAACAGAGGATGAACCTACTTGAAGCAAAGTGTGCGGACAAAGTAGAACAGGAAAAGCCACTCAGCGTTAATATGAGGCTATGAAGAAGCGTTGATGTACTTACAGGCAAAGCGTCTGCCACAGCCTCAATAGATGCAGTTATGAAGCCTGGAGTCGTCATTAAGATGCTGACTCCAGGCTGCTGCGCGTGCATTCAGGGGTCCACTGTGGCAGCTATCAAGCCTATCTGGGGGCCATTTGGGCAGATATCAAGCGGGGGTGGGAGGGCATCGGGGCAGCTTTTTGGGTTGGTGACACGAGTGGTGACACGGGGCGGTGACACGGAGCCAAAAAAATCGCGAATTTCGTGTCACCACGAGCTGTGACAGCCGATGGTGACACCAGAAATCGTCCCGGTGACAGACGACTTGTGCTCCGTGTCACCGGGCTCGATTTTGAGCCCGGTGACACCAAGAGTGCCACCGTGTTTAGCTCTCAAACTTGGCCGAAATTATCGGAATCTCGGGAATTCTGACATTTTGGCGAATTTTTCTTCAAAAAGTCAGCTTTTTCTTGGATTCCAAAAAAGCAGGAAAGTGTCAGTGTGGTGTGACTAGATAGGGCGTGGGTTGTGGCCGCTCCTAGGGGTGCAATCAGGCTACAGAGTGTTTAATCCCGCCGAAATGTGGGAGCTCCTGGGCGCCATGTCTGGCTGCCCTGTGCAGGGCAGCCGGCCGAAAAGAAAACGACGCCAATTTTTCCACGTGGCGCCCCACTCCCGGCAAGCCTTGTTGCTGCAAAATGCTCATGTGTCACTCGAAAGTCACCACCCATGTTTCTGACGGGTGTCCAAGCTCTAACTACTTGAAGCAAAGTGCGCGGACAAAGTAGAACAGGAAAAGCCACTCAGCGTTAGTATAAGGCTACGAAGATGGAGGTCGTCAGCACCTTTCTGGTCTGACATTCCATAGATCTGTTCCAGTCTCTTAACATCGCAAGAGCAGGCTTTTTGAATACTACTGGGGCACGCGCGCCTGCAAGGTGAAGCAAGTTCTAGCAGTTCCCAATGATTTACAAGCGAGGATCTTGATCTGTCACATCGGCGGCCGATAGACATATTGATGATGATGCTCGATAGATTGATGATCTTCACTTTACGCAGACGCAAGCGTGGAAGATAGACAGGAAGGATCGGTACTTTTTTTGTTGTGACACGAGAAGAGCTTGCTAGCAGCAACCAAGCAGGTGGAGACGAGACGGTGTAACTGTCACGTCAAACCACGTGTTTTTTTTTACTTAATTTTTTCCTCGCAGTTACGACACGACATGCAAACCCAAACCCAAACTCCCTCCCCGAATGGCTCCCACGCAAAAGCAAAAGGACGTATTCAGTAGTACTTAAGTACAACTAGGATTACCGTGCTGTACTTTGTAATCGAAATTTGGATATGGTATATTGTTATTCGCCGCGATTATAGAACAGTACTTCCTACCCTTTCCCTTGGTGATGATGATGTCATTATTGCTACCCAGATGAAACTTCCGTTTGAGGGCACAAGAAACCGCAAGATTGACTCAGAACTGAAATCCCCCCCTCAAATGTTGACACATTGATGAGCAGGTTGCGGATAGAAATAGAAATTGGGAGCGTCGTCCACCGAAGAGCCTGGAAATAGCGGCCCGGTTTTTTTGATCGTTCGACAATGTAGTGAAAGACGTCCACCTGGTAGTGAAAGACGTCCACCTTTTTTCTGATCGTGATCATCGTTTTGGTGCCGAGGCCGTGCTTGGGCGGTGGTCACGAGACAGGTTGGAATGGCTCTGGAGGAGCTAGTGCTACTGCAGCTAGAGACACCTCTTCCCGGGCGCAGCTTGCGGTACCCAGAAGCGGCTCTGTGGAAGAACAAATTAACCACGTCTACTACATGCCTAATCTCGGAAGCAGTCACACTCAAACGTTTGAAAACCTGCTGTATGTTGACCCAGCAAATGCTCCTGCAGCTGCGAGAGATGGAGGAGAGAGGAACTTCGATGGTAACTACCACGAGAAGATCGTCTCACCGCACGCTGACACAGGCACAGCCACGGTTTTTCCCACGACGCACGCAACGGCACCACCGCCTGAACAACAGACCGGTGGGCCGCGGCATTTTCATGAGCACCAGTTTTACGTCAGTGGCGCAGCGGCTTCTACGTCTTCAGCACCTTCTGATAATATTTTGCCGAAAAGTACCGATCAAAGCGATGAGGATGTGGCAACGGTCGTGGTAGAGGATGGACCTGTACAGGATGACGGTGAGGTAGAATATTCAGACGCCGTTCTTCAACCCCGCATAAGAAGAAGAGCGACTCTTGCTTCGGTGTCCGACGGTCGTGACGACGACGCGCTCCACGCCCCCGGGCAGAATCACGACAGGCAAAAGACCAGCAGGAACAGCCACCATTTTCACATTGCGTCGTCGGGGCGCAAAGACGTCGGCGCTTCGTCTCATCAGCGCCAAGAAGTAGTAGAAAGCCGCCGCTCGCCATCAGCAGCCGCAATGGAACAATACAACTTCGAGGAAGACGTGACAGAATTCGTCAGCCCCAACCTCATGAACCTGTTGCTACTTCTAAAGAACTCGACCCATTTATCTGTCGAGTTACCCTTCTGGAACACTTTGATCCTCACCATTCTCGCTTGCATTGGAGTGTACTATCTCTGTGCGCGGACAAAGTAGAACAGGAAAAGCCACTCAGCGTTAATACGAGGCTATGAAGAAGCTGGAGGTCCTGGCTATTACCTTTCTGGTCTGAAGTTGTTGGATACATCTGTTCCAGTCTCTTTTCTACTGGCACCCCTGGCAACCGAAAGCAAGTGAGATGGAAGGGGCGCCCACAGATCGGGATAAGTACTAGCAGTTCGCAATGATCATGTACAGACGGAGACAAGGATCGTGATCTGTCGCAGCGGCCGTCACACACACTATATGATGATTTCGATAGATGATCTTTACTTTACGCAGACGCAAGGAGCGTGGATACGACTCAGGAAGGATCGGTACTTTTTTTGTTGTGAACACGAGAAGAGCTTGTTAGCAGGAACCAAGCAGGCGGAGACGAGCTTGCAACAGCTAAAAACGATCTGACATTGTCAGTCAAACGCGATCTTTTTTTCATCTTTTCCGCTCAGTTACGACCCGACGTGTAAACCCAAACCCAACCTCCCTTCCTCCCCGAACGGCTCCCACGCAAAAGCAAAGGACGTATTCAGTAGTAACAGTAAGTACAAGTAGTATTACCCACCGTGCTGTTTCTGTAACTAATCGAAAAAATTTGGATATGGTTATTCGCCGTGAAGATAGAACAGTACTTTGTACCCTTTCCGTTGGTGATGAGGATGTCATTATTTCTACCCAGATCATAAAATTTCCGTTTGAGGGCACATTAAACCGCGAGATCGACTCAAAACTGAAACTCCCCCTCAAATGTTGACACATTAATGACGAGGCTGCGTATAGAAATTCAAATTGGGAGCGTCGACGTCCACCGAAGACCCTGGAAATAGCGGCTCGGTTTTTTCGATCGTTCGACAATTATGTACTAGCGAAAGACGTCTACCTGCTCCTGATCATAATGTTGCAGCTTAAAGACCAGCAGTGCTTCTCGTCTTCTCCGGATGGCGAACCAAGAACCGTTGCATTGGAAGTAGATGCGGAGGCCAGCACGACTGGAAAAAATCTGCTTTGGAGAAAGGGGACCCCGCCACCTCCTTCTTCTTATAGCGATTCTTGCAGTTCGAGTTCCACCACCACTTCCGGCAATACAAATTTCTTCTCCACCTACTTCTCAGGAACAACCTCTACCTCGCCGTCCTCCTTCTTTCTGATCGTGATCATCGTTTTGGTACCGCGGCCGTGCTTGGGCGGCCACGAGACAGGTTGGAACGGCTCCTCTGGAGCCAGTGCTACTGCTAGAACTACATCAACATCCAGGGCACAGCAGCTTGCGGGACCCAGAAGTGGCTCTGAAGAGCAAATTTTTAACCACGTGTATTTGCCTAGTAATCTTGGAAGCGGTCAAACTCAAACATTCGAAAGCCTGCTGTATGTCGACCCAAATGCTGCAGCTGCGAGAGATGGAGGAGGGAGGAACTTCGATGGTAACTACCACGAGAAGATCGTCTCACCGCACGCTGACACAGGCACAGCCACGGTTTTTACCACGACGCACGCAACGGCACCACCGCCTGAACAACAGACCGGTGGGCCGCGGAATTTTCATGAGCACCAGTTTTACGTCAGTGGCGCAGCGGCTTCTACGTCTTCAGCACCTTCTGATAATATTTTGCCGAAAAGTACCGATCAAAGCGATGAGGATGTGGCAACGGTGGTAGAGGATGGACCTGTACAGGATGGCGGTGAGGTAGAATATTCAGACGCCGTTCTTCAACCCCGCATAAGAACAAGAGCGACTCTTGCTTCGGTGTCCGACGGTCGTGACGACGACGCGCTCCACGCCCCCGGGCAGAATCACGAAAGGCAAAAGACCAGCCGGAGTAGGGACCATTTTGACATTGCGTCTTCGGGGCGCAAAGACGTCGGCGCTTCGTCCAATCGACATCCACCAGGAGTAGACAACCGCCGCTCGTCGCCACCCGCAACGGAAAGATACAACTTCGAGGAAGACGCGACAGAATTCGTCAAGCCCAACCTCATGAGCCTGTTGTTACTTCTGAAGAACTCGACCCATTTATCCGTCGAATTACCTTTATGGAACACCTTGATTCTCACCATTCTTGCTTGCATCGGAGTGTACTATCTCTGCAAGGACACCAACCTCCTCCGGTTCTACGACTTTGGCAATGACCACGACGACCATTCACACAGCTGCAAGTGCCCGTTTTGTACCAAGAAATATGAATATGTGGAAGAACATGAGGAGAAAACGTTGTTGGGAAAAGGCGGCTACGCGTCAGTGTTTTTGATCCGGGAACGTGGAACTCCGGGTAGTGCTGGGACTACAGCAGCACAGGTCTCCACGAGCACGACGCCAGGCGCAACTAGAGGGAGCGGCAGCCGAGGGAACAAGGGTGCAACCGACAAGAACGGCAAAAACGTTGGTGGCGGTAGTGCCAGCCCGGCGTCTGCGGCGAAAACAACATCACACAAACCCAACTACATCGTCGCGAAACGCACTCCAAAAATCGAAAACATCGCGCACCTACGAATTGCAAACGTATCGTGCAGCTGAGTTGTAATTGCGTTACAAATATAGCTCAAATCCAAATGGAATTTGTCATGCTGTTTTGCCTTGGGATGAAGATGTGTAATGCATGATTGCGATTTTTAGACTACGAGGAGTGCGATACTTTTGCAGTGGATATCACCTGCAGCGAATTCAACAGGAGGCGAAAGAGTTACGGAGACTGCAGCACCCGAATGTCGTGGTATGCATTGCAAATATGTCTGGGTCTGGAAAGTTGTGATGCTAATGTCCGAATGATACGCAACCTGTACCTGTAGTAGAGGGGCGCGCATGACAAGTTTCTGAGCGGCTATGTCTAGCGTGAATCGCATGAAAAGTGGCTTTTTGCATGACAGACAAGTGGCACTGTAACGCACCAAGCATGACAGACTTTTCTGTCTTGTCAGCCAAGCATGACAGACTTGCATTCTTCGAGGCCCAGACATATTTGCAATGCATACGTGGCGTACATTGACGATTTCGTGCACAACAAAGACAGTGAAAACAAAAATGGCACAACCGCTAGTGCGACTTCTCTCTCACCACGTGGCAGTGGTAACTCCGGCTACGAGTACTACCTGATTATGGAATATTGCGACCGGGGAGATTTGAAAGACCACATTGACAACTACTACGAGTGGTTTACGGAGTTCGAGGTGTTCAACTACCTGCAGCAGCTCGTTGCCGCTCTTGCGTATTGCCATTCCAAAAACGTGATTCACCGCGACGTGAAGAGTCAGAACGTGTTTTTGACTTCTTCTCCGGGTGCATCTACGTCCTCTTCTAACAAATTTTATACCGGCTCTACTTTTTTGGACAAAATCGGGCCGTTGACCTTGAAACTTGGGGATTTTGGACTCTCCTCCTCGATGGGGAACAGCTTGCCACGACCTGCTGGAGGTCCTGTTCCTGCAGCTGCGCAATTTCAAAATCTCGAGCAGCCCCAGCTCCATTCGCAAGTCGGAACGGACTGTTACAAAGCGCCAGAACTGCTCGGCAGGTCAAGCTACGGCCGGGAAATTGACGTTTGGGGGATTGGGTGCGTGTTGTTTGAGCTGTTGACCGGAGATTTCCTCTGGGATTTACAGGATATTAAGCAGAGAAGAAGCCGGGTGCCGGTGGATTATTGGCAAAACCACGGTGAGCAAAAAATTTCTCCAGCGACCGCTTCGCCACGTGAGGGTCAACTACACAAAGGGGATGGGACGACAGCAAGAGCCACGGGGCGCAAAACCGGTCAGCAAAACAAGAAGATGAAAAACAAGCTGAAATCAGTGGATGACTTCGACGACGACAAGATTCTTCTCGACCAGCAACTTCTTTTAGAAACCACTGAGAGTTTCAGCGGGATTCGAACCACAGATTCCCTCACCTTCTCCCCACGAGCTGCACAGAATCTAGACCTGCTGATGTTCCAGCAGAACAATAACAAGTTCGGCGAGCACCAGGAGAACTCTTTGTCCTGCGACGGCTTTTATGGTGCGCCGACCGCAAAGTTGATTCACCTCGGGGTTCAGATTTTCGCGGAAGAGAACTACCTACAACGGCTGTTGCAAGCGAACTACCCGCATTTACAGGAGAAACTGCCCGTGTGGTGGCTGAAATTGCTCAAAAAGTGCTTGCAGAAGGAACCGAGTATCAGGCCGAAATGCGACCAGATTGCGAAGCAGCTGGTGTCGGTGAGGCAGAACATGGTACAGAAGAGTGGGAATTACAGCAATTACAGCATCAATGCGTCCAATCCGAAGGAACGGTTTGGGGAGAAATTTCAAGAATTCTGCCGGATGAGAGCAGGAAATAATGGGTTTTTGGACGAAGAAGAAGAAGAAGGACCATCTTCGCAAAACTCCAGTGTTGACGCGGAAGAGGAACAAGAAGAGTATCTTCTCTCGAAAAAAGATCGGAAAGCCAGTCACAACAGCACGCTAAGCCGGAGTCAAAAATCAGCGAACTCGAATGTAGATAACCACAGTTTTGACGAGCGGCTAAAAAGTGGTAGCAGGAAGAGCTCCCGGATGAATGATTTCGAATACGAGCTGCAGGGGCTAGCAGTGGATCATAGCAAAAATTCTGGGACGATTGACCTGTCAACAACAACGTCGCCGCAGAGCTACTTGACCGGCGGAGGATCCCGGAGGTCTGCTGGGTTGTCCTCGTCGGGCTCTGTGCAATTATTCGAACCTCCGGAGGACGACAATGCTTTGGGGATCAAATGGGACAAGCGGAATAAAATCAGGGAGTTTGAAGCGAGGTTTTTAAAAGAGGAACTCGAATTTCAGCAAAAGAACCCGTCTGCGACCCCAACGCCACGGGGGATGAATGGAGCAGGCGGGGGTTTTGGAGCTAAGAATCTCGTGAGTCGGGGAACAACTACCGGTGGTGCGTACTATCAGGGCCAGCCTCAGCAAGAAGATGATTTAGATTTTTCGTTCCGATTTAAGAAGGTGTCGAAGACGGGTGGGAGGAGGAGGCGGCGGCAGCTGGAGCAGTAGGGGTTATTGCTAATGAAGACTACAAAATTTCTTTTCCACCTTGAGCAAAACTCCTCATGACGAGATCACGATGGATAAGAAGGCTGATGGTGATGACATTGAAGACGGAGTGAAAAAACTACAGTAGGAATTCCTAGAGCCAGAAGGGCAACTGTATTGCACGTGAAGCAGAAACAGGCCACGCGATACCAGTATGAAATCATTCGTTCAAGAAGCATAGGGATGAAAATAAAAAATCAATGCTGAACAACTTTGATTTTAGAGGAAATTAGCTGTTCATTGTCATTCTTCTGCGTGCCTGCAATTTGTTTCGTTTCGGTTTGACAGCTTCGCACACGTGGTGCCGCGCCGATGTTGTAGGAGAAAAAGACGCAACTCAGGAGGAAATATCTTCATTTTGGTGGAATTAACTAGGCAGTGAAAGAAATGAAGCTACTAGAGCGTTACTGTGGCCGCGCCTTGTTGTGTGGTTGCAGGCGGGCGCGACGCTTGCGTTCGGTCGTGTTCGTTTTTTTTTTGTTTGCTGGGTGTTGTTGACTTTGGGGTAGACTCCTTCACACTGTGAACTTAAAAACCGCTGCGATGTTAGTTCTAGTTGCACCAGCATCTAAGCCACGTGTACGAGGACGGTGTTTATTTGACATGATTTAAGAATTGAAAGCGAATTGTGACCCTGCACGCGGTTTTCAACTATGCGACGAACAGAAAAAGTTAATGCCCTCTTGTGACAGATGACGTCTAACTCTAAGTTTTTTTACTCGCGCTTTCCGGCGGGATTTAAAATCTAAAACTGAATTACTATGGCTTGGCAATTACTACATCCACCGAGTCCGTGGGACTGAGACTGAGAGGAGGTAGAAATAAGAGCGGAAATCCTAAATTTAATTTGGCTCCCAATTCAAACCTGTAGGGGAAAGTGAGAGGACTCATCAGTTTTTTCCTTGACACCACCAACCTCCGTTTTCAAAAATGTCGGCTGCTATGCCCCCGATGCAGATGCCGCCGCAGTCTCTGACTGCCGGCATGCCGGACCCCTCCACTATCGGCAAGCAGAAGGACGCCTACATGAAGATGTTGGACGAGCAGGTGAAGTATCAAGTGCAAAAGTGTCTGGCTCTGGAAGAGTGCCAGACTTGTCATGCTGCTTTTCCATGACCCATGAGGTCTGGAATGCAGGACCTAGCATGACAGATTCTGCGAGACCTTTCTCAGGTCTATCCTGCATGAGAAACTCCCTCCCGACTTGGTCAAAACTGGGCGACTTTTGGTAATCATGCAACACAGATTTTTGCATGCTGCAGATTTAGCATGACAAGTTTCAATCTTCCAGACACAGACATTTTTACATTTGATATGAAGCAGGGCACCCAGGTGTTGGAGGCCCAGGTGAAGCACCAGAAGGAGTACCTGCTCGGCCAGGCGGATCAGCAAAAGAAGCAGTTCATCATGCAGGTTTGATTTGTTGGAGAAACGATTCCTACTACTACTTATGGTTTTAAAAGATGCAGCTTTAAATTTGGTCATCCTCATCTCTAGGATATCGAGATGATGGCTTGTTCGCGTTTGTGATGCATCTCTGAGTATAGGAGTTTGTGCATGACAAGCTCATTTGAAAATCAAAATCCATACCAACCTCGCCAGATCGACATGGAAGTGAAGCAGCAGGAGATGGCCCTGGACCAGCAGCGCATGGAACAGCTGATGGCCCTGCAGCAGCAGGCGGCGCAGCAGAAGGCTGCTCTGGAGCAGCAGGCTATGCAGCTCAGCATGGAATACCAGCAGAAGAAGGCCGAGGAGGAGATGCAGAAGCAACAGTACAATGTGATTTTTTTCGCTTTTGTCTTGCGGGATTTTGAATGAGAAACGCAATTCCAGATGGGCAAAGGCGCATGACAAAGACAAACCAAATCCAGATGTAACATGAAAATCAAAATTTACAAGGTTTGAGATGGAGAAGAAACAGCAGGAGATGCAGATGAAGATGCAGGTACTAAGTGCAAGCGTGTCTGTGTCTAGAAAATACTGATGCGGGATTGTATGGCGTGGCGTTAGCATTTTTAGGTGCAGCTAAGCCTTGACAACAGTCTGTCATGCGCATGCTGGGCTACAAACTAATTGACTTCTACACGCAAGAGCAGGGAAGGTGCTCTCTTGTCGGTCAACATGTAGTGCAGATTTAGATTTTCCCGGAGTATCAGATAAGCGATACAAGTTCCACAATACAAGTTTCACTTTGTCATTGTCAGATGCAGACATGTTCGCAATGCATAGCAGGAGGAGATGAGCAAGTTCCAGGGTGCCGGTCAGCTGTTCACCACTCCCGCCTTGGGCACGGCCATGCCGGGCGCCGGCGCCACCTACACCTACGGCCCCAACGGCGAGCTGGTCCCGAAGTAAAAAGGAGGTTCTGGTTACAATGGAAATGAAAAAGCGAGGTTTTATAGGAAAAGAAAACTACAGACAGCAGAGGAACCTTGTATGATGATAGACTTTCCCAAGTTTTCCAAATTGATGATGTAGCTAGTAGTAATTTTTCACCACGTATTTTCGAGAAGTTTTAGCAACTTCCACCAGGACAACACTCTTCATCTGCAGATTGTTTAGCTGCGTAAATCAATCGTGCTTGTAGTCCGCATCGTGGTGCTGTTTGTGCACTCGGATGGAGTAAAGCTAGAGCAGAAAATCTTTACAGATTCGTCTGAAAAGGTGAACCTTGTGTAGTAGTTTCTACCGCGCTTCCTGCTTAAAGTTTGATTACGTGCAGAAACACTGTTGAAGACAGTCCGTCTTTAGACTTCATCTTTCCTTGAAAATACGGTAGTTGTGTTTTTCTGCCTAGGTGAGCATTTATTTACCACAGTCTGAAAACACAGAACAGCATCGAGTTTCCGTAAGACCTCTTACGCGCTTCGTGCTATACTCGAGGAAGCCTCGATGTAGTACGAAGTCGCTACGGCAGGGTTGTAACTTGTAAGCTTTGATGGAGAAATGGAAGAGACAAGTCCATGCTTATTTCACTTTTTACGGTCAACGTAGTCCTTGTTTTATTTCATTATCACAAGTTATGTAGGTACTTATTGTCAAGTCAAAATACCGCACCGTGGAGAGAAGTACACAAGGCTCGCAGCTCGTGCTAGCCTTTGAAATCCGCTCTTGAGCAATCGGGCAGCGCAAGACTTACGCTGAGACGAGTCCGGTGTACTATCTTCTGGTGTACTAGCAATGCAAAGCCACTAAGACCCACTGCGACCAACATTTCGAGTGCAAAACTGACACTGGAGGTTTCATCGCAAGGGCAGGCACGGGTGAAGGTGATTCATGTTGAACACGAAGCAACAAAGCGAACACTTCTGAGCCGGGTCGTGATTCTTCAATCAACCTTTTGCCTTGTCTACATATAATACTCGAGCACGCGTGAGGACGGGCACTCGCGCGACCTTCCCAACAAGGACACCCAAGCTACACGGCGAGTTCTTCTGACATCTCCAGATGGGTGTGCGTCTTCCCTTGTGAGAAAATCCATAGCTGGTCCTGTCGAAGTTGCGCACGACTCTTGTAGTTTCATTTGGATGTACCTCAGTCGTCGGTTTTTTGAATGCAGCAATATTCTTGTGTCGAACTCACGACTCTCTTGTGACATGGCTCTGGTGCAATTGCAATGTGCCCAACTTGGTCTTTCGTCGGTCGTGAATTTTCTCTCGTCACCACCTGATGTGAATGTGCCGCACTTAGTACGTGGTGATCGTCTAGCTCCAGTAGATTCAGATTACTATTTTGTTGAAGAAGTGTTACATACAAGGTGCTTCTGCAACGCTGAGTGCTGCATCGTCGTGTTGTCTTCCAGTGATTCTTGAAATAAGTAATTGTTTTGCTGTTTCCTCGTAATTGATGCAGCCTTCGTATACACGCTCCGTGGTGCTGCTGCTACCGTGAGCAAACCCTGCTGTCCTCAGTCGTGTGAGACGTCTACTTGCTCGTGCGGCCGTCCCGAGCAGGTCGTGTCCCTGAACAGGTGAGTAGAGCAGGGCCGGAATTTGAACGCACGAGGACCCTACGTTTGTCATGGAGGACTCTTTCTTCGAGGACGCCGACGAATTCGACAGGGAGGATGACGGCAGCCACACGAAAAACCCCCCCTCCCAATCGTCCAACACCCTCTACCGCGTCCTCAGTGTGGAGCCGACTGCGTCCCCGGAAGAAATCCGGAACAGCTTTCACAACCTCTCCCGGGTGCTGCATCCGGATAAGAAACATGCTACACGAGGTGCGCAGTACGATTCTGCCGGCGTACGGAGCGGCGCCTCAGCGTCATCGCCGTCAAGGTCCGTCACAAATCCTCGTACGAGCGAAAATGCTAGCGGCGATGACGGACATCAAACCTCCGAAGAGGACGGCTTCCTCCGGCTCGACCGCGCATACCGGATTTTGTCGGACCCGACACTCCGGAATTTCTACGATAAGTACGGCGAGGCGGGGATCCGAGTGGCGGTGCGGGTTCCGAAGGAGAAATACAGGAGAAGAAGCGGTGATGAGGAAGATGCACACGTAATGTACAGCGATGACGATGAGGATAACACGAAAATCCCGTCCCTCCCACCCCGGGACTCGCAGATCATCCGAAGGGAAAAAATCGAGTTTGAAGAGATGCAGGCGTTGGAACAGGCGGTGAAACAGTTGATGCGGAACCAGAAGGAGTTGGAAATACCCCGTCGGTGCGGCTTGCAGGGCGGAACGACGTTCGGCTTTGCGGCGGATGGTGGAAGGATAAAACGCGGAGAAGGGATTCTGGTGCCGAGGGATTTATGAAAATGAAAATGACGAAAAACTAACTTGCTCGTTCAAGACCCCGTCGGACGGATTCTTTGTGATGCTGTTTTTGAAGTGCTGATTTCCATTTGCCTTGCCTCTCCTGCGGTTCTCGCGCGGGTGGGGAATATCACAAAAAGGACGGGTCGTTCTGGAACTGTCAACTTCGTTCATCTTTCCGGTTTCATAAATCCTGCACTTGCAGTACTGCGTCGCGCCAGTAACATAGATTTTTTCAGAGAAGTAAATGATTTGTGTTGCATGACTGTGTTTTTCACATCTGTGTTGCTGTTGTTTCGTGTCGGCTGCATGACAAATTCAACTGATTGTGCAATTTTCTCCTCAGGTACTCCTCGTTTCACCATAATGTGCACATCTACAATGACCATTTCACGACGCTGTCAGTATGGAATTGGAGAGGGATCATGCTCTACCATAGGAGTTTGTCATGCGTATCTCGCGAGAAGCTGCAGCTTCGCTCGTGCAGAAAATTGCATCACAAATCAATACATCGTGTCATGCGTATTGCGATCGCTCGTGCAGAAAATTGCATCACAAATCAATACATCGTCAAAAATGAAAGCTTTTCGTTTTTCAGACTGCTGCTCAATAGGCTGCTGCTGATATCATGCAAGACAAACTACGAATGTAGAATTTCACACCTTTCGCTTTCCATACCTCCTCTTCTCCACGGCCTACGTCGCGACGATCGGTGCGGGTTTGATCAAATCAGTTCTGCAATCTTCCATCCGCCCCGATTCCGAAACAAGCGTCAGAATTGCAACGGGGACGACCGGGTTTTCTTCGTTTTTGACGGATGGTGTCGAGGTTATCGGTGGGGAATAGATCTTTGCAGGTCGTGACTGAACTCAACTACAATAGAAGTGCAGGTTTGTCATGCGGTACTCGCAATAGAAATGTGATTTGTCATGCTTGTGCAGAAACGTGACGGCATGCTGTTTTAGATTGTTTACGGTCACGACCACCGTGGATTTTTTCCACAGCATATCTCTCCAGGCGTCCCGGAAGGTAGCGAAAAATGTTACCGTCGGGCTCCACTGCAACGTCGCAGTGAAGGAAGCGCTGACAGGTGCAATATTCGCCGGCGTAGAGGAGGAGAACACGACCAGTTCTGACGGAGACAAACCCGGCGCAGGTACGAGTAGTGCGAATAGACTTCTTCCCTCAATACACGTTCCTTTCGCACAGCCACAGTCGCTTTGCTCCGTCCTCTCGGGAAATTTTCCTGGTGCCGCTGCACTGGTGAACTTGGTTCCCAACTTACACGTCCAGAACTTTGGTTGCAGTGTCGTCTCCCGTTTGGACAACAGATCCGTCCTGTCGGTCTCCTTGGATCAGACAGGGGGATCAGGGTTTTTTAGCTCCATGTCCTTCTTCAGCAGCGGACTTTTTAACAACTTCTGGAAGCGCGACGCAGGAGGTGGTTCTCAACAACGAGAAATGTTGTTAGCCGCGCCGCCCGCAGCAGCATCCTTAGCCGCGCGCCCGGTTGTAGGTAGCAGAAGTTTCTCCGCCCCCTCTGAAGAAGCGAAAATCCGTCTGAAGGCGAGCTATGACCGGGAGTTATTCGTTCCGACAGTGAGAAGTAGTGGCGGTTCATCTACTTCGTTTTCAAGCGGAGGAGCCAGCAGCTCGAGTTCCGGCCCTTCTGGTAGTTCTGGCAAGAGCAACAAAAACCGATACTTCCTTTCCGCGCAATACAAACTCGACCAGAAGAACATCGAGTTCACTTCGAAGCTGAAGTTCATACCGATCTTTTCTTCTTCTGCGGGGACAGGAGAGGGTGACACTGCTGATCATGGGAACGCCAGGTCATCGTCCGGGGGAAGAAAAACCAGCAGCAGTGGCAACATCCCGGATCCCTTAACGTTTTCCGCAGTGTTGGGCGTGAATTTTGGAAACAAGGAGTTTCTCATGCAGCAATTGGAGGACGATGGACCACCGGAACAAACGTTCGTCATGCAGAACAGCATGCCTAGCCGCGCAAATAATAGATTCCTCGCACCATTACAGATCTTTCTCTCGGTTTTCAGCTTTGCGAAGGTCCAGATAGATCTGAAAAACGTGCCCGACGAGCTGTCAAGATTGTCTTGGAGCCTGCAGGCGAACACGGGGAGTATAAAATTCCAGTTGTCTTTCTCCTACGCTAGGTAAAAGTGTCGGGCGGTTCTCGGGGTTTTGCAGGACGGATTTGTATTCCACCTGACCTTCTGATTCTGCTTCTGTCTCAGCATTACAGATTTGACTTTGCGTTGTCAGATACCAATACCGGTCGTTGCCAACATGCAGATTTTATCCGACCAGAACCACGACTCCCCGGCACTACTTTGCCCATGCATACCGAACGTGCCGGTCTGAGTTTCGACCTGCCCCTCGAACTGAGAAACGTGCATCTACACGACCCGAACTTTCTGGGACTGCAACAACTCAACGGTCCTGGTTTTGACAGGAACTTCGGAAAGAGGTATGCAACCGGAGCCGCAGGTGCAACAGACGGCAGTTCTTTCCTGCATGCGACGAGATACTTGGAAACGCTGGCGCTGTGTAGCTGCGTGTACGCCCTGGCGCCGTTGGTGCTCAAGCTTCCGGCTTTGTACGAAGTGTGTCGCGGGCGGAGGAACAAGGAGTGAAGTTCTACTCATGTTGACATGCAAACTGTCCTACTTTATTCGATGGTGCATTGCAAACCGGGGGGCTTCTTTTGGGAAAACCACGTACTAGGCACAACTAGCCGTCCTCGCACTCTTGCTTAAGTGAGTACGTCTACGATGATACGCTGTCCACTGATGTTTGGACCACGAGCAGGATGTCGTTAGAGAGATTTGCATGCAGGAGCGTTTCAGCCGGGGGTGCCGTGATTCTGAAGCGTGGTCTTGTTTGAAATAGCAAATTGTGCTGTGTAAATGTAGCAAAAGTGAAGCTGTCGTGTCGAGGTCGAAATCAAAGTGGAGCTCCCTCTGTGGCCTAGTTGTTCATCGTCGGGGGTTTTAGTGTAGATTACAAACCTGTGCGAATCTGAGCTTCTGCAACAGAGATGATCATAAGTGTTGATAGTGAATGCGAAACGGATTCTGCCTTGCAAACTAAAGACCACAGCCCGGTGGACGTACTGGAGGTATAGAAGCAATACCAAGTTGAGCAGATCAGGGCAATCACTCAAAATTCGTGTTACACGATGCGCAACCAAAAGTTCCACACACCATGATAATGATTTATGATTTTCAAATTGCTCTACTTAACCAAAAGTGCTCCTTGAGGGTGTATATCACTTCAGTAGGTTATTGCAAATAAGCTCTCCTGATACTTCCCTTTACATGTCATCAAAGATTGCGATGAAAGAGGCGAGAAGTAGATTGTAGGAGAGAAGTACTGCAACAGGTACAGGAAGTAGAAAATTTGATTCCCAAACGCGTATGCGATTCTCATAATAGGCTATTCAAAGGTACTAGCCCAAACCAGAAGTAGGAGCGAGAGGGCGAGAGAGCGCGAAGTGAAGGAGGTTCTTGGGTGTTCTACACACACGAAATGTCATTCAAAAGCTCGCACGATCTGTTAAGCACGTTTTAAACGTACTAAACTTTTTTGCTGTTGTTTGTTGCGTTCTAATTGTGCTGTCCAAGTTGATGATGAATCTGCACCTCAATCTGTTTTAGGAAGCAGGAATTGGCGCTCGAAGAGCCAGATCCTATATCAAACAGAAAATAAATACGACTGGAAAGTTTGGCTTGCGCTTGGTCAGTAGTACGACTGGAACGCTTCGCTTGCGCTTGGTCAGTGCGGCGGCAGACTTTTCCTGCACCTCGACAGCAACTTTTACCGCAAGAACCTGCTCCTCCAGTGCGGCAGAGGCTGTTTCTTGTTCTCGACCGAAATTTCTACCGCAATAAGAGCCTGTAGTTCCAGCGACGACCAGCTAGGTGCGGAGTGGTACATATCACCAGCACGTGGAAAAAAAATATCTCTGCGATTGGGCTGTTCAAGCAGGTACTTTTTTTTGCGTAAAAATGCCATGAAAACTAGTGTCAACTATGTACAAGAACTACTTTTGGGTTGTGATTGTATAGGATAGGAGTTCTGTTCCCCAGGCTTTCGAAAGTTCCGTTTGCAAAATGAAATCCGAATAATTATTCCGGGTGGTGGTCCTTCTTGGGCTAAAAATTTTTGGGGTAAAACGCTAAAAGCTTCAAGACTGGGAGGACCGAACGTCTCTGGGAAAACCGACTGCCAGGACCGAACGTCTTCTCCGCAAGAACCACTTCAAGCCCCGTTTGGTCATCAAGACCTTCGTATCAAATGTAAAAATGTCTGGGTCTGGAAGATTGCCAGGTTTGTCATGCACATTTTGCATGACTTCTGATGTCTGTGATGCATGCCCTAGCATCACAGATTTTGTGAGGGCGTCCTGATGCCTTTACCGCGTGACAAATGTTCTTTCCGTGTAGCAAAACTTGGATTCTCTTTGCTGCCCATGCAAAACAGCAATTCATATTTTTAGAATCCAAAATCAGCATGACAAGTTGCATTCTTCCAGACCCAGACACTTTTACAGTTGATACTTCGTCAGTACGACTGGAACGCTTCGCCTGCGCTTGGTCTGTGCGGTATCCTGAGTAAAAACGTACCCACACCAGAGTTGTAGCGCAGATTTGCAAAGACAGGAAGACTTGTAATGCGCATCCCCATGAGATTGGGAGCCATTTCCAATCGTGTTTTGGAATTTGTGATGCTGTGAACAGGATGAGCAGATGAATCTGTGACGCGGCTGCACTTGCTAACCTGCACTACACTGCAGAGTGCAACTTGTCATGCGTGACTCACAAAACCCCTAGGCTTGTGTTGCAAAATCCCCATCCTGACTCTGGTGTGGGTACGTTTTTACTCAGGACATGCGGTAGCGGCTTGTTCTCCTCGACAACAACTTCTACCGCAAGAGGCTGTAGTTCCAGCGACGACCAGCTAGGTGCGGAGTGGTACGTATCACGCGGAAAAAAATCTCTCTGTGATTCTGGGGCTGTTCAAGCAGGTACTTTTTTTTGAGTAAAAATGGCACTAATTCTAGTTTCAACTACGTACAGGAACTACTTTTGGGTTGTAATTGTATAGCACTTTTGTTCCTCAGGCTTTCGAACGTTCCGTTTGTAAAACGAAACCCGAATCCCAGGTCGTGGTGCTTGTTCTTGCACTAAAAATTGGGGTAAAAAGCACCACTTCAAGACCGGCAGGACCAAACGTCTCTGGGAAAATAACCGTGTCAGAAGAACTTGATCCACAACTTTTTTCACCTCCGCCACGTTCGCAAGAGCCAGCAGTTCCACCGACTTCACGAAGCAGGCCGTACTAGTATTCAACTATCGCGGGGTGCAAATCTCTCTGCCAGTGGGTTCTTGTTTGAGCAGGTACTACATTTTTTCTTGCGTTGTACTGGAACTGGTGCTACTCCTACCACTGACAACTCACAACGTCGAGCAAAAAATTTTGCGTTGTTACTTGTAGCAGCCGTCCTCTCGAACGATTTGTGGAGTAAAATCCGAATCTCAGGTTGTTGCGCTTTGGGAGGTATTAAGCGACTTACGAGCGGAAGGTCAAGGAGCGAGCGTCTGGGGCGGTTTTCATCGAAGGACTTGACTCACTTCTTGTTCCACCTCTACAACGGCAACAAGAAGTCACCATGCCGTCCGTATCAACTGCAAAGATGTCTGGGTCTGGAAGGATCTGAATTGTGATGCTGTTTTTGGATTCTAGATAAAATCTGTATTGCAAATAATGACCAGCAAGAGGAGGCCAGTTTGTGCTGCGTGGGGAGGGCATTTCTCATGCGGAATGGGCATCAGGAAGTCTTCTACAAATTTGCGATGCTCGGCCATGCGTTACGGACGCCATATGGTCATGCAGAATTTTTATATGCATGACAAGCCGGGCAGTCTTGGGACCCAGACATATTTGCATTTGATAGTCCGCACTGGTGGAGTACAGCACGCGGTTGATATCCAGGAGAAAACAACCATCCCCATCCAATTTGTCATACAAAACATGTATGAAATTGAAATCATGTGTTTGTCATGCATAGAATGTATAGGGATTGTTGTTTTTTCCTGGATAGTTGATGGAGTACCTCTCCACGGGAGAAGCCTCCACGATATGAAATGCAAAAGCATCGTACTAGTATAAATCGCATGAGCATGACAGGTTTCCTCAGCATGAAAAATAAGATTTGTAATGTGGATTTGACTTGAGAAAGAAATTTGTAATAGATGTTTGCGATTACTACGAGTACGAATACGATACTTTTGCACAGGATACACGATATGCGATTGCAAATTATACGTCAGGGTCGGGAAAGGGAAATTTAAAGAACTTGAAGTCGTGAATGTGTATGTGATGAATCTGTCTTGCATGTCATAATTGAAAGAGACTCTAAATGTATGAGAACATTTTTTTCACGCGAAAGTGGAGTTTGTCATGCAGACAGCGTTGTTCTTGAAGCTGTATCAGCACCCTTCCAAACTCAGACATGTTTGCACGGGGTAACACACGAACGGCGACCACCAGTTCCACGACCACTCCGTGTATGATCGTGTGCAAAAGTTGTGCTATCTGTGACTCGTACTATGTTTTATCGTGTAAATGGCATTACAGTTATATTAGATTTTTTCAAAAGGTTGGTAATACTGATTTTGTAATGCTGATTTCCAACCGCAACCTTTTAAAAAAATCTGTAATGCCACTTACACTGGGAGGACTTGTGCTGTACAGCTAAAGATACTCTATTTCCACTGCATACTGTGTTGGGGTATCCAAATCAGGACAAGATCTTTCACAACGGCACGTACGGCGGTCATGGCGCGGTCCACCAGCACACGTCCCTGCTTTCATCTGCAAGTAGCTCTACTTCCGGGGGAAGCGGGGGTGGTGTTACGACGAACCATCATGGCACTAGTTTTACCGACGTCACGGGAGGAAGAGGCGACCACGGGGACGAGGCCTTTCCCCTGGTGCCGGCGGTTGATGGACCACTTGTTTCTGGACATTCCTCGAGGAGGATGACGGGGTTTCCCCAGCACAACATGCACATGAACAACAAGACCTCGTTTAGCATGATCGCACCGGATGATGATGTAAATGTATCAGCATCCTCCTCGGCTTCTTCTGGTCGGGTACGGGTTCGAGGAGGACCACCAGATCATGTCCAGGACAACGACAATCGCTTCCAACACGCAGGTGTTCATCATGCTGATTCGAACGGTGGTCGTGGCAGTGGTGTAGGACGAGCGGGTGGATTTGCAACGGCAAGCAGTTTTCTCGCGGCGACAGGACCAGAAAGAGGGGATGACTTATCCGGGACGACAACTTTCTCAACGGCACGACCACGGCAAATGAACCAGAACTTGATCCTCACCAAGAACAGTTCTAACGGGGGTAGTTCTTGCTCCTCCAGTAGTACTAGCTCCTGCTTTGCGTCTGCGGTAAATCTGAAGAACAGGTTTGGTAGTTCAAGAACTTCAACTTCCTTCACAACGACCGTGAATGGAGATTCGGTCCGGACGGCCAAGACACCCTCATTTCCGGGAACGAGAGGAGGAGGTTGGCGGAGGAGAAATGTCAGTTTCACGGGCACTTTGGCGGGGGATAGGGACACAAGTTTTCTCCGGGATGAAAACATGATCCAAAATGCAACTACCGAAAATCTCACCTACTCGATGAAAAAGAGTAGCACCGTCAGTGGTTTGTTCGCGACCAGCGGCAGTCGCCGTTCTTCTGGATCGTGGGGTAAGAGTTCTTCCTTCTTCTACTCACCGGCACCCCGGACCAGGACGAGAGGAGTTTATTGCCCGCAACTACCGGCGTCGTCGTCGTCGCCGTTGATGCAGGAGCAGGGGGACCACACGGACTCGTCTTCTTCTAGGACAACTACCAGGAATCACATCTCCAGTTCGGCAACAGGACGGCGGGAGAGTAACCTTCATGATCATGATGGACCACGCGTCGTGAAGCGCACCCTGTTCCACTCCGTACCTGCTCCGCCACCTCGAATGCGCGAATTGGAAGTAGGTCGGACTGTTTTTGGCGACGAGATGAAAAATATTAACGCGGCACGGCTACACCGCGGCAAGACGCAGGTGGGGAATTTGAGAGGAGCCGGCGCAGGAGCTGCGACATCGTTCGGCAGGTTCGGCTGGCTTGGGAACAAGATGCAGGCCGTGGGGCACTCAGTAAGCGGGGGAAGAGTATTCTCTTCTAACGCAAAACTGAAGCTGGACGAACTGTGCCGGATTACGGGCGAGGCAGCGGTTAAATCCAAATGGTGGCTACCGGACGACGGCGCCGCGGAGGGTACCGTGCAAACCAACGAAGCTGCTGGTGGGGATTCAAAGTACTGGCAATTTCTAGTGGGGAAGGCTCGACAACAAGGGAGCAACTTAGATCTACAATTTAGGGATATGCCCACTTTTCACACGTGCTGCCAGGAAAGCACGAAAGTGCAGAAAACGAACAGCTCGAAAGGAGACCATCCGTACACGGGCAACAATCAGCTTCAAACAGAACCAGATCCAGCGTCAAACTGCACCAGCCATAAAGTGACAAACGCTGCGAACCGATTGGGCTCTATGATGACGGGTAGCAAACGACACGAGGCCCCGACGGTCAATGAGTGTATCAAGGCATTGTTCTGGACAACATGGCAAAAGAAATGTGGCCTCCCAGCTGGTATGGGCTCCGCAAACGTTGTATCCTCAACTGATGCATTTTTTCTGTAGTATCACTATCACGTTTATCTTCTTCATACAAGATGAATAAAGGCACGACCACCCGACGTGGGGCTTTGCGCGTGTCGCAGATACTGTTTCGTGCCTTTTTGCACATTTATTTTTCTTCAATGCTAGTATTTACCGCGCCACAGCCCCTCTCTCATGCAAAACAGCTTGATCATGCCCGTGAGCAAGTTCCCTCTCTGTTTCTGCATGGGCATGATCTGTATGGGCATGGTGATGTGTCACTCAAAGCCTCGGCTTGTGTGTCAGCGTCTCTTTATGTTTTGGTTTGGCCACCGTCTCTCTATGTGAGCGCGGCCCATCTGTCTGCTACAAGCTTTGCATGTAGGCCCATGCTTTTGTAGGTTTGCACCGTTAGCGCCCCGCGTGGCAGTGATCGTTGCCGTATTTTGTTCTGATTGTTCAGTGGTTTACCACTTGCGCTGCTGCTTGCCGCCGCCTACCGCTGCGCATGGCCCCATACCCCGTCGGTATATCTCGACAGGTAAAAAGCAAGGCAATTAGATTTACTATTAGTGGGGTAACAATAAATCAAAAGTAAAGGTTACCAGGTAACCTTTACTTTTGATTTGATAACCCACTATATTTTATAGTATTTTACTTAGTAAAATACTATAAAGTAGTTAGTAGTAGTTTGCAGCTAGTAGCTGCAAATTGGTTTTCCTATTCCTTTGGCTGTATCCTTTTATATTACTAAGTAAGGAGCCAAAGCGCCACCGGGACATCCAGTAGCTCTCCGATGTCACGTAAAACCTCGTCTGCAGTCTTCAAGCGTGGTAAGTAAATTTGCAATGTGGCTCAAGCAGGGGCGCCAATTCGAGTTCATAGGGGCGCAGGAGATTCACTGGCAACAGGAGCAAAAGGCCCGAGCAATAATGATAAACGCAGCGCGTGCTCTTCGGCTTCGTCGGATGAAAAGTCGAAGACAAGAAAACGAAATCAGAAAAGTGAAAAAACTGATAGGGGTTTGGGCTACTGGCTGCCCGGCCGCCCCCTCCATAGGTGGGCGCCTGCAGATGAAATGCTGGGCAGGTTGAGGCATTCTCTGGCGACACCTGCAAAAGGGCCGCGCCCCATTCTGGGTGGGTCGTCGATGGTGGCGGCAGACGAACGGCACAGCGCATCAACAAAAGGGCACACAGAAGACCAAGTGGTGCCGGCAGGGGGAAGTTTTCTTTTACGGAGTCGGCAGAAGACCCCAGTCGCACCTCCCGCCCTTTTTTGTCTTTCTTGTTGCAGAACAACTCAGCGCGACGCGCTCCGACTGCCGCTACGCATAGGCGAAGCCTTTAGCTTTACGCTGTCGCGGTGCCCGGTCTCGGGCTGTCGGTCAGCATTGCCGAGCAGCTGGTCTACGGTTTGGTGCCTGTGGCCTGTGCGCTTGGTTGCGTGTTAGCTTTCGCCGCTCGCGCAGCAATTTAGGCACAAAAGGCCCAGCCTGCCCTGTCCCGCCGTGCTCGCGGCTCAAGGGGGGGGGCGGTTCTTGGCCAAATAAAGAGGCTCCCCTTCCATTGAAGCAATAAACTTTGGCGCAAAATGAGTTGCGTTCTTGAAAGTTGTCATGTTAGTGGCGTCGCGCCTTGCTATGTGGCGCGGTTCTGTTGATTGGCTTTGGGCGTTTTCCACGTGACGGGCACCGTGTGCGCGACTTGTCGTGGTGGTGGTAGCGCTCGACTTTGCGTGACGTTGCCAAATAGAGGCATGCCTCGCCCACCCCCCGGGGAGGCGGTCCTTGCTTGGGCTGTGGCTCGGGGTGCTTCGGGTGTCTTTTCCATGACGATGATCGGTGATGCAGAAGATGAAGTAAAGGCTGTGCATGACAAAGTATCAGATGAAAGCTAGGCCGCAGCAGATGGGGTGCAACGTTTGAGAATGCAGCATATTATTGCCCTCGGCGGCTGCGGGAGGAGCGGACCAGCCGCCAGATGGGGGCGCGGCTGGCGGTGAAGGAGAAGGAGGTGGAAAGGATGAAGCCTGGAAATCAAAGTGTTGTGGCGAAGTGAACGCACCCCCAAACCTGCGACCACCTGAGAAATTGCTGCCCCCGAAAATGACATCTTCTTGCGGCCCTGACGAGTTACAGGAACTGTTTGAAAGCGACCCCCGCTACACCGCGACCGGGACCGCTACAGAAGCAACTAATACTACTCCCCCCGACGGCAACGGCTAGCCGTTTTCTTGGAGAAGCTACCGCATGCACCGAGATTTGATCGACATGTTAGCAGAACTTGCTGTTGCTCCGGTTCTCTTTACATATTTTTCGTCGCTCCTGCACCAGCCACATCTTTCTGCACTACGAGAACAGCTGCAACCTGCTTCACCACAGCTGCTTCCGCGCTTTGTTTTTTCTTAGCAGTATTACTACACCTTACCACTGCCGCGCTTGCTGTCGTTTAGTGCACCTGGTTTACGTTATTAAGTAAGTTCATCGACTACAACATCAAGTACTTCTCGAAGCCGAGGACGAACACCGCAAGTTTGTTTGTTGCAGGTGTCCACGACCACCGCGTTAATTATGTAAAATAAATTTCCCGTACACGTCCACCCACGAAAAGGAAAAACAAAAAGAAATGCATATGGCAGCCATCTTTTATGGCGGCGTTAACTACTTCGTTTCTAACTATTTCAAATTTTTTGCTTGAGGTAAAAGCATCCCCTTTATATAGGTAGTTAAAGTAGCTACTTTAAATAGCTATTTTAAGTAGCTACATCATTAATTGTAGCTGATTTGTAGAGAAAAGCTCGAATCCGTCTCCACGACGCTGTGCTGCCACGGACTTGTCTCGGAACGCCCATCATACCGTCGCGGTTAGCTTCGGGCCCTGCGCCACCAAATACGTGATCTGAACCGCGAAAAAAGAGGACTTTTGAGGCTTGGCTAGAACGGATCAATGACGCTGGCTTGAGATGATGCATAGTATACAAATGCTCTCTCGCTGTTGTCTAGTTTCTTCCATGATACACCGCATCGCGCGTGCCCAAATGCCAACGACAGTTATTGTTTCGTGTGTCCACCTGTGTGTCTGTGTGTTGATGTGAAGATCCAATGAAGACGAGTGGTCCGACAATGCTGAAAAGTGACACGATGTGAAGAAGCTTCCACTCTCTCAACGTAGAAATCCAATCAATTGCTGCAAATGTTTTTTTTTCACCAATAGTCGAGTGATGTGCACTACAAAAATCCTCTTTTCCAATCAACAGCCGTAGGGTGAATGCTTTGTCGACTGCTTTTGTGGTCAACGAGAATCCTTTTCGGAAATGCGTTCTTTGGCTAGCTGCTGCTTCGGTGTGGTCTGCCTTCCGGTGCTGTTGACCGTGAACTTTGGTGCCATCAACCACGTCCACACTGTTGTCCACGCTGGCGGATCCGGATCTGGAGGCGGCAACAAGAAGCCCAACAACAACCAGCACTCCTCCCCCAAGGACTACTGGTCCGGAATTTTCGCGAATTTCGGTCAGTATGTATATGAAATCAACCTTCGTGATGAGAATGATTTGCAAGCTCAAGTGCAATGATTGCGTCATGCTTTTCATAAAGATGTTCGTGCATCACGAAGGTCGATATTTCAGTTTCATACCATAAGCGAGCTGCAGTTGGTCATGGAGGCGATCGAGGAGCGGTTGGAGCAGGTGCAGGCCTTGCAGGAGGGATGGTTGTCCTTGTCCGCCTTGTCCAGCCACCAGTTCGATTCCGGCGCCGACCGTATTCAGTGGCCGAGATCAAGTGTTTCTGATAGAGTTGCAGCTTGGAACTTTACAACTGTCGATGAACCATGTAGCTTCATTTTTGTAATGCAAATTTTTTGGTGTATTTTCATGCGCACGTGATGCAGTAAAGCATAATATTCAGGATTTTTTCAACTGCACGTGCGCGAGTGCCAAATGATTGTGAGTGGGTGGGGCCGCTTGCGCTACACCGAGGTCTGCAGGCTGCTCCGCCACCCCCGCCAGTTTATCTGGCTCATCGAGAAGGCCGGCGTGGCCAGTGACTGGAAAGCACATAGACTTTTGCACCCCTTTTGTGAACATCCCTTTTGGTCATGCCTGTTATGCATGAATCTTTTATACATGATTCGTCGGATATGCTCTCGACCTATGAGCTACCAGTTGCCCAAGGCGGAATCCGGCCAGCGCAGCATCCGCGCCACCGTCCGCTGGTTGCGCAGCGAGCTGGCCACCGAGACCGTCCGCGAGTTGTTCCGCTCGATGCCCACCTGTGCCCAACTCGGTGTGGAGGCCCAGCAGTTGAACACCCACGGCTCCGCCGTCGGTGCCGTCACCGTGAACACCAACACGAACCAGGGGTCGTCGTCGAGCAGCTCTTCCTCCAGCTACGTTGCGGCCACGCAGAACACCCAGAACTTGATGCCGCACACGAACGGGAATGCGCCGGTATAGATGATGGTTGTTTTATTTCACATTGCATTGGTGTTATGAGATCACCACTTCGTACCCATCGCTGCTTCTTCAATCGCGATTTATATACTAAAACAGCAGCTGATCCCCTCCTCTGCCAGTTAGTGCGGTGCCTTGTCCGAGATGCAGGCTGCCGGGCACCTGCAGATGCACTCCTCCGCCGCGAGCGTGGTCGGGCTGGTCACCGCCAACCGCGGACCGGCGCCGCCGTCTACCTTCGGCATCACTGGCTTTGTCCCCAACCAGGCCTCCTCGAACACCTGCGAGGCCACCTCGTCCGGCCTGACCGCGTCGGCGCTCGCGAACCACAATGCCAACATCGAGTCCACCACGACGAGCACCAACGCGCCCACTCCGACCACCGAGACCACGGTCACCACCATCGAGACCTTGTTGCCGCCGGAGGAGGATGATCCGCCGCAGCAGGTCCAGGAGACGCAGGTGGTGATTGACGACGATGCTGTCACGGGTACGTTTTTGATCTGATTGCACAAGAGCAACACTGCGATTTCGGTTTGGTTCTGGTAGTAGTATGCTTTCCTACGAAGACGATCTCCTTGTGCCCCGAATCTCGTGTAGTTATAGTTCAAATTTCATCTTCTATCGACTATCAGGTGCTGCTAACCCGCCGGTGGCCAACAACACTGCCGTGGAGCAGTCCACCACCACCAACGACCTGCTAGACACGCCGTCTGTGGTGCCGCAGGCCAAAGCGAAGGCCGAACCCAAGGTGGTGGCGAAGGAGAAGGCCTCCGCGAAGAACACTGCCCGCACCCAGACCCCGCCGTTGGTGCCCAACCCCAAGAACGCCGCGTCCTCCGCGAAGCCGTCTGCGAAGGCCAAGTCCAAGGCGTTGCCGTCGTGCTCTCCGACCTCGAAGCGGCAGAAGAAGTGAGCTCGATCTGTGAGATTGAGGTGTAGTGGGTTTAGGTAGGGTAGTTAGGGTTCATCGATTCTTCAGATCATGTGACGCTACCAGATAAGAGTTTTTCAACGCGTCTATTTATTACAGTGCATATAGAGTGACCTTTTTTGCCGTAGTGCAGCGTAAGTAAACTCCATTGCACAAATGCGTAGTGATAGGCTTTGAGCTTAACGCTCTTACCTTACAACTACTGTAAAAGTATATCGTAGCAGGCACTTATTTGTGCGGAGCTAACGAGCTACATGTTCTTCGTATTGACGTGACCAGTTTTGAGTCTCTACATATAGTATTACCTCCGCCAAAAACATCACATTTATAGTGAAAAGTAGTGGCATTTGTTCTTTCATATCAGGAGGCTTGATGTCGACATCTGTTGTTCTCGGTAGTTGTCCATGATCATCGCTTTTTCTTGTATCGTGAGGCTTTGCTACAACTTAACTGCTTGGTCGAAACACCCGCTCTTTCATCTTCCGTGCAAGCCTATGACTTTCTACCACTTTCGCGACAAAATCTTCAGTGAGAGTCGAAAGTTCTGAGCAGAAGAGGACTACTGCATTTCGACTCACAAAGCAACGACTTCTGATTGGTACTTAGTAGTAGACGTGACAAATTCTACACACAGCACAACACAGAAGAAGCTGCAAAAGCTCGCGAGCTAGCAAGACGATGTAGTAGGTCTGCGAAAAGTACTAATCAAAAAATTTTGAACGTTCTTATAAAAATAAAGATATATTCCCGGACAAAAGTAAAAAATCATGTGCGCAAGTTGCTTCTATACCATGAAGGATGTGGTTTGTTGTAGTGTGAAGATAGTGGCGTTGTTCAGCAGACAAGCGCGATCCTGGGCTTATTGTTGACGCGTTCGGTCTTGTTTGATGTTGGGCAGGGTCAGATGAGAGCTGTTTTGTTGCTTGAGCGTCTTCTACGAGAGTGTGTCGAGGCAATGTCGATGGTTTCCGGGCCACAATCACTTCGTCGCATTCCAGAATCTAGTAAAGCGCGTTCGACATAATTGTAAATCCGTAGAGAGATAATTGGAGGACAAGATGTGGTCGTCACCTGGTGGCGGCAAGCGGAATGACGTCGCTGCTGATCTGCACGACGTCGCGTCACCGCAGCGCAAGAACCGTACTCGTCAGTGGTACATTCCGTATCTGTGCAAAGATACCGGCGTTGGGAAATACTACCTCAAGACGGCGTGTTCAGATTTGAACAACTACGTGCGGGACCTCGCGAAAACTCCCGATACTCTCATGCCGTTGGGTATCGTCTGCCCAGAGCCGAAGACGTTTGATCGTCCGCATGGATTGGTGCCTTTTAATACGATTTGGGGTTATGCATAATAGTGCGGATGTGAAAAGAAAGCGAAGTAGTTCGTTATGCGTTATTCGATAAAACGAAATCTATCAGGTATCCCTGCTTTTGTACCGGAAGACGACAGCTTCTGCGCAAGATTGGGGCAAGATGATGAGTGTGTGTCCGTTCAAGGATGTAGTGTCGGGCGTCGAGGTAGCAAACTACTACGCTACGATCGAAAAAATGGTTACTTATACCGACACGGAGATGAACGCCCGCCGAAAGAACAAGGAGACCCGCCAGAAAGAGCGTGAACAGGTACAGGAATGCCTGGAGATGTTGTTCGAGATTCAATGCAGACGTTAAAAAAAAAATGTCTTTCATGCATGATCTGGCTTTTGAAACACAACAAAACAAACACCTCATCTCAGTCCAGGAGTGGTTTTGTCGCCAATGGTCCGCGTTTCAGCTGCAGATGCGACTCGCCGAGACCATGAGCCCGTACTTGAAAAGACTTTCAAAGTTTTTCCACCACTCACCTGGCTCCGCTTCCAACCAATACGGGGGCTCCTACGATTACAGTGACGTGATGAAGAACCACGTTTGGGGCGTGAACGTATTGGATTTTTCATTTGCTGTGTTTGATGTGGATCTGCACTGCAGTTATATGGACAGCTACGCATGACAAATAAACTCACACAAACTATTCCCAGGTCTTTTGGTGCGACGAGTTTGCCCACAAAAACAAATCAAGCGGAGTTGTGGAGATGAAGGACGACGTTTGCTACTACCCGACTCCGCTGGCAACTGCGACGGAGGATCCCAGGGAAGATGTCGAGTCGTATGCCGCGACGAAGAAGAGCACGATGGGAGTTCTCATGACGCAAACGCAAATGTTTGGCGCGGATCATGTGGTGAGCATGCTGTACGACCCGAATGTCGGCGCTGATAATATCGACATCACCTCCTGGATGCTCGATGACGAATGCAAGAAACCAGTCAAGCCCCGCACGCAGTTTCATCTTCTTCCGGACCAAGGCGCGCCGGAGCTGCGAATGTGCCTGCGGATGAGCGAGCAACAGTGCGCCGTGTTTGCACAACCTCCGGCGCACAAAGCGAGCAATATCGCAAAGGATGTGAACGCGGCCTGTGAAGAAGTATGTCAGCAAAACACGCGACTACTACAAACCTGAAGTACCACCAATGTGCATGACACTGCTCGGAGTATTCTTTTATTATTGCTTCGGGTTTGTAGTTGGTCGTGTGTTTGAATGTGGATACTCATCTGCTGCCGGCTGGAGGAGAACAATCAAAGGCCCAAAAGGAAAAGGAACGAACCAGAGCAAGTTGAAAAACTGCAATACAAAAGCAAAGGAAGAAGCTGTCGAAAAGGAAGATGAAGCTATACAAAGAAAACATGCAAAGCAGCTGCTGAGCCAGAAGAATAAAACAGCCGAAACTTACAGCGAGTGCTTCGAGGAGTGTATTGCTTTTATCATTTCTTGCTGCTGGTTTTGTCATGCATAATCATTATACTATCTTTAACATTTTGCTTTATGAAATGGTGGAAAATGTCCTTCCGAAGTGACTACCTCTTTCCCCCTCCTTTTGCTAGAGCAAAAGTGAAGCAAAAGCGAAGCAAAAGTTTTTTGCTTTGATCCATCATAGCATCGTGGCTACAAAACTATTTCATTTTTTTCATGGTTTCAAAAGCCGGCGGTTTGCTCCCCCCTTTTGCCCACCAAAAAAGGTAGTCACTTCAAGTAGTCATTTTCATTTTTGTTTTTTTGATGAATTCCAACAAATAAAATCTCACCAGTTTGTAAAATCCTGCACGGTACGGATGCCCGTTGGTTCAGAGCAACGGAGCACACCTTCATGCTGGATAACTACCAGTGCCAGCTGATGTTGTTGCTCTGGATGTTGATGCAGCAGGAGAAGCAGAAGCTCATCAAAGCAGGTTTGATGTTGTTTCTCGTTTTCAATTTGTCATGCAAAGCGACATAGTCTAGTGCTGTTGTAAACAAGCAATTTGCAATGCAAAAAAGCAGGAGCTCCTGGAATTTGTCATGCGCTTTTTGATATATAATCCATGATGATACTCGAGTACTGCAACCATTCAAAAAACCAGGTAAGTGGGATCCGAAGATGCAAATTGACGAAGATGGAGACAATATTTATGCTTGCAAACCCTGCTATTGCCTATGTGCATGATTTGTCATGCGCAGGAACATCTGCTCATGCCGAAACTTTGCAGCCATAAAATGCGTTTTTCAGTCTGACTCGTCAACTTTCAAGGGCAATAGCAGTGTTTGTCATGCATAAAATCAACGATCTGTGGTCGCCGGAGATGGATAAGGAATTGCCGCAACCTCTTCCGGCGGAGCTGCAGTTCGAAGACGACAAAAATGATGAGAAGCTGCTGAGCAAGACCTTTGTGGGCTACGCGTGGCAATACTACGGGCTGTTGCGGAAAGTAACGTATTGGGACCGTGAGGTGCAGAAAGACATGACCATGCCGATGTACAACTACTGGCGATTGTTAGAAGCGCTGAGCTCGCGACTCGGCAACGATACCACAATGCTGCAGAACGCAACTACGCTCCGCTGCGCGCGGCGCTACGTACCTCGGTGAAGACTTGCAGCGTATCAAACAAAACTGCCATCTACTACTGATACCAAAGTGCATAATTAATGACGTGTCTTGCATGACAAATTCGGTTCTAGTGTAGTAGATTGCAGTTTTGGTTGTCATGCTTTCCGATACCACTTTGACTACGCCGGAGATCAATGAACGGTTTGCCAGAATGCGCCCGCAGACCTGGACGAACATGATTTTCGACGTGCAGAAGAAGATGCATCGCAGTGATCTCCACTTCACCACCGGATGGAAGATGGTCGCGCGCTGTCTCAACGCGTACTGGTTCGATTGCTGGGATCCGGTGTTTGGCTTTTGGGAGTCCATCTGCCACAACCGGTACGCGCCCCAGACCCGGAATCTGCAGTGCCTCCAGCAGGACTTGAGTTTCAATCTGCCGATTTTTGCGAAGAAGGCGCTGAGGTGCCTCTGTGTCGAACCCTCTACCAGGCGCGATCTGCTGACCCGGCAAGTGCGGCTCGTGAACGAGGGGAGGCCGATCTTCGAAAAAGAATCCGAAACCCAATGGAAGACGAGAACACAATACGCCATGTTCGTCGACCCCGATTGCTCCCTCGGCAGCAAGCAGCGCCATCGCGAACTTGCTTCTCAGTGTCATCCGCATTATCCACCGGCCCCGCGGTTGTCCAGCATTGAGAAGTGTCCGTCCATCCCAGTCGAGGATATTTTGTCCGTCACCAAGATCGAGATGTTGAGTCAACCAAATACAACTGATCAGTGCCTGAAGGACGCGTTCAAGGAGCGCGAGGAGAAACTACAACTCGAGGCGAAGAAGGAGGGCAAAACGATGCACATCAAACAGCTTCTGGACATCAAGGGCAATCTTGACAACGCGTACGCGGATTACAAGAAGAGCAAGGCTCCGGAAAAAATCAAAGCTGCTGTTGATTATGCCGGAGATGAAACTACTGCAACCTGTTCCGCTACTAATCTTGGCTTCCGGGGAATCAAGTGCAAAACCGTGGTGGATGAAGCCTGGCCGTTGCTGCAGCGCTTGTTCCACGAAGGCGCGAGCAAAAACTTCGCCACCGTGAAGAAAATCAGCGAGAAAATCAAGGAGCGCGGTTTTGTGATCATCCGCAAGGACCGGCTTTCCCCCCCGATTGCGGTGCCGATGCAGAACGGCGCGTACGCCACTGGAATACAGCTGAAGAGAACCGACAAACCAGACCACTACGATTTCCAGGAGGAGGCGTTTGTCGACTTGAGCAAGTACATCAAAAGCGGCACGCTCAGCATGTTTGATTATTTCGACGGCACCGTGCTCAACCCGGAAGGAACAGTGCTGCACATCCCGTGCAACGCCATGTGGATCAGCAAGGACGTGATTTGCGGCGCTTGGTTTCCGCATGCTAAGGAGGACGCGCAGATGGATCAATACCGCAGTGCAAAATGACACTCTGTAGTGGCGTTGTTGTAGTTCTTCAGATCTTGCATCATATAAATTTGTCATGCATATCATGCGTAGCAAGTTGCTTCATGAACAAAATAAAACTACAACAAGCACGACTACAGTGTCATTTTGCAATTCATAAATTGCTGGCGGAGTTCATGGAATTGCACCCGGAGACTACCTTCGAAATGCTGACGACAATCAACTCCTCCGTCCGCGCTCGGATTTACAAGCGGATGCTGGAAACCGGTGACGCCGAAGCGGAGGTAATCGAAATTTTGAAGGACAAGGTTGACCAGCGGAAGAAGCGTCAGGTCGTCATGGATGGCCACGAGTTCGAGCATCTGGCGCAGGACCGTAAAAACGCGAAAAAAGCGAAGCTTGCGGAAAGTGCGCCAAAGGTCGTGGAAAAATCCCGCCAGTCCACCGCCTCCCGCAAATCTGGCTGCACGAAGGAAGCCGCCAAGTTGGCGCTCCACATCCAGTACGCGAAACCGGGTGAGCGGCCGATGGTTGTTGGTGTTGTGCGATCCCACCGCGTCAATCAGGGCATGTGCGATGACGTCTTGCGGCTGACGTGGAACCACCGGAAGTACAAGCCGACGCACGAGCTGTACGCGCCGGAGTGTGATATTGAGCCGGATGCGAAGAAAAACATCGCGGATAACTTCTTCCCCCGCATCGAACGCGAGTGGAAGTTTTCGGCGGAGCACATGTACGTGGAAGCGATCGATCCCAACGGTATCAACATGTCCGACGTCCTGATGTTTGATCCGCAGTGGCATCTGAACATCGGCAAACGAAAGATGGTGCAGGCGGCGAACAGAGCGAAAAGACTGATCGTCAAGGGAAAGGAGGTGCCGAGACTTACCGTGATGAAAAAAGTGAATAAAGACAACGATAAAAGCGTCTCCTTTAACACATCAAAGCAGGCTTCTTCATCATCATCGTCCAGTCGCAAAATCGATTAAATTGTCAAAATATTTTTGGTTGAAATAATTGTCGCGCGTTTTACTAGTGAGTGTTGCAAAAATTTACTATTAATTATTCAGTTCGACTACACTATTTTTATTCTGTGAAAAACAAATGAAACTAGCATCAGACTGCATGACTAACAAAGTAAAAGTGATAGTGACTAATAGTAGATGGAAAAGGATCAAAACTGCTACAAAACAACAAAAATAAGAAGTGCAAAACTTTCAACCTCGCAGTTTAGTACAGCGCCCGACTACAACGAAAGACATAGGAGTAGAAGTAAAATAAAATAAAGAAAGAGTCACACAGTAATCAAAGCGAGAATTTGTGTTGGCAACACTGTGCCGCCGTATCACCGCGTTGAAAAACTGAAATGCTAAGCTTGTCACTGTCGCCTTTCTGCGTGTTCTAGTCCATGTAGTGGGGATGTTCGACCGCCGATGAAGTCGGATGCTGTACATGCACTGCTCGGTAGTTGTAGTTGGTCGCTCTACTCGAAGACCCAAGGAAACATGTCCAGCAGTTTACCAAGCCACGACTCGTCGGTTCGTGCATCATCTTCGTCCGCATCTGATTCACGTAGACTTCGTCGGGTATTGATTTCGTTCGCGCGCTGAAGCTCGGTCTTGATAGCAGCAGCAACATGTCGTCGGTCGTGATATCGGTCTTCCAGCCATGTTGATCGTGGGGCTTTAATGCCATCTACTTCAGGATAGATTGACAGCATCGAAATCCCCTCCGTCCTGTATGTGTAATTGCCCCTCTTTTCATAGATGTCAGTGCTAGCATATATTAGCCTTACACACCTAGAATTATGTAGTGCCAATGATACTCAGAAGCCTTTTTACAACTATGCCTTTTCCTCTTGTTTTTCGAGTAACCGTGGGCGTCCAAATCTGCAAAGGACACCAAAGCGCGCCCGACTATGTGGGGATCATCGCATGCACATCTATGGCGGTCCAGGGCATGGAGGAGCAAGTAGTCCGCGTCTTCTACTGTGTAGACGTTTCCGCTGGACCTGTTGGTGTTGTTTGTTGCTTTGTGATTGGAACTTCAGCCGATCAACGCCAAATAGGACAAAACAGCAACAACATTGGTACCTGCGTAGACTGCAACGCAACGCCAAAGTTGCATCTCCTTCATCATCAGCACGGAGAGACAGAGCTTTCTCTTGCGCCCGAAATGTGCGGTCTGGAGCGTCGGCAAGTGAAAGTAATCCATCGACAGCGCCGTACTCTCGCGGCCCCATTTCGTACCGAATTCCGGCCTTCTGGAGCATTCTGTGAAAGTCTTTGCGGGCATCATTCTCCACCAAAGTCGCCCGGCTATAAACATGTGGGCGGGAGGGCTCAATCATCAGCGGCGTGGAGCCGCTGTTCTGGATCTGCAGCAGCCGACGGCCCAGGTGGTGGGCTGGGGTGCAGTTGTGGCGGACGTTGTCCATGTCGAATTGCTCGTAAGGCAAATGTCGATGAACCAAATGCACGAAGCATTTTCCTCCATCAAGTGGCACACCTAGCAGAATGATGTTGTGCAAAACGTCGTGATCGTCGCGCAAGATCATGCGCATCTTGCGTTTCCAAGCCATGGCTCTTGTGCTGCAGATCTTCAATTGAATCGCCATCCATTCTGCAGTTTGCCGCCCACCTCGAAATACTGGAACGCGTTGACGAATGAAAATGTCCGCCCGAAGCTCGAGCCCACGCATTACCTCGAAGTCATCAGAAACAAGCTCTATAAATTTTGTCAATCCTTTGCCTTCAATCGAGTGAGGACGGGTCCCCATTTTGTGGGTGTTCAGATCAAGATAACCAATCAAATACAGGGCAACTCGCAACAATCTTCGAGATCCAAAAATCGCAGAATAAGTCGGGATGATGAGTATGGTTTTTGAGGGGCAAGAGCAATGCTGTGAGAAGATATAATAGGCCTGAAAATGCACTAAATTCAACACGCAATTTATGTACTCAATAGGCTGTACCATTCACAATATCACCCTGCAGAACCGACCCCATTTTAGCTCCAGCATCTCTCCCCGAGTAGTAGTCTTCTGTCTGTGTCTTAGGTGTCAAACTTGTCCTCTATACCGATACAGTAGGGCTGGAGCCGAGGTTTTTTCGCTTGTCTAGTGCGTGTATTCCAGAACCATGGACATCTCCGGCAAGCGTTCCGAGACAAGTCCGTGGCAGCACAGCGTCGTGGAGACGGATTCGAGCTTTTCTCTACAAATCAGCTACAATTAATGATGTAGCTACTTAAAGTAGCTATTTAAAGTAGCTACTTTAACTACCTATATAAAGGGGATGCTTTTACCTCAAGCAAAAAATTTGAAATAGTTAGAAGTGAAGTAGTTAACGCCGCCATATCTTTTTTGCAACTTTGATTACGAAGCCGGCACGTGTCATGCGCGAATACAATAAAGATGTAGATAATCAATTGTCATGCAAGAATTTGTACGTGCGTGTACGACCGCGGGGAATTATTTACAACAATGGATACACTTACACGTTCTCCTCCGTTTTCTTCCACCTGTAAGAACTCAGTCACTTCAGCTGCAGTCCTCGGCGCATCTGCTCACAAGAACTTCCGCTAGTACACCATCTTTCATCATGACGGCATTGACATTGTCGACGACATTGACATTGTCGTCACCAACCGTACACCAGTTTTCGAGACGAAGCATCGATTTTTGTTGAGCCGATAATTTTCGCTTGTGTACATCCGGAATCGTTGTCGGGAGACCGCAAGGAAAAGTTACTTATCTATAGGAAAGGTACTTTGATTCTGAGTTGCAGTTGTTGTTGTCTTGCAAAATCTGTTGCACTGTCTTCAATAACATAAGCAACTTCAGCATGATTGGAATTTGACGTTGTCATGCAAAAGAAGTAAGCCACGCGCACACGTGATATCTGATACTCAGTAAACCAATCTTCACAATAAAAACAAGGACCCGGTGCCGGCAATCGAAGATTTTATCGAGTATCAGTATTAGCGACGTTTTAGACGAGACCACCAGCACGAAGGAATAGATCGGTTGCGGAGGTAACTGGAATTTCAATTTTCCAAGCAAGCGACCTTGCTGTACTCTTGCGGGAGCGAACTTATTGAAGAACCTGGAAGATGTTAGACGATTTAGTAGATTTTACTTTTATCGGCAAGCTTGGAGTTCCAGCTGGGCGAGGTGTTGTTGATGCGGTCGTGGGACGGAACGATACTGGTACAGCTTTGTCATGTGCTGCACCGTGGATAGTGGATTTACCTACGTGTGATGCATAACGACTACTGAATCTCAAACGGAAAGAACGCAATGAATGTATTTGCACATCACATGCTAGATTTAGAACAAGCATGATATAGTATGCTTAATTAAAATTCAAAACAAAAATGACAATCTTCTACAGGTAGTTATATTGTACGGTGGACTTCCAAAAATTTCAAGATCAAGTACGGCGGACGTTAATCGAAAATTGAATTTTCGTATCCTTTGCAACTATGTTCTCTGAGTCTGTGTGCAATAGAATGTTGTAACTTGTAAGTATTCCATGGTTTGCATTGATGCTGTAGAACCAGAACCTCTAGTACTGCGAAGCAGACAAAAGCACCGCATCGGTCTGTAGTCCAAGAACGCATGCTGTATTGCGCACAACTAGGCATGGGACACCATTTAAAGGACTTGTCATGCTTGGTTCCGCTGGAAAGTGGTTTACTCGTTTCGAAGGCACCAGCCACCTGCAACCGTTACAAATTTCCACCAGACCTGCCGACATAGTTGCAATCCATAGGCTCAGTAGGCGGTTTAGGACAGAGCAAGAAAGGCGGCTGTTTCTCGAACATGCAATGAGGAGATGGTGTTGTGAATTTGGTGTCGGCGAAGACAGAATGTTAATATGCAGTGTGACCAGAAATATCAACTTGCCAGCGTCCGAGAAAATTGAAATAAAATTTGCATTTGTAATGCTACATGATGTTATATGTCAGTCATAGCCTGCAAATTAGTAGTACTGAAAAATTCGCCTGCGTAGTTTCACGGCAAATTACCGAAGTGTGCAATTTTCTTGACCCTGACAAGTTTTGGTTTTCTGGTCGATAATCGATTGATTTAGATCGTGCAGTGACGGAGGTTCGAAAAGTTTCCGGCAGATGATGAGTAGCAGATTTAAGGATCAAGCACTAGATAGCAATCGCAGCGCTATATATGATACCACGTTTAGGTTTACTTTACACAGGGTTCGTCTGTTCAGCTTCAGGTTTAGTCTCAACTACAAATCCTCGACTCTAGAAAAACAATTATGCCACGGTGGTTCAGAGCTGAGAGCTCGATATGTGTTTCCAGTTGTTCAACAATAGCCCTACAAAAAAATACTTAAAGGTTTACAAAACTTGACTGGGATATTCGTATTCCCAGAGGAGAGCTTGACAACTAAGAGCTTGCAAAGTACCTGCCTCTCTGGGTCACTTAGTAACTCTATAAATTCGTTTTCCAAGAAAGTTTACAATAAAAATTTACATGTTACGGTATTCTATTCAGGAGTTCCACAACACTCACGATTTTCTGACTTGAAATATCTTGCACAGCCATTCGCTCCTGCGCACAGCGAAACCAAATTGCCCTGTTGGTTTTACACAGATACTAGCAGGAGCTGCAACTACGGGTACGCTCGACTACATTTGTGCACAGATGAGTTAGATTTGTTTTACAACGAAAATACCGAATACGATTTTTATATTTACAATATTGCCATCAAGCGGTTCGAGTTTGAGTTTCCAAAAAGTAAAGGTTGTTTCAATTATGAGATTTTTACAGAAGTAGTTTGACGTGGCCAAAGCCACTGCTCGTTGCGGTCACTCTACGATCAGGTCATCTTGAGCTCATCTTTAGTCCTCAGCAATCGTTTTGTATTTGTTAGAGCTACCACCTGTACTAGCACCACAAACAAACAAGCAACCCGCATAGGTTCCCTTGTTTTTGTTTACGTGCGCCCTCCTACTTTTCCGAATCCTTGAAACCCAACTTTCTAGAAGACTCGAAGCGGTGGAAAAACACAGCGGGTCTCATGTACCAAGCCACCGTGCGTTTAAAACTTTGTTTCGTAGTACGTGCCCTCCCTGTTGATTCGAATTGATATTGCAGATACGTTTACATCTTTGTTTCGAACTTCTCAAATAATATTGCACCAACAAAATAGCCGGATACAGATGTTTCCTTTTAATCTTGACCTGTGTTTCTCGTTTCTTTAATCTTAACATTCGCAAAAAATTTTCTTCAGCTTATCTCACTCGTGGTTGCACTTGCAGCAAAATAAAGCGGAGGTGGCATTCACGTTCGTGCAGAAGGTCCGATTCGAAATGTCTAGTCCGCTGGAATGTTGTTGTCTTCCCGAGTAGAGCTTGTTGAACTATGGAGAAATTAATCACGTCTATCTAAAATGCTGCAATACGCAAATGCATCTTGTAAAAACTTCTACTCAGCAATAAAGAAGAAAACAGAAACTACCCAAACTCTTTTATGTAAGTACGACCCGTAGTGCCCGAAGGAAGCTAGTTGTGGAAGGATACAGGACCGCATCCCCGGTCTTTTATCCCTTTCGAAGAAAGACGCCAAGATTTGTCTCGGAGGACGGGTTTACCTTGAGAATACAGCACAGTAAGAGATAATTTTGAAGATTGTATGCGTACTCGTCAATAACAATAATTGATTTTACCATCCCTAAGAAAATCAATTTCTTTTTCAATTTCTATTTCCAAAGAAAATTGAAATTGAAAGAGCGAGCTCAGATTTGATAGGTAGTATCCCTACATTTAGATTACAGATACACCGAGAGGGCAATAGGGTACTTACTCTCACAGAAAGAAAACAAAGGAAGGAAATGGAAAGTAACTCTTCTACTGTCCCTAGTACAGAGGACAGAGCCAAGAACGACAGCGAAAGTCAGAGACAAGAAGTAGAAGCTAGCTGCAACTCCTGGAGCGGAAAATCAAAATTCACCTATAACAACACCGCTATTAGCGTACATTCTAAGTCTATGCTAACTGTATCAGACAGGTGAGGTGAACTCCACTACATCGAAACTGTAGATGCGGAAGAAAAAAGAATAACGTTGACACTCGAATAACTTGGCTTGTGGAAACTGTAGACGAAACTGTTTTCGAATAAGTTGACACTTTGCAGCACCTCGAATAACTTGGCTTCCTGGCACGCTTGTGTCAAGTACTAGAACCATTTCTTTCGCGTGATTGTTTCCCGCCGGTGTGAAAGACAAAAATCCAAAGGACAGCGCTTCTTGCTGCCAAACAGGGGCAAACGTTCCCTGCGGCGCACTACTGCAAGTAGTTGCTGCCTTGTGCCCTCGTATGAGTGAAAGTCGTGTTCCTCACGAGCTGTCTTCGTTTTCATCGTTCCTAGCATGTTGATCCATTGATATTGAAGAGATTCAACCGCGAGGAAAAATTAAAAGTAGATCACGTCGAAGATCACACCATGTCCATGACCATTGCTTGCCATCTACTGAGCCTTGCATTTTCGGCTGTGGTCGTGCAGCTTCGTTGATCCACCAGCGACCTCGGAGTCATGGTTATTGCTTCCTCGTGTTTGTAGACGTTGTGTTGTGAAAAGTAAGTAACAGTGCGCTTTTGCTCCTCCTCATCAAAAAACATCGTTTTCAAAAATAGTAATACGTAGTTACTAGGTCGACGTCGACCAGGGAAAGGAAGTAAAGTTTAGTAGGTACTACGTAGCACCGGGCGTTGAAGCAGGTGGTATAATTCGTAGTTGTACATCAACTTTCGTGAAAGAAGTCTTCAAGAATGAATATGAATGGATGAGAAGTGACTAAGCTGAATCAATTCAGATTGAGATTCTCTACGCGTACTTAAAACGTGGACAAGGAACAACGATTCAGTTGTAGTTCCGGCGCCGCGATCGTTTTTTTCGTTTCAGTTGCAGCTGCCACGTCGACCGCTGTAATAAAGATGCTGTCCCTTGGTGCTTCCCTTGATCTACTACTCCAGCTTCGTCCGTTTCAATTACCCAACCGACTGCATTTCCGCTTTATTTTCCCCGTGGTCATCCATCTCCTCCTGTCCTTCACTGCCGTGGCCGACGAGGTAGGGGACGTTCTCCTGCAGCATTTGTCGCACCAATACGGATATGAATTGCAAATATGTCTGGGTCTGGAAGGATGCAAGGTTTGTCATGCTTGTCTGGCATGAATGAAAAGTCTGTGATGCGTGTCCAAGAAGAGACCCTTTTGCTTGTCATGCAACAATGCAATTTGTCATGCGGAAAAGCGAAAGCACAACACTATATTCCCGCAAATATTTCTCATGCTTGGCTGTGCATTACAGAGCACTCACTATTCACAACTCAGCATTACAAGTTTCCAGACCCAGGAGACATGTTTGCATTCGATGACGGAACATCCAAGGGACTACACCCAGTTCACCCCGATGTGGAGCTGATGATGCAACACGGTGCGGTATCCACAGTAAATTTCCTGTACACGTACAAATGCTGTCTCTGCATGACAAAACTTGCCTTCAATCCTAGTCTGGCATGACAAGTTGCACACTGCAAGTTAGCAAAATTTGTCATGCATTTTGTACATGTGCGGCAAATTTACATTGCATATGCGGCAGCGGCAGCGGGAATATCCACAAAGAAACACACATAAATTTCCATCCAATTTGTAATGCCAAACCTGCATCAGGGCCAGCGGTTGTCATGCCAACTAAGGATGGGAATGGTTTTTTTCTGTGGATAGGGAAGTTTCGGATCGTCGAACCCGTTTATTTCGTCCACTGGTCAGGAACTTCGAAAGCCTGCAGGATCGAAAACGCTGTTCGCCGACTTGAATATGCACGGCTAAAATATCGTGCTACGACTATGTACAATCAAGTTGCAATACTGCATGAGAAATCTGCTTCCTATAGGGAAAGCAGGATAAAAAATTTCATTGAACACACTATACGTAAAAATTTGTGATGCAAGCTCTGCTAGTGCGATACAATACTTTTGCACAGGATACGCGACCATTTTCAACCAGAACGCGGTGGGTTTCACGGACACGACCTGTTCTCACCGAGCGGAGCTTATGCATTGCAAATTAGAAGTGTCTGGGCCTGGGTTTGTGATGCGGAAGTTGCATCACGCCATGATCTGTATTGCATGAAGGGTTTGCGAGGGTTGGCGAGCTTTTTTCTCATGCTGTGAAGCTCAGTTTGCCATGCTAAATACCTGTGAAGTTTTCGGAAAACCAAGGCCCGAAAAGCTTGTGTGTGATGCGGTCATACCGTGTCAAACGCTGCTTGCTCGGCACACAGGCCTTAGTATGACTTTTATCCAGATGTGGGCCCGGACATATTTGCATAATGCATACAGCTTCTAGCGGTGGGGCTGGTTCGCCGCTACCGCAAATCCACCTGACGGAGGGCGAAGAGGGAGCTGCGGGCGAGGAGCTGCGCAACCCGGGGGGAATGACTAGAAAAGGCCTGGAGCATGGACAGCACCAACCGCAGCGACACATCGTTCCACGAGGCGGCGACCAGCAAGCGGAAAGAACAGGGAACGGGATGAAAACTCTATGAATTGCAAAAGCATCGCACTTCTTGTCAGTAGGAATTGCAACACAAGTTTGCTCAGCATGGCAACAGGAATTTGTCGTGCAAATGGGATTTGTCATGCTGGCAGGCCATTTGTCTTGCATGATTGCGATAACTAGTATGGTAGTACGACTATCCGATACTTTTGCGCAGGATAAAGAACTCACCGGGCCGCGGCCGCGCAGAACCAAAAAATGAACCAAGACGCTATCACGGAACTGTATCACGCTTACATGCGGCGAGACCAGTACAACCCCTACGACTACGTGCCCTTTTACTACGAGCACGGCGGCATACAGATCGGGTCCGCCGCCGAAGACCCCACGAAAAAAATTCGTTCCCTGCACGACCCCGACCAGGTGTTTAGCGGCTTCAAGATCTGTATGCATGGCAAAAGTATCGCTCTACTAGTAGAAATTGCAATACAAATTCTTGGGTCAGCATAACAAATGTGATTTGTAATGCGGATTGAGTTCGGGAACTAGATTTGTAATGCATGCCTGCGATTACTAGCTAGTCTACGACTGCGATAGTGCTTTTGCATTGCATAATCTGGGACATTGGTGCCGACTTCAGAAAATTCGTCGAGCGCTGCGGATCAGACACCTTGAAGCAGGTCTACTTTCAGAACATCCTGGGTCTCGACCACGACGGCCACCTGGGGAAGATGATAAACAAAAAAACGAACAAGCAAGAACTACCTTCGAGAAAGCCATCAAAGCCCTACCTCTCTATCGTCATGATTGGCGCGAGCGGAAAGTTATCCTGTGCCAAAGTATCGCACTCGTAGTAATCGCGTTCATGCATTGCAGATTTCTTTCTCAAGTGAAATCCGCATTACAAATACAAATTTTGGTTTTTCATGCTGAGGAGATTTCTCATGCGATTTATACTAGTACGATGCTTTTGCACCTCATAGAAGTGGCGGTTCAAAAAGTGGCTCGGCGGCCGCTACCCGAGTTTGCAGTACAAAATGCCCACTTCTACACAACAAGTTGTAGAACAACAGGCCGCGCCCTCCTCCTCCTCGCATGTTGTGAACGGAAAACAAATCAACTCCGTCCAGGACTTGCAACCAATTGCGGATCACTACTACGAGACACTTTCCACCCGGAAAAAAATCCGGAAATACTTCCCAGATGAAGCGAAAACGCTGTTTAGCAACCTGTACGAGTCGTTCGTTTTGATTCCAGACGTGAAGCAGGATGAAGCCGCGGAAGCCAAGCCGTTCGGGGAGTTTCTATGACTTGCAAAACAAAGTATCGCACTTCTGTCTAGTAGTTGAAATTTTTGCATTACAAACGTGCTCAGCATGACAAACGGACTTTGTCATGCTGATTTACTTTGAGATAGAGATTTCTCATGCGTCAACGCTAGTAGAAGAAATACGAGTGCGAAGATGCTTTTGCACAGGAGAATTTCTCGCCTCCAGCATTTTCGAAGTTCTCAATGCGGGGAAGGAAGAACGCGTCCGCGCAGCCATCGAAGAAGCGAATTCCAACGATTTTAAAAAGCATTCGGCAACGAATTTCGTCGTCCGGATGGAACTACTAGAACGGGAGTCGGTGTTGCTGCACCGCAAGATTGTCGAGGAGCTAGGTTTATGCATGGTAAAAGTATCGTAATACTAGGAGTATATTATGATTTTTATCGCTGTCATGCATTACAAATCTCGGTCTCAAGATCAGTCAGCATGATGAGAGACTCACTTCTCATGTACAACTGAGGAAAACATCTGTCATGCGATTTCTACCAGAAGTACCTCTACAAGTGCGATATTTTTTCAATGCACAAGAGCTTCAGCACGACGAAGTGGTGAATTGCTACGGAAGGAAGTTGAAAACAAGTACTGAAGACGGGGACTATAACGTGGATCAGCAGGAGGAAAACTTTGAACTGTCGTTTTATCCACAGTAAATTTCCCGTACACGCACAAATGTAGTTTATGCTTGACACAACTTGCCTTCAATCCTAGTTTTAGCATGACAAGCTGAGCACTGCAAGTTAGCGAAATTTGTCATGCATTTTGCACATGTACGGGAAATTTGCATTGCATGCCTTTCTAGAGTCGACCATGAAATTTCTGAAGCACGAATTTGTCGAAACCTTATCCAGTGCGAAAGTACCGTACTCGTATTGTAATCATGCATTACAAATCTTTTTCTCAAGGTAAATCAGCATCACAAATTTGACTTCTCATGCTGAGAAAATTTGTAATGCATTTATACGAGTGCGATACTTTTGCAGTGAATAGACCTCCCACGCTTTCAACTACGTCCTGCAATGGTGTAATTTGGTCGGACCACCGGAGGTTGTATCCAGCGCAAAGTTTATCGTACTAGTTGCAGTTATGCATCACAAATCTTGTTGTTAAGCTTAAGGTAAAGCCGCATTACGAATTTACTTTGTAATGCTGAGACAATTTGTCATGCGAAAATCTCTACTTACTAGTACGGTACTTTTGCAACGCATAGCCGGCAAATGGGAAGCACGGTGCAAAACCGAGCTTGCTACCACCGGAGTACCAACCGGTCTGTCCCGCCATGGGGAAAGAAACCCTGCGGATGCAGAACGTGTGCAATCGGGTCCGGGACCCGGAGCGGGGACTGAAAACAAGCATCTTTTTGAAAGCGCCCTCCCAGGTGGTCTTTTGTCCGGGGAGCTGGAAGGAGGAGGGTCGTATACAGGCGTGAGATGTAAGTACTTAGTCCAGGTAGTGGCGTTTCAACTGTTCTTGGGAGGCGGGCGATGCAATACGAATACGTAGTACTAAAGGTGGTGATGTGCGCTTTCCTTTTGCAGCAGCTGCAGCTACAAAAACAAACTGTAGTTACTACGAAAAAAAAAATATTCGCTGTATTTGCTCTACTCAGTTGTGGCCTCACGAAGACAAATCACGCTCCCCCCCCTCTTTTTCTGTACAGTACCCTTTAGCTTTACTTACTGTCCATTTCTGGTCTGCAATACGAAAACGAAAATGAGCATGTTGTTGTCTCCATCTTTATCTTCAAAGGAAGAGGAAAAAATTAAAAATTGATCGGAGATAAGTAGTGGTAGAAGAAAGATTCACAGGCGGTGGACCGACAACAAATCTCAATTGAGTCCTTTATCTCGTGGTCCATTCTTTTGGAGGGCGACCTGCCACTCTAGGGCAGCGGTCGCATTCCCACTCTCGAGGACCTCCGAAGGAGGAAGACTATGCGCTAGTAACTGACATGATGAGGCGTGAATACTTGCTGTCAACATACCCTGTCGACTGGTACTACTCGCAACCTAGAAGTTCTTTCCGTTAATACTTCAGAAATGCAAAGGAGAAGAGAAATGCAGGGAAAGGAAAAATAAAGAACGGCTGATAGGGTTGTCTCCACGACCAGATGAACCTCCGAGGTGCCACCGGAATCTTCTGTACTGTTATCTTTTGTCTGCGAAATGAATACAAAGTGCTTTCTTAGATTTACGGCTTTTTTCGTCTGCGAAATTTGCGTTTCTGGTTTCTTTTTCTTGACGTTTCTTCTGTTGTTACTTGTTACTGACCACGCTTTATTTTACTATAATTCTGTTTTAGCTCTAGAAGTTGTAGTTGTGGCACTGGCACCTGTTTTTGTGCTTGCTTCACTAGTACTTCTCATTCGTTATCGTCTGCGAAAAAAACGCTCGGTTGTAATCGAAACTGATTGTTGCGAAAATGCAAAGAAAGAGGCGTTACTTCCAACGAAAGCGAAGCTGCGAAAGACTAAAAGAACTCATTGAATGAATGCGAAAGCTGATCTTGAGAAAAAGTTCTGCCACAGAGCAACGGCAGGAGCGGATTCTGCTCAAGAAAGCAAAACACAGGCTTCGCTCGCGCTCGATGTCGCTTTTGTTTTTATAGTGGTGGGCCTGTGAGTGAGACGTCGCTTTGCGTAGTGGTGTGAGTAAGAAGTTGTCGCTTGTTTTTAGAGCGGTGGTCTGAGTGAGCCGTAGATGACGAGCGATTGTATCTATTGGGTGACTGGAACTTGACGAGAGTCTGGATCGTATCTCTTCGTCCTCACGCCCATCTTCACTTCAGTGTAGCTGTAGAATTGCTATTCACAAGTGATGTATAATCTGTAGTGACAATGATCTTCATGCCGTTGCTGAGAGAGTAGTAATTCGATCGGAAAAAAATGTCGCAGTCCCTCTCCGCGTTCGTCAGTAATGCCGACGGATACGTCGGACGCGGTGTGGTATGCATTGCAAAAGTCTTGTTATTTGACTAGTACAAACAGCATTAGAAATTTTTCCAAAAGGAAAAACGAAATGTGTCATGCAAAATAAGGTATAAGCAAAAGGATCTGTCATGCGAGACTAGCATTATTTGTTGTACGAGTGCGACATACCACTTTTGCGATGCATATGCGGTTGCCGAGTTGACGACATTCGCAGAACGGCATAAGTTGGCGCTGAACTTGTCGGGGTCTGCCTTGATCACGTAAGAATATGATCATATACTGATTGATTTTTTGTTTTTACAAAATGCAATGCCCCACAACTTGTCATGCGTATAGTACAACAGCTACAGGAGCTACGTGGTTCGAAGTTCGGCGTTGGATAAAAAAAACCCCTGCAAAATAAGGAAAAACAAAAAATAAAAAACCAAGATCGAGGACCAAAAACTTTTAAACCCAGTTCCACCGTCGAGACAACGGCCCCCGCGGCTCCAACCTCCGGAGAAAACTCCTCAACAGCGGCCCCGGCACCACCCGCAGCCCCAGTCGTGCCCACCACCACAATCTCCGCAGCAGACAAAGCCGCCGCGAAATGGTCCGCCTTGCCCGACAATAGTTTGTTGACGATCGTGCCCAAGGACGACGAACTGCTGAATACGATTGTGAAGTCGGAGCTCATTGTCTACGATCTCTTTACGGCGGACTTGGGGGAACTAGAGCGGGTGATTCAAATATGAGAGTGCACAGGTCGCCCTCCCCCCCATTTGTTTTTGTAGGCATGAGCAGCAATACAAATGCCGACATGGTTTGCATGGCAAATGCATCCCTAATTGTACGCATTGTTGTTTGGACTTCCAGAACCTGTCATGCAAATAAGATTACCAAGAGGCAACGACAACGCAAAGGCAAAGGGTGCATTTGGTATTTTGCATGACACACGACGCGGAGCAGGGGGAGTCGTGCACTCTCATATCCAAAGCTGAAATTAGTCACCGACCATTCAGTGATTTTTGTGCTGATTTCAACGGTGCTGACCTGGTATGAATTGCAAAAGTCACGTGCTACGTGGTATAATTGCCATACAAATTTTATTTACCACCTCAGCACGACAAATGCAATGGATATGGAACTTGTCATGCTGATTTGTGTTGCACTTGCATATAAGATTGCGATTACCCACTACGAGTGCGTTACTTTTGCACCGGATACCTGGGATAAGTCCGCGGTGGAGCTGGAGGAGGTATACTACACGACTGTAAGTAGAAATGCATTACAAATTTCCTCAGCATGAGAAGTTGTAAAATCTGTAATGCGAATTTACCTTAAGAAAAAGATTTGTAATGCATGACTGCAACACACTAGATCGTCGAAGAGGTCCCACCTGCACCGGAAGGGGAGGAAGACGAGGCTGCGGCAGAGGAAGATGGAGAGGAAAAACCTCCAGCAGAAAGTGAACCCCCAAAACCGAAGCAGTTTCAGCCGAAGAAGCTGACCGCAAGTTACTTCGCAAAAAGACAGGCGACGGCGAAATACCGCAGATGGCAGACGATAGAAACGCTGGTATCCTGAGTAAAAACGTCCCCACACCAGAGTCGAGATAGGGCTCTCGCAACACAAATCCAAAAGCTTTGGCAGTCACGCATGACAAGTTGCAGTACGTAGTGTAGTGTAAGTTGGAAAGGCCAGCCGCATTACAAATCCATGCGCTTATCCTGTTTACAGCATTACAAATCCCAAACCACGATTGCAAATGCCTATCATGTTGGGGATGCGCATCACAGATGTTCCTGTCATTGCAAATCTGCATGACAACTCTGGGGTGGGGACGTTTTTACTCAGGACAGCTGGTCACGTCGTTGAACGTGAAAGCGAATATCCGGTCGATCGTCGTTTCGTCCGGTTTGCTTTACGGAAAGGGCGTATGAAATGCAAAAATGTCTAGGTCTGGAAGATTGCCAGGTTTGTCATGCAGGTTTGCTATGGCTCATAAGGTTTAGAATGCAGCATCTAGCATGACAAATTCTGTAAGACCTCTATCATACCCGTCCTGCATGAGAAATTCCCTCTCAACTTGGTAAAAAAGCGCGGCTGTTGGTAATCACGCAACACAGATTTTCTGCATGATGCAGATTTGGCATGACAAGTTGTGACCTTCCAGACCCAGACATTTTTACATTTGATAGGGCGAAATGCCGAACTACTCCACGGTCCCGCCCGCCATGCTGACCGTACCTGCCAGCGAGGGTGGTTTCACCTCCGTTCCTATCAACTGCAAAAATGTCAGGGTCTGGAAGAGTGCCCGACTTGTCATGCAGGTTCTCCATGACCCATGAGGTCTGGCATGTAGGACATAGCATGACAGATTCTGTGAGAATTCTATCATGCCTATCGTCCTGCATGGGAAACTGCCTCTCGATTAGGTCAAAAGTGGACAGCTTCTGGTAATCATGCAACACAAATTTTTACATGATTCAGATTTAGCATAACAAGTTGCTTTGTACCAGACCCAGAGACTTTTGCATTTGATAGCTCCCTCGTTTTCGTACCTGATGAAGGAGGCGTGGCTGAGAAACGAGAGCTATGAATTGCAAAGGTATCGTATTTGTATAAATGCATTTACAAATTTTCTCAGCATGATGAGAAACAAAATTTGTAATGCGGATTTGCCTGAGGAAAAAGATTTGTAATGCATAACAGCAATTGCTACGAGTACGATACTTTTGCAGAGCATAAGGGCTTCTTCGCTACAACATCTGCGGAAAATCCAAACTTTCTCCCCACGGTCCACGTCAACGACGCGTGCAAACTCGCATTACAAGCTGCCTTTTTCCCCGATGACGAAGCGAAGCTGGCGCTGCCGGAAACATATCAACTGCAAATATCGATTTGGGTCTTCTGGAACTTGCAACAAAGCCTGTGATGCTGTTCGGAAAAGAGAACATCAAAACTTGTTATGCGCGTTCCGATACAGCGACGTCAAGTTGTCATGCAAATAAAACGGAATGTGTCATTCTGTTTACTCGCGAGGTAGTCGGTGAAAAATTTGCCACGCAGGGTTCGCTACTGGAGTCTGGCTGTCATCCACACTTTAGCATGCCAAGTTCTTTCCAGATGACCCAGACACATTTGCAATCCATAAAACACCGGCAGACCTCATTCCGGAGGAGCCGGACGAGGGCGAGGAGGAAATTTCGCCCGAGAAAATGGAGAGTATGAACTGCAAAAGTATCGTACTAGTAGCAGTAATTGCAATACAAATTAGCTTAGCACGACAGAGGGATTTTCTCATGCGGGTTTACCATAAAAAGAGAATTTGTAATGCATGACTGCGATTACTACGACTGCGATACTTTTGCACAGGATAGAGAGGATCCAAATGCAGAAACCCTCGACCTTCGACTTTAAGCAAATCGGAAAGAAGGGGGTGGTGGGGTACGTCGTGCAGAACTCAAAGAACAACTCGAAGTACGTGTACTGTGCGGTGGACGAATCGTATCGTGAGGAAAAAGTGCTAGTACAGTTTTACACACCCTGCTGCAACAAGACCAGCAAGACAACCTCTATCATGCAGGAAATGCTTTCCAGCCTCATTTCGTGAGTGCTGTTTATGTTTTCCCTTATGGTCTGCGCATCACAAGTTTTCTTTCCTATGCAGAGCAAGAACTTTATGATGCTGAAACTGCAACAAATGTGTAAGTGTAAAACACTTTTTTTTCCCGTGATAAATCCGACATGAGCTCTACGGACTTGCTGAAAATCATCCTGACCGAGTTTTGCGGCGAGCCGGGGGAGGCGGAGTTAACAACGATGTATGAATTGCAAAAGTATCGCAGTAGCTAGTAGTGAATTGCATTACAAATTGGCTCAGCATGACAGAGGGAATTTGTCATGCTGTTTTCCCTTGGGATGGACAGTTGTAATGCATGAATGCGATTACACGATACTTTTGCACAGGATAAAATGTTATCTACGACCATGGACGACATGTTAGCGAAATTCGGCGGGGAAGCGGCAGAAGAGGGAGAAGAGGAGGGCGAGAAACCAAATCCCGACCTGCGAAAAAGCGTGCTGCGGGACGTGCCTGTGGCGGGAGGAGACGCCTGCTCGTTAGACCTCTATCCGGAATTGACTAAAATGAACCTCTATCCAGTGCAAATATGTCTGGGTCTGGAAGAGTGCAAGATTTGTCATGCTAGTCTGGCATGACGCTGAGCTCTGTATTGCGCGGCCAGCAAGAGCTCCTCTTGTCTGTCATGCAAGAAGGCTGTTTATCTATCATGCGGATTACGCAACACGAAGCCACGGAAAAATCTGTCGTGCTTGGCGGTGCATCGAAATGTGCTTTCTATTCACTGACATGCATCACAGGTTTCCAGACCCAGACATATTTGCAATGCATAACCTCCGCGTCAGTCCCTGCCAGACCTGGTACCGAATCCCGGAGAAGCACTGCGCCAAGGGTTTGTTTTTCACGAACAACGTCCGAAAAATTGCGAAGGAGTATTCCATATGGATTGCAAAAGCATCGTACTAGTGTAAATCGCATGATAAATTTTGTCAGCACGAGAAATGAAATTTGTAGTGCGGGTCTAACTTGAGAAAGAAATTTGTAATGCATGAATGCGATTAGTACGACAACGACTACGATGCTTTTGCATAGGATACTCGAAAGAGATCAACCTGAAGCCCATCCGCTCCGTGTTCTCCGGCACGCCCGGGTGCTATCTGGAGATGATAAACAGTGTCTCGAAGGAATTCGAGGTCGAAGTGATTTCAACTGGGAAGATGCAAATGGAACTGGCAGAGTGGGCGAAAAGTACTTACTATAATTTCGCACGGGTCGTTCTTCAAGGATTTTGTCGATGGTTCTCTATCATTTCTTTCTTACGTTTTGTGCACCATGATCAGGATGAATTCTCGATCACTCGTTCAGACGTACGAAACCGCAATAAATAAAAGCAAAATCATGTTTCTCTGTGGAAATGAAATTATCAGGTCTAATCCCCCCACCCCCGGAGCCAAAACCCGCCCCGCCCCCACCCGAGGATGGGGAAGAGGAGGCGCCTATTCTGAGTAAAAGCGCACCCACCCCAGAGTTCGTTGTCAACATGCAAATCTGCATGCCAAAGAAGTTTCTCATGCGGAGCCCCATGAAAAGCATTTTCTACTCGTGTTAGGGAATTTGTGATGCTAGAGCCAGTATGAAATGCTAGATCTGTGATGCTGCTGAGCTAGCTAGGACGAATCAGGATTACACTACGAGGGCAAACTTGTCATGCGAAATAACTTGAGCTGGTTGATTTGTGTAGGAGATTTCCCATCTTGTTGACTATGGAGTGGGGACGTTTATTTTCCACAGGATAGCGCCCCCGCCGGAGGAAGAGGAGCCAGAGCCCGTGGAGCTGCCGCAGGCGGTGGTCTATCTACAGGAGAGGTTGGACTTTGAGGCACCGTACAGCTTCAAAACGACAACTAGCACGGTGGATATGAAACCAGTGCACAACTCCCCCTCCCCCTGTTTGCCATGCAAAACCCCATCAAATCCAAGTGCTTCCCTTTGGCACTGTTTGCATGACAGATTCAGGAAGGAGCCCAAACAGTACTACACTAGACGCGTGAATTTGTCATGCACAGGCTCCTCGTGTGCTGGTGTTTGTATTGCTGTTCATGCAACACAAATGATAATGAGGGGGAGGGGATGAAGTTGTGCACTTTCATAGTGGAAGAAGAGGGCGCGGAAGAGGGCGAGACGGTGACCAAGGAAGTGGTGGAAGATATTATCAGCGAGGAGGAGAAGAAACTTCTGTTCTCCAGCCTGATCGAGAAAAAGCTCATGACAAGCAAGTCGCGGTACCGCGGGTTCCTCGTGGAGTTAGGGGATTTTCCGTTGAAATACGAGGACGCGCTCGACTTATTCACGGACAAGGTGCCAGAAGTGGTCAAAGAAGAGGAGGAGGCTGGGGAGGAAGGTATAGAAGTACGACTGTGGTGGTCATTCTATCTTTTTTTGCATGACAAACGACGCCTCTGTCTGCACTACTTCCGCATGACAAACACCTTCACACTCAGAAGAGGGCGAGCAATTTGTCATGCTGATTTAGCATCATCTTCGTCGTATCTACTCTGCAGGTGAAGAAGCTGCGGAGCCGGTGAAGGAGGCGACAAAATACACCCTGAAAGATATGGAAGCGTCAGGCTTGAAACCGACAAAGGTGAAATGATTCGCCATGCATAACATGCAAGGCACGAAGTGACTGTCTTGCAGGGATGGCAAGTGAGGCCGATTGTGAGCCTGCTTAGGGTTTGTTGAACTAGAGCTGCTAAAATAGCATGAAAAAAGCAGTCTTCTGTGGCCAAACAGCATGACAAACTGGATTTAGACGGTGCCGAACTTTGTTACGCACCGCTTAGAAATTGGGCTTCCAGGAGCTGGTATCGATTTTAATTATGCATTGCGAGTTATTTCAACTCTGTCGATTTCAATCCTGACACTCCCATAAAAGAATTTTTTCCGGACGTCTTTGTGCTGGCAAGCTCTAGTGATGACAACGCGAAGAAGCAGCTCACCGCGAACGGCAGACCGACCGCCGACTTTGACGCGAAAAAGCAGGACTTCGCAGCGAAGTTCAGACAACCATACAAGACACAGGAGGATCAGCAAAAGGCCTTCGTATGAGAGTTGTGCACAACTACCCCTGCTGCTTCCCCTCACTTGTCATGCAAAATACCGAAATTTTTACAGTAGTAGAATCTTACGTGGTATTGTCATGATGAACCGCCTGAATCCACCTCGCCAGCGCTTGTGTAGCTGTCGAGCTGCAACTGCATGGTGCCATTTTGATGCAACTGCATGGGGAAGGAAAAGAAGTAGTTGTGGACTGTCATACTAAGATGATACGGTAGGGAAAACTGTCCCCACTACCCCGGTTTTCCCCAAAGACAATTTTTTTTTTTCGATCCAATTGTAAGCAGGGCGGGCCCTTCGCAAGCGACCTGCGCCGCGAATGGCCAGACCGAAACCCGCTCCCCCAGGTGTGTTGCTGGACTCAAAGACACTGGACGCCTTGCCCGGCTTTTTGGGGCGCAAGCAGCTCGGGCCCCGCGAGGCAGCGCCCTGGGCAAGGCGCCCATGCCAGACCCGCCCCCCGGCCACCTAAGGCTGAACGCAATGCCCCTTGCCGCGAACCTGTCTTCTCCGCTTGAGGCTGGCCGGCACCGTTTCCCTGAGTGCATGTTCGGACACGCTGGCGAGAAAAAAAACGTATGCTGGGGATTTCGGCCCTAAGCAGCTATCTACGCACTTTCGGCCACCAAAACGAGCACCAGAAACCTCCCGAAAAGGTACGCATGCACGACCTCCAGGGAAACGGTGAGGCCGGAGCCTCAGAAGTTGGGCGCGGCCAGTGTGGCGGGGCCGCGTTGCAGTAGCCTACGCGCGGATGGGGCCGAAGTAGCTACACACATCCACAAAGCTTGCTGCCCCGTCAGCTCATGCGCCGACTTTTGCGCGCCGCTATCCCGCTTGCTCCATTGCATACGTAACAGCCTCAGAAAGTATCCGTGAAGAAGATCCACTAGCGGACACTATCCGGGCGGGCTGCGCGGCCGGTGGCCGTGTTGTTGCATCAGTTCATAAAAAAAATTTTGATTTGGGGAAAACCGGGGTAGTGGGGACAGTTTTCTCTAACGTAGATGAGTGGCAACAAAAGACGAACGAGCTGAAAGAGCAGTACGCAGCGCAAATCAAGGAGTTATATCCCTTGCAAAAGTATCGCACTCACTCGTACTAATCGCAAGTCTGCATTACAAGTTGAAGTTTCCTTTTGAGGCATCAATAACTCAGCATTACAAACTTAATTTGTCATGCTGAGCCAGTTTGTCATGCAATTTGTACTAGTCGCGCGATCGCGATGCTTTTGCGATCCATAAGTTAGAACAGGCCGCGATTTTGGAAGCGAAGCAGCAAAGCGAAGAAACGGGCGAGGAAGTGGAGCCGAAGCCCATTGAGCCGCCAGAAGAGCCGGAGTATCCGGAATACGAAGAACCGAGCTTCATCCAGTTATGCAATACAAATTTGCCGTACATGTACAACATGCATCACAAATTTCACCAATTTGGAGCGTAAAACTTGTCATGCTAAACTAGGATCGAAGCCAAGTTTTTTCATGCAGAGACCGCCTCTGTACGTGTACGGGAAATTTACTGTGGATACCAGTTTCCCGCATCGCATCTCTTCTCCTCCGACAAGTTTCTGGACGGGAACAGGACTATGAGATTGCGCAACCCGCCCTCCCCCTCATTTGTATAGCATGAACAGCAATACAAACACCAGTACACGTGGAGGCTACGCATGACAAATTTTTTGTGTACCTGATGTAGTACTGCTTGGGCTTTCGGATTTTGTCATGCAAGAAGCAGTGCTACAAATACAAGGCAGCGCGAGCGACTCACTGGATTGGGGACTTTGCATGACAAATGAGGGGGAGGGAGAGCTGTGCTCTGTCATAGCGACCGAGATCGAGTTAGTCGGCCTGTTGCCAACGACGAAGACGAACCGAGTGCCCGAATTGGAGTTGGACTACATTCTTGGGGCGGATGAAACCACGCCGGAAAGATTACACGAGCTGCTGCTGAACGAGTTCAAAATCGCGTTCGAATCGGTGTTGAACGACAAGATTTTCAACTTTTTCCCAACGGATATCGCACGAAAAAACTGTTTCACTGTGAACTTGTGATGCAGAAAATGGAACACAGAGCAGCTATTTGTCTTGCTACACCTGCAAGACATTGGATTTTCAAGCGTGTTTTCTTCCCTTGGGAAGCGCGCATGACAGATTTTCAGTGTCATGCGTATACAAACTTGTTGTGATGCACATCGTGCAAAATCATCACAGTGAAGCAGTTTTTTCGTGGGATAACGGAAGAGGAATTGAAAGCGATAGAAGAGAAAAAGCGGTTAGAAGAGGAGGAAAGGAAACGATTGGAGGAGGAAGAAAAAAAGCGTGTCATCTACGAGAAGGAAGAGAAATTGTTGAAGATGCAGAACACCGAATCAAACTCCAGATTGGCGGTATGAGGTTGGAATAAAAGTACTTTCAACTATCGCATTCAGCATCAGTACACAGAAAAGTTGCATGACAGGTTTACGTTTGCTCTTTTCCGGAAGCAGGACGAGAAATGACAGGTTTGTGTTATTTTTCATGCGAATTCGAATAAAGAAACCAGATCTTCTGTATCTGTCATGCTAGTCTGCAAAAAATATATTCGTATGAGTTAGGCGATATTGGAAGTACTTTTGGACAGGATTACCGGAGATTGAGTCAAAGACGGCGGAGGAATTGCAGAATTTGTCCCTGCCGCTGAAGAACTACATGCAGGAACACGTGGTGCCGGAGGTACTTATTGTTTTACTATTGTCTATCGTGTTTCTGTCAAAGTCGCGGCAACGTGTTGCATTTAAATCTGTGTTGGTGCAAGAAATAACCTGTTGTAAGCGTGGTATGAGGAATCGAGAAAGCAGAACCTGTCATGCAGAAACAACAAATCCACACGACACTATCAGGTCGTGAAGGGACTGATCGAGGTGTGCAAGGTGATGCCAGAGGATCCGGTGGACTACCTGGCGGAGTACCTGTTCTATCGGGATGAAAAGATGACGTGTTTCACTGTATTGAACTTGTGATGCCGCGTGTACGTAGTCAGCACAAAAGTTTTTATCGCACTACACATGCACGGCCGAGAATTCTTCGCCTTGTTTTGTTTTCGGAAGCACACATAGGAGATTTGCTTTGTCCTGCCGAAGTACAGCAAGAGTAAGTTTGCGATGCAAACCTTCTGAATCCAAACTCGGAATCCTTACAGTGAAGCACTTTTTCCCCACGATATGCTCACCCACTCCTCGAACATACCGCCGCTGCCGCAGTAACGTAGTGGAACGGAGGTCTCCTCTATTGAGAAAGTCGGGACATCGACGAAAGGACAAGTAAGTTGCGAGGAACAACGGACAACAAATTAAATAGGAATCGAAAGAACTGGTCTGTGTAATTACTAAAACGTGAAAAGGCTAATGCTGTTACTCTTACTTTCTAATTGTGATTGTGAACAAAACCAAAGTAGAATCTAACTAAACTATTCGATCGTATTTTTAAGAAGTGTAGACCTAGACACTGCCCTGGCCGCGCTCAGACTGGAAGCGCAAGTTCCCTTGTGGTAGAAATTAGAAAGAGATCTCGGTTGCAATATGAAACGATGGCTTCTAACCAAGCGATAGGATTTTACTTCAGGATTTTGGTCTATAGCAGATGAACCACCTAGACCTAGAAAGAGAGAACAAATTGCAAACGCTGACCAGCGACCACTTGTAGCGAAGGAGACAACTTTGTACCAAACTAGTAGTGCTCGTCGTGACCACACCATGGTATGACGAGAGCCTTGTACAACGAACTGCAAAACAAGTTTCTTCCGCGCAACTGCGTCTTCATTGCGGGGCATGCTGATGAAGTACAGCGCTACCTATCATCTTCGGGCAGGTGAGTATCAATTTCGCGTGTTCATGTAGTACCCAACAACGGTCTTTCGACGCTCCTGCTCTCAAGATGAAACGGCTCCAAGAACAAAGCGAATCAAATGCGGGGAGAGCGGCTCTATTATGTTAAGATGTAGCAGATCTTCGCACCAAAGTAGCAGTGCCTGTCAAAAGCAAAATGGTACAAGTTTTTGAAAGTAGGAGCAAGTACAACACGGCACGCAAACTTTCTGGATCAAGATCATGTGGTCTTCGCATTTTTTTGTCGTAGGTGCGGTTTTTATCGGCTTTTCTTTTCATCCCTCCGGCTCCAATATTAGATGAAGTAAACGAAATTTGCAACGCAGGACCTCAAGTAGAAAATAGATAAGCCAACCGATTGATGTTGGATCGAGATCGACCACGACCGCCACCACGACCTTGTTCACCGCGATTACTAGTTTTCGCCGCGGGTGGTCTTCTTTGTCACCGATTTCGCGAAACTGTCTGCGATAGTAGTTGTACTTCTAACAGCGGTAGGTGATTGAGATTTTAAAAAGAACCACGTAGCAAAAAAATGGTAGCAACCTCGAGTTCCTCGTCCAGCTGCGTCACGAGCAGCTTCCAGGTCCCGCAAAAGCGCATCAAGGACCGACAGGACTTCGAGATACGTTTCAAGCAGAACAACAAAACGCTAAAAAAACGGATTCTCGAGTACCTGCAGACCTGTGACATCCCCATGAAATCCACGCTGTACGGAAGTTCTAGCTCCACCACGGGGGGCCCGCTGCCCGGTTTCGGCCTGGGCAGCGGGTTGTCCTCCACCGACCCGTCGAAGTGCGCGCTCTCCCCGTCGGACCTGTCGGTGAACCGGGAACGCAAGCAGGATTTTCGCGCGCCCACCGACGTGGAGATTAGCAACGCGATCGCCACGGGAGTGGGGGTAAATGCTGTGGGGGCTGTCGCTGGTGTAGTTGTTCCAACTTCTCGGGGGCCGCAAGGTACTGAAATTAGTGGCTGGGTGGTGTTTCTCGTGATGAATAGAGTAAAACTTCAGCGTACAACTTCGTGATGATAAATTAGAAGCTGTGAGAAATGTTATAAGCCGACTACAATTTCCACTGGCACTTTATCAAACAAACCCCAGGCGGGCTCGCTGCAGGCAACCAAAACGGGCAGCAGCAGCCGCGCCGCCAACAGAGAATTTCCGACGATAACTCCACGCACGACGTGGTCGCAGATCGACAGCGAGAATTCGCCGACGTGGGCGACGTATGCAATGCGAAAGCATCGTACTAGTAGAAATTGCAGTACAAATTCCCCCAGCATTACAACTTTAATTTGTCATGCTGATGTACCTTGAGAAAGAGATTTGTCATGCATAAATGCAATTACTACGAGCGCGATACTTTTGCACAGGATACGACGGAAGCGGCCAGGCGCGGGAAAACGAGGACTACCCGTTGGTGACGAGAATAGAAAAATTCACTGCTACGCATTGCAAAGTAAAAGTCGTACTCGTACTAATTGCAGTACTGCATGACAGATCTCGTTCCATTGCAGAGTCAGCATCACAAATTTCTTTTTTCCTACTTTTGGAGAAATTGAAATTTGTAATGCTTTTTTAATTATACTCGTGCGATACTTTTGCAATGCATAGCCGCGATTTTGAAGCAATTCATGAACCTCGTGGACGAAATATCCTGAGTAAAAACGTCCCCACACCAGAGTCAAGCTGGGAAATCTGCTAGACAAATCTGTCAGCTTTTGCTGTTGCTTGCGCATGACAAGTTTGGCCTCGCAGTGTAATCCTGTTTAGCTTGTTCAGCAGCATCACAGATCTAGCATATCGTGCTGATTCTAGCATCACAAATCCCACAACACGACTAGAGACTGCTTCTCATGGGTCTCCGCATGAGAAACATTCTCAGCATGCAGATTTGCATTACAACTCTGGCGTGGGGACGTTTTTACTCACGATACGAAATCCCGCTGGAGCCGCGGACGGACATGCGGTTTGGAAACAGCACGTTCCGCACGTGGTTTGCCCATATCAAATGCAAAAATTATGTCTGGGTCTGGAGGGATGCGAACTTGTGATGCATTCTTGGATCACACAAAAATCTGTCATGCTTAGACAGCAAAGGGAGCTCCTCTTCCTGTCGCCGAAAGAAGGTGTTTTCGTTTGTCGTGCGGATTAAGCATTGGGAAACTGTCTCAAAACCTGTGATGCTATGCCCTGCATGGCACACCTTCTGTGTCAAGCAGACACAGCATCACAAGCCTCAGCAATCTTCCAGATCCAGACCCAGACATTTTTGCAATGTATAGCCCAAGTCGAGGAGAAATGCGAGCAGCTGGTGCGGGAGAGACTTTTGCCCGTGGACAAGTTCGGGAACGCGTGGCAGGAATTTTCCTGCTATTTGATCAACTCTTTCGGCGACAAAACGAGAATCGACTATGGCACGGGGCACGAGCTGAACTTTATCTGCTGCTTGTACTGTCTGGAAAAGGGGTACGGCTATTTTACGCAGGCGGAACGGGGGGAATTCGTGCTGGCGGCGTTTACCGCGTATAGAGAAGAAGATTAAGATTTACGGTTTTTGCTTTCTTGTTTGAATACATATTTCGGCTTCATTTGATCTTGTCTGGTCTGTGTGTACGACGGCGATGTGTACTAAGTGCTTCATCAACGTTTATTATTTTCATCTGTTTTATCAAAACAGCTACATGACCCTGATGCGCAAGCTCCAGTCCCATTACGTCCTTGAACCTGCGGGGTCCCACGGTGTCTGGGGCCTCGATGACTTCCACCACGTTGTGTACATCTTCGGTGCCAGCCAACTGCGAAAGCAGGCGAGTTTGTTTGCCGCGGCCAATTATCAAATGTAAAAATGTCTGGGTCTGGAAGATTGCCAGGCTTGTCATGCATATTTTACATGACTCCTGATGTCTGTGATGCATGCCCTAGAATCACAGACTTTGTGAGGGCTTCCTGATGCCTATACCGCATGACAAATGCTCTTTCCGTGTAGCAAAACTTGGACTCTCTTTGCTGCTCATGCAATTCAGATTTTTTTAGAATCCAAAATCTGCATGACTAGTTGGATTCTTCCAGACCCAGACATTTTATTTACAGTTGATACCAATAACGCCGACGATGATATGGACATGGCGGGGGCGGGCGGGAGTACGAATGGACGGCACTATGAACTGTAAAAATGTCTGGGCCTGGAAAGAACTTGTGATGCTGGGTGGCGTCTCATGATGAGGCCACAAGTGCTGGCTCAGCATGACAAGTTTTTGAGCTTCTAGGTGTTGCCTATTCTGCATGACAAACTGCGTTTCTGCATCACAGAAAAATGGAGTTCTTGGGTAACGTGCATGACAGATTTAAGAGTCATGCCAGACAAGCATGACAAACATACATTCTTCCAGACCCAGACACTTTTACATTTGATAGGCACAATGTGAGGACAAATGTGAACCAGATCAACATTGCCGAGCCGGGCGGTGGCGGTGCATTAGCAGGAAGTAGAGGACAGCAACAAGCAGCGGGCGTAGGAGCACTAACATCAATATCAAACCAAGCGGGAACAGCACTACAGCTTCAGCAGCAACAACAGCAGCTACTTCAACCAGACATGGTCTTGCAGGCGGCGCAGGCGTCCCAGCACCACGCGTACCTCTTCGTCGCCGCGGTCCGGAACATCTTGGACACGAAGCGGGGCGCGCCGTTTCACGAAACCAGCCCGCAGCTGAACGACATTTTGCACACGGTTCCGAGTTGGGACAGATTGTACCTAGGGTTGATAAAAATGTACGTGGGAGAAGTGTTGGAAAAATTCCCCGTGATTCAACACTTCTACTTCGGAACGACCTTGCCGTACGAGTGAAGAGGACGTCGGAATCGGGTGTGATAGAATTACAAGCGCGAATGCACCATGCTGCTACATCTCAGCACCTTGATATCCAAAATGTAATAATCGAAGTGACAATCAGAATGAACAAAGTCAAAGTAAAAAAACCTCGACATTATTCTCGCTGTCGCCCCCCGAAAAATGAATTGGGATTCAGGCTGTAAAATGCCCCGCGGCAAAGAAATTTTCCTGCTGATTTGTTCGGCGTGTTTCGCGAGCGCGCTTGGCAACGAATGAAGTTCGATGTTTGAAAAAGAGCGCCGTGGTTTTTGTGATGTTTCTGCACGTTGCAAGCAGAACGAGAAAAAAAAGAAAACGTTGGGAGTGATGAGTGAAACAAAAAGCAAAAAGGACAATGCACTTTCATCCATCTGAAACTGAGAGCTGGCAAATCGAGTGGAACAAAGACAAGCAGCAGGAGTGAGAATTGCATACCACAAAAACGAAGACCACTATGTTGCACAAGACCTCCAAACTTCATGAGGTTTTCTAGAAAAATTCAGTCGCTCATTAGACGGGCAGAGAAAGCTTGGGATATTTTGCGACGTTCTTTGCTTCAGTAGAACTGGAATGTTTGAAGCGTTTGCGTTTCTTGCAAGCGTGCCGTGTTGAGGCAAAAGTAAGTAAGTCCTTGCTCTACAGGTGGACCAAGACTACTACCAAGATGGCCGCCGTAGAGGAGCAATACGAAGACTACGACGAGTTAACCGCAGGTCAAGACGCGGCGGAAAGCAACAACCTCGGTATCGCTGCGTTCGAGAAGAAGCACTTGGGGGGAGGTCAACCTGGCCAAAACAGCGCCAACTTTGACGACGACTCGGACGACGAGGCTGTTGATGCGAAAGTAAAGACGACCAAGCGTACTACTTCCAGTGCTTCAACCTGCGGCCCGGTGAAACCGAAGTCGATTGTGACGACTACAGCAAGTAAGCCGAAGCCTAAACCGAAGCCAGCAGCGGTCCAAGGTGGGCCACCAGTTCCTGCTGCAACAGGAGGCGGGATTCCCATCGTGACAAACGCCGGCCCGGTACATGCTGTACAAAGCCATAACAAACCGCCGAGTAAGACCGTTCAAATCATCGCAAGCAACAGCACAAATCAGAGTGACAGCGGAGACGAAGACACAAACAGCGAAGACAACGAAGAAGATGGCGAACTTTCGCCCAACGGGACGACGTTCATTCCGAAGCGGAATTCAAATAAACCTTCTTCAAAATCGGCTATGAACTGCAAAAGCATCGTACTAGTAGTAATCGCATTTACAAATTTGCTCAGCATGACAAATGAAATTTTTCATGCTGATTTACCTAGAAAAAAAGATGCATAAATGCGACTACTACGAGTACGATACTTTTGCACAGGATATCGGCCCTGAAAAAACAAAACCTGCAGCTACAGCGGCAGCTCGGAATCAAGTCCCGAGAATGCGAAATGCTGAAGGAGGACACGAAATTGATCCTCGGGCAAGATGCAGGGGGAAAGATGGATGAAAACGATCTGAACGCCCCATTGGAGGAGATTTTGAAGAAAAAGCTGTACCAAATGGCCCAAAAATCCAGAAGACAGCAAGTCACTATCGAGTCGCAGAAAACCAAAATTGAAGCACTGGAGAAACTACGGCATAAGGATCACCAGCAGGTGATGAAACAACAGCCACCTGGAGGGGCGAACAGCAACCCATCTTCAAGTTGTAATCTTTACAACGCGACCCAGCAAAACCAGCAACTCACCATCGAGCAGCAACTTGCAAACCAAGACTTCCGCCCGAAGTTTCTGCAGGCGAGCAACCAATTGCAGGAAACGAGACGGTATGAAATGCAAAAATGTCCGGGTCTGGAAGTAGACTGCCAGATTTGTCATGCTTGTCGAGGATGACCAAAAAGTTTGTGATGCGTGTCCAAGAAGAGACCCTTTTGCCTGTCATGCAAAAACGCAGTTTGTCATGCGAAAAACGCAACACAAAGAAGCGCAGATATTTCTCATGCTTGGCTGTGCATTACAGAGCATTCCCTCTTCCCAACGCAGCATCACAGGTTTCCAGACCCAGACACTTTTGCATTTGATAGACGGGAGCTGTCGGACCTGAAACAGCTGGCCGCGACGTTGAAGAAGGTGTTGCTGTGGGAATTCGGGAACGATAAAGAGAGAGTGGACGAATTGGTGCGAGGATGCACAACAGCGGCGACAGGGATCTTGGTACAACAAACCAGTGCTGGCGTGAATAAAACTCTCCCACGACCTGAATTGGAGAGGAAAATCAGCGATTTGAGACAGGAAGTAAAACAGTTGCAGAGTGAAAACAGGAGCCTCCAGTTGCAGAACAGTTCTTCGAGCTTCGTCGACCCCCCACCAGCACAAATAGTCCCGGAAGAGGCAAGACTATCCGGGGACCACGGCGCGGCACAACAACTACTTCATCTCGGGAATAGTCATCTAGTAGAGGGGCGGGAGCATTCAGTGGGCCCAGGTCCAGCAGCATATGCAACACAAATTTCCCGTACATGTACAAGATGCATCACAAGTTCGACCAATTTGGAGCGGAAAACTTGTCATGCTAAACTAGGATCGAAGTCAAGCGTTGTCATGCAGAGGCCGCATTTGTACGTGTACGGGAAATTTACTGTGGATACAGCGCAGCCCCCATCCTCGAAGACAAAAGTGACGAACAAGATCGAAAAATTAGCCGACGAGAAGCGGCAGAGACTCCGCCAGTTATGCATTGCAAAAATACTAATACCGTACTAGTATGAATTGCATTACAAGTTTTCATCTCAGCATGATAAATTGAATTTGTCATGCTGTTTTACCTTGGAAAGGAGATTTGTCACGCGTGGCTGCAATTAGTAGGTACGAGTGCGATACTTTTGCACTGCATAGCAGTTTGAAAAGGACAACTCGGAGCTTCTGTTGCAGAACAAGCAGCTGAAACAGCAGATATCACATGCAAATATGTCTGGGTCTGGAAGGATACAACTTGTGATGCTGCGTTTGGATTCCAAAAAAATCTGTATTGCATGAGCAGCAGAGGGAATGTAATTTTTGTTACGCGGAGAGGTCATTTGTCATGCGGATTAAGCATCAAGAAGCCCTCAAAAAATCTGTGATGCTAGGGCATGCATTACAGACATCATGGCTCATGCAAAACGTGCACGACAAGTCTCAGAGTCTCCCACACCCAGACATATTTGCATTTGATAGCAGAAACAAGCGGGCCAAAGCCGGGTTTCGACGTTGGAGAAGCAGGTGTCGATATGCAACACAAATTTCCAATACAACACCTACAAAATTATGCATCACAAATTTTGCCAACGTATCATAGCATACCACTTGTCATGCTGAAGGATTGAAGGAAACGAAAGTTTTGCGAACATGCAGAACCTGCGTGAAAATTTGCACGTGTCCTATGTGTAGTAACCGGGAAATTTGATGTGGATAGTCGACTTTGAAGCAGCATTTAGAGAAGCTGATGGAGAAGTCCGAGCGGGATGATGTTTTGATTGACGAACTGAAACAGAAAACCGATGGAGCAAAGGCGAGCCGGACATCCAAAGCAGCAGATAAGGAAAAGGACAAGGACGGACTGCTGAGTTGTTCTTTTGACCCGGAAAAAGCGAAACTGTTGGAGCAAGTGGAGCGGCAAGCGGCGTTGATAAGGCAGTTGAGGGGATCCTAGTTGTGCTAGGGGGCGAGCACAGTCGTCGTGTAATGGGTAAAACTGAAACTGTTGGTTTATGTTTGTCTTGCTTCCGGTCTTTCTGGAGCAAATCAAAAATGAAACTTCAACTCTTTATTGATAGAGGACAAGTGCAAAAAAGTACAACGATGATGAAGAATGTTCTCTGCTGAACTAGTAGATAGCATCGGATGAAGCACTTTCCAGCACGCTTCGTGGGATGAAGTATGCTGCTCGCCATCCTATTCCTGTTCGTTCCAGCACAGAACCAGGTGTTAGCCCTGTAGATCCTGGCTCCTTCGACGTCACTTTATGTTTATTCTCGATCCCACCTATCCATGAAAACACTCGCCGGAGCTCTTACAGCCCCGAGTACGCCCCACCACCTCCCACCCGCTATCCTATTAGCGTGCAATTGTAACTCTGATCTCATCCAAAGCCTGGTTTGGGTGGTCATACAACAGTACTAAGTATGATCACCCAAACCAGGCTCCAAAAAAATCATGTTGCTCGTATTTCCGTCAATCAACACTGCTCGTCACAAGGAACTGCCGCGCCGAATCATTGTCAGTCACGACGTTTTCGAAATAAAGCTCTCGTCGTCCTCCTGCTTCACACAGTGCTGACACTGTTCCTCTCATCTTTCAGTTGGTTTACGGCAGTTGTGGCCTGTCGAGCCGAACAGGAAAGCCAGGGAGGCAGCGTAGTGTCGCCGCCGCAAATAACGCGCGGAAGCAAGAGGAGCATATCCGGGAGATTTGCAAATAACGCAAAAACCACCGCCCTCCGCTCCCGCGACTGGGTCTATTCTGACGCGCGGAAGTACTGGGAAAAAAGTTTCACCAGCCCCCGCCTGCTGCAAGCGGAAAATGGCGCGGCGTTTTCGGAAAAACTGCTGTTTGTAGCGGATTATGAATTGCAAAAGTATCGTGCTAGTATAAATTGCATTACAAATTGACTTAGCATTACAAATTGGATTTGTGATGCGAATTTGCCTCAAGAAAAAGACCTGTCATGCATAAACCCAATTAGTAGGACTACGAGTACGATACTATTGCATTTTATACGGATGTCGTGTCCGAACTGAATCTGCGGTATTACCACGGGTCTTTTGAGGCTTGCACGACGAAGAACGGGGATGTAGTTACAACTGGTCCTGAAGTAGATGACGTTGATGCCCCACTCCAGCGAACAAGCGCTCTGCCTGCGCAACAAGTTGTAGGCCGGTCCTCCTCTTCTTGTACTTGTGACACGTCGAAGTTACTAGAGGTCGTGACGGATTTGAAACTTCTGTTGCGAAAAGCGCTGGAGGAACTAGAGATAACAACTGCACGAGAAGGCGAAGATTCCGGAGATTCCTCTACTCGGGATGAGGAACAAGAACACCAGCCGGACCAACAGAGCAACGGTCCGCTCGAGGAGAAGTGGTCCCGGTCCCCGGAAGATGAAAATCATAACGTAGAGCTGTGGCTGCATCGCACTACACCTACAGTCTGGCATTTGCCTATTGATAGCCAGTTTGCAGCGACCGCCAGCGAAGAAGATGAGTCCTCCGCAAGAAGAAACCGAGCCGCTTACTTCGAGGAAGCGGTGCGGACTTTATTCCTCCGGGAGTTTACCGAGGGCGTCTTAGACCCCTTATTGGCGGAAATCTCGCGGCACACCGGACTTGTTCCCCACGAGGAGGCCATCCTCAACAAGAACTCTGACCGCGCCAACTACAAATCTTCGCCAATATCCCAAGACGACCATGATGCCTTACATTTTTGCGTCCACCCCACCGAATCGGTTCAGGCGGCAATGAAACGCATAGCAGAAATTTCCCAAATTGGCCTAGCCCGCCTGCACGTGGTGCAGTTACACTTTCTTGATAAGAAGCACGAGAAGCAGGATGAAGACCACGACAGGGTTGGAGATGGTGTGAATAAAGAGGCAAGTAAAGCTGTAGCTGGTCGTAGTAGAAGAAGTGCTACATCAACGATATTACCTCCTGGTGGACAAGTAGAAGCGGGCGACCACCCGCAGGTCGTCGTGGAGGAGCAACAGCAGCAGTACGAAGTCCACTTCCACTCCGACCTTGGTGTCCACCGGAACGAAATCATTCCGAATCTGCTCAGGCGCAAAATCCTGGAACACGAAGAACGTGCTCGTCGTGCAGAACCTGCAATAGTACAAAGTCAAGGACAGAGAAGTCCTCGTTCTAGTACCACGACAACGAGCCCCAGTACCCGTCGGCCTTTCCGCTACCTAGAAATAGGCATCATGGACGGGGACAACGCCGCTGCGGTTTGGCATATGTTGAACGAGGTGTTTGCAGCTATTGCTCCTGATGGGCACGACCAGCATGACAAAGATGACGGCGCCCCCTCCTCCTCTCATGCTGAAAAGTCGCATGACAAGTTGTTCGAGATCCATCTGGTCGACCCGTTCGCGAACGCGACGAAGTCGTACTTTGAGCAGATGTAGGCATTGCAAATATGTCTGGGTCTGGAATAAACTTGTGATGCTGAACTGTGGATGACTGAAATATTTTCCGATGCATTCAAGCATGACAAGTTTGCCGAACACTATGTCATGCGCAGTCCGCATGAGAAACTGCCACTGCGCTTTTATAACTCCTATTGCTGAGCTGCGCAAGTTAAAACTTTGCGACGGGAAAGAAAACCGCCCACGTCGAAACTTTTTTTGTAATTTCCAAACTTTCACAAGCTTCTGGGAGTTCGCCCATCGCCCAATGTCCATCGCCCAGTCGCCCACTGTCCGCCGTCCAATGTCCATCGCGCAATGCCCATCGCACAAC